TGTGTGGGCGGAATCGCTAAACTCGTCGGCCGAGAGCCCGAAAATAAAACTTGATACGCGACGACACGATCAGGTTTACGTGCGCGCGATGGCGTGCCTTCCTTCGATCCACAGCCGATCGATGATCTACAGTAAAATAACAGTCAATACCGCCGATGTTATTTCGACTGATTTAGTCGGGAGCAACTTTGCGCGCACCCGTGAGAACTGTCATCGTTAAGTAACAACGGTGTTCGCCTATCTCGTCACTACTCCATCCATTTGCCACATGCGCGATTAAACGACAATGCAATCGACGCGCAATCGCTATTGCGAGCACGTTATTCCCGGAGAAATAACCGCGGCGCGTCAATTTTATATTCCGAGTATAACCCCGACAGAAATCTGCATCTGCATCTGCATCTGCATCTGCATTTGCTCGAAATATAAACAAAACGTATCGTGACCCATTTTCATCGCTTCGCAAACGAGAGTGCATACGACGAGCTTACCGTATTTATTGCGCAGCCGTACATGTTCGCGCGAGATATATTTGCAAATGTGTAGCAGGACTACACGAGCGTATGCATGATGCACGAATAACTTCGATAACAAGCTGTAATTTCAGACAAATATTTGAGAGGACGTTAATTGAATAATGTGGAACTCGGCGTCAGTTGTTACGTCATCCATCATATAATCCCTACGCGTTTTGCTGCTTGTCCTTCTTTCATATCCCTGACTGATATCATTGATCTCATTAATTTGTAACAACGGTTCGATCCGTGAATGGGGAAGAAAATATTTCTTCAGATGACGGATGCTTCTCAAAATCTTGAAATTTTGCTGTTTTTCCACTCGGGTAATGAGTCGGTTAATTTGTAAGCGAGGAAAGTTAAAGTTTCGATGTAAGCGCTTAATTTAGAAAAGTACAATTGTGCGTCAATTTGTTCACAAGTTGGAAATTCTGATAAAGATATACGTCATATACATAATACGTCATACCATCGCGTATGTTATCATCACAGAGAGAGGTAGTTGGGAATAGTCCCCTGTGCTATATAATTATCGTCGCGCACGCACAGACACCTCGTGTCGAAATTACGGCGATTACGGGGAAGAACCGAACACGCGCGCGGTCAACGGTGAATCAGTTTCCTCACGTCTCAACTTTTGAGCCGGCCTGTAACGCATAAAACATCCTGCGATAATGCCGTGTGATAGATAGCGCGCAGATATCGCGTGCGTGCTCATAGAGCATAGAAACGAATAAGAATGGGCACGAAAAGACCGTGCGTTTCATTCATTTCTGGATTCCGGATTCATCGTAGCCGCGGTAACCGCTGCCGCCGCCGCCGCCGCCGCCGCCGCCAAGAAGACTAATGAAGTTTCCCGTATCTCGCGTATCTCTATGCGTCACACGTATCCTCCCACAACGCTTATAAAGAGAGCTGCTTTTACATCCCACTGATCAACCTATTGTGTCCGCGCGCTCACACGCGCGCGCAACGTAAACTTTACTGCTGCATCTGTAACTGACGCGATTCAATGCGAATGTTCTCGAATGTTTTCCGAACAATCGAACGAACGATTTTAATTAGATGATTAGATAGAGAAGTGTCCTCTTCGATCTCCATATCCATAAAATGAACGAATGAAAATATATCGAGGTGACACTTATTATTATTTTTGCGTCGATTCGCGGCTATTCGCGACGGCGTTTTTTCCTTTCTTCTGAATCTTTCTCATTACTTCGAAGTGGCGGGATATTGTCGATTCGTCAATTCTTCACGGCCGCCCTGCGAGCTCTTTTATAATATTTGGGCTGAGCACTTCGATATTTGGGCTTCCAATTCGACGATCACAGAACGCGGCTTGTTGTCGACGACATCGTATAATCACCATTTCTAAACCTTTTGAACCATTTCTCGCAGACAGCACGCAGCGGATACAATGTTCTCTCCATAGATCTCTCATAAATCAGTATATTTTAATTGTTGCAGCTGTTTCACTCTGATTAAAGTGGTAAAGCATACAGTAGCAAGGATGAGCTTTATCTTGTTTCACCTTCAATCACGTTGAATGTGATGTTTTATTCTTCGGAACTGTGTGAACCATCAATTCTGACAGAGTAATGACTGATGAGTGATGACATTTAAGAACTAAAAAGTAACTTGAAGAAAAATTAACAAGTCGCTGTCACAGACAGGGTCATCTATTTGTGATCTTACCAACTTATCAATCACCTAATCCTCTATTCCTTGAAGACGGTTAGTCTCTTGTTGCGGTAAGTTCTATGCTGCGACCCGTCAGGGGTACCTCTATGAGAGTTGAACATTTCGCGGAGCTTTCCCGGTGTTTTTTTCGCAATGAAGTCTATAGTTGCCAAATAGATCGACGATGTTAAGCACTCGTTTGAGTGCGATGATGACTCTCCTCGAGGAATGCCTCAGTCGACGAACCAGATTGGCTCGCGTTCTACCAGCTCTTCTCGTTTCTTCTCTCTCTCTCTCTCTCTCTCTCTCTCTCTCTCTCTCTCTCTCTCTCTCTCTCTCTCTCTCTCTCTCTCTCCCCCTCTCTCTCTCTCTCCCTCTCCCTCTATTTGCACGTATAAATAGCACGGTCCAAAATTATCGGGGCACTTCGGCGAACGGTGCCGCGAAAGTGGCGTCCAAGAAAAAGCCGACGATTTCTGCTAGCTATAAAAATACGCGGGAAACGGCGCGGAGTCGACTGGTTGGCGTTGCGCATTCCTCGTCCAGGGACACAACGAGGCCGGACGAAGGACAAGGGATAATACAAACGACATTGATGGACTTTAAACTCTCGCGATTCCGATTAATTTTGACAACAGAGCAAGCGTGCGTAGCAAAAGGTCGCTAGCGATCGAACACGTACAAACGTATGATACATATGCATCTGTCAAATTTAACAAATCCTTAGAAACGTGCTCTAAAAAATCTTACCTCAAAAAATGACAAGGAAGAGGGTCCAAGCACGGGAAGTTGGGAGTATTAATCCCAATAATACCACATGTTCACAAATCGAAATCTTGCTAGGCGGAAATGAACTTTTGCAACGTTTTTAGATAATTGCGCACTGGTGATAACGACTAAACGAATGCATCAGGCTCAAGCTTCAGCAAACAAATTAGACGTCAGCAGCACTCGACGTTTCCACGACGTCGGTCGGTAATTACGCGTTTAATCGACGTCGACACAGCTAGAGAGAAGACGGGACAAGAATTTTTTGCGACTGCAATTCTATATAATTCAAAATAATTCTATCGTCCAAAAGACAAATACGAAAGATCTCGGGCGCTTATAAACGGTGTGCAGGCGAAGAAAAGCCTCGTTTGTGTGTAAATGACTCTGAACTGTTGAACCTGCGCTCCACTTCCGCTTTCGTAACACCGCGTTGCCGCATAATTCCACGAGGACGACCTGTCGCGTCTTGAATATTGAACGCGCGGATAATCAAGTTTGAACCGATCTCCGAGTTTGCCTCCGCTCTGACCTACCCTGGGCGCGATTAGAATAACTCCGTCTAACGGAATTCTGCAAGATGCAACTGTTTATGAAATTGCGAAATTTTATTCGTTGATTCTTTGCTCTACTGTTGTAGTATAAATATTTCTTTTGCGCCTCTCGAGTTACCGCGTATTTTCGGACGCAGATTTTAAAAATTAGGCAGGACGTTATAATCGACCGCAGGAAACCGCAGGACACGTGATCGAGTCCCATAATTGAAATATTTGTCGAATTTGCTAACGTTTAATGCTCGTACGCGGATATAAAGCGATCGTTCTAGCGCGACTATTAAGAAATAGCGGGGATGCACTGCGAGGGAATATCTATTGACCGATTATTATTAGCGATTATTCACGGCTGAATATATCTTTCCCCCTTTTTGGCGAAAGTATACTGCGGAACATCGCACAGTGCTCTTTTCTCGTCGTTTACTTTCCTCATACAGAATACACACACACACACTCTATCGCACCCATTAAATAAAAAGTATGCCAAAGTTATATATTTTAACCTATTATCGATACGCGCACAAATTCGACATTTATATCCCGTTCTTGGTGCGACGTGGGACGATCGAGCGAGTTACTCGAGACACCTCTTACACCTTTTAACGCAACACAACAGGCCTGAAACAATATTCTGTCTGATGACTCGATCGTGACTCGGCGCAATTACGCGTAACGAATCGAATCACTTTTGCGCGTAACGTAATCGTCAGTTACTGCGGCGTAATCGCGATGGAACGTAATACAGCTCTCAATCAGCGAACGACGATAGTCAATAGCGACGTATTCCCATCCGCAAACTATCGCGCACGAGCGCATAGATGCCTGCGCGTCGTACAGAGAGACGAGTGTGCATCGCGAGAGGCAACCGACACGCGGACAGCACCTAGAATTTTCTAGTCGGCGGTTCTCTCCTATCTCTTGCCAGCGACCTCGTATACTTTCCTCATGCACAATAGTGGCCGCGCGAAGCGTACTATCCGTGTCTGTCGTCATCGCGAATTCGACGCGTCATTAGCACCTTACGTAAAATCACTTAGCACGTAATAAACTCGGTTCGAAGCCCGTTACTTCGGGACTTTTTACGCGTCAACAGCCGTGCGCGCACTCTCTCTCTCTCTCTCTCTCTCTCTCTCTCTCTCTCTCCATACTGTAGTATTCTAACGCGCGGGATAATAGCCTCCGACAATTATATCGGATCGAATCGACACGTCTGCTTCGTGGAATAATTCGCGCGCAGTATCGAGAAACCGCGACGCGACCTGTGATGAATCACTCTCTCCCCCCTTCGTCTTCATCTTCATCGTCGTGATCGTCGTCGTTGTCCGTCGTCGTCGTCGTCGTCGTCGTCGTCGTCGTCGTCGTCGTCTGAGTCACCTGACAGTCCACCACCTCGATCTCTCGCCTTCTTCCGCACAACCTTTTCATCCGGCCCCCGATAATCACAGTCGGTTACTGAATCCACTCGGTACCACGCCGTTTGCAGAGACTCACACTGTGGCGATGACAGACCCACAGCTGACCAACAACAACAACAACAACAACAACAACAACAACACCAACAACAATAACAACGATGGCGAGCCAAAGTACCTGCACAAGAAATTCAAAAAGATGGCGACGACCGAGGTCGCGTCCAGGGTCGAGCCCAGGAAGGAGACCACGACGAATAATATCTCTGTCGAGACGCCCAAGCGAAAGGACACCACCGACAAGGATGGCAAGGAGACGAAGGAACCCGTCAAACTCGAGGCTTCCCCAGAACCCGAAGGAGAGCCCACCGAGTCCCGAAAGAGCGGCTACGTTTGTCCTTACTGCAACTTGTCCTGCGCAAAACCCAGCGTACTTCAAAAGCACATCAGAGCGCACACGAATGAACGACCGTACCCGTGCGTGCCTTGCGGATTTGCCTTCAAGACCAAGTCGAATCTGTACAAGCATCGCAGATCGCGCGCTCACGCGCTCAAGATGGAAGGAGGAGACGCGAGCAAGGTATTCGTTAAAAGGATTCATTAATAATAATATAGAAATGCAAATTGACTATCTATTCCTTTCACATTCATTTTCCATTTGGATTAAGATTTATTTGGATTAATTTCGCTGAATTTCGTCAAGTCTGGATTTGACTGGTTCTGATAGTAGTAGCGATATAATGCGTTTGACAGCGTATTTTTGCACAAAAGTATGCCATAGTATAAAATAACGTACTAGAAAAAAAGAGGACACACAATACACACACTGAATATACGTGCACATAAATATAGCGAATAATTATTTGGAGAATTAGTTGTAGAAATGAAGTCATTTGATTTGACATCGATAAAGCTATAACGTTGTTCGCAGATGTCCGAAGATTCCGACATAAGCTTGTCAGACAGCGCCAGCAATGGCACAGGTACGCCACCGCCACCTCCCGCTTCGACACCTACGACGATGACAACGACGACGACGGTGTCCATCGTCATGAAGACCGTCAAAACCGGCAAAATCTACAAGCCGAAATTTCATACGGCGCTACAGTGCGTAAACGACGCCGAAACGCCTTCCTTGTCACCCAGTTCTTCCAGCAGCAGCTCCTCTTCCTCCTCCTCCTCCTCCTCCTCCTCCTCCTCTTCCTCCTCCTCCTCATCCTCCTCCTCCTCTTCCTCTTCTTGTTCCACCACAACTGCTTCCAATACCAAGCCAAACGCGGAACAATTGCAAGAGCACATCGACAAGATCATAACGGATAATCAGGCAATCGTAGACGCAGTGGATCCGCGCCTCCACAAACTGATGCAGCGCCAACAGAGCTTGGTGGAAACGAAACAGTTGGAGCTGCCGTTGAACCTGTCTTCCGCGGAATCTGAGTCCTCGAGTAGGAAACGTTGTTACAGCGACAGCTTTGTTCAGGAGGGAATAAAGGAGGACGCCGCACACAATGCCGAGGGTTCAATCATCAAAGATCTTCTTCTGAAAACTTCTAATACCGCGAACGGACCGTTGCCGGAGGCTGCCGGTATCGACAATCTGACGTGTCCCGCGTGCAACATCCCGTACACTAGCGTAGACAACCTAGAGACTCATCGTAGGTACTATTGCAAGGGCACTGGTAGTCCCCGAAGGGCAGATTATCCCGGCGAGCTGGAGAAACGCGGAGAGTCCGACTTTGACTCCAAGTCTTCCGAATCTTACTACGGCACCTTGCAACCGTTACCCTCGCCGGGTCCTCTGCTGGGTAACACTCGGCTGGTCGACGCATACGCTCCACCCACGAAGAAACCACGATTGGAGACTGTGCCGACCAGCCTGAGGTCGCTGGAAGAGCTCAGCAAGTACCCGCGTCCAAATTCCCTGCAGATGTTCGGCGGCGAGGTGAGAATTCTCGACAACACGGGCGAAACAAAAACCATGAGAATCGAGCCACGGCAGACCAACTCGCCCACCAGCGAGCACATAGTGAGTAGCAAGTGCGTAACCTCAGAGACGGCGTCGGTAGTAGTCAAGTCCGGACTGCACTCGGGTGGCACCATGGTTCACAAGCCACCAGGTACGCCGGTTAGCACACCGAGTTCCTCCATATCTCTACCCAACGTACCGAAGATGCTGGCGCCCATCATACCGAACATATCAACCCCCAATATAGCGCCAAATATGTCCTGCTACAACTACCTGGAGCCGCATTTGAACCCACTGACCAATATCACTGCCTACAATCCGTTGACGTTGCCACAAGCAGGCATCACCAATATCCTCCATGGCGGTAAAATAATACCCTATGTTCCCGGCATGCCTGGGCCGCATACTCTAACCGGCATACCGAACATAGACATATCTCCGAGTGTGACGTCCGATGAAGCCGGCTACAAGGTGATACCAGGTCTACCGGGTCTACATATGGTACCCCAACCTCTGAACTTGGCCAGTCCGGTAAAGGTACAAGCTGGCGTGCCTGTGCCGTCTGGTATACTCGGACTGTTACCCGGACCACCCTCCGTGTTGGACCAGCCTCTGGATCTGGCAAGCCCGGCCAAGGAATCCAAGAGCAGCTTCAAAACTCCCAGCGGTGACGGTTCAAAAAGCGGCTTGATCAGCCCCAAAGTTCCTAATGTTAAGATCGAGACCTCGACGGATAAATATCGCGCAAAGATGCCGTCGATGCCCACCGGGGAAATCGGTAAAACGGAGCTCGATCGTCATATCAAGAATGGCGTGGCGGTGAAGTACAAGAGTATAGAGAGTCCCCGGGAAAGAAGAGAGTTTACATACGACAAGAGTCCGAAGCATTCGGACAAAACTCCCGGTTATCCAAATGGCATGGATACGGTGAATTCCTCTAGTTCTTACACTACTAAATTGAGGTACTCGCCCAAAACTGTTGCTGCTGCTACCACTACTACCACAACCACCACCACCACCACCACCACTACCATCACCACCACTACCACCACTGCTACTACTATTACTACTACTGCTACTGCTACTACCAGTACTACTACTACCACTACTACTACTACTGCTACTACGGAAAGCAGAAAAAGGCCGTCCAATTGGGGTGCAAGTGAGGTAGACGCTGGCAGGGCATCGGCTGATACGCACATCGCCATCTCCAAATATGATCTGCCGCCTCATGAAAATGGCCGATTGAAGAGTAGTCTCTGTGACGGACGAGCGAAGCTCGTAGACGGTTGCGACGCGTTCAACGGGGCCAAAACGAAAGTTGCCGAGCCTGTACCGTCGGTGATACTTGTGAACCTAGATTCCTCCAAAACAGAAGTGCCAACGAAAACTTCCGTAGAGATAGTAATTACTAAGGACAAGCCCGAGGCCAAATCGCCAAAGAGTAGCTGCGGCAGTGAAGTCATCGAGGAAGCGACCAACTCTAACAAGTTTGTGAGACCTACGTCGCTACCGCTCAAGCCCGGCACGTTCACGCCGAAGAAGCATCACGGGATCACGCCAACGGCGAACACACTTCCTCTCATCAGTCCGGAGACTCCGCGACCCAAAAAGTCGTACGGACAACTGTATCTAAATGGGCACGCCTACACATATCTGGGATTAAAGTGTTCCACCAGAGTGTTCTATTGCACCTTGAATCGACCGCAACCGATGTACGTTACGCAGCAACACGGTCTGTCGATGTACTCCAACTGGAAAATATGCAAGGAGGCACCGTCAGACGTAGACATGGCGCACTACGACTCCCGGCACAGGCCTTCCAACTACACCACCGCTTGGAAAAAGCAGGAAGACATTCTGACACACTCCTCGCAAAGACCAACCACTCCCACGAGTCCGGACAGCGGCTTGGAGAGTGATATGCAGGAGAAAGCCAAAAAAATGACGATATTCGACGGAGGTTATGAGAGCAACGAGGATTACACCTATGTGCGCGGAAGAGGTGAGATATGTCTCTATTGTATTGTTTTCCAAATTGACAGACTTTACACAAAATCTCCTCCTTCTAGCTATCTAGTTTGTACTAGTCATTCTTTCCGCAATAACAATATCTAACAAATTCTAAAATTATTTTATCGATATGTATGAACTCGAAAGACGCGAAACGATATTTTGAAAGGAGATCTGCGAGAAAATGTTTAACGATAATGACGTGCGTTATTGACAAGAAACTCAAGTACAACATGGTATGTTTCGCAAGGTCGAGGACGTTACGTCTGTAAAGAATGTGGTATTCGGTGTAAGAAACCATCTATGCTGAAGAAACATATCAGAACGCATACAGATGTTAGGCCGTACACCTGCAAGCACTGTGCCTTCAGGTAAGTTCACCATTTGAAGCGCAACAAGGCGCAACAAAATAATCACTCAACTGCTAGCTCGCGTCTCGATTTTATGTGAAACAATGTCGATTGTTTGTGCAACAGTTTCAAGACAAAGGGCAACCTCACAAAACATACCAAGTCCAAGGCTCACTACAAGAAATGCGTGGAATTAGGCGTGGTACCGGTACCCACGACTGCCTGTGATGAGAGTGCCGACAAGGAGGCCATGGTGCAGTCAACCGCCGGTGGCGGCAACGCGGAGGAATCGTCGGAGGAGGAAGAAGAGAGCGACGGTGAAGAGAGCGAAGAGTCCGGTAGCGAGGAGCAAGAGGCGGCGCAGAGTCTACTGAGTCTCTCGCAACGTAACAACCCAAACAGGCTGCCAGGCTTGCTGCCGTCGGGAAGACCCACAACATATCCGTACGCTCTGACCCTACCGATCTCGCCGACAACTTCCACGGTGAACGTCGTATCCACCGCGGCGAGCGCATCGACTATGAGTGGTCCGAACGTGACCACCAACCAAGGAACAACTTTGATTCAAAGCGAATTATCGCATCGTTATTACTTCCCGTCGAACCGAACGGCGTCGGAAGAATCGAGGAGCAGTGTCATCCAATCGACCTCGAAGAAGGACGACTCGGATGTCGAGATGGAGGTCGAAATGAGTAACGACATCGGCGACATTGTAGAATCGTCGTGTCACCAATCTATGTCTCAGCCGATGGACTTGACGACGAAGCAGACGGTTCAATCGGCGTTGCCATCGCCGATCCCGCAACGGGCCAGGCCGGCGGATATCCTGACTCCCGTCTCGGAACCAGTCCTCTTGCAGACGATAGTCCAGACGATGGAGCGACTACCTATACAGGGCAGAGAGTGGAAGCCGGACGCGCAGGGCCATATGTTGCAGGCGTATCTCACCGAGAGATACGTGATGGACAGTAAAATCAAGCAGCAGTACCGCGTGGGTAACAGCAAGTTGGACAAACAAATGCAAGAGAGGGAGATTTATCCACGGCATCAAGAACCCGTAAGATCTAGGCATGTAGAGTCCAATGGCGTCCCAACGGTGACGTATACCGACCCCAGCAAGATACAGCAGCACACGCTTGTGGAAAGCCGGGTGGTGAAGCACGCGACCAAGCATACCAGCGACGACATAAAGATGGAAATTCGGGAGAAGATATATCAAAACAATATGGCAATGGAGAGACGAGCGTTCGACTTGGAGGCAACTGCTCACAAGAACAAGGAACAGCCTAGTCGCTTGCTTCCTGAACGTGAGAGTTTCGAGCTTGTTTTAGCCAGCCCGGCCGTTGGTACGAGGCCGAGCATCGAGTACGGTTTACCAATGAGTAAGAACAACAACTCTATGGACAGACCGGTTTATCTCGTGGACGCGCCTGTCCTAAATACACTAACCAATATCGATCGCCATTCACCGAAATCTTTGAATATGGATGCCAACAACCGAATGCCGCTGATGCAACACGCCAATATCGACGTCGACAGGGGCTCCATGTTCAACGCGATCAAGATGATAGGTGAAATGGAAAGACCTAGGGAATGTCACCTAGTTAATCAGGAGATAGTTCGAACAGCGAGCAATGACGTGCGAATGCAGAATCAGAGCCCGCGGAATCACGACCTGAGACCGCCCAGCAGGGAGATCAGAACGCCCGGTCAAGAGTATAGAGCGCAGAATCAAGAGCTGAGGCTACCTAGTCAGCAGGAGTTGAAGATGCGGGCTGGCCAGGAGATGAGACCGCCTAGCCGCGAGTACAAGCCATTCGCTCATGAGATGCAAGTCATTCAGGAGCTTATGCCGTCGACAAACATAGAAATGCGGCAAACAAGTTCTGATAATAGGCCGCCGAGCAGAGACATGAGAGCTGTCTCGGAATACAGAGCGCAGCCTCAAGATCTCAGGCCCAGCTACGAGATAATGCAGTCGCCTATGCACGAGCCTCCCAAGTCGCAGAACATTGACGCGAGGAATGCCGTACCGGTTGTCTATCATTATGAAACGAAACACACCGCGGAGGCAACCAAACAAAATGCACCGGATAACGCGAAGCACACGGTAGCCAGGAAGATAGTCGTCGGCGGCCCGGACTTTCGATCGCCGTCGCCGTCGCCGAATACGGCGAATCCAAAACCGCAAGCGGAATTTCTACAACCGTCGAGTGGGCCGGCGCCTAATTATGTTACGTGAGTACTCGCCGAGCGCACACACGCCCCGTTTCAATTTCCAACAGCTCTCTTCCTTGTTTGCAGAACAGCACACATTTTTCCACGCCACGTGTCTCTTTTTTCTTCTTTTTCCATCTTTCCACGATTACATACATTGATGTTGAATTGCTAGATATCTAATGCAGAAAATCAAAGCAAAATCACGCACAAATTTGTATGTGTTCTTCTAGAACCGCGACCGCGTTCGATTCGCGCGCGCGCGTTTTTTTTTTTTTTCTTTTTTTTTTAGATCAAAATGATTCCGCTTGTAAGAACTGAGTCTATGGGATATAGTTACAGTGTGACGGAGGACGGTAGGAGCGTGTGTGGAATTTGCAACAAGGTATTCAGCAAGCCTAGTCAGTTACGGTTGCATATCAATATTCATTACTTCGAACGGCCATTCAGATGCGAAAGCTGCGCGGTTTCCTTCAGGACCAAGGGTCACTTGACGAAACACGAGAGATCGGTTTCCCATCACAATAAGGTAAACGATAAATCGACGATCTTATCTTATAGGCGAGCGTGTGCGCGCTTTGTACTGATAAACGTGATAAACTGACAACTGTAGGTCAGCATGACTTCTACATTCGGTGCGGCAACCACCAGCAATCCTAGGCCTTTCAAGTGTACAGATTGTAAGATAGCGTTCAGAATACACGGACACTTGGCCAAACATCTTCGCAGCAAGATGCACATTATGAAGCTGGAGTGCTTGGGCAAGTTGCCGTTTGGCACATACGCGGAAATGGAAAGGTCTGGTGTCAACCTGAACGACATTGACACCACAGACTGTGATAATAGTCTTACTAGTCTGCAGGTGAGTATCTCGCGAGAATCGAGAGGGAGAAGCCCAATTTTCGCGCGCACACTTTAAAGTAAAGACAATGTTGCATAAAACATGTGTGTTTCCCTCCCCCCCCCCCCCGATAGATGTTGGCTCAACGATTGTGCGAAAAGGACCCGGCCAAGATCGCGCAATGGGACTCTGAGAACGTGCCCGTCGCTCAGGCGGTGAGCGGCGGCGAAACTTCATCGGACGAGGGCGAACCTATACAAGCGCAGCATGCGCTTCACGCTCAATACGCAAAAGCGACCACGGACGCGGATATCTCCCGATCATATCACGTGCCAATCGCTAGCGAAGAATCGAAAGCCATTAACCACGATGTTCGCCTTCGCAGTCCTCACTTCAGTCAGCAAAGGCGCGACTACGCCGTGAAGGAACAGCCGAGACCAATCTCGGCCGCCGTTTCGTCGGAGGATGCGAGGACGGGAGACAATTTACAAACGTACAAGTGCCAAGTTTGCCCTGTATCTACGCGTACCGTAAACGAATTACAGGTACACTGTTTTGTTGAACATAATATTGAAACAGATTCTAGTACAAATATTGTTCATGGAGATAGGAGCGCGAGTAAATATAGGGAAAAAGAGAATACTCAGAGAAGAATTACGGAGGAATCTTCCGCGGTTAAAGAGGATCATAGTAGACAAAAGATAGAGGATACATAGTGCCAAAATGATATAACGTGCTAAAGAATTCTCGATTGCTATGGTATTTGCCATTACTACACGTAGAGAAAGAAATTGCGTAATGACAGTGTATCGCGGATGCGATACCCATACTTTTGCGATTCTGAAGAAATATCTCGGTATGATTAGACTAGAGATCTCTAATTGAGATCTCTCTTGAGGAAGTGTCAAAACGTTGACGCACCTTGAACGTCAATGTGACAAGACGAGAAATTTCGACGAATCGTGATGTCATTTGCTATCGAAGGGCCGTATTCATAGTCGGATCTTATATTTAAGACCGTCTTGGGTTCACGTTCAGATATTCTGTAGCCAATGAAATGATCTATACAGCATCTGAGGATGAACTTAAGACGATCTTGTAATATAACATAAGACCGGACCCGATGAATACGGCCCGAAGAGTTGTATACTTGTATACGGGTTCGAAATTTTACGTTGCCGTTACTGAATGTTTGGTAAAGTTCTATGGATTTTAAAGTTTATCGGCGAATAGGAGAGACGCGAGAGAAAACATGAATAACTGATGATAATGTGTAAATCTGAATAGCGTTAATATGTATACAATTGCGCACGAATCACTGAGAAGCATTGTCTCGATCATGTTTCTTCTACCACAGGTACCAGTTCACTTGTAACTGCCTGTTCGTACTGCAAAGCCGTAACGACATAATCGCTCGTATAGTCCACCTCTAAGACTTTTCCTCTCGAAACCGGCACGTATAACGCGTAAGTAAACAAAAAGAAGAAAACAGCAAAAACATTAACGTAGCTCGAGTATCTGATAATAATTATAATATTTATACACACACAATAGTGTCGTAGCAAGCATGAGGTGCAATGTGGACTGGCATGTGATCCTGTATTTAAAGTGCAAATGTTGCGTTCAACGTTAAAGAGTATTCTAATATTACAAAATGATTATTATACTTTAAAAATTGGTACATGAAGCTTACACACACACACACACACACATACACACACACACACACATTTGTATGATATTAGTATGGACATTTATGAGAATTATTGTTGATATAAGAGGAAATGTGTTTGTATATATTTATGTATAATATACTGAGACACCGTGTTAGTTTTTATTATTATAGTTTTAAGAACTCAGTAATCAGGAGCTATGTCGGTTACTCAGATTATACAACATAAAATTATATATTAATTCTCTAGTTTGCATATCTTTTCTCGAACAGTATATTTATGTGTGGAAAGAAAAAGCACATGACAAATATCGACAATTTGATTTTATCTGAGATATTCTAAACACGATGATTTGATATCGTTATTTATTTTCTAAATATTCTGCACAATCTCGTATATTCAGTTAATCTGAGGGACCGATGATTCGCTGATTCTGTTTAAGACATTTAAGGAGCCGCATACCTTCCATGAGCGACAGCTACTGTATCTTATAATTAACCATCTATCTAATACTACGTACAGTCTCAACATCTCACTCAAGCACAAGAACATGTCTTTCCTACCGCATAATCAGACTCCGATTATCACGATTTGTACCTAGATGTGCTTGAGCTAAGATAATAGTGGTATGGATAGGCAATGACCGCACAATTGTATACAATGAGGTCCAGGTCTGAGTGATTGTCACTAAACGATATCAGTGTAGCATAGTCTAACCTAGCATTTTGATGTATATCTATTTCCTAATTCCTAATTCTATCAACTCTAACCGCGATACTACGTATGAGCTTCCAAGATGTGTACACGTGTATGTATCCGAAATGCCAAGCCAACAATTTGCATTCTCGAGAGAACTAGCGAGAGAAAGCATACATCTTTTAGCAGTGCCATCGCCAAAATCGACTTTCGAACGGTAACGTAATTCTTAAAACGCGATATTTCCCGACGACGATGTAGTGTATGTATGTAACGTCTTTCTCTCTCTTTCTCCCTTCCCCTCCCCCCTCCTCTCTCTCTCTCTCTCTCTCCTTTGACTACTTACATGTGTACTTGTATGTGATTACAAAAAGATGTACTTTTTCCAAATTATAGATTCATATTATAATATATATTTTCGGAACGTTGTCGTGTGTCTGTAGAAGTATCAGATATTTTTCAATGTATACATGACGAGCGTGTCATTTACATATCAAATCCATCGTCCCTTTTCTCTCGCTCTCTGTTATGCGTTTCGCCATCTTATCGAACATGTCAGTACAAGATAGATGATGTCGTAACGAACTTACAGTTTTACCGTGTCCTTGCCGACAGTAAAGTCCCCTCCAACAGCCTCAGACACATGTACGCGATGAGAAACATCGAAAGGTACTTTGCGAACTCAAACAACCGCCAAAACGCACAACCGTACGCGGAAAAACCGATCGCGATCTAAGAGATTTCCCGCGCGGTACGAAACACGATCGCGTCTCGAATACGCACTTGAACATAGCTGCGAGTCAACGATTCTCGAACGTTGAGTTGCTCTCGAAATACTGCATCGTGACATCGTGTTTTATTACACACAAACGGTTATATATTAAATATAAAAGTCGTATTTCGAACATGGCTCAATGTAAACGAGATATCAATACTTGTATTTCCACACCCAAGATTTCTGCCTTCAAAGTAAGAATTTTGAGATTCATCAGGTTTGTCTCAATTCTAAATGATAATCGTTCCGAATGACCAATTATATTCCAATTCCTTTCTTCAGCAGCAGATTCGACCGAGTAATTGTTCACGAGCGTACAACTGAAAACATCAAGTAGTCTGTATAATGCGATAAATAATTATCGAAAGAACTACGACGTTAGTAAGTAACGATATCTCTTAAGTGGAGCGAGTTTAACGCGAGTTTAATCCGATAAATTACATCGTAAACCACATTGGCGATTCTCAAGAACAAGAACAGTTGGCTTGGCTTCTTCCAAACTCAGTATTAGAAGACTTTGAGAACGGTGATGGAAAAAAGAAACAAAGAAAGGTGAAACTTGTACGCGCGACTTGTAGACCGTTCTACTACAAATTACATTTTACAGAGACGTCGACTTTTGTCACCCGATTTTACGGGGTTGTTGTGTCTCGGGAAAATCCCCGTCCACCCTTGCCCCCTTCTCTCGTACTTTTATGATCATTTTATACAACACACGGTGACACTTAAAAATATATCTGGTGGCGATATAGTATTTTATATGTATTATGGCCAAAGTAGATCTTTAAGATTTTATAAATGTTCACCGTAGAGAAGAGAGGCGAGGAAGAAGGGAAAATACGTTTTTATGCTCGCATAAATCGTGTGTAAAACGTCGTGTGTGTTTCGACGACGCCTCTGACTATCGTAACGAACCGCCGAACGGTTCAAGCTGTTGTATCACGGAACCTTTTAATTCGTACCAATTATCGGGCTTTCTGCTCGTCAATATCAGACAATGTGCGGGACCGGAATGAAAATTTTATAAGTGTATACATACGAAAAAGATGATGGAGCGAAAGATTTTACTGATCATAATTAGTGCCAATGCTTTCTTTGTCAGTGTCACCGTCGTTTACTCTTCCGATTCTGTGACTCTGTTGAAATACCGATGAGAATGTAATTTTTATTTATTGTAAATAAAAAACAAATATATTGCTTAAAACATTTTATATATTGTGCATTCTAAATCGATATATAGACGCGATTCCATTCAGTGATGGAATATGGAGGTTTAACTGTTGGCCCAGAGATTGTAACACAACTCTGTATAGTGATCTTGCAAGAACAAAAGTACAACTCTAGGAACACAGGCAATGTGGGACAGGAATAAAATGTTAATTTCCAATAATATTGTGTGTACTCCATCTTATTTCAAATTAAATAACCCTTACATCCCTAATTAATAAGTATTCTAATAACATGTAATATTAACGATCCATTATATTTCTGTTTGAGTTATATACATGATTTTCAGCTACATACTTATCGGGCATCAAACACAACCACTGGAAGTAAAAAGTTAAGGAAAACTATTTTAAAAGACAATATTACTAAATTATACTTGACAAAGGACAATATTAAAAAGGATACATCTCTTGGTACGCTTTTTGTACATAATCCTATATCCGCATTCCCTGCATCGAATTGGATCCTTTTGGCGAATTTCATTATCATTATGGCATTCTAAACATTAATTGTATATCAAATAGAAGTAATTCTAAATAATTTCTTTAGCAATAAAGCAATATTTTTGAGTCCCGACTATAAAATATAAGCACATGTGTATAAATATATTTATATCCAGTAAGACAAAAGTAACACAATTACAATATTACTACAATAATATTCAATATTTTATGATACTTCCAAATATATTAAATTTCAAACATTGTATACATTGTTGTTGTATGAGAGTTGAAAATATATTTTTAAGATATATTTTTATATCCAAACTCAAGGACATAATTCTAATAAAGTAATATCTTTAGGATATTTCAGAAAACTTTATGTGAATGCAGCCAAGAAATGCATACGAAACTAAAATTTCAAAATGTTAATCTAATATTTCTTGCTTACTGGATATGCATTTTGAATACTCTAAGAATGCTTAAATTCAATACTGTTAACTATAACAAACAACTAATATGATCTGAAGAATTTACATAAAAATATATACAAATGTATAAGTATATAGCTCAATTAAGAAAGATTAATTTACATAGACGACAACATATCAAGATTTATCTACGAAAAGGTTAGCATGTGTGTAACGAGAGAATATGTCTTTACCTCCACATATGTATACCATGGCTTTCGGTGTAGACTCCGATTTACTAGATTCCATTTTAATATGCTACAGCAATATACTATTAAATATTATTATTATTATTATTAAATATACTATTATTATTAAATATTTTTGTTGAAAATCTCTGTCCGTTCACTCTGAATTTCTCCGCAAAATAACAACGTCGCCGTATTATCGACACACACAAGATGCTAAAGCCAGCGGCACACGGTGCTTGTTTTTGTGCTGGATTGCTGCTGGATGAAAATACTGCGTTTTGATTGGTACATTTCCGAAGATGGATGGAAATGCACCAATCAAAACGCAGTATTTTCATCAAGCCGCTGGCTTAATAAAAACTTAGTGCACCTGGTGCATCACAGCGAAATTTCTCTGGTACGCTAAGGCTGGTATTCATAGTCAGGTCTTAGGCTGGGTCTACAATACAGGTACAGTAAGCTTTAACCTTAAGAAATTAACCAATCTCAGTCGATTTTTACAAGAATAATCGAATAAGTTTAGCCAATTTCTTAAGGTTTATATTTAATTATTATAAGAATAATCGATTATGATTGGTCCATTTCTTACTGCTTAAGCTTACAACCTTATTCTTGCAGCCATTGTAGATGGGCTTTTAGACTCGACTATGAATACCGACCATAGTATCGCGTCAGTGGTATGGACCATGGTGGCGCTGAAAGCACGTCTCCCCTCTTTCCAGAGGGAAGTCAGGTCAGTACCTGGTCGGTAACGTATTTTTGATCAAAGGTGGGAGGTTTTTGGATGATCGGTCAACTGGATTTTCCGCTTGTATCTGACGATATTTGGATTATTATATTTCACACGTTCCCATATCATAAACTACAATGCCACGAGGTAGATATATCATCGCGTTTCCACTGTGTTTTTTTCCTTTTTTATTCTCGAGGAAAATTTCCTCGTATCTTCCCAGTAAGAACGCAATTGTTGAACAAAACATTGTCATTATGATTATGTTACTTATTGCGCAGGAAAGTTCGTGAACCACAAAGGCAGAAACCGTCATTTTACGAGCCCGGAGGAACTCGAGGAGCAACGACGCCAGGAGGAGAAGAAGCAGCAGTGGAGAGTCAGTATTTTTAGGTTAACCGACATCGCGTGGCTATTTAGATATCGTCGTTGACTGTGTAAGCTTTTAACGCTTGAGATTTAGCCTTTTCATGATTGACTTGAGCAAAATTAGAGAATGAGATATCTGGTAAATATATATGTGTTGTAGAGGTAGGGCGTTATAATTTTGTGATACGCTATATTGAGACGATGCAACATTCACACAAGTTATGTATCATTTACTTCTGGAGTGGGAAGTTATTTAACTTAATTATATATTCTATTTAAATCTAAGTGTATAATATTCATAAGACATCCTTGGTTTGATATTTATAATTTATATTTGTATCATTGAAAAGTATTGGATATTTATGCAGAATTACTTTGAATAATATTTATTGAATATATAATGTTTATTTTACAGAAGAATAAAGGACAGGAAAGTTCCAGTGAAGAAGAAGATGATGAAGAACCTAAAGCCAGTGGAGCCAATAGGTCAAAAAATCTTAGTGCAACAGATAGTGAGAATGAATCAGAGTCAGACTCAGAAACAGAGGTGCTGTAGTCACCATTTAAATAAAAATCTCAAACAATTAAGATTACATGCAAAATTTCATATAATTTTATTCTCATCAAATTTCTCATATTTCTGTCTTTGTTTACAGGGAGGAAAAGCTAAAGGTGTAGAGAATCTAATCCAAGTAGAAAATCCAAACAGGGTACAAAAAAAAACAAAAAAATTGTCTCAACTGAATCAATCATTCGATGCAAAACCAGAACTATCACGAAGAGAGAGGTATTTATTTATTTGATTATAACCATAATGAACATCACATTTTTTAATCAGTGCAAATTGACAATGTGTTTGTGTAATATTGCTCTAAAGTGTTTTGAAAAATAAAATTCTCATTAGATTTATTGATTGAATTATGAATTTAATTTCCATGTTTCTTTTTTTTTTTTTTCCAGGAAATTTTATAGTCCCTGATTGATCTGTAATTTTATTTTCTCGTCTCATTCTTATCATCAAAGTTGAATTCAAATTGTATTTTCCAGAGAGCAACTTGAGAAACAAAGAGCGTTTGCAAATTATCAAAAGTTACATGCGGCTGGTAAAACAGAAGAAGCTCGGGCAGACCTTGCGCGATTAGCCATAATTAAACAGCAGAGGGAAGAGGCAGCAAAACGACGAGAAGAGGAGAAGAAACAAAAGGAGCAGGCGCAACAGAGGAAGACCGAACTCACGCAGAAGGCACTGGGAAAAAAGTCCTAGAACGCACAGAGGGACTAATTACAAGAATTGATCATGCAATATTAATATCCCAACGTCGATTCCTGTACCGACGGGATACTATTAAAGATTGACGATCTTGTGGAAATTCTACTCTACAAGATGGTCCCGAATTAGATATTTCCATCCGGAAAAAAAAACGATCATGATACTAGTGTATAATTATTCTTAAATCTTTTTGGTAATCCAAAATTTTAATCAAGACCGACGATTTTTTAATAGTACCTCGTCGATGGTATCTCATTGATTTTCGTCTATCGGTAGACGCGATTAACTGGTTCGTACGTTTGCTATAAGATGAGTATGATGAGCGAATGAATAACGAATTCGAGCTTTCACTGGAAGATTTAAAAGTTTCAGATACAGACCAAATTTGATTAACGGACATCGATCTAATTTGTGTGCGTTTAATAAAGTGGTATATTAAAACGAATTCTTGCGAACGAATTTTATGGATGCGAATGTTCATTGTACGTTACATATATATATATAACAATTTATATATATGTGTATGTGTGTGTGTGTGTGTGTACACACACACATACACTACATTCACATGCACACGTACATAAACCAGACGTAATCCATTTGTACAAATCGTTATATCGCTTAACTCTTTCAGCACGAATGTCGAATTTAGTCGAGTGCAAATGTTCAATGAAAATATAGAAAAACATTAATACAAATTCAGATATGTGAACATTTACATTTGCTGTTTATTCGTTGTTCATTTGCTAAATGTGTGCTTATCTATAAGTTTTATAGCACGTTGATAATTGTTTATATAAAGACAATTATTTGCAATTACATTATTAATATTAAATCCAACCTATAGTATATTTATCAATTTGTCAAATGACCTGCTTAGATTTTTAAAGCTACTATAAGCAATATACAGAATGGTTCTGTTATTAACAGCTATTTTCTATTATTCATTTATTTGTTATTTATTTAGAATTTATTATAAATTAACGGTTGCAAGTGCGTTATGATTAAGTCGAAATTTTATCAAGTTTCAATGATATCAGCATGAAATATTTTTTAATAATATTTCCATATCTGTGTATATATCGCTTGGATATTTTGCAGTATATTTTCAAAATATTAATTTCAAAAATTAATTATTTTATTTTCGAATATGACTCTACGATAGATTATAGCGCCATTTCCCTTTCTGTATAACGGAATATCAGAAGATGAACTCAAGACGGCCTTAAATATAGAACCTGATTATAAATACCGGCCTTAGGGCCGGTTGTTCCAACTTCTTGGTAAGTTAACTGACAGTTAAATCATATGTTTGTTTTTGTCCAAGTTGAAGGAAAAACAAAGACAAACGTATGATTTAACTATCGGTTAACTTACTGAGAAGTTGGAACAACCGGCCCTTAAACTTACATTTTTTGATAGTACTCGTCACGAGTTACGTAAAATAGCGCCGCACACAAATTTTTCTCTTCACCGGAAGTGTCCAAAAAAGAGAAACAAATTTTTTTATTTACCAAATCGTTAATCTAATTTTCCAGTGGACGGAAAAATTTGGGAGGTGTCATTTCTCTCGACAAGCATTGCCGAATGCAGTTCTAAAAGCGTCTACTTTAAATTTTGCCTTATATTTTATGGATCCTCGAAATTAAGCTAAATAACTAAAACCAGAGAGAAAAAGGAGAAGAGGTGTCATGGGCCGCTTTTAGCCGAGCCAAGTGCAAAGCGCTTTTTGTATAAACCAGAGAGGAACGTGAGAGCGGCCAACACGGTGTTTTCGACGACACCGACTTTCCGCACTGGGAAAGGGCGCCATCTGCATCCATTTTGAGAGGGGAACTACGATGTTACATCCACTTTCAAGTTTCAGCGATAAAACCTGTATGTGGTGGCAGTCCGTGCTACATCCGCTTTTAGGCGGTTTATGTCCGTGCTACAACCATAATAGAGTACTTGACAAGCACAGTCTCGCACGTGGTTATGCATTTGTAACGTGAATTAACATGTTAACATGCGCAAAAGAAGAAAAGAATTGAGATTATATATGATTAATATTATGAAGATTTTATACGATATATATTGTATAAATACGGGGTGTCCGGTAACTAGCTGTCAACCCGAAGTGCGAAGGTAGATTGAGTTAAGACAAACATTAAAGTCCGATACCGTCCGATACCATAAACGATACCGTTTTGCGAGATTCGCTATAATTATCGAAATACTAATTACAAAAATTTGACGAATGAGCGCGCCCTGAGATAAATGATTGGAGAAGCATCGTAGCAGAGAGAAGACCATCATTAACGTGAATGTGAATGTAGATGCGAATACCGACAACGCAGAAAAGCGCAACAAAACGCAGGCAAACGCTGAAAAACGCAGAAAAATACAAGAACACAATGAGTATCGCAAAAAGACGAAAAAAACGATGTGGATGTAGATGTGGATGATGTGAATGTGGATGTGGAAGCGAAAACACAGAAACGCCACGTGGTACAAACGGATACAAACGATTCTCTATCGAACCCCTTTGTCCGTTTTAAAATATCTTGAAAAATAGCGGAAGTACCATTTGGCGTTATATGAAAAAGACGGGAAGATACTGCATTTTCGAACCGATTTGAGGTACAAATGAAATGCAAAGTGGTACAAACATATCGTTCTAATGTAAAGAGAATTCGTTGTAATGTTAGAAGAATATTCGACTGTGATTGGTCCTACGAATTCCTACGACTTGCGACTTGCGTTCTGTCTTGCGACAAGTGTAAAACGGGCTTAAACGTGGTCTACAATGACAGTAAGCAGTAAGAAGTAAGCATAAGCGGTAAGAAATAAACCAATCACAGTCGACTATGACAGAAATAATCAACTGTAATTGGTCCATTTCTTACTGTTCACGCTTACTTCTTACTGCTTACGGCCACTGTAGACCACGCTTTATATCATCAACGTCCACTTCAATCTCCCACCCTCGATAGAGTCTCGATGCACGATTAAACGCGAGTTATGAAGATTCAGTTTCCGCGAAGAAACTGTAGTCGGGGAACGTTCGCAGCCGCGGTGGAAGATTTAACGCTCGCGTTCGCAAGGGCCTAACGTTCTACTCGCGAAGGGACGCCATCGTCCCTCTTTTCACAACGGTGTCGGATGTTTAGCTCTTTTCTTCCTTATTTTCCGCGACAACGATACCGCGACGGGGCCCTAACGAGGCAAGTTCGCTTATAACTAGCGTTTATCTCATACGTCTACCGCGCGCGCCTTTGCGATTATCGGTAAATTCAGTTTTCTCGATTGCTCGCGCGATTTCAAGTGGCCATAATATGGCGATAATACATGGCAATGTGTGGCAATAATATATGGCAATAATATACGGCAACAATATATGGCAACAATATATGGCAACGATATATGGCAATAAATATAGCCATAATATATGGCAACAATTCATGGAATATATTTATCGTTATAAAAGTCAATGCAAATTTGCGGCATGCACAATGTAATAATAAAAGAGCTCTCTGTGAGCATTGAGTCAAACGCTCACCGATGATGATATTGATGATGTCCCGTTGCATCCAACCAGATCCATCAATGTTCATCGTCCATGTCCGCTACCGCTCTCCATGTCGCGCAGCGACATCCATCTTGCAGCACGTCCCACGTTGATTGCTACACTTTCCCGACGCGATCGATATTTGTATGAGAGCGGCGATATTTGCGATCAATTAACGAACGTTTTACATCGACATCGGTGGAAACTTTTTACGCACTGCGAAACGGACTCTATAAACTCGATCGGCAAGGAGCAAAAACCGTGTGAAAATTTATCGACTCGTCCAACGGACTTTTACGGCGCTTTTCGCGATCGCATCTGAAAAGTCGCGAAAATGCGAGAGTATCGATATCTACGAGTGAAATATTCGCGACGCGAATGCACGCGAGAAAAGATTAGGCAATCAGAAACCGGTCGCCCCAAGGGAGCGCAAAGAGAAAGAAGCGGGGCAAAGTTTTCACGCATGATGGTTCCTCGTCACGACGAAGCTTACGTTCGCGATACTTTGACGAAATGAGAATTTAAGCCTTCTTTGTTAGTAGCGCGGGTAAAAACGCGTATTTTGATAACCGCGGTCGCGATATTCAAAGGCACGCGAGCGAGGATACCTCAAGCTCGGCGTGCGCTGGCGCAATCTCTGCGCGCATTATACGCTACTCGAGACAACAGGGATCGTGATGAATGGATGGAATATTGCCAAATAATTCTACAGCCTGTTTTGCAAATAAAAGAAAAGTAGCCAACGGTATCGGCATTTATGCGTATGAATATATTTTACATGGACAATTGAATATTAAATCAAATCAAGTCAAATAATTAAATCGTTAAATAATTCTGCGGCCCGCTTGAAAAATAACAATAAAGCAGTTGATGACGGTATCGCGTTTGTACATCGCGGTTGTACACAATATCTCTTATTCAGATGACTGAATATCAAAAGAGAATCATTCACTATTTTAAATCTCGTATGTAATGCAGGCTATCGCGATCAAGTGATCCCCTAATTGTTTCGAGCAATGTATTTTATTCAACGTCACAAACACACACATGCAAGAATCTATTTGCAATTTGCATTGACTCGAACGATATTCTTTAGTCCCACATCCGTCATGCGGAATATTGTTTCTCTTTTCATTTTGACTCACCGAAACGACTTGCAGTCAGAGCCGGCCATGTTCCGCTTCAACTCTGTAACAAAAAATTCACATTCGCTCATTAGATCAGACCAACGAGTGCGGGCGAGTAAAAGAGTAATTTACCCTCTGCGATCGTAATTCAAGTCGAGTCGGAAATTATATCCCAGCTCTGGATCGCCAAGGGTCAAACAGAGGACTACAGTAAACTTGTAAACTTACCTTCAAGCCGACTCTGCTTGGCCCGAATCGGATCCTCCGATGCGGCATCCGCGTACGCCGGATTGCTGTTGCTTTCCGCAACAACTGAAACAGAAAAATAATTTTCCCGGTTAATAACCTGCGGTAGAGAGAGAATATTTTTGATCGGGACGAATCGAAAATACGGAAATATTTTGATAAGGAATTTTTATCTTTATACTTTTGTTCCAACATTGAAAATTTAAATGAGACTTGAAGCTTTCAAGAGAGCTGATGAGGAACAAGTTGCAAAGGCAAAGATCGTAAAGGGTTGAACACAGATGTGTAGGAGACTTCTAAACTTTACCTTCCGACCGACTCTGCTTGGCCCGAACCGGATCCTCCGGTACAGCATCCCTCGTCCGCCGGATTGCTGTTGCTTCCCGCAACAACTGAAACAGAAAAATAATTTTCCCGGTTGATAACCTGCGGTAGAGAGAGAATATCTTTTTGATCGGGACGAATCGAAAATACGGAAATATTTTCATACGGAATTTTTATCTTTATATTTTTGTTCCAACATTGAAAATTTAAATGAGACTTGGAGCTTTCAAGAGAGCTGATGAGGAACAAGTTGCAAAGGCAAAGATCGTAAAGGGTTGAACACAGATGTGTAGGAAACTTGTAAATTTTACCTTCCGGCCGACTCTGCTCTGCCCGAACCGGATCCTCCGGTGCGGCATCCGCATTCGCCAGATTCGCTTCCCGCAACATCTGGAACAAAAATTTAGCGTTTCTGGTTGGTAAGCTGCGATAGAGAAAGATAATGTTTGGTCGGGATGAGCGGAGAATATTCGCTATGGTTTTTTTTCTTTATTGACATTGAAAGTCTAGATAGAACTTGGAGCTCTTGAAAGAGCTGACGAAAAAAAATGACAAGAAGCGGAGACAACAGTTGTGTGCTCTCGAAAATACTCTTTTACGAATGGACATTTAAATTTAGATCCCGTAACGAAAGTAAACAGATTTGAAAGAAACGCTGACCGAAAACAAAAAGGTCGCAGTCTAAGAAGAGCGGTATGACGTTGAATATTCTACACAAGACAAGAGGTATACTCACACAGTTAGGAATTATTCAGAATGTTTAATTGAGAACATGATGAATTAGAGATTCGCGTTCATGGACCGTTATCCGTCTCTGTCTGCATCAATGTATCTTATATATGCTAAAGGTTAAAGTGATAAATTGGTTATTATGCATAATAACCAACAGCTTTGGTTAATGTGATAAAATACATGCAATTTATCACTATAACCGATTATTTTACATAACCAAACTTTATTGGTTATGTAAAATGATAAATGATATTAAGAAAATGATTTTGGAGAAACTTTTGAAAACCGTTTATGTCCAATTGTAATGAGTATTGGCAGAAATACTTCGCACGATATCAAAATGTTACAAAGTTATGAACAATTAAACCTACGCGTAAGTTGCAAGTGCGTTTTGCATCGCGCGCTGCGCACACGATTGTTGAAACCTACGCCTAAGGCTGCGTTCCAATATTCACTGCCAGCACTGAAATTCTATAGTATACGTGACACAAACTATGTATGTTTTCAGTACTGGCAGTGAATTTCGGAACGCGACCCACGTTAAAAGTGCGTAAGCTGCACGCGCGGTTATTAAAACTCACGCGTAATTGGACGCGCACAGCGCGCGATACAAAACGCATTTGCAACTTACGCGTGGGTTTTAACTACAAAAATATGAATAATTTATCAAATTAACCATAACTGTTGATGGTTATTATGCATAATAACCGGTTATTGTGCATAGTAACTGGATTTATCACTTTAACCGTAACATATACAACAACGCAATAAATAGATAGACAGACAGAGATTGACGAGAGTAATTGCAGATTCATAAAGTGTCTATGTTTATTAGTCGGATGATGACGGATCGTGAATGCCGAGCGCGAAATTCCGACTTGTTATTCCCGGAAAATTCGTCAAACTCCGTCCGCTCTCGTTATCGGAGACCTCCCACATAATAAATGATTCCACATACCTGGAAACGTGACCTGGTATCGCTGCCGGCGTCCTCTGCTTCCCGGCTGCTGGAGTCCTCCGAATTTCACTCACTCACGCTTCACTCAACGCCGATACTCGCGATTCGATTGTGCGGTTAATCGACGCAATGCCGACGCGATTGCGATTGAATATCTCGAGGACCGACGAGATATATTTCTTTCAATTATACGAGAGGAAGTGACGAGCGCGTCGCGCACGGCTGCTGCTGATGGAAAGAGGTCGAGTACGCGAGGCACGCGAGTATTAATACGAAGGGCAAAAAGTGTCGTCGCTCGCGAGCCAATCAACACAATCGGCGCGATGTAAACATTGCGCGCGGGCCTCGGCGGCGGTTGAAGCAAGAGAGACTTGCCCAAGGGCAAGTCTCTCTTCTTTTCTCGAAAGTTTCGGAACGACGAGGGGAATGCGGGGAGGCCTTTCAACTCTACGCGACATTGATTTTGCTTTATTTATTGATTACTGAAAATAAAGAAAATTACTCTGTCGAAGCATCGGACATTTGTTAGCTTTATGTTAATTGAAGAGGAATGTGTACGATTAGAAAATGTGTTAGCAACCAATTGTACAGTGTGTCAAAGTTGTTGTGACGCCGTTTTCAGAGAATAATTAAAGGTCATGGTAGAGTTAAAGAGTGGAATTTCATCCCATGCGAATTTTGTCTCGTTCTTATTAAATGTTAAATTATCCCGCTGCGGACAATAACTCTTCTATACTTTTCATTTAATATTCAATGATGATTAATAACATTTAATTGCATTCGTTTGACTTTTTTTATTTCGAAAATAAAAAAATATATACCAGGGTGAGAGACTTCATCCATGACAACATCAACGCGATTTTCTTTGATGCTTTTTTTAAAAGTTCAGACTCATTTCGTCGACTCGCGGGATATTTATAATCGGAGCCTCGTCACGTTAATTAACACGTGCTTCTCCGAGCGAATCGAATGCTCACCGACGGCCACTGTCAGTCCGGCCATGAGCGAATGTCCGGAGCGGACAGGATGCTGAATTGAGAAGCAGGACGAAGGGAACGGGACGCGGGCAACGATACTTTATGCGTCTCCAGACGTGTCAAATTGTTTATTATACAGGAGACTTTGATACGGCAACATTCGAAAATTTAATAGTTAATACGTACTTTTTTTTATTTTTCCTGCTCTTCCCTCCCTCTCCCCTCCTTCCCCCCCGCTCTGTTTATACCTACGGACATAGTCCGGGCATAGAGATGACAACTGTGGTTACAGCACGGACATAAATCTCCTAAAAGTGGATGTAGCTCGGACTTCCACCACATGCAGATTTTATCACCGAGACCTGAAAGTGGATGTGGCATCGTAGTTCCCCTCTCAAAATGGATGTAGATGGCGTCCTTTCCCAGTGCGAAAAGTCGGTGTCGCCTAGGAAGGCGTGCAGTGTTGACCGCTCAGCAGGTTTCTCTCTGCTGATGTCTCCACCTACACATAGCCGGCTCGGTCTATCCATGTGACACGAATAGACCGAGCCGATTACGAGTGGTAAATCAGTAGAGAACCGAATCGTGGACACTGGCGTCGTTAGTTCATCTGCACGGTTGTACAGAGAGCGTTTCGCACTAAAACCAAAGTTTTATCAAAGCTAATTTCGGAACGCACCTTGTATGCATTGTCCATGAAATGGAACGCACCGTAGATCTTAGTAGTACGACTCAACGATAGGATATATCTGTTTATTTTTAAACAGCACGACTCAGCAGATTGGGAAATTCTGATTTTCAGATAGTACGACTCAATAATGGATCAGGCAGACCCTTAATTTTAAGAAAGTGTTTTTCAGTCATTCTTTACTTGATATGTAGGTATCGTAACTAACCGAACAGATACGTAATCTTCATATGCCATCTGCAAGAAGCTTTATACTGTTATTGGTTAGGATCTTTCCCGTTTTGATTAACCTATGTAGAGATATCGTTGTGACTCATACGATGTCAAAGTTGTAATTGTTCTGGCATGTATTGTAAAGTGTCTCATATGTAGTAACATTGGGTAATGTCAAAATTTACAACTGATCGCAAATTACGAATAGACACGAAAAATAATAGAAAATGGCGTTGAGAGTTTGGGGATGTATTCTGACTTGTATTGTTATAAATTTCGGTAAGTACAAACTCACTCTCTGTGTATTTGTATTAATGTGATAACTAATAACGTTCATTGAGAAATTGATTTCTAGTGGCCGGTGAGAGAATAAAGGATATGATTTATATGCCCCTGGAAGGGGTTTCTGCCTGCTTCCGAAGACACAATGGCACACATCAGTTTGGATGCTCTTGTAAGTAACTAAATTTACTCATCATTCATTATTTCCATAATTGTTAGTTTATTGCATCGACTATAAAAACAATTGCTCCTTACAAACATTTACAATTTTTTTATTTACTTTCAGCTACTAGATCAGGCAGTGTAGGCGTTGTACATTTAATTGAAGCTGATAATGATCTTATTTGGATAGAAAATAACGCCACTGCTGGCCCATATACCGTGGTTATGCCATTTTCAATGTTCACCAGAAAGACTCTTGTGAGATTACGAAATATAAATAATATAAACGGAGTACTGTTAGCGAAGAACATCAGTCAAGATCGACCGTCTGATTATTCACCTGAAGACGAATGTCCAAATCGATACTCTGGTTATAAGAAATGTAACAATAAAAAACCGTGGAACCCCTTTGGATCCGCATTGCTCATGGAGGACTGGCCATTTCCCATGTTTTATACAGATGTAAGATTTTGATCATAAAAAAATATATATATATATATGTATCGAGAGCATCAATGTAAAATGTGCATCATAGATAATATTAAGTATTGCAAAATATTGTAATTTTAGAATCAGACTGTGTTGGAAGCCATAAAGTCTTGCTTCTGGACGCATAATGCTCACAATCTCGAGACGCAATATCAGAGATCACTGTGTGCATTGGAGATGAAGTCGTTCATGTATGCTGCCATTAACTCAGAGTCTTGTATAAGACGCACCGACTTCAAGCTGAATTTCAATCCGACCCTGTTCTGCGACCCGCTCGGTGACAGAAATATACATTGGCCTCTGGTGCCTCTCAATGAAAATGACAATACAGTAATCGTGATAACTGCGCGTTTGGACGCATCGTCGCTGTTTGACGGGATATCTCCCGGTGCGGGTAACGTCGTAACCGGGCTTGTGACATTACTCGCCACTGCGTACTATTTGAACTCTTTGAACGCTACTGCCCATAGTAGGTATCAATCTTGAAAAATAGCCGTGGAATCTTGAATTATATATATATATATATAGTGTATGTATGTATGGGTATTTATTCCTGCCATCGTTACATTTAGAGACGAATGTAGTGTTCTCTTTGCTGAACGGAGAGGCATTCGATTACATTGGATCTAGTCGTATGGTGTACGACTTGAGACAAAACAATTTCAATGCTCTCGGTGGAACAAACTTGAAACTCGATGACATCAAGAGCGTGATTGAGTTCGGACAGTTGGGCAAAGGAGAAATATTTCTGCACGTGAACGGTAACGACGACATGATAGGTCGCTTGGAGCAGGTGTTAAACGTCACGTCGACGTTAATCGACAGTGTCCCACCGACGTCTGTGCAAAGTTTCTTGGAGGCAAAACCGAATCTTACGACCGTTGTTATAAGCAATCACGGAAAACAATTTACGAACCGATATTACAACGGTATCCTAGACGACGCAGAGAGTCTCGATTTCCATAGGTATCGCAGTCGCTTCATTCTCGACGTAAATTTCGCGTGCAGCTTTGCGTATATTGTACCTGAAAATTCATTGTCACAGGTGCATATCAAGTTTCACAGCCGAAATCGTGAATTACAATCGCTCTCTCAATCATGTTTCAGAAATAATTCTGGTACGCTTGCAACGGACTTGGCGAGAATCGCTTTTCAAGTGGCTAACGAGCTTTACCGGGAAGTGACGGGAACAGAGCCGCCGTTGCAACCCGATGCACAGTCTACCGTGGAAGATCTCGTGGTGGAGATGCTGCATTGCTATCTGGAGAGCGCTAAGTGCAATCTGTTCCGTGCCGCTTCGGTTCCCGGTGTCAAGTTGATCGATCAGGTTCTGTCGCTGTACGTCGGTGTGCACAGAGCACCGAATGTCGCTACGAGCTTGACCGGCCAGCTTTTAGCCTTGCTCACTGGCGAAAAGCTTTACGATATGAACGAAACAACGTGCCACGAGAATCGCCTAGCTTGGATGGGCGGACCCAATTTCACAGGACTGTGCATAAATTCGACCGTCAATTATAGCGCAGCTGTGAGTCCAGCGTTCATCATTGAAGGTAACGAGATTCATTGTTTTTGCATTACGATACAAATGCTTGATAGATGAAAGATGAAGATTTGTCGAAACGAACATGATTTCTCACGATTACACACTCTCTCTCTCTCTCTCTCTGTATTACAGGATATAACATGAAATCGGGTATATACTCCACGTGGACGGAATCCATATGGCAAACCTTGAGTGTCAGGATGTTCCTGAAACCGTCCGCGGCGACAGAACGTTTCAGTATGATTCTAGGCAGTTTGGTCGCCGGTATCTCGTTTGTATTCATGTGGCTCATATCAAACCAACGTGACGTGATATTTACTCCCAGGTTTGTGCGCGATCGTCACGCACGATGATTTGCACGAATGCTCGCGGCATTAATGCGACAATATTTTGTTTTAGAAGAAGGATTGACTGGTAGGAATACGCCGCGGACCACATATCAATGACTAGCTTAGATCACCATTGTGAATACCAAGGTGTTCTAGTAACTAGCCTTTAATCGTATGTGTGGTACGCCCTCGGATGGTAATTCCTCCTAACATGATAATCAAACAATTTGGAAACCGCGTCATCGTTCTAATTATCCTTATTTATCTCGTTTAACGATGTTTTTCGTGCCTCGTAAATCCTCGACTGGTATAAGTCATTCTTTCAAAGTTAATATACGCAAAGAAGATGCAAATACATTATTTATTTTTAATATAAATTGTGAATTCTTTTTTATCTTTCTGCTCTTCATAATTCTCCGATTTGTATCGTTTGAATTATTTATGAAATTTTACACAAAAAGACATTGAATGCGACGAGTGTGGGGAAACTCGATAGATTAATGGCTTTGTATATATATCGCGTTGATAAGATTTGTAACAATTAAGTTAAGACCTCTTACGAGCAAACTGTGCTTTTGATTATTGATACTAGTTACCTATTTAACGCTAAGAGAAGCAACATGTATATCTGTAATATGGAAAAATACATGAGAGAATCATTCTCTCCATACGTCGGCAGTTTGTTGAGTTTCCGCTTCTTATGAACATCATAAAAGTGTGCAGAATGATTCTTTACAGCGTCTTTCGGTATTTCGGTACAACCGGTGTTAAGACTCAAGTTGCATTTCTGTCTAATAATTTCATCTCATATATCATTACATACTGCTGTTTGTTAAAATAATCATAAAAGAATATGGTTAGATGAAATATATGTTATAACCATGTGTTTAAGTATACAATATATATTTTTAAACCATATTCTTTATACACACACACACACAAACAGACACGCACGCGCGCGCGCGTATATATGTACGTACATGCATGATACGTACGACACATCATCGACAGTATTAATGTAGTTGCGGTAGTATGAATAAAAAAGAAATATGCAAGCGTGATGGCGTTTATTATCGATAAACAACTTATTTAACAGGGCTTTGATGTACACGAGAAAGAAGTATTTAATTTATATATCTATGCTTCCTTTTTTTAGTATGCATGTAAGTATGTAATATGTTTCGTTTACGACGTAAAATTTGGATAAAGTTAGGAATGGGCAAATTTGCTCTTTCACCTTTCTATGAGACGGATTTCGACAGCTGTACAATACAAATATACGAAATTATGAAATGAATTTTCATTGTGTACTTACTTTTACGCATAAATACTTGGACGTTCTGTCACAGAACCTAGGTGAAAGCGACTTGTTAATTCGTAGCGATCGATGCAAAGACGATGTCACCTCTCAAAGTATGCTCGCGCGTACGTAGATTCATCGCGAAGAAATCATCAAAGTCCCCGCGAATCGAGTCTGAACAATCGCGCGATCAACTTCGCCGTTACATTGGAAAGACGCGCTAGTCTCGTTGAACTTCTCCTCCTACCCATTCCTATCTTTCTTCATTTTCTTTTTTTCTCCATTTTAATACTTCTCCTTTAAATCTAGTTTTCGATAGATAAATTTCGCATCGACGTTAATGCGGCGGCGAATGTTTTACTACACCGCGTTCTCCACACCGTACAAGGAGTCCATATGCACGCGTCGTCGTATCTTTTTTTATGCCGACACACTCATGCGAGGAGAAAGAAAAGTTCGTTTATGTTATTTATCTAATGAAAATATGCCAAGTTTACAATATATATACGTCATTGGCTCCTCTCTTGGCTCCGTACGTGCATATGGATGTGAGAAGTCGTTTCCCGCACAACGCACACACACGTTCCCCGACACACGTTCAACCTCTTCGGTAATTAATTTTTACGTTTTCTTCAACTAATTCTTCAGTATACAAGGATGAAGTAGGAGGCTGGGCACCGCCCACCGAATTATCACAGTCGTCTGGTGCCGCAGCACATACGTATACGTGGTTCAGCCTTACGACCTACCTCTTAGTCTAGCGTTATCTTAAGTTCGACTTACGTTCGAAGGATACAGTATAGTCCCGTACGAGGTGGTTCGTTAAAGCAATAATTAAATTAACTAGAGAAACTAGAGATTTGTTTTTCTTCTTTTTGCCTTTTCTCTCGATTTCGTTCGGTACGATTGGTTCGGCTTCGGACTACGATCGCGGGTTTATTGCTCCTTGCAAACGGTCGCGGCGCGCGGAAATCCACCAGCCTCGCCAGCGCGAGCGCGACAACTCCTTCGAGTTTTCCCTTCAATTCGGAAGTGTAATAACGTGTGAGCTCAACACACGCGCGTGAGAGAGATGCGCTATTCCCTCGTGTCAGCTTTACAGCTTTACAGAAAAGTCATTTACATACAGCCGATCGTTTTTATTACTTTAAGCGAACTAACTGTCGCAGCACCGTATATGGAGCTATACTGTCAGCTGTCTGCAACTGATAATATCGTTTTACTCAAGTTTCATCGCAATCGCGGGGATGCAGCGATCAGCGGTATCATGCGATATCACGCGACCAGAGGTTACGAGTTTATCATACGCGAGATGTTCGGTATGTTCGGAAGAAGGAAAAGGAAAGCACACGCACGCACACACGCACGCACGCACGCACGCACGCACACACACACACACACACACACACAGACTGACTGTGCGGCTCGTCCGCACAGTCCATCTGAATCGTTCGAAAGCTACTAATGGAAGCACTCTGTCAATCGGCTATATACATCGGGAGACTCAACGTAAAAGATATTACCATATTATAAGTACAAGAGGAAATGAATATTTGGCTACTTAAGGCAACCTTCCTCTCCGACAGGCTACTCTTCGTATGACACATTTTTTCTGGTACTATCAAATGACTAGTGTAGTTCGGCTTACTTATCGATAACTGATTTACGATTAAATGACACTGTGCGATGCGAGACGGGCGAAACGGAAATGAGATGAACGCGCGCGCGAAGCCGAGGTACAAGTTCCACACACACACACACACATATGTGTGTGTGTGTGTGTATATATATATATTTTTTTTTCTCGCTACTTCTTGATTCTTCTCAAAGGCAAGATGATCGACGATGCTTTATCTACGGAATATAGTCAACCTGGAGCAACTAATCCTCGCTACGTTTATCGTATTATGTCGAATCTAACACTGTAACAAGGTAAAACTGTTTTAACAATTTAAATCTCAATGGACGGAACGCGTGGAAATGATGGTTCAGGAAAGCATAAATACACGCGTGATATATATGTGCATCGGGAAGAATAGTATGTACACGAGTATATTCAGCGAAAACAGCCACAGTGGTTTGTCCGAGTGGATATCGAAACTTGCCGAACTTGCCGGAAGCTCGTAATAAAGGAGCTTCAAGAGCACGCGAAAGGAAAGTATCCCGTTGACAGTAAAACGTAATGATCACATGTAGACAGCCAAGTGTATAAACATTAATATCCTAAAAATGGCGGTACGTCGTCGAATATTCGTCTTTTTTCTTTTTTTCCCTCAAATAAGCATTAGCTTCTCCTTCGAATACTTCGTAATATTTTCATCTTTGCTTTATCTCTCCTTCTCTCCCCCCCCCCTCTCTCTCTCTCTCCCATTCTTTCTCACTAACAGTTACGCATGTAATATATACAGTAGTATCATGTAACGTGCAATACACGTGTAGGGACGACACTTAGAGTTTAAAAATATAATCGTCATATATTTAAAGTATTATATCATCATTGTGTGTTGTGTTGTTGCTGCTGTTGTTATTACTATTATCATTATTATCGTCATTATTATAATTATAATTATAATTAATCGTAATATTAATATTATTTTTATTTTGTTGTTATTATTAGTATTATTATTATTGTTGTTGTTGTTTTTATTATTATTATTATTATTATTATTATTATTATCATGGAGGGACAGCGCTTCGCTATACCACGATACTGCAGAAACTGAACAGAGACTAAACGCGGAAGTTACCACGCTCTTTAATGGCACGAAAAGTACAATGCGTGCTATAAACTATGTACTCATTTAATTTAGAAATTAAGCAAATGTCTTACGTACATGTACTCTTACTCTTTTGCTGATGTGTCACATAATATGTCTAGATTGAAGGAACCTTACAACTTTCAACTAAGTTTCAACTGGCATCGATTTTAGCGTATATGTTATTGCAATCTCATTGTCCATTTTGTGACTTTGTCACATCAAAAATATAGTTACAAAATATAAAGCGGATCAACGAATTCTCATATCCAAGAGATCCTACGCGTTCGCAATTATAATTGCGAACAAAAAGTGTGCAAACACCGACGTCTCGTTAATACAACAATAACGAAGGTTGTAATGGAACGATATTGGAACGGATATTGGAAGCAGTACAAGTATTAGTAATAGCAATAGCGACAGCGATAGAAGGAGCGATAGTACTAATAGTAATAGTAACAGTATTAGTAGAGTAATAGTAGAAGTAATAGTATAGTAGCAATAGTAGTAATAGTAGTGGTAATAGTAGTAATAATAGTAGTGATGGTAGTAGCAATAGCGGTAATGGAAGGAATAGCGATAGTAGTAGTGATACCATTACTAGCGATAATAATAGTGTAGCAATAGTAATAGTAGTAGTAGTAGTAGTAGTAGTAGTAGTAGTAGTAGTAATAGTAGCAGTACCGGTACCGGTAATAGTAATAATAATAGAAATAGTCATAGTAGTAGCAGTAGTCTTAATAGTGGGGTAGTGGTAACGGTAATATCAATCGTAACAGTAGCAGTAGTAACGTAATAATATTGTTCGTGAAGCTAACAGAAAACAAATATTTGATTTTGTCTGTTTTGTTTTATTGTTTTCTTTTTCTAATAAAACGTTAACGTTATATGCACGAAAAACTTGATACTCATTGACTAAGGCTTTTTATCGTAATCAAGATATACAAGGAAGAAGAGAATTTACATCATATTGTTACATGTCGAAAAGAAAACCGATGAATATATTGTTTTAAACATAAGCCGACAATTATGTTTATATATTGAAATAATATATATTTTTAAATATATTATAATGACGTGCTATAAATAACAGTTTGTGTAAACACAATCTTGCATTTTGCTTTACAAGTAACACAACTAAACTAGTAAAGGATCATAATTAAAAAATAAAAAAAGAAAAAAAAACAAAAAAGTCACTTCCTTTTTTGGGGGGGAGAAAAAAAGAAAGAAAAGTTTGAATTTTTATTTTCACTATTTGCGCGTTCACTTAAAAATTTGTCGTCAAAAAATAAATAACATTTCTCATAGCTTAATGCAAACGTATATTCCTATTTCGTTTGTTGAAGTTGTATGTATTTAAGTTTAAGCTGCTCTTTCTAGTACCTACTCAATCTCAGTTCTCGTCTCTGACGTTAATATGTGGGTAATGAGTCGAGGTGAAAAAGGAGTCAAACCGGCTGTATCGTAGAAGAAAAAAAGGAAAAAGAAAAAAAAAAGAAAAAAAAGAAAGAAAGGAAGTAAACTAACGGTCGTAGACAGCAGCTGACGGATGGTCAGAGTATCGAATGATCAGAGAGCGTGATAACCTCTACCCACGTATTCTTAACTCTTGCGCGATTAATTACGTATTTGACAGTTAAAGCGATATCTATTCCCGAATACCTTAATACTGTAATGAGCAACTGGATTTGAAGGTACCGTAAAGAGGTTGACGTTTCAGTGATCGACAGAGGTCAGTGAAGATCATCTTCATCGCTATCGTTACCGTCTTTCGATCTAGCAGCATCCCCCTCGCCGTCGCTGGAGCCCGAATCACTCGCCGAATCTTCGGACTGCCAGCCCGCTTGCTGTTGTTGCTGCGGTGTTTGTTGCTGCACGGCGGTGTGCTTCGAAACCTTGTGACGTTTTCCTACGCGCGGTACCGTTTCCGCGCCGGCGTCCAACATGGGTTGAAGGATCCGTCGACGGGCGTTGATAAACCAATTGTTCACTTGTAACAGCGTTAAATTCGTCTGACTGGCGATCTGACGTTTCTCGTCCTCGGTCGGGTAAGGATGCTGAATCATGACGAAGGATGTAAATCATGAGACTATCGGTCGAAAAACCGAGTGTTACGCAGCGGAAAGAACAATTGACCGTTCAACAGTACTCACTACTAAATGCTGAAAGAGCCACGTTCGCATAATTCCGGTGGCTTGTTTAGGCAAAACACCCCGCTTCTGGCGTCCTTTTCTGGCGCTACCGTGATTACTTCTGTGATTTCCAGAGTGATTCGAAGCTGCATTGCCAGTAGCAGCGCAGCCCTCGTCTTCGTCCTCGCTCGCCGCGGGAGAAGGCGAGCCTGTAACAGTAATATCTAAACACGACCGACGTGTTTGATAAAACAGTTGTGACAAGTGTAGACATGTGTGCGCGATTAGAGTGCGTGTTAGAGAGGAAAGAGACAACACTTTTCTTCGGCTTTGGCGAGAAAGAACGCGAGAAACAAAATGCGAGCGCGCGTTAAACGTGTAAACATGTTACGAGCGAGCGATTTATTTATTATTATATATGTCTAACCGAAATACTTTTCATTGTTAACGTTCCCAACGTCTCCGTATTCTCTTTCTCGTTCTCGCAATGCAACAAGTCCCCAATATCCAGCTTCTTCCAGATATATTCTGTCAGAAATAGTCTGCAGATAATCGATGTCATCTATAAACGGAATATTTCAGAAGAATCGCAATAACGCAACACACGTAGCTGCCGAATGAGAATCTTGCTTTCGCACGTGCCAATTCCGAGAGAGAGAGAGAGAGAGAGAGAGAGAGAGAGAGAGAGAGAGAGAGAGAGAGAGAGGAAGGGAGAGAGAGAGAGAGAGAGGAGGGAGGGAGGGAGGGAGGGAGGGAGGGAGGGAGGGAGAGAGAGAGAGAGAGAGAGAGAGAGAGAGAGAGAGAGAGAGAGAGGAGATAAGAGAGTGGATGATAAAAAGAGGAAAAGTCCGTCGCGATTATGGCCGGACGAGACGACATCATAATTTTCCAATCCGACAATGCGGAAAGCTCACCAACCTGTACTCACCTTGACCAAGATACATATCGTTAACCGGAGCGCATGGATGCGCCCCGATTTGCGAGAGAGGCGTGCTTCCGTGTACCGCGGACGGTGAGAGCGGATCGTCGTGGTCTTGGTTAGTGGATTTGGCCGAACGCTGGGCGGCGGAAGACGATCGGACCGACGACGGTTGGTCGTTACTGATGCTCTCTTCACGCGCGATCTGACTCGCGCCATCGTTCTCCGCCAGGGAGTCCCCTCGGCTCACTCTGAATCCGTTAGCTCCCGACTCAACATCATTGCCTGTAGATGACAGCACCTGGCAAATATATGTCTCAACTAGCCGTCAGAGAGCAGGGATGGGATTCCGTAATATCGGAAGAGATGTACGCTCCACGACGAGCGTGTTTTGCGGGTCCGAGAGACGCCGCGGTTGCGTGCATCCCTTCGACTAAAAGGATATCTACGTTGGTAAAGGGGATAGACAGGCCGGGAGAGCCTCGCTTGTATCGGCTAATTCGGACAAAACGTCTAACCTGCAACGGACTGCTTCCATTGCTCCCACTCGACGGACCCATGTCGTGTCCATGGCTGTAGTCGCTGCGCAGCAAGTTCTCGCTCTGCATCTTGCCCTTCAGACACGTGATGTACCTGTTGCAAAAGTCCTTGCACAACTCCTGTACCTTCTCCAACTCCAGCAGATGGATACGCAGCACCTGTATCGCCTTGATCATCTGTAATGTCGGCGAGAAAAATGAGGCTGACTTTGGCCAACTACGCTAACGTTTTCGTTAGCCGATCGTCTTTTCCCTCGCTCTTTCATTCGTTTGTTCTCACACACTCCGCCGTTGCGCGCTTTTACCGATTACCGATACCGACAAGAGGAGATAAGAGAGAACAAGGGAACGGAGAGAATAGAGTTCACTTTATACAGTTTGCAGATTTCTCGCTTGAGATCAACATGCTTCACATGCTGAACATCGGGAAAGGAAAAAAGAAGAAAAAAAAAAATCAGTAATCTTACCAAACCGTCAATCTCGGGGTCATTGATCAGGAAGGGCTTTCGGTCTCTTTCTTGGTGTTGGACGAAGGCCTGTATATCCATGTTGAAACTTTCGGATGTGGAGTTGTCCGAACTCTGGGTCGCTTGCTCGCATCTTTCGAAGAGTAACGCCAATAACGGGAAGAGCGGATGTTTGTATACGGCCCTCTTGTCAGCCTCGAACTGAGCCTGATCCTGATGAGTCGTATAGTCCGCGACCCCGCTGGCAGGGTCCTGATCGTATCCAGGAGTCACCATCGCTAGCGCAACGGCCGTGTTACCCTCTTGCATCCTGTCGTATATTTGTTATTTTTTCTTTTTGCATGTATCAGTCGTGCCCCTTGATTCCGATAAATCCGCCGCATTTGCGCCTTTTGAAAGCCAGAAAGACAGATCTCACTCACCTATCATTCCTCCTTGACAATCTCCATTCTCGTCCGGATACTCCACGACTCGTTCCGCGCTCGCCTCGCTTCCGCCTCGCTTCGAAAAGCCGGCGGTTACTTTTACTCAAACGCTCGCCGACTTCAAATCCGCTTTAATCCGTCGGTGAACTCTGGGGAAAAGGCGGAACAATTGGTCGTAACAAAGTCGTGAGACAAGCCGCGGTTCATTTAACACAACGATATTTATTCGTCCGCTCGAGAGAACTGCTCTAATTTCCGTCGCTACGAGCGATACACGTTTCGTGAAATTCGAGAGAAAAACGAGAGGGAGAGGAAACTGGGGAAGAAGGAAAAGGAAATACGGGGGAACCGGGGAAAGAGAGAAAAAAGCTACTGTCGCGACGCATCGCGCGTCGCGCCAACAATCGAACGATGCGGCACCGCATTTAAATGTCATCATTAGACGGTGGTGGTATCGGCGCTAGGGCTTCCATCGATTTCGAACATATCTCCCTTCCGACATGAATAACAAATAAAGGCTCTCTTCGAGTCCAGAAGGATTTCGCTCACGTGCGTTTCGTTCGGACTACGTTCGAGACATTTGGACGAATACGCACATTTCGCGTTTCGCACATAACGCGTTTCGAAGATACGGATGAATTCGTGGCGATGAAAGGGAATTACCATACCCATAGAAAACGGACATGCCTTCCGAATAAAGAGATTACACATGCGGCGGCACGAGTAATTGTCAAACGTCTCGACGGTACCTTTGATGATTGGATCCGCTTTCAGATTCCAGAGAATTTGCCTCCGAGAATGTTCCAAAATTTCACCACGATTGCGCCGCCGAGACACGCGAGGAGCGAGGAGAACCTTTCGAGCGGATAAAACACGAGAGAGGTGTTTGTTGCGTGTGCACTATCTATAGGAATAATTATACGTATCGAAACGCGCGAGAGCGAAGGCCGTCGGCGTCGGAGCGAAGAGTCGCAAGCGTGAGTGACGTTTGTGTTATTTAACTCGAAATAGTTAAGTAGTATTAATCGCACAGTGTGGCCTTGCACACACGTGAGCACGTGCCGCGTCGCATTGATATGCGGCGAGGAAAAAGAAGCAGTCTCGAAGAAACGAAGATCGTCTCTACCGGCATTGTTTACTAGCTGTCGATCTCATCCGAGTGTGTCAAGCTGCGCGCGCGATTACGCGCGGCGGCTCGTCGCGGCGCGCAGAAAACCGCGCTACAAAACACGCCCTACGGATGTTGTACTCGCACGCCCGTCAATCGACGAATCCGACCGCGCCTCCTCCTCTTTTCGCTTCTTTCTGTCATTCCACGATCGTCGGTAACGGGTCGAATGATTGCTCCGCTAGCCTACACACATACACACACGGCTACATACCGTTGTTGTATGTCGTTGCGAGAGGAACTCAACGGCGTAGCCGGAGCGGAGCGGAGGAGGAGCCGCGCGGTGCTATCCAGCGATGCTTCGAGAAAGCGACTGCATTCAAGAAATGAGCCGAGCGACGCGCGCTCGTTTGCGGCGAAATGTTATCAGCTGATCGCGCAGCACGGTATCGGGACGGATATACATTCGTCGTCCCGTCCGTACATTGGCGCGCTTCGAAATGCCGTTCGCGTTCGCTCCAAGTTACGCGACACCTGTTTTTACGCCTTCGAAATTGACCGCGGCGTCCTCGCGCGAAGCGCGATCGACTACGTCGTTTTAAACGACGCTCGTTGATCCACCCCGGCTAGGCCGACTGTTTCGCGTAAAAATGTCGGACGGCAGACCGGTCGTCGGACTATGGAGCGGTATTCTGTATCGCGACGATACGTGCACACTCGAATCCGTCGCGATTTCGACACTCGACCTGCCGACCTGTCTGTGACGATCCTTCGCGCCCGAGCGAAAACACCGGTGAGAGCTCCGCGAGAGCTCTTACCGACGAGACTCCAGGGTCGCACCAAAAGACCGAGTCGCGGCACTTACGCCCGCGATCACGCTAATCCCCCAGGGAACGCGCGACCGTAATCCGACGAGTGAAGAACAAGACGACATCGGCGGCATCGTTCGCTCGTGAGTTCACACGAGGACGCGATGATATCCCTCGTGTCTCAGACTCACGCGGTCACGGCGATCGCCGTCGAAGAAAAATGGGCGTTCACTCTTCGCTCTCGGCGTATAGGCTCGCGCACACTGAGAGCGAGACTGGCGGCGAACCTAACCTCAATCGCCACCGAGAACGCGAGCGACAGACCTGTCGATGAAATTTCGAGCTTGTCGGACGTATCGAGCGTTACTCGCGGTTGGTTTTGCTAGCTCTTTTTTCTCTCTCTCTCTCTCTCTCTCTCTCTCACGCACACATATACACACGTATCACACACACACACACGCACGCACACTCTCTCTCTCTCTCTCTCTCTCTCTTTCTCTCTCTCTCGCATCTCTTACCGGTTATCGTGATCGTACAACACTACGCAGCACCTTCGTGTGCGGCACGATACGAGACTGTTGCACTTGTTTTATCTTGTCAGGAATTTTCGGTGCGATCGAACAATCATAGCCGAAAACGACCATCGGAGAGACGACCCGTATTTCTCGCGCACGTGTTTAAGAACGCGCCGCCCCACGAGAACAGTCGAATTATCGCAACGACACCGCCGGCTATGCCTGTCACCCCCGCGTCAGCCCCGGCGCGATCCGCGAGTCTGTTTACCACTCGTTCACGTAGACGATAAATCTAAGTAATCGGACATTTTTCAACGCGCGACCGTCTGCCCCCGTCTACTCCTTCCACCGTCTCGTCTTTTGTGACGTCATCGATTCAATACTTTTCGCGAAGGTTTCTCGCCGCCGCGGTGGCGGCGGTGGCGACGGCGCGGCGAGATCGTGATACTATGGAGTTTCGTCAGATGTCGCCGTGTACGCCTCTCTCGCGCGTTCGTCCCTCATTCACGTCGAGGCCGTCAGGTGGCGCGATGTGCATCGTTTCTCGCGACGCACATCGCGCGTTTGGTCGCGTCGTCGCCATTCTAAAAAAACGGCGTAGGCACATCCGGTGACTCCACCTCCGCTTAAACGGCGGCTTCGAAATTTTTTACCTCGGCGTATGCTTCGTGATGACATGCACGTTTCATCGACAGAATGTACATTTTATTCGGCAAACGGTAAATCTCTTTACGACATTCATATGGCAAGATTATTCGTATTACTTTTAATACACACATTATCAGTATCGTCAACATTGATGTACACCGGAATGTATCCGCGTGCCACATATACACGCACACATGCACATCAGAGGTATTACAAAATATCATCGGTTGCCATTACAAGAGCTAAAGCATCGTTTTGCAATATTATCAGTGAGAGGAGAGCAATACTTTGCTGCTCACCTGCCTCGAACGATGAGTAATTGCGACAACCGAGACTCTAATCTTATCGCAGTACTTTGTTATCATATACGAGAAGTCACGTTGATATCGCCAGAGCAAATCGACTTAACACCGCGAGAGAGAGAGTCAACGCAGTTGACGTACCTTCGTGTCAGATCAGGATGTATCTTCGAATATCGGTCCTTTTATTCGCGATATTCCTCCTTGCGAAGTGTGACAATGTTGCGAATATCACCGTGGAACATTCGAACATGGTCGAAACGGAGAACAAGACAGTCGATGCAGTGCAAAAGTTGCCGAGTTTGTGCAGCGTGTGCAATTGTACAGGTAGATTGAATAAAATTTATCATCCACGAGCTCGATCGAAGAAAGAAACTCAATTTACAAACTCGTTTAACAAACCGACACTTAACGAACTGATGATATTCACTGATATTCAGATGGTAAATAACGCGGGAAGCTTTTTCGGGAACACACAACGCCGCGAAAGTTGAAAATCAAAATCATGTTAAAAGAACAAAACCTAAATATCTTTAGATCGCTACATAAACTGTAGCTACCGAACTTTGGAAAGTCACTTCAACGGTAGCCAATGGCCGAACATGGAGATGGTGGAGGTTTCGTTCGAGGGTAATCTGCTGGTACACGTCACGCCTTTTCCGAAGAGAGTCGTCAAGCGATTAATCCTGCGGAAAAATCACATCGCCAAGATCGATTATCGCGCCTTCAAAGAGCTCGTTAATCTCACCGAGTTAGACCTGAGTCACAATCAGCTCACGTCGCAACTATTGCAGCCGCACGTTTTCGAGGTAACGAAACGACACGTGCAAATTGGTCAATGCACTTCCAACATTGTCGAAAGTCAAACGAAGAGGCGCGAACGTAATCTCTTCACCGTGAATCGTGAATCATCGATCCGACAAAAAGTCGATATTTCGTAATTTCAGTTATTTGATCAGTGACTAATAATCGTGAGTTTCATTGATCAAATATGTAGTTGTTGATTATAACGACGAAAGTCTGCTCGTACTCGTCTGATTTTATCTTTACGATTAAAAAAAGATGAAACAACGAATCACTTCTTCCAGCAAGAATTTTTCGTCTGATCTCGTAATATGAATTTGAATGCTTCATTGCATTTGAATGCACATTCTTAAAATGCAATTGCGCAAGCACAATTACGCTTCTACGAAATCGATAGATATAGAACTTCTAAGTTCTGAGCGACAATAGAATCATCATCGAATGTAAATATAGAATTTTTCCTTTGGAAAAAACGGCAGCCTTATTTGTTTATTTATTTATATAATTTTATAAGTGCTTGTTTATAGATTATTATTTCACAAAACAAATTTCATGGGCAGATCTTGAGAAATCATATCATATTTTCCTCTTTCCTCTCTTTTATTTATTTTATTTAACCATCTCTACCGCGCTATCTCGCGAAGCGAATTAATATTTCCGAACGTTTTCGCAGGGCAGGTTTTCGCCTGAAGCGTATGAGCCTTTGTCGAACCTGAAAACCTTGAATGTGGCTAATAATTTACTCCAATGGCTACATCAGAGTCTATTCGAGCACCTTGTCGGCGTGACGGTCTTGAATCTCTCTGGGAATCCTTTCAAAGTGTTCGACTATCGTACGTCCATAGCGATCAGTAGCTTATCGTACTTGGAGGAATTGGACATCAGCTATTGCGAATTAAAGAGACTGCCAAATTTTCAGTTTCATAATGCCAAGTAAGAAACTAAGAACAAAGAAAAATTATAATATTGTTCGTGAGTAACGATAACATGCATGCAAAACTGCGTACCGCGCAACCAATATCTTTTTAATCACCTATTTTACTGACTTAGGTATTTAAAGAAATTAAATATGGCTGGCAATCGATTCGTTGATGTGCCCGCGCCTTTGCAAGGGGCCGTAGCATTGGAGTATGTTCGTCTGGATAACAATCCGATAGAGGTTATCGATCACGTGAACACCTTTCCGAACTTGACGAGATTGAAGGAAGTCAGTTTGTGCTACATGTCGAATTTGACGGCGATTGAGAACGGCGGATTATCGGAATTAACCAACTTGGAAAACCTCTACATACAAAATTGTCCGAAATTGAAGAAGATCAACGATTATGCATTGGCACAGAAGGTACATCAGAGCGGACATAATTGCACAGAACATACGATATAAAAATCACTATGATTCGTAGTTGTCCGAGGGCACGATGTGGCCGCCGTTAAAGAAATTGGATATATCGGATAATGCTCTCCAATATTTGCCGGCCATGCTCGTAGGCAGATGGGACAACCTCGAAGAATTGGATCTGATGAACAACGAATGGAGCTGCGATTGCAATAATCAATTTCTGGTAAGTTGCGGCAATCACGGGACGCGCGCGCGATCGGAAGCACAATCGGTAAAAAAAGATTTTCATCGTTTATAACTCGCGTAGCTCGCGTGCGTTCGAGCTACGCGTCCGAGTTTCGAGGAGGGGTTGACTGCGTTGACAAGTGACAAAAACGCATCCTCCCGTAGGTCGGCACTTTGCTACCGAATTACGGTAAGCAACTGATGGGAGATGAAGTCGGCGAGCTCACCTGTTTCGCACCGCCGGAACACAAGGGAAGAAACCTCACATCCTTGGCGAAGTGGCATCTACGCTGTTTGGATTTGTACGACGCGCGACCGGAGAGAGACGCCGCGATACTCGTGGGTATGATGATCGGCTTGCTCGTAGTGATTCCGATCAGCTTCGCGTTCTTCATGTTGTGGCGACGCGGCTTCTTCTTCTGCGGCCCGCAGGGTCCTGCCAGCTTCTCCCGTGCCTTTTACAAACGTGCGTCCAACGATGACGATATTTAATTACTATCCCTTAATTACTAACGTAGCCATTCCATGTATATCCTTGATATCACGTTGATCGCATCACTTAGGAACGAACAAGTTTGTATTTATTGTTAAGTTGCAACGGAAATAAGCATGATACATCCAATTGATCTAGTCTAACGTCTAACGCTTCGAGTACGTTTTTGTTTTGTCTGTTCATATAATTGATCAATTCATTGTCGTTCGACCTTTGTCTTTGGCGTTTCTTTCCAGTCAGTCCATATACGAATTTATCCATCGAACAACATCGCGTAGGTGTGTTCATTTTAATATCGCAGCGCCTAAATAACGCAACAACGCACGCATATTTGTATAAAAATACAATTTTTATGAAATGTCACCGTATGAAAGATTTGATCGACTGGAATGAAACGCGACGTCGAGTCGCGAAGGATTAAGATATTGTAAGTAACGCGATGCTCGTACCTCGAGGGAGCGAGTATGCTTTTTTGTCTTAATGAGTATTAAGGGAACGTAGATAGATAATATATCAGCGTGTCTACGTAGTATACGCATGCACGACATATTACGGTTCAATAATAAAGAACTCGAAAATCAACGTGCTCGCTTGGCCTCTCTCGCCTAACGAGTCCCTGGAGGATTCATCATCGAAGTCATCGTACATCAGGACGCGTTTTTGAGCGCGTCGAAACCCAGGACGATGGATTTTCGGCTTTACAAGCGAGCCGGAGGGCGGCTCTGTGCCGCTGGTAAATGCGTCGAGGGAGCGAGGCGAGGCGAGGTGACGCGACGCCGAGCGGCGCGACGCGACGCAAGCGGACGGACGGATGGACACGCGCCGGTAACGCAATTACCGCGACGTTAATTTACTCAATAATCGCAGAAGCAACCCCGTCTAAATGTCGGCACGCGTCCCTCGACCCTAATCATAGCCAGCCGTCGTCGATGCCCTATACAGACACGCATCTCCGACATCGTCGGTGATTCGAAAAGCCATCGAGATTAACGCGACCGAAATACGCTATCGTTCAACTAGAGTTCTCTCTCTCTCTCTCTCTCTCTCTCTCTCTCTCTCTCTCTCTCTCTCTCTCTCTCTCTCTCTCTCTCTCTCTCTTCAGTTTTCCTTCTTTTGTCTCTTCTTTTTATATTTATTGATTGTACCATTGCGCTGTTTGTGAGATAGAGAAAGCGAAATGTCGCATGAAAGACGGATATTTAATAGGATGCCTTTAGCGCGTGTACGCTCTTCGATTAAATTTGCGCCGAGCTGGTTGTTCTGTCTATCGCCCATGGACCGAGATATGGATGGTTTAGGTGCGTTACATGCGTGTACCGCCATTTGGAAAGCGTGCGCCGTGTACATGATCCGATAAGTAATTTAATCTCGCGTTTCTGCTCGTCCTCCCTTCGAAGATTCAATACCGACGCGGCTCAGCGCGGCTCGGCTCGGCTCGGTTCGGCGCGGCGCGGCGCGGCAGGCGAAGCGGTGTGTATCGACCATGCGGAAAACTTAACTACGTTCGACGATGCACACTCCGGAAGTACGAGATGAATCGGAGCTCAAACGATTCGTCGCGCGTACATGAACGTCGTCATCGGGTTTCCTCCTGTCTCCGCTTGATTTCCCAACGTCTTTACCGTCCAGGACAACGATACCACTGCAGAAATGAAGGTCGTTATCCGTGCAGATCGGGCGAATCGTACCCCTTATTACGGTGTACTCTTATTTCTCGCGAGCTAGCAGACGCTGTGAACAACGCGTCGCAGTGCTAACGTGGATGGCTATACCGGAAAGAGTAAGGGTTTTCGGGACGTACTCTTGTACACGCGACACACACACACACACACACCCGTGCCATTATTATCCTACGTGCGAGAGCGCGAGAGGGCAGAATGGAGAGAATCGCAGATACAGAAAGATCCGTCCCTCTTCCACCGCCGCCGTCACCGTCGTCGTCACCACCGCCGCCTCCGCCACCTCCGGGTCCACCGCCGTCGCTTCCGCCACCGCTCCCCGTCCTCTCCGGTACGGTACGTACCGGAGGATACATGAATACCCGAGCGCGTGTCCATGGAAACGAATGACGAGGACCCGCCCAGGGACCAACGCGGAGCCAACCCAGACGACGACGAGCGTCGCGACGCCGGCCAATGCGGACGCCAGGCCGGCCTTGGATAGTCGGCCGCGAGCTTCGCTACCCTTCTTCGATGGTACCAACAGCTACAGCGGGCAGGGAGGGGTTGCCGATGATCGCGCGCACGGGGGTTGAATCGCCCTGAATCGCGCGCACCGATACTGCCTAAAACGACGGTGAACGACGGCGAACGACGGTGAACGATAACGACGACGACGACGACGACGACGACGACGACGACGACGACGACGACGACGACGACGACGACGACGACAACGACGACGACGACGACGACGACGACGACGACAACGACGACGACGACGACGACGACGACGACGACGACGACAACGACGACGACAACGACGACGATGACGACGACGACGACAACGACGACGACAACGCCGCCGCCGCCACCGCCGCCGCCGCCGCCGCCGCCGCCGTGTCCTCGCGACTTACGTCCATCAAACGTCGTGCGATCCGCGGCGATCAATTCGATTTCATCGGGACGCTCGTGAGGATAAGCGTCGCCCACGACACCCTGTAGCCTCGGCTAGAGAGAGGGTGTTCTTGACACGCGTCTGTCTCAACTTGCTTCACGTTGACGGGAGCAAAGTGACCGAGAGTGATACTATACTATACTCTTCGCATTCGCGCGTTCGCGCGTGTGTCTTCGCGTCCGGTGAACGTGAGTTTAATTGATCGAACCTTCGGACGATATCCGTGATATCACGCGGCATCCACGTCGGCCGAATTTCGAGCGCGTACCGTAAATGTGAAGAGAGAAGACTTTCGCGCGCGCGCACGGAGAGAGACTCCGAGAGAAGCACCGTGTCGCTCTGCTCCTCGCGAGAAGAAATCCTCCTCAGCGACGCTTGGTGCAAAGTCCTCGCGAATCGAGCTCTCGAGGCCGAGGACGGGGCACCCCCGGTCGCGGAATCGCTCGTTTTGCTCCGATCGTTCGTACCGAAACCTCGCGACTCCGCCAAGGCGAGGATGTAATCACGTCGAATATCCGCGCCAGACGTCTCGCGTAAACGTCTCGCAGCGTCGCTGAGCCGAGCGAGAAAAAGATGCAGTCCACCTGCCAGCAGCAACAAGCTCAGCCAGGTCAGAACGGTACTTCCGCCAGTAGGACGTCGTTCCTCATCGAGGATATCCTTAGTCGCGGCACCGTGACTCCTCACTCGCATCACCATCAGCTGCACCATCAACACCTGACATCGACTACCCTCGGACACGGTCAGCATCATCAGTACCAGCAGTTCGCCAGTCTACTACCCGGCTATCCTACGGCGCCGCCCGCCGCGGCGGCCTTCTTCTTGGGACCGCTCTTCGGTAGCACTGGCATGGGGGTTGGCGTGGTGCCGGGGGTCGGCGAGCTGGCAGCTTTGAAGCATTGCCGACGACGGAAAGCTCGAACCGTAAGCATACTCTTTCATTTTCTCGCGAAAACTACTCTCTAGCCGGATTCTCGTCGAAATAAACGAAGATCCAGCCTTTCTTCGCACGATTCTGTCGAGTTACAAACTTTTAGGATTCGAGTTGCTTTCATCGCGATTCAATTTGATCGAATCAACCCTCATTTGGCCGTATAGTCGTTCACCGACGCAAAGTATCGTGTGTGTATCGAATCTAAGATTGAATCACACACACACACACACACACCACACACACACACACACACACACACAAGTTGAAATCGTCGATTTGAGTAAGTACAAGCTCGTGTTGTAAGTCGACGCAGAATGCAATAATGTTGATCGCACTAAATGCAATCAACAATCGATCTTTACTCTACGACGTGACGGTGCGTAATTTAAATCGAATGAGAGGATAATAAAGGATCTAAGAATAGAGGTCTAGAGGAATTTACGACATGAACGAAAGCTGAGTATATAGTTTATTATTAGTTGTCAAACCGACCCTTTAATCTCAGATTTATTAATCCAAACAAATTGACTTTATTTCTGATTAATAGAATTCCTTTCATCAACCGTTCATTCATTTGTTGTCGCAAAAACTCGGCTTTCTTCTAGTCAGTTGACAAGAGAAGAAAAGTTTGTCTCCTAAAAATTTCAGGTGTTCAGCGACCAGCAACTGGCAGGACTGGAGGCCAGGTTCGAGGTGCAGAGATACCTGAGCACACCCGAGAGAGTGGAGCTCGCGGCCGCGTTACATCTGTCGGAAACGCAAGTGAAAACGTGGTTCCAAAATCGGCGAATGAAGCACAAGAAACAGCTGAGGAAACTGAATACGAGCACCGGCAGTAACAGCAATTCTGGACAACAGCCAATCTCCGTTACATCGCCAGCCGGTAAGTCGTGTGTTTGTGTTTCCTTTCTTTTTTCCTTGCAATTATAAATACAGTCCGTGGCAATTGAATAAAATGATATTTTATCGATGCGCTCGGACGCAGAGGATGAAAATGTAAATCGCCAGGACCCGCATAATTAGCGCAGTAGCGTTAAATAGCGTCGTTTTCGTATAGCGCTGCGAGAGAGCAGAATTTCGAGCGTGAGATGGATTTGGAACGGTTCTAACGAGGGTTACAACGTTATTAAATGTTCCGATAATGCTTAAAATTTACCGGCGCACCGTGTCGGATAATATGCACGCGCGACATCGCGATCACGGTATCTACGGAATTTTGCATCGACTGGTCCCCGCAACGTGCAATTACCGCTAAATACGCGTATCGACTTTTCGATAAACAGCTGCGAGCAGTATTCCCGCACCGCGAGTTCATTAACTTGGATTAATGACACTGTGTCCTAGATAAGCGATAATTTATGAATGGCTGCACTACTACGATAAAAAAAAAGACTATGAGAGAGGAAGAGGAGAGGGGAGAGGGGAGAGAGAGAGAGAGAGAGAGAGAGGAACATTTTATACGCGTACGTTACTTTTATGTTGGGTTCGAGCGCGGTGCGCAAAATGTACGATCTCTAAAATAGCGGCGTCCGATCGAGAATTTATCGGAGCGCAATGACGACAGCGCAACCGTGCACGCGAATACGCGCGGCGAAATGTTAAATAACGTTAATACGTCGATATGTTTATACGAAATAAACTGCGCGCACCGAGTCCGCGTCCGCGCGTAGGACGCGACGCGACGCGGCAGTCGGGGATTAATCGGCCCATAGTTATCGGGGGTTAATCTGCCCAGAACACGAAGCGGAGAGGCGCGGGACGGCGCGTTATAACCGTCGGTTGTCGTTAAATACTTCCCCGTTGTCACGCTAATGCACGATATCTGTATAATGCAACCAAAATACCGCTGACAATAAATTACGCAAGTTCGGCTTAACTAGCCAGACCGTAAGCGTGGTTGCGTTGCGAGGAACTATAATCATTAACAGTACCTGCCTGCATAATGGTCGCATTCCGTCGTAGATATTACCACAATTGCTCGCCGGGTTAGGCAACATGTCGCATGTTGCATGTTGCATTGCAAACGGAGGATACGGAGGACACGCGCCGGAGACGACGGAAGAGAGGAGAGACCGCGGCGGCGGTGATAGCAATCGTTTCGAATGAAATTATTCTTTACTTTGCAGACCGATTAACGCGCGAACCCGATGCTGTTTTCAGTGGATTTTATCGGTGTCGCATCTGGATAGGCATTCGTTTCGGAAGAACAAATGAATAGAAGACCAGCGCAATTTCAGCCGAAATTTACCGAAATCGAAAGTCTGTAGATCGTGCGGTTGCGAGACATCGTCGGACGAGACGTTAGTGTTGTATTTCTTGGTTAAAACATCTCTTGGCTAAAAACTTTTTTCTCGAAGATACCCCAGAAAGTAATTCGAGTTAGCTGTCGTCGCAGTATCATATCGCGAGACGACGCGACGTCTCGAACGATTTAAATGGTTTGGTCCGATATTGCATTCGTCTGCAACGTAAGTTGCTCGTCTCGGTAGACAAGATGGCTTCGTTCGGTGGGAAGGGCTAACCGAGTTACATAGACGTCTCCTTGGCAGCAAGCAAGAAGGAGGTATCGACGGCGGGAGAGGGTGGAAAGGGTGGCACACAGGCACACGAGAAGACGAGAGCGCCTCGTCGACCGTCTTTAGACTCGAGTGAGCTATGTAAGGAACCCGGGAGATTCGTTCCCTCCTTCGACGCCTCTCTTTCTCTCGCTGTCTCGTTCCGACTCCCGTCTTGATGAAAATTGCTCAATTACCCGCTAAGTGCTCGGTCAGACCTACATTCTTGATTGTTCGCCACTAAGGGCTATCGCGCGCAAAATCGTCGAGTCGCGACCCAATTTTTGTCAAGCGAGACTACCACCCCCCCTCCCCCCCCTCGCGAAAGCGAGGACGAAGGAACCTTAGGAAGCCGGAAAGGCTTCCTAACTTTGCGCAATTTCATCACAATGATTCCCATCACGGATCAAAGCAAAGATCGATCTCACGCGCAATTCCTTCTTTTTGTACGAGCCGTCAACGACTCGATTTCATCATTACTCGTCTCACTGATCGTCGATGATCGTTCATTCGTGTTGACAGAACGCCCTGTTGATTTCTCACTGAGTGGCGGCCGCGAGTCTCGCGCGAGCAGCGACGCGCCCGCCGATTCCGACGACGAGGACGATGACGAGATCGACGTGCTGGGCGATGAGACGCCGTCGCCGACTCCGACGCCAACCGCGACGCCAACACCGGCGCCGGCTCCGACCCCGACCCCGATGCCGATGACGATGCCTACCCCGACGTCCACGATGATGCCGACGTCGACGTCGACGGTCTCGACACCGACACCATCGACGCCGACGCCGACGCCGACGTCGACGCGAAGTACCGTCTTGCCTCCCCTGTCCAGACGCGGCGGCACGCCACCGAGGATCCTCCATACGACGATTCATCCGCATCCACATCCGCACTCGCACTCCCATCCACACCCACACTCGGTCAGCTTGCACCATCAACCGCAACACGGCCAGCATTCCGCCCAACAACGTCAACACCGCTGAGGTGACGTCGTAATAAAGGATAAATCGAACCGGCCGTTTCTTGCAAAAATCACATAGAGGCGAGAGGATGATCTTCCGACGACGACGACGAAGATGACGATCGGATCGCATGTCGTCATCGGAAATCGTAAAGTTTACCGCGCGTGTGATGATCACCGTGCTAGCCGAATGGGTGGAATTCAGCGGAGAGAAGAAGAACCACACCCAGTTCGGGCTCGAGGACATAAAGAAAAAAAAACTCGTCGTTTTGCGTCTTTGAGAGGTATTTATATGAATTAATAAAGGAAAAACGGGAGAAAAGAATATTGAGGAGAATATCGACGGCAATTGACGAGAGAGAGTTGTTCGAGAAGAAGGCATGATCTCGCACGGAGAGAGAGTCGCGTGAAGATCTCCTCGTTTGCTATAACGTATAAATACGGAGCTCCGCCGCTTTCCGGTTCTCATACAAATCTACTTTTTATAGGAAAATACAGTAACAAATATGGTGTTTGGTCTCTTGTTACTTTTTAATAGCGAAGTGTAAAGATAGGCCGTGGTTTCCGTTGAGAATTAAACTGTCATACTCTAACGCGATGTGCGTGTCTATGTGTGTGTGTGTGTGTGTGTGTGTGTGTGTGTGTGTGTGTACACTTGCTTTCCTCCTCGATCTTTTCTCTCCCATTTACGCTTACGGTAGTTACGAGTGTTTTCTCCCTCGGAGAGATCGGCCGAGTAAAAACGCTCTTGGAGAATTATTCATCGTGATTCAAGGCTTTGGAAGGACAGGGATCCGACGCGTCCGATCGGCATTGACATTTCATTGCGTCGTGGGTTATGAGTCACGCGCTCTCGTCGAGTCTTCCTTCATAATCGTCTCGCTAATCGTCAACGCGACATTTCACAGCACCTTCGGCTTCGGCGGGTCTGAGATATTGTCGAGAGCTAACGAAGCGTCAAGGCCGAAGAGGCGAGAGGGAGGACTCGACGTCGAGTCGTACGGCCGTACGTGCGTGCCATTTCTCTCAGGTGTTTCACTATACGAGGATCAGGATCGATCTGACTGCGCCGATAGCAGACGTAGCTCGCGCGGCGTCAAGATCAAACCGTGACCGTGTCGTGGCTCCCTCGAAATGGCACCACCTTCGTTAACGATCGCGAACGTTTTCACCTACCTACCTACCTACCTGTTGCAGGACGTTAGATCGGCGGCGAGAGAGTGTGCCTATCTTGAAAGAAACGATATTCTAGCCCAGAGATAGTGGATTTTCCAACGAGCGCGCGCGTTGTATAGGCGACGCCTGTGGGGCACGTCGTGCTTCCAGTTGGGGTGAATCCTAATACCCAGATAATGGGAAGTAATTGCGAGGGATCAGAGTGAGCGAAGCTACTCTGTCGGCTGTCGGTTCGGTTCGCGGGGCAGCGGGATGCGTGTACAGAGAGGGAGATAGAGAGGAAGAGAGGATGGCGGCGTGGCGCCGCGCCACGCTTCCCTTCCTCTCGTCTCTCGTCTCCTCTCCTCTCTCTTTCCACGCTTCCCTTCTCACCGTAGATTCGCGGAGGGGTGGAGAAAGAGGACGAAGAGAGGATCGTAATCGTGTTATCGGGACGAAATCATGAGGTACATTCTCGGATATACATCGGATAGATGTGCGCGTCGAGAGAGAGAGAGAGAGAGAGAGAGAGAGAGAGAGAGAGAGAGAAAGAGAGAGAGAGATCGCGTACGATCCTCATTTCTCAGGGGAGAGAGAGAGGGGGAGAGAGAGAGAGGTGAAAGAAAAACAGACAAGATTGATGTAAAAGTCGCTTATTATGTATTCGTTGCAAGAGCGATCCCGAGATATGCTCATAAGCACATGTGCTTATCCGAGACGCGTAACGTTACGCTAACTTATCGCTGAATCACATGGACACGTGTCAAAAGCGTGCAGGGGCGGGAGCGGGGGGAGAAGCGGGTTGCCCTTTGATGCGCGCACCGGGAAGATGCTATCGCGTCATTCGGCAGAGGAAGAAAGGCGCCGGCTAGCCAGGTAAGCTCGTAAAGTAATGAGATCACGGGACCATTTATGACGTTTATTAGATTCCGTTAAGACGTCTATTATTACGGTACGTAAATAAAGGGGGAGAATTCGCGCCCCTCGCCGTAGGAGCGAGGACTGAGCGGAATGCGGCGAAAATAATGAAATAAAGGACAATGAAGTGGCAGGTACAATGGCCAATAGAGCAGAGGACGAACAAGGCGCCAGCGGGCGGCGTGTTACGAGTCTCGTTCGCGTGGAAGGGGTTGCAACAAGGGGTACCAGAGAGGCCGCGCGCTTCAGTTCGACCGGCTAAATGCAGTGGGCGTGTTCCCATTACTTTCATTATTTTCAGTCGCTGGGCTTTGGTATCGATGCGAACGAATGCGTCCTGCACGTGTGTATACGTAACGCGGGCAAGGTGTCTACGAGTTGCGAGGCTTCTTCTCCTCCTCCTCCCCCTCCCCCTCCTCCTCCTCTCACGTCGCGATCGTTGCAAATCGATCGACGATTACGACGGTAATTTGCGCGCGCGATCGGTCGGATCACGGATTAATCTGATCCGGCTGACAAGTTGCGAAAGTAGCACGAGTTTGCTCGCGAATCGCGATAACTGAACAACACCGAACGCACTCGGAAGAGCGACAAAGAGGCGACGGTCGTTGCGAGGTCTGCGAGGGTGAAGCGTTAGCCTAACAAGCTGTCAAGACGTCGCCGCGTGTCAATCCGCGGCTCTCCGACGACCCTCGAAATAAAGCTGCCTAAAACCTTCATCTATCGGGCTATGCGGACGGAGAGAGAGAGAGAGAGAGAAAGAGAGAGAGAGGAGGGGGAGTGAGCAAGGGAGAGAGGGAGAGTTTTCAGTCGACTGCGTGCGCCACGTGATTGTGTTATTTAAGTGAAAATTCCTGGTTAATCATACGAACATGCACTCCCATACGAAGATCAAAATCGAGAAAGACGTTGACGAGAGAGAGAGAGAGAGAGAGAGAGAGAGAGAGAAAGAGAGAGAGAGAGAGAGAAAGAATGAGAGAGAGAGAGAAACAGAGAAAAAGAAAAGGAAAGAACGTTCGCACGTGCAGAGACACAGCGCAGCGGCGTTACTGCCCACGTACCGTTTAACTCGATCACAGTGGCAATCTGGCCTCGTTTCAACCTCCGGTTACTACGACGCTTCCGCTAACAAATAACATTGTCGTCGACCCTGCGGGGGCGTCCTGATTCGATTTGCGCACCGTGAAAGCGCGCTCGAGGAAGAGAATGACGAGATAGCGTGAGAAAGAGAGGGAGGGAGAGAGAGAGAGAGAGAGAGAGAGAGAGAGAGAGAGAGAGAGAGAGAGAGGGAGAAGCGACACGCCACGCGGGAAAGGGAATTCTACATCGAGAATGTTGTGTAGTTCTTTCGTTAGTGGATTTTCAGACGACTCGACGGCCGATTGTTCAAAAGTGTTCGCCCGAAATACTCTAGTCTATTTACGCAAACTTGCAGCTCAACTGCAAAGACGACGCGCGAGCTCCCTCTCTCTCTCTTTTGACACTCAACAAGAGATCCCTATCTACACGGCGTGTTTAAAAATAATTGCCGCGGTAGATTCAACGATAGTCACGGAGTCGCCCTTACCTCGACGCTTCCTGGCCTCTCGAGTGGTCCTCGTTCTACGATATAAAGGCCGACTCGGCTCCCCTTCTGCGAGTCCTCGCGCCTCTTCCGGCACCGGTCGAGTGGCTCCCCCCACTTCTCTTTTCATCCACTCTATCACAGCGTTTAAAGAAGTAAAGACTAAAGGCCCCTCAGAACGTCGAGAGAACTTGCCGCTTGGGCTTCAAGATGAACCCGCTCGAAAGCAGCCGAGACTCGATGAGAGACTTCGGAGGGAGACCTCGACCGCGAACGGACGGAGTGCGGTTACCGTAACGAAACATCCGTTTGTCAACCGGAAGTAAAGACACTGCGTCACGTTTCGACGCGCAACCGAGTGAACTCCCGCATCTCACTTCGAGGAGCGTCGATCGATCGATCGATCGATCGATCGATCGGCCGACCGACTGATAATCGCGCATCGCGTCTCATTCGACCGACTGCCGCGTTCGGTTTCTTAACAATTATTCAAATGCCGTGTGAACCATTGCGACGCGAAGATCCACGAAGAAAACATCCTTTCGATGTGTGTTTACAGCATTTATATTTATTTTTTACGTACAACTTGTATATATTATAATTGTAATCGACAAACAGAGAGTAGTCTCTCATATATAACGGAAACAATTATTACTAAATGCGATTACAACTAAGGGAACGGGAGGAGAAGGAAAAGACGGATCGGGCAAGGGGAAGAAGGGAGGAGGATGGGCGAAAACGCGCCCGGCCATAGTTAAGGCGGTGTGAGAGCCTCCTACATTTTCAAAAACGAGATTACTATTAGCCTTTGAATATTACAGTTAGTTAGTCTTTGTATCGTTTTACGCATCGTGGGGGAACGTTACTTCGCTATACGGCGATTATAATTGTCGTTTCGTGTCGTCTCGGTCGAGGGTCTCTATAAGGATATATAGTCTACAACTATTGCGCGAAACCGCAAGAATCCTCAACTTATTAAAAATACACATCGCTCCGATGTATCATTATTGCGCGTCGTATTGTGCACAAGTATAATTAGGTACCTCGTTTGTTAGGGAAAATTTTGTATGTGTGTGTGTGTGTGTGTGTATGTGTGTGTGTGTGCGGAATGGGAGGGACGGGAGAGGGAGCATGGCGAGGAAGGAGGAGGGGTTTGTTCTTTAGGCATTTTCCTTTAGGCGCTATAGATACCTTTTTTTTCCTAGTTAGGCCATCGCTATCGCCGGAATAAGAGTAGCCAAGGAAGCGACTATTGAATCTCTCTAAATATTTCGTCGTTAACCGTTAATTAAACGTCAGTAAATATATGCGCTATGTGTGCATGCATGCTGCTTACAGACATTTTTAGACATCGATGACGACAGAGACACGAACAAGGGTTGCGATGTTTCGTTCGTCGGGAGACGCTCGCGGGGTAGCTCAGCTCGTCCGAAATCGACGATGATTAATCATCAATTAATCGCAAAGCACGCAAAGCACACGAGCGATCTCGGCGAAAGGGACAAGAGATTCGCTCGCGGTTCAAAATTAACTGGACTGTGTCGCACTGCGTTAAACCGAAAGGAAAAATTAACACGCGTAAACAATAATTTTGCGTGATTCGTCAAATTAAATGCTTCGATTTGCAAGAGATCAAAAAGCACGTTTTCGATAGATACAGCTCTCTGTCTCTCTTTATCCTTGTCTCTCTCTTCTCTCTCTCTCTCTCTCTCTCTCTCTCTCTCTCTCTCTCTCTCTCTCTCTCTCTCTCTCTCTCTCTCGCTGTCGAGTATTGGATTAAGATATGTGGTTTGCTCGCTCGCGTTGCGTCTAGGTGCGCAGGAGAGGCAACGACGGGAGCACAGCTGAAATCATAATTCGATAACTGTGCCGCAGTCTTATTTGAACGGTTTTCTTTCGAAACCGCGCTTAAAGAAAAGGAATAATGTTTACCTCGTTATGTCTTTGTGAAAAGAAACAAAATTTTTGCGCATAAAGATAACATTCTTCCTGCCTGTCGGGGGGCGAGTGCGATTAAACTCGCTCGAAAATAAATAAAACTATCAACACAAAACTAAATCTTAATCAGCATATAATTTCGACCGTAATTAACGGTAAAAAGTGAAGTGTAACGAGAATGAGATGAGGTGAAGTGACGTGGAGGTGAGGTAGCTAAACAGAACTACTGCTTAGTCCGTGTGTGTAATGAAAACTTATATTAATACGCGAGGCCAACGGCACGCTAAACGCTCTGAACGCTTATTTCTCAAGCAGACGCTTTGTTCGGACAGTAATCTTGATTTCAAGCGAGCTTTCATCATCGATAAGCGCACTGTTATAGAAATGAATACGTTATGTATGTAAACTAATCGAAATAATCGGCGTGTCTCTCCCAAAGACATCTATGTCTTGGTCATTATGGACCGGTTCATAACGTACTGATAACGTTGACGTGCGATTAAAACGCTGAACTTAGTGATTATAGATAAATTCGTTAAACCTTTTTTTTCATGTTCAATGTCCAATTAGGTCGAGACTTCAGTGTATACACCAGAGTATCTTTCAACGTGGGACTATAGCAGTTCGGATATGAGATGCGATATTTATGTAATTATAAAATTAGAAGATATATGTGTTGCTGAATACAAACGGAACGAAAAAACACTGGAAGCAAGTGCAGAAATATATTTTGCAAAAAACAAAAACTAGCTTCGAGATACCCTCGTGGAAAAGCTCGTATCGCGTGTGACAAAAATGATTTAATAAGCGACAACTGAAATTTTACCTAATGAAGAAACGTAAGTGATAATGAACCGTCATTTCGTATGTCTGTATGAAAATAAAATACTTATATCAGATTCTTAAATATTTTACAACTTAATTTTCTCATGCGAATCTCAATTGTTTCGCAAATTTCCACGACTCTGGTACATTCAAAGCGTTTCAATTACTTTCCATTCACTAGCGTAACAGTACAAATAATTCGAGCGAATATAAAAATCAAAGAATAATATTAATATATATATATATAATATATAATAATAATAATAATAATAATAATTACAAAATTTGTTATTAAAGCTTATAACAGTAATAAAAATGAATATCTTTTCTCAAGTCACTAATAAATTAATAACGAACTTTATAAAACGTTCATACAATTCAAGCTAGTTAATGATGGCGATAGGCGGGACGAAGATGAGCCATAGACCTAGAGACTACTTGTTCTACCATTCTCGTTGTAATCCACTCTCACGTATCATTCACGAATTACGATTTGTGGTGGCACCGATGAGACTCAAGTAAAAGCAGTTTAGTGGATCAAGTAAAAGCGTTTGGTGGAGAATTACATAAATAGTACGTCATCGGACGTTACAATATCCGATTCGTGAGTAGTACAAATAAGCCGATAAGTTAGCACGCATCTGCGACAAAATGTAAGTTCAGTGAAAAATATACGAAGCATATGTCACGTGATTCAAAATAACGCGAATTCTTTTGTTCTCATTTGAATACATACATACACACACATACACACACACACACACATATACGTATCCATACTTCGTTTCTGCTACTTCCGCTACTTTCCAAAACGAGAGAAGATAACGTTGCGTTAGAGAAAAAGATTGCGGAATTTGGTCGGTCGATTAAATTCGACAACTCTAATAATTGCACTCTCTCTAAAATGGACACTAGATGCTAATTATCACCGATTACGCATTAACTGTTGCGGCTTTTATTTATACTACTACTGTCGAGATTAAATTTAAGAGGAGGACCGGACTCACTCTCTCTCTCTCTCTCTCTCTCTCTCTCTCTCTCTCTCTCTCTCTCTCTCTCTCTCTCTCTCTCTTTCTCTCTCGATCAATGAAGAGAAGGTCTCGAAGCTCTCTGTTTCAACCTGTTTAACAACGCCTGCTCGCCATCGTCCTCCGTCTTGGATGAAATTCCACGAAAGCTCTCCGATCGATACTTGTCCCTCAAGAACGTCCTCCTCTCTTCTTTGTACTTTTCGATTCTTTCTCTACACTGCGGGTCTCCCAAGTCTAGGCCACCGAGGTTCTTCAGCTGAATCTTTTCGGAGGCGTTGGAGCATGCGGCGGAACCGCTGCCGACGTTAGGCGTGGAGCAGTGCTGCGCGTCCTCGGACGACGACGGCTTCACCGACAACGCGATCTCGCCTGTCATACGATTGAACTTGGCCTCGTCCAAGGATCGACTGAGCGCCGCGCGGGTCGCCCTCGCGTGACGTGCTCGCAGACAAGGCGGCAAATGTTGCGTCGGCTCCTCAGACTTGCCCCTCGCGCAATCCAGCTCCTGCCTCATCTTCCTCTCCCGAACGATCTCCCGGCCGATCTCCGAGTCGAAGCTTCTCCTATCTCTGCTCGTCTCGTTCTCATATCTGCGCCTGCTGGACGTCACGGACAGGTCCGCCACGGCGCCACCGGATAATCTCTGCAAAGCCAATTCTTGCAAGATGGTAGCGGTGTCCCGTAAAACGATCGCCTCGTCGTCGGCGCTCGTCGGCGACGAGACGTTCGAGAATGCGCTCGAGGTGTCTATCGTCCGTTCCGTCGTCTCGGACGCTCCTCCCTCCGGAACGTGCGCAACCTCGCAAGGCTCAGCCGCGTTCTCCGAAGGGATCTTCATCTCGACGTTACTCGCCATCTGGTTAGCCTGCAAGTTGACGCACTTGTTGTGACTCTCGCTCGTGTCGCTACGTTTGGAAGGGGTGCATTTGCGTTGCTGCTGCGAATCAGTCTGCTGTGTTTTCTGCGTATTGTTGTATCCGAAACTTTGGCACTTTTCCGACAGGCCGTTAGAACAACGCTCCTTGTTATCACGGTCATCCCGTTGTGACGTTGTGACACGCCTCGTCTCCTTGTCCTCTTCGGTTTTACCGGACAATCTCGGATGATTCGCCCGCCGTACGTTCGTATCGCGCGACAGACGATGATAATTCTCGAAGGTTTCCCTAAACACCTCCTTCTTCTCGCACGCCTCGTTCTGATTTCTACCAAACACATTCGCGTTATCCGCCTCGGCGTAGCACGCGCGGATCTGCTGTTCCCTCGTGAGATTGTTGGTCTCCTGACTCGAATTGATATCCGCGGTCGTTGTGTCGCACGAGTACCGATTACCGTTCTCGCGATCACGCAGTCGGGCGTGCGACTCGTCTTCAAGATCGTCCACGAGATTACGCTCGTCCTCGAGATCGAAAGCCGTTTGCGCGCGATCGGTCTCTTCCTCCTCGTGATTTTCCTGCTCGTGACTCGCAGACTTCATGTCCGCGACATCGAGCATCATTTCTTCGCTTTCCCGCCGTGACGCGCGATTTTCCATAGGATCACCACCACCCACGCCGATGCGGAACGCATCCACGGTGGGAGGAGTCAACGCTAGATCCAGAGACGCTCCGGAGACGTTATCCGACGTTATCGGTCGTAACTGCGTCACATTTATAGCTGGATTTATGCCGCTCTCCAAGAAGGTATCATTAGGACTAGTCGGCTCGCTAATCGGCGATGCCAGGGAGCCGGTTGTTCTTCCGATAATCACCCAGTCCCCGGAATCGTTGGTGTTGCCTATCACACGCGGCGTTTCCGTATTGGTGAACACTTTGTCGGTACTATCACAAATTACAAAGCCAGACTCCTGGAGCTCCTGGAGAGTCTGCTCGCACGACATCGGAGAGTCGAGATCGGTCGTGTTGGACAACGGCAATCTCGGCGCACTGGCCTCTCGTACCGCGCTGAGATTGTTCTGCGAGTCTATGGTCTCGTCGCGTCCCTTCGCGCCGCTTGTGACTCCCTTACCGTCATACGACTTGACCGACGAGATCTCTGTCGCGGAGCGCAAGCTCAACCTGTCCCGCGCGGTGTCTTCGCAAACGACTCCGCTCGACTCCGATTTATCTCTGCGAGCGGTGGACAATCTGCTGTCGCACGGTATCATCTCGGCGTCGTTGAAAACTGCGGCGACCGTGCTCAATTGACTCCCGGTCTGACTTTCAGCGTCTGAGAGCGAAGCGGTGGTAATCGTGCGTTTTCTATCGTGCAATTCTCCGTCGTATGTTGAGATTCCCTCGCAGGACTCTATTCCTCTGTCCCGTTCTTCTAAATTAATGGACAATCTATGGCTAGCGGGGTTCGGGGACTTTTCAGAAGACGCGCTGGTCTCCGTCAACTTATTCGCGTTGTTGTTGCTGCTGCTGCTGCTGCGCTCATCGTCAATTTCCAACGGCAAAGTGAAACTTCGGAAGCTTATTCTAGGACTGTTAGCTGGTACCGGCGAAGGAGAGTGAGACGTGGCTTGCAACGTAGCGGGAGTAAGCGGGGTAGAGGCTTCTGACAATAACGGCAAGTAGCCCGGCGTTGGTAACGGAGACGGCGTGTCGATGCTGTGAATATCCGCGTTTGTCGCCACCATAACCTGAAAGATTCAATGGGCTTTTAGACACAACACATAGCTGCGGCATATATACGGGTGGTAAAGAGTGTGTCATCAAGGAGATGATAGTTCAGCTTTACAACGTCACACTACGTTAATCACCTGATCTGGACTTTGGCTGTCTATGAAACGCAGCTCGACATCGCACTGCAGTCTTTCCTCTAAGCGAGATCGTTTCCTCTTGGATCCGCCGGTAACGGTGGTACACTGATTCCCGTCGGTTCTCTGTCGACGCGGCGACGCTTCTACGGATGCCACTCCGCCGCCTTCCTCCTCCGAGAACATCCTCATTTCTCTCTCCTCCAAATCGAAATTGAGCTGTATCTCCGAGAGATCCAACGGCGACGATGCGCTAGGCGCGTCTGCCAAATGATCGAAGTAAGAGTCGTGCGAGACAGATCTACTGTGACCGCAGGTTCTTGTAGGCGGCGGTCCCAAGAGCGGGCCCAAGCTATCCTCGCCGTCCAGACTGTCGGCGCTCTTGACAGGTCTCAGCCGTCGCAGAGAGTTCAAAGAGTTCGGCACCGTTTCCGCTTGCGGCGGCGTGCCGATCTGTCTCGTCTTGCCCATGGCACCCAAAGCACCTCTGCCGAACAACGCTCGCCAATTGAGCGAGGGCGATCGTTTGGAGCCGTTTCTCTTGCGCGGCAGCTCGATGACCGTGTGATAACGCAGCGGCAATCCAGCTGGACCCGCCCCAACCTCTATGTAATCAGGCTCACCCCGGAGACTTCTGTTGCGCGCCTCCTCCAGAGTGAGCAATCGCGCGGATGTGGTGATCGCCAGAGACTTCGGCCTACCGACCGGACCGTCGCCGAATATGAGCTCAGCGTAGCAGACTAGAAATTCCGTCACGACCGCTTGCACCCCGACACCCTGAAGCGCCGCTACACCGCCCACTTCCAGCTCTTTGCATCTCAAGAGGTTGGGCGCCCATACGATGGCCACGTTGCGTGGAGTCATACCCGTTTCCGTGCCGCGAGCAGCTACCTTCACCAGATGACGCATCAGATACTCGAGTGTTCTGTACATCATGAAAGAGAGAAGATTAAAGATCGTCGTCGAGTCGTCCAGCGTGGAAAAACGCAGCAAGACGAGAGAGACACCTGCGAGGAGAAACGACTGTCCTACCTATAGTGAGGTGGCGGTAACTTTCTAACCGCGTCTCTCATACGTCTCAATCTTTCGGCGTCGGTGCTAGCTTGTACCGCACTAACAAAGGTCGAGTAAAGCTGGTACGTGCACAATGGATTCGGCAACTCTCTGAAGTACATTTTCAACAGTGACGCCACGGAGTGTATATCCTGCAGAATACTCTCGTCGGAGTGCAACGCCGGGACCCGATCCTCGTCGAAGGCGTTCCGCAATTTCTGTATATTGGACGTTACGCCGCTAAGACGATATATACCGTCGACTAGACCATATTTTTCTATGAACTCCGCGCAGCACGTCAGGACGGTCGGCACTGCAAAACGAATGATCTCTTTTTCCTTTCCTTTGTATAGAGCTTGTACAAAAAAAAAAAAAAAAAAAGTACAATGACTAACATATGTACACGGTGCACATGAATTGCAAATGAATAGTGAAATTTACCATCTTGACCGGAATTCAGCAGATGTTCCCCCAAATCGCAACCAAACACGCGCTCCCGTAATATGCCCGATTGCTTCAACCTCCTTCTGGAGGGTCGGTTCAGTATGAAGGATCTGAAGAATGCGATCAACTTGCCGTGCTTTCGCAACACGGGCTTTACCGGTAATCTCGATCTGACCGTTGTCGAAACAGTCAGGTGACGCGGCACCTTGTCGCCGATCACGGCGACGCATTCGGCTGGAAAGAATCCAACCGCGAATCCGTGCTTCCCACGCCACCACGTGCTCTCCCCCGGAGGAGGCATGTCGATGACGGATATCATGTCGCCTACCTGTGTTTGACAAATGACATTTCGAGTTCAAATCAACGCGAGTCTCCGCTTCGATAGCCCGCTCGTGCGACTCCGGCAAAGTGCATAAAGCGTCGCATAATGGATTACCTGGAAGGAAATCTCATCCTGCGCTTGGGCGGTATAAGGTCTTACGGCGTACGCCGCGGCGACGGCCGGAGTATTTATAGGACAAGAGTCCGACTCGGGGACGAGGATCCTTCTTCCTCTGTTGTCGAGCTGCAGCCAATTCAACACCGGGCCGCAGTTCAGGCCTTCGTGATTCAATTGCGAGAATCGGCTCAGGTAGTCCTTCAGTATATCACAGGCGTTTTTTGGCCGTACATCTGGAAGCTTCGTTAGGGAGGAGAATTTTCTATCGAATATGCAACGATGCAGTTGCTTGTCGAACATTACGAAATTGTCGTAGGATCTCTGCAGTGTCCAGCACGCATCTCCGGACGTTATTCTAACGGCGTAACTCTCCGTTACCGAGTCGTTGGAGCCATCGTTGACGGACACCTGAGAGAGACAAGCCGGTGTATCTAAAGCTGCCTTTATCGTCGCGCCTCGTACCTTCTTCGCCTGTCTCACGTACCTCCAGAGTACCGAGCTCGACGTGCTCGTAGTGAAAATGAGCGCACTCGTCAAGTTTCGGGAAGCGCGCGATGCTGCTCATGTTGCTGCCAGAACTAACGGGTGTGCTGAAATCGTCCGCTCGACTACATCCCAGCCCCTGCAAGTTTGTTCAGGAAGATAAGCACCTTGTTAACAGAGAGCGGCTAACAGGGTCGATCATTGATCCACTGAATCGTAACTTCCAACTCGCTGTCTAATTCAGTCGTTGCGTTCAGACCTTAACGTCAACGATAAATCGCGTGATTCTGAAGCGACCAGAGGATTCTCGATCGGCGGATACGAATACATCGGAATACATTGGAAATTTGATTGATCTCTTTTTGCAAAAGGAAGTTTGGACAGAATCCTACGCGAGATAAAAGTGCCGGTTCGTATGACTGTAACCACTGTTTTTCTATTATCGGACAAAGATTCGGTTGTGGAGATACAAAGATTTCTGTAAGAGGTTTCTAATCATTATTCCCAGTTATGTTCAGACGAATATTTCCGGTCGCGGTGGTAACAGAGATATACCGTCTCGGCGAGTTTTATGTCCTCCCCAGCCCTGCTCGACCTGCGCGCAAACTGAAATTTCGTTTTATCGTGTAGGATTAAGCGCGAGAGACATATATCGCACCGATGAGACGATACCGCGTCGAATCCACGCGGCGTACGTGTATCCAGTAGCCGGAGAAAATTGGGTCACCACCGTTTAGCTTACCGCATATACGATCGGTCGTCTACGCCTTCGAAGGATCGACTCACCGAGCGTCGCTCGGCCCGAAAACTTCAGCGACAAAGCCGCAACGCGAAAACGGCAACGCGGTTACTCTACGCCTCGAAGTTACACGTCCTCCAAGTGCTTCCAAGAGTTATACATGCTCTGTTACTTTGAAACTCTGTCTAACCTTCGCCGTCTGTGGCTCGATGTCGGTGAGCCGATGAGCTCGGGGTCTCTCTTGCGTCGACGGTCCGGGCATCTTTTGCAGCCTCTCCGTTGACGAGGACGAGGAGGACGAGGATCCGGGCCTTTGACCCGATTTGTCGCGCGCCAGGATGACGGCAAATCTTTACTTCCCTCTCGATCGAATCATCGTTCCTCGCTCGCACGATTCCTCTGCACAGACATCATACGTGTATATATATATATATATCCTGCTTGATTTTTCACTCGCCAGACGAGCGACGAACCAATCGCGAAAAAAGTTGCTAGCCGTCGCTGTGCAGCAAATCGCGTTTTGTTCGCATCTCTTTCTCTCTCTCTCTCTCTCTCTCTCTCTCTCTCTCTCTCTCTCTCTCTCTCTCTCTCTCTCTCTCTCTCTCTCTTTTGGCGAACGACCGTTCTCGACTCGTTATTTTGTGGCGGTAAATACTCGAGTGACCAAACCACTCGTCGCGGATAATAAATAAAGATTTGTTATTCGCGCGCATCGATTCGCACGGAGATTCGCACGGAGATTCGAGAAAACCTACGACAAACAAACGTGAAATACGTGCTCGACGTCGAATCGAAAACCGTCCGTCTCGGTGAGGCTATAGCAGGTACAGACTCGTTGCCTCACCAAGAGAACATCTGTTTTTCGCAAACGGCAGAGGGAAGATCCGGTTGCGGGCTCTTTTTTCTTATCGGTTTACCATACGCGCGCGCTGTGTACGTCGTCGTCGTCGTCGTTGTGCTGTCGCGCGATGACTGCGACGGTATCCAGAGCACAGACAAAAATAAGAACGAGACGCAATCTCACGGACAAAAACTTTCAACTATAGTCGTCGGTAGAAAGTTGCGTTGGTCGGTGTGTGACGCGAATATCTCGCAAGGGAGAACCGTCCGTCCATTTCGAATATATATATATATATATTTCATTTCTCCGTTGTACCTTTCTCGAACGATAGTCGCGACGAGGAGACATTTTCACGATTCATCGTAATTATATCGACGACTGTCGCGAGCAGCGATGTGTCGAGCGCAGCTCTTGGCGGTACGCGGATATTTTCGGATAATTAAACGTGATTATCGGCCGATACCCCCTAACCTCCGTCCGAAATAAGGCGATCAATCGAAACAGGACAGGAGGACGAGCAGTTGTCGCGCACTCGAGAGATATACTCAGGAGGCGAGTCTATTGCACGAATGCTACCGTCTGCGCGCGGAAGTGCCAATAACCCGAAGCGCCTAGCACGGTTAGGGCCTTTAATATCTTAAGATTAAGGCGAGATTCTCTCTCTCTCGATCGCGTCGGAAAACTCGTCGGCCATATGCCCTGGGCTGATTACGGGCTGGCGATGACTCGATACGCTGCGAAACCGCAGCGTAGTAAAGTAGCGGATTCGTGCGCGCGGCTCTCTCGCGCGGTACAACGCGTATATTTACATCGCGAAAGCAACGCAACGTATCCGACGCGGGGGGTGATATTGAACCTTTGCGCACCGGCAAAGCTGCGAAGGCTGCGAACAGCTGGGCTTCCGCAACTCCCCCCCTCTTCTTTACTCTACCTCTCTCACTCTCCTCCCTCTCACACACACACACACTCCTTTTCTCTCCTTTTCGCCCGTTCGTTCGCTACTGTACTGGACTAAATCTCTGCACGGGGGAAATAACGGAGCTATTATGTCACGAGCGGTCTTTCTCCCAGCCGTACGGCCAACTCCTCCTCCTCCTCCTCGTCGTCGCGCACGCTCGGACGAGGGTAAAACTTGGAAAAAAGGATGGGCCGCCGGCGCGACATTACATTACAAACAGGGCCACGCACTCGTAACGACGAGTGAGAGAGTGCGTAGCGCTCCATTTTAGAACGGTCGATCCGCGTCGTGGAAATCGACGCGAGCGTAGAAAAACGAAAGAGTTTACTCACTCGTGCGGCCAACGCCGTCGCTCCCGACACCTCAAGAAGCTCCCGAGTCGGCCAGAGATTTCACCGTGCCAAAGAAAAACACACGATCGGCCGAGCCATGTTTGTCTCCATTTGCCTCGGCGCGTGGAGGTTACCGAACGACCGCGAACGACGCGACGTGACGTGACGTTGTAGGTGCCGTTCACACGCGAGACGGTAATTCAGGAACGACCGAAGGGAATCGCTGCACGGCGATGCGACCGATGTGACTTTCCGTTTGTGTTCCGCATCACGTCGCGATATTCACGATGCGCGAACGACAGCGACCACGAAGTTACATTTACTCGACTGTCCACGATCACGATCAAAGACGCTCCTTTCGATGCGCCACCCACCACCCGATCTAACCTAACCTAACCTAACCTAATCTAACCTAACCCAATATCCTCATCTATCTACCTACTTCAACCTTAGTCCTAGCCTAACCTAAATTAACCTCGCGCAGTCTAGGTTTGTTCTCTTTTGGTTTATTCTTTTACAAAAAATTCCCTCAACTGGTGCACATTGGTGCAATAAGTTAGAGTGAAGCAAGATACGTTTCCTCAACCGGTGCATATTGATATAATAAGTTGGAATGAAACAAAATATACTTGTTTCACTCTAACTTTGTGTACCCGTCCATCCATGTAACCAGTCCGAGAGAAGTTCTCCGAAAAAGAATAAACTTTTACACTGCACCGGAATCGAGGGAAGTAGAGTGCACAGGAATAGTACAGTAGCCTTACACAAATAATTGAATTATAATGATGCTGAAGAATTGCCGTCTTGCCGTTAGAAAAATTATCCGAGAGAAGGTGTAAAGGCGTTTTCTAGTATTATATTTCATTTCTTTTACTTGTTGAGAGTGAATAATGGCACTGGAAATAAGCTCATACTGTTATAAATTATAATTAGTCAATTGCTGAGCTACAGACGCCATCTTGCGGTAAGGTAGAGAGGCTTGTGCGCACTTGTTCAAGCGCAGATTTTGAAAATCAGTTGATTTTACAACAAACCTCTGTATTTATTTCTAACGTAATACTCAAAATCTTTAATATACTACTTTACTAATATACTACTTTACAAATTTTTAATTGTTTATTATTATTCAATATATGTAATACTGTATTCAATATCATAAAATTTAGCACGGAATTACTTTGTAATTATTAGATCTATGTGTTCATATACAAATATATTCTAAATTTGATACGCACATAAAAAATAACGAATGGAAATCAAAATAGAATTTTTAAATATATTTATTAAAATATGTCATAAAATCAATTCTCATTAAATCAAATGAAGTCATCAAATCAAGTCAATCAAGTCAAGATCTAAGATGGACTCTATTTATAGTACACGAATACTCATTTACACGTATCAATCGTTAAATTGAATATATGTAATTATTATTATCACACTTTTGCGAATAGTTCATGGATCTGAAATTTGAAAAATATTTTTTCTATTAGCTTTAAATATAAATTATTAAAAAAGTTCCAGGTATATATAGTAATCAAACAAATGTTGTTAAAGCAGGAAGTAAATAATTCCTTGTACGAATAGCGATAATGCTGCAGAAGATAATTTTATTGACTACAACAAGGAAGTAAAGCCATGCACGATTACACCGAGCTAAAAATATTGATTAAAGAAATAGTTAATAAAACATTATTGTCAGAGCGAAAAGCACTAGCATTAAGCGGAGCTGCATACGTACGAAAGCTGGTTTCAAGCGCAAAGCATCACGATAGCAATAATGTTCACTTAAATTTACCCAGATAATAGCTCTTTAAGTATTGTTCCGCGTGAAGTATTTCTTCACACGGATACTGTGTAACTTCCTCGTACAATATGTTTAGAACAGCCTTTACAGCATCGATATCGTATATATTCAAGAGCAACCTCTCCCTAAAGGGTTTCAATCTCTCTACAAGAGGCTTATTTTTGGAAATAGATCCGATGTGTTTACGTAAAACCTCATTGTACGTCGGCCAATCATTCACACACGCCGGACAATCACAGTCGAAAAAATAATCCTGCAGTATCTTCTGCTTTCTTTCGTATTTAGGCATATGCGCGTATACCCCACCATAGCTGGTGAAGATCTGGTCGCCCGGACGTATGGGTGTCAATGCACGCGTAATCATTGTGAGCCCTTCGAAATGTCGAAAGGTATTCGGCGCGCAAGAGTGGTTGTACAAACTGTGAGCCACATACAGACCTGAGCCTGACACGATTCCTGGTTCTTGTTGTACCTGTTGTATGTACAATGAATTAGTATGTACAATGAGTGAAAAAACTATTTGCATGCTTTATCTCGCTGCAGATGAGTAAATTAGAGAAATCAGAATAGAGTCGTAGGTGTGAAAATATTCACTTACTGAAAAGCAATTAGAAGACATTATCACACAGGCCCGAAACATTATGCTAGCGCAGAATTTAAGCTCAGAGAATTCACTAATGTCCTTCAAATCGTCCATTTTGTACGTTTTAGAAAAGAATCTCGTCTGCGTAGCTAGGAGAATTACCGCGAGAGCCGAGATACAAGCAAATGCGCTTATTCCGATTAATGGTCTTGTAGTCATATTAGTTGCCAGACTCAGCGCAGATCGTGCACTAGAACTATCCAGTATTTCAGTATCTGTAAAGCCTGCTGTTCTATTGTCTGGAGACCAAATTGAAAAGTCGTTTACCAATTAGTAATAATCTAATTAGTAATATCACACATTGAAAATATGCACCTGGATTAGATTCTGCAATTTTCATATCTTGTTGCAACTCTTCGATTTTGCTTCCGTTTGCTGTCACTATAATCAACAGCCGTATAATTTTAGAAATCATTCTTATTTTATCTTTGTCGACATTAAGCAGACTGGTCAACAGTTTTAAAATTGGACATTCTGTCATATGACACACCTCCCATGCTAACTTTCGGCATTTCTCAGAACAATATTGAGCTATGGGACACTTTGAACATGGTATCAAGTTGTAGCTTCTAGACAAGCAGTAGTGACAATGTGTGTAATATCTGTAACAGGTGAGCAAAATACAAATATCTACATATCCACAGACACTAATTAAAATAGAAAGTTGAGTGAAAGCGAATTAATCTCTTACCGTTCTTCATAAATAACATGTGCATATGGATCTTCGATACTAACTATGTCACCAGGTTTAAAATCTCGCGTCGCTATATAATGTCTACCGTATCTTTTAGAGAAAGATACTGTGACACCATCACTAGTAGCAGGTACTTCCTTACTCGAGCCATATGTCAATTCGGAGAAATCGTCGTTTTGCAGATACCTTGGTTTCTGTGGAAGAATCTTTGCTGCATAGTAAAGGTAACTTTCGTTACTCACCACACATTGCTTCTCGCAATTATTGGTCGCTTGATCTTTTTCTAATATTGCCTCGTCCATAATGTGCTCAAAGTTTCCCGGTTTCGTAGCAAATTTTTCAACACCATTATTTGAATGCAGAGCATCTACAACTTGTTGCGTATCAATTTTCTTTGAATCTGCTTGTAATAGTTTGTTTATTTCCTCTATTGCTCTATCTCCCCTTTCCTTCAACTTCTTTCGCTTTTCTTTTGGATATCCATGACATAAGGCTGCGTCAATATCTATTAGACACTCTTTATACAATTGTTTTCTGTATAGAGCGGCAGACCGATTTGCGTGTGCATATGCCATAAGTTCATTACTGTCGGCATATGCTAAACTCAAAGTGTAACATTCGATAGCTTCTAGATCATCACCCATTACAAAGTGTTGATTACCTGATTTTTATTCATTGGAAATGATAAGAAGCGCAATATGATATATATTAATGTCTAAAACATAGATACACATACCTTCTTCTCTATATCTGATAGAATCACCTCCATTTTTTGCTACAGCAAGTAGTGACGGCATCTGGGATTTGACAATATTTTGTAAGATGTGTCCAACAAGAGCTTCACATTCCTTTTGTAATCCATACCCAACATGCGACTTATTCTCTTGTTTGAGAGTTAATACAAGTTCTTTTGCTATCTCCATTTCGTATATAAATAATTTTCTTTAAAATTGCAGCTTTAAAATTGTACAGCTTTGAAAATACAAAACAGAATCTTCAATTCTTTCTCTCTTCGTAACATGGTCAACCAATTATTACTACAAATGCAACATATAATATAGATTATATCTATAAAAAAGGTCTAAAAATTCTCTTATCAAAACTTGGATTTTATACTCACCTCATTGAAATTTTAAATTTTTATTTGTATATATGTGATATTTATATAATTATATATTTATATTAAAAAATATATATGTAAGTATACTACGTCTTACAAATTACAACACTAAAACTTATCCTTAGAGAGTAACTGAGCATGCCATGGTAGAACATCTACTGAGAACATTGAAGCTGGTAGGTGAAACTAAATTTACCGCACGCGGGGGGGGAGGGTACGAGAGAGACACGCGAAAAAAGACTATGCTATGCAAGAATTACTTAACTCATTGTATTTGACTAAATGACCCCAAATACGAAGCAGATTAAAGTTTAAAAGCATCTGTGATTTTTATCTATTCATATTAGTATTCTGATGTAATACAAGTGTGAGTGTACAATGTAAAAAGATTATAAAGTGCTCATCTTGAAAATGTAGATTTAATTATCAATTATATATAAAATATTATTTGTCGTATATCTTGTTTATCTAATTAAACTTAATTGTACACTTTTGCAATTAAAATTTTATTGATAATGTATAATGTTTTATTTATAATAAACAGTTAACGATAATACTAATTTTGCAGATAATGCATATCTTATCATTGTATGCGAAAGAATTTAAAGTTCTATTTCTAAAAAAACAACAGAATCGAAAGTTATAAGCTGAAAGCTAAGAATGCATTCTCAGTCATTTCGGTACTGCTAATGAGAACAAATTGGCAGATATCCAAATCTCATTTCTATCCTATGCAATATTTAGCCTGTGTTACTTAATCTTTAGGCTCAGTTCCATTGATAATTTTAGTTAATTGAATGTGATTAAATTCATTAGTTTAAAAAGTATTTAAACTTATTTTTAATGCATTTGATAATATAATTTATAAGTTAGTAAATATATTATAAATATTACAGAATTATTCATACTAGTCTGCCTATAGCATTATATTAGGAACACTTACATATTATGCATCTGCAAGAAGTATTTATAGATAAAGCTTATTAAAAAAAATATTAAGCTTTTAATGGAAAATTGCATTATAAAATATATAATAATAATGACTTTATTTATGAATCATAATTTAAAAGATATGATTGCATTGGCAAATGATAAGAATGTGTAGATATTATTAGTATTATATTGAATATAATAAAAATAAGTGCATCATGTACTGAAAAGGTTAATCCTCTTCTGCTTCCAAATTTATACGACTACCAAATTTTGCATACAATTGAGTTTTCAATTCAGTCATAATAGTCTTCAAGTCTGTACATTTATTTTCCAGACTTGCAATCTCTGTTTTTTTCTTGTCCTTAGCATCCTCCAAATGGTTCTAAGAACAAAATTTCTAATGCTAATAACTGATAGTAACTATAGACATAAATAAATATTAAAAATTAAAAATTAAATCAATTGCTTTTTCTTCTTTCTCATTATAATAATTTCCAATATATATGATGTTAACAATAATTATAATTTTGACTGGTTGTCATGTTACCTGTGTCTTTTCAAGACTCTGACGTACAAATACTTCTCCAATGTAATATGGTATTGTCACGTCATCATCCATAAGGGCTAATTCATCCGCAGCGTCTTCCAAATTTTTTAATTCATTCTGTAAATTGCAAGGTAGTAATCGTTATTTATATATACAATGCAGAATCTCATATGACCAAATATGGTTATAAAATAGTAAAGTAATTTAATAAAATCATTCCATTAAAATATGCAATACACCTGCTTGATTTTGAGTTCTTCTTTGTAATCTTCTAATTTAGCATTTTGCCTTGCAAATTTATTAATTTTCTGTTGATCTTCGTATGTGATATGAACATCAGAATCCTACAAGAGGAATACAAACGAATTAGAACATAAGCACACTATATTATATTATGCTTCTATTTTCCAAATTGTTGCATTACCGGTTGAAATCCAGCTTGAGCATTTTTCCCTCCTGCCATTTTTATGTTGTTTTGTCTAATCCGCGTATATTTATTGCATTAAAATAATCATTCAAATTATATTTTAGGTTACTTATTTCACACGAGTGCAAGAAGTGTAGGACAGTATAACTGCAAAGAACATATTTATGGCAGATTCACATTGCATTCCATCAAATAGCCAATAGAAAAATTTGAAACTAGAAGTGGACAAAGAGATTGAAATCTCGGGCCCATAGTTAGAAGAAGAAGAAGAAGAAAAATTTGATTTTAAAAGACAAAATATATATATATATATATTCTACTAACTATAATTTATAAAAAATAAATTCTTTAGAACTTGGTGGAGAGATATCGCATCTTGCTCGCAAATTAATAAAAATTTTCTATTGGTGTAAGAAATAGTTATACGTTAATAATCATAGATGGCGAATCAACTGCTTGCTCATCGGCGTTTCTCCATCTTCATACAGAAGCAATAAGATAGGTTGTGTGGGCAAACCTTAACAGTACGCTAACGACTCTTCCGCTTCGAGAAGCTTTCTGGTTTCCGAGTTCTTTCAAAGCCTTGTCGCGAATCATGGAGAATCGTTCGATCTCGAAGAAAAGGAAGGTCAGTAATTTTCGATAGTTTATAATAAAAGAAACATGAAAATATACTCACTGCAGCGATATTAGAAGTTGTTGGAGTGATATTTCGTCGAAAATTAGATAAATTGGTTAGATGAGGTTCGTGGATGTCATGGATGCTTTCATCAATGCTTATTGATCTTACAATTCCACATGTCACGTTTGTTTGTTGTTATTTTAAATGTGAGATATTTTGTCACTTTTGATCCATTGCATTGTAATTTTTTTTACAATATTGCAAAATTCATTATTCAATTTTCTGTAATGTTTATATCAGTGAGTGAATTCTTTGAGGTTATTTTAACCTCAAAGCAGGGGGAGGGAGAAAGAGAGAGATACAGCCTTATGTACATTTCCTTTCTTTGTTTTCAGTTTGTGGGCGATGGAGTCTTCAGAGCTGAGCTTAACGAATTCTTGACTCGAGAGCTCGCTGAGGATGGCTACTCCGGTGTAGAAGTTCGTGTGACACCAAACCGAACAGAAATTATATTATTGGCTACACACACACAAAGTGTGCTTGGCGAGAAAGGACGCAGAATCAGGGAGCTAACGTCCGTGGTACAGAAACGTTTCAATTTCAAAGAACCACAGAATGTTGAGTTATATGCTGAAAAGGTTGCTGTTCGTGGATTATGTGCCATTGCACAGGCAGAGTCACTTCGGTATAAGCTCATTGGAGGTTTGGCTGTACGAAGGTGAGTTGCTACTTAATTTTCTGTTTATTGTATCAATCTTACGTAATTCCTCATATCAATCAGGGCGTGCTATGGAGTTCTTCGTTTTATCATGGAATCTGGCGCTAAAGGGTGTGAAGTAGTTGTCAGTGGTAAACTACGTGGTCAGAGAGCAAAGTCAATGAAATTTGTTGATGGCCTCATGATTCATTCTGGTGAGCCAACCAATGAATATGTGAATACTGCAACCCGGCATGTACTGCTCCGACAAGGTATAGTCTTATTACTGTATTTATTATTTCAGCATTATACCACTAATATAACAATAAGGGAAAGTGAAATAATAGAATACACTAATTATGCATTTATAAATGACATTAAACGAGCAAATTTTAATATGTCAAAATCTCAGGTGTATTGGGGATCAAAGTGAAGATTATGCTTCCGTGGGATCCAGTTGGCAAGACTGGTCCTAAGAAGCCTCTTCCTGACTATGTGTCTATCGCAGAACCTAAGGATGAAATTCCCCCGTTGCAACCGAATTCCGAGGTAAAGCCGTCGAAAGACATGCCTCAACCTACTCCTCTTGCTGTGTAATAACATTTGAATAATAAATACAGAAAATCAGATTTGTGTTGTTACTTTGTCTTGTTATTGTGTTGTTACTTATTTGTAACGCATTGAAAACCACTTTGATACGAAGGGGAGAAAAGGTATTAAGTATTATAAATTAATATCATATTTTATTTATAAAGATTTTTCGGGTATTTTAGAATTACAGCATATATATAAATATCAATAACTTCATTTACAAAATCCCAAAGTATATTTAACACTAACTGCCATTGTTTAATTCGAACGTGAGACCCGTCAAGATCAAATTTTCTGGCCGTCGTGTGCGACTGTACGTAAAATATACGGAAATTTGAAACAAATATTAATGTACCTGTATTAATAAAAAAAGATTAGATTTGACTCCACTATTTGATACGTATTTAATACCTGATCTTATATCTATAATCTTAGTACTTTTTCAATATAAAATCTAAAATAAAAATTTCCTCGTCTAAATTTTCTTAAATTATGTGCTTAAAATATGCAATATAAATGTAATTTCGAATAATCTTATTTTCAGTACACTTCATACATCATATCAATACTTTATTTCCATTCACAAAACGCCCATCTAAATGTTTAACGAAATTATTCCTAATTGAATAAGCAAAATCGTCAGACCTACAGACGGGTGCTGAATGAGAAAAGGCCTTGTGAGAACTTTGTGAGAATACATTATCCAAATATGGCAAAGTGTTAAACATGACAAATGTTAAATACCAAATAAAAAATAGGCAAATTTACTTAACTATATACTAGAAGAATCGATTAAATATAACATAACATCAAATATAATAACATGTAAAAATTGAGCTTGTTTCAAAGAAATGATTAATTTAACGTTTTATTATTCAGAAATAATGCGATCATATTTCAAAAGTTCGTTCTTTCAATTTATATATAATAAATGTTACACATATTAATACCGTAAAGCCGGACGAAATAAAATTTAACCAGTCAGATGAACCAGCATAAGATCTGTATTACAAATTCCACCACATACCATTTACCTATTTATTACAAATCCATGATTTAAATTACGTTTACGTATTATGTTTATAATCGTGAAGTTAATACATGTGCATAATTATTTCGTTCATAAATCTTATTCTGAAAGATATAAAATACATCAACCAAACCTAGCCACCGTTTGTGTAAATCTCTGATTAAATGGTGAATTCTATGTGATAATAATTAATATGAAGTACACTCTTACATTTTTACTCAACATTCAGTAATGAAAGAGCATAATTATTATTATATTATTAATACAAGAAACTCTTCATGCTTTGATTGTTGTCATGAACTCTCAAGTCGTTTCATAATACATACATTTATGGGGACTTTTTTTATGTCAGCACTCATTTTGCGCTAGCTATTCATGAAAGTGCCGCTGAGAGTGGACCCTAGAACTCTAGGAGATCTGTCTTGAACAATATGAGAAAGAATTTGAGAACAGTATCAGTAACTATTTATTATTGACGGACTGGCGCCATTTGTTGCGTGAGTGAGAGCAGACCGTCGATCATTCTTCGTACAATATCCGGTACCGCAGGCTTTTTCGATACAGAGCTCAATCCATTTCTGAGTTCGTAGAATACATTTCGCGTGTACGGATTCCTTTGAGATGAAAGACGCAGTTTCAAGAACTGATAGTAGATGAAAGGTGTTAATAAACCAGCACGACTTCTGCAAGAGGAAAAAGACATTTATACTGCAATATTTAATTATACTGATATCTTATGATACAATGATTAAAAATATAGAAGCATACAAAAGTACTTTCATATTTCACTTGGTTCAATTCTATATTAGTTGGTTCAGATGTATGATAAATTGGCTTATAATAATACCTTTGTATTATTCTATATCTCTTATTACTAAATTTTTATATCTTTATCCATCCACCTCTCTGACCTATCTATATGACTGGTCTAAACAATACATACGTGAATACTAGGAGAACTGTAAACGGCAAAATGATAATTTCTGATAGAGCACACAGACGAAGAATTTTCCGTGATTGAAATTCCACCAAGGATATCACAAGACGAGCACCCCACCAACTGTTTTGTCCTAGACACTATATATAGCAGACCAATGAGAAGGCAATTATATAACTTTGCAATGACTATGTAAATGTACTATACAATTATGTACATAACATACATAACATAATTAGTTTGACTTGTTCACTTACATCTAGCAATGCAAGAGAATAACTGGCCATATGCAGCAAAGCGAACAAAAAAACTGGTGTGAGCACCACTATGTATTAGTTCAGGGTTAAATATGCCTTGCTTTTATCTTTCTCTTATTTAAGATTGTGTAAGAGCTCAGATACTTAAACAAAATATGAACATAAAAATAATACAGAAACTTTAAAAGGATACATGTGACCGGCGCTGTATATAAAAATATCAGCGAATAGAACAAGTAGTGGCACGAATCCTCCAACAATAACATTTCTAAAAATTGCCTAGTAAGCTGCACACGAGGTACTCTTTGGTGAAGTCGCAATGCACTTGTCGCTGCATTATTCATCAGTATTTTGTAGTATATGTTAAAAGGATTGCTGAAAAAGACAAAATAAAATATATTTATCATAAATTACTTGAACATATTAATTCCAATTATAAGATGGAGAAATATATACCCAAATATAGGAATAATATAACCAATGGTGAATATAATAGTGAAACATCTTGTAAGCCATAGTCCAAAATTAATCTTATTCTCTGAAATATGCTCCTTCAATGCTGACCATCCTCTTTCTACTTGTGGCGACGAGTCCCCGTTATTATCTGCCATCCTGAAGCTAAAACAAAAGAAAATAATAAGAATGTTATAATTAACTTTTTTATAAGCTTTTTTATAACTGCATTCTACATCCTATTAATTTTATTTTTCGACAAAATACTCCAGAAAAATTTGCATAATTTGTCACTGAATATGCGAAACGCATGCTATAAAAAAGAATCGCCGTAGGGGGAATCAATGATTACATCACTCGTTTCTAAAGTGAAAGTAGCTGTACTTTCTTCGTAAACGTCATTTATCCATCCTAACGAAGGGAATCGCGCAGATTAAGAGAGACTATCGCTTCCACTACACTTTTCCGGACACAAAAATCCGAAAGACCGCGTGCAAAAACTTGATTGTACTGCGACGTCAACAGCGAAGAATATAAGTGAGTTACTCGCTTTTTTTGCGATCATCATATACATAACAATGAATAGATTATATGACAGACTGCGAATTACATTGTCATTCAATGACACACGAAACACTGAGTATATCCATACACTTGATGAGACGAATTTCTGCGATGATCAGACGTTAAATCACTTACGTGCCACTCCTTTCTCGCACGAAAGTTCAACGCAAAGATATTTCAACGCAGTAACTTTATACGTCAATAACAGCAATAAACAATCGCACAGATCCACCTATTCGGTACATCTACGTGTAATAAGCTACAAGCTGAATGATCAGAAACTCGTAATACATATGCTGAGTTTCGTATACGTGTTTGCGATTTTCGCCTACAGATGTCACTAGCCACATTTTTGCGTGCACTTTTTCAGGTAGGTTGTCTTCTTAGGTGGCGCGTCGCCATGTTCTGTAATAAAATCGAAAGAGATCTTTCGATTCTCAAATATCAAGATTACAGGGATTTATTAATTTTTATTAATTATTTATTAATTATTATTTATTATCTATTTCTTTTAATCCCCATATGCGATATCATTCGATAAAATTCGTGCAATGTCGAAAACAAGTCAAGGGCCGATTAATGAACACTTTATCGTACATATCTATAAACATAAATAAATAAAAATATATACACACAATCGACCTATTTTCGACATATTGATATTTCCTTGATACCTTTCGATATCTTTTTCCTATTACTCCATATCTGTTACCATCTATGCTTATTTCGAGCTACAGCTTCATCTTCTGGCCACGATATTTCTAAGAGGGCGCTAGATTTACAGTGAGATTTCTCTGGTACGCTAAACTCCGTAAGACCAACGATCTTTATTAGTATCTCGTCAGTGGCTGATGTTTCCACTTTCGATCGGTGAACCGCGCAAGGTGGGGTATGTCAAAAGATACCTCAAAGACCCTCAGATAATCGTAGAGTTCTAACATTATCGATTATTTTCATCGGATACAAGTATCTGGATAGTTATCTGCGCATCTTATATTTATTTATGTAATTTATTGTTATGTATATACACTTCACAGATATCTATTGCACATTTCACATACAACTATGGACAATATATTTCATTTCTGTCTGCGATATTAAATTTTAGTTAACTCTGATTAACGTTTATTGAAGCAACTTTTACACTTGGGATCAACCGCTGGAAAAGTCGATTGTTATGATACAATCGACGGTCCATTAGGCCTACATTAATGATAATATTTAACTCTAGATTTTGACGTTGATAATGAAGTACGTAACAACACCCATGCGTCGATACATCAGATGTATCTACTATTATCGATACATTGTTAACTCGTATCGTCAGAAAGTCACAAGTATATAAAGAAACATTTTTGTTCGACGTACATAATAATTGCGAGTAATAGCCAAATAAAGAAATTTGCAATGATCGTTAGACACTTTTCAAGTTTTGCCTTTGCTTGAGATCTCAAGTCTTGAGAATATTTTTGTAAAATATTGGGTCGAAATTAAAAAAAAAATGAAGTTTTCGAGAATACAAGCACGCACGAATAAAAATTAGATATTCAAGCGCGTGAAATATCTCTGCATTTAAAAATACCTTGCGCTTATTGTTTTTAATAGCAAAGCAATGAGCAATAAAGAATTGTAATTTATATATCTTTTTAATTTTTTAGGTGGATATAAATGGCTGATGAAATTTGCATTTACAGGGGACAAAATATAAGCTTCTTTTTGTTCTTTGGTATGAATATATCCTTCTTTTAGAAACATAATATTACTTTTTTCTCTTTGCTGTTTCCTCAAATTATTTTTCTCTTTAGCTAGTTTGTAATCTTCGCGTAAAATTTGTCCATATATTTGTCCGTATATTGCATCAAAGAAAGGATAATTAAAAATAGCTGACTAGATTTATATTTTTTCCAAATATATACATTCCTCAGTCATCCTGTTCATGATTGCCGATTAATCGGAATACCTCTCTTTCTTTTTCTCATTCAGCACTTCACCAATTCTTATGTTTTTCATAAATTATAGCAAAGTCAAATGAAACTTATTCGTGCATCTCCTGTCAAGACCTGCGAATGCGGAAGAAAAAAGGTTGAGGGCATCCTTGCATGCACGAAAGAGATATGCCTCCTATCTACTATGCACGGTCAATATAACGGTAGAAATCTTGTCGGACGTGGAGCGAATAGAAGTGTAACGGTGAGCGGATTTTGTCCGTGAAGGAGGCGGTCAGTCTGAAATTCTGTGCGCTGTAGTGCCAATCGATTTCACGACCGCAGTACTCGGTCGTCGACCTGCACATCGTCGAAATTACACCTATTGTAGTCTGTCATCACCGAATACGCGCGAAATATGTTACTCGAATTGCTCACGATTTGCGTCCTCGGCACCGTCGTCTACTGCGTGCCTTACAAGACGTGGCACGTCGCTGGTGTATCCTTGCTCTACGTGATCAAATATAACATCCTCGGTATGCTAGCGGTCATGCACGACCTATGGAACATCAAGCGCAATAAGATTGGTAAGATACAAAGAAAGATGGGAGTTCATCTCGTGAATTTCCGAATTTGCTCGTTTATTCTTACTTGTGTCGTGTCAGCAAATAACATGATTATTTATATTTCGTTTACACTTTCGACGTAACATAAAATTTACTTTAATATTACCTTTCCCCGTAAACCTTTACCCATAAATTTCCGCATTATTTTTTTGCTTTCAGATTTGCCTCCGATGCCGGCTAAAATTGCGATCGTAACTGGCGGTTCTAGAGGGATAGGAGCAATGGTAGTGAAGAAACTCCTGCAGTGTGATATGGAAGTTATAATCGGTATCTTTTTATCAATAAAAACTATTATTGTCCTTACATTTTATCACGATACTTTTCATATCGTTATAAATTAGCTTGTAGAACAGCTATAATGGGAGAAAAAACCGTCCTTCAACTTAGGAAGTCAGGAGTCACTAATGGCAGGGTGAAAGTCTATGAGCTCGACAATTCCTCTCTTGAATCAGTAAGGGAATTCGCGGAGAGAATAAAAAAGGAGTATACCAAAGTTCATATATTGATTAACAATGGTACTATGTACAGTCACATAGTATACTATATTCCGTTAATAAGCTCAATATATACGATTTAGTTAGTACACAAAGTGTCTTCTTCTTCCTGCAGCCGGTGTTATGTTTCCTCCATATCAACAAACAAAAGATGGATTTGAGGAACAATGGGCCGTAAATTATTTATCACATTTCTTACTAACGTCACTTTTATTACCATTACTAAAAAATGGCGGGCAACCTGACGATTGTAGTAGAATAATCAACGTTACTTCCTGCGCTTATATACTTGGAAATTCGAATTTCGATAGCGTCAATTGCAGGTGAAACAAAATTTCGTTGCGTTACTTTTTCTCATCTGTTGCCTAGTTTTAATACGTTGTCATGTGTGCGGTTTTTTTTCCTGTATTAATTTCTTATCATATCAGGGACAAATTCGTGACACAAGCAGTATATGCGCAAAGTAAATTAGCGCAAGTGATATTCACGTCCACGTTACAAAAATGTTTAACAGACAGATCGTTGAATGTACGGATATATTCTGTACATCCGGGTATTGTGAAAACTGATTTATTCAACAATAGCTATTTAAGCAAAGTTAAATTGCTTATGATTGGATTTAAGGTAATGATACGTCGTAATACGATTTCTAAATTTATCCGAGTTATTGTCATTAATTTATATAAATGTGTTTGTTCTAGACACCTGAACAAGGAGCTATTCCCATAGTATATACAGCAATAAATAAAGACATTGGAATGAGAGGTGGTTTATACATTAATAATTGCAAAGAAAGTTCTATACTTCCGAAGGCACTGGAGCCTAAGACACAAGAACAACTGTTTGATTTATCTTTAAAACAAGCACAATTAAATGATTTCTTTCAGTATTTGTAATGGAAGAGCGGTGTTACTTAAATTATCGTTGTTTTTGTATTCTATTAAATGCATTTCTAACTGAGAAAATTTACTTCTTTTGCTTGTAACCAACCTGTGATAAATAATAGCATAACTTTGTGACACATCTAGTATGAATATGTAGTTGTATTGTAAGGATGTTCAACATGAGATGATTTATACTAATTTTATACACATATCTTTACCATATTGTTTGATATAATAATAATAATAATAATAATAATAATAATAATAATAGCAGCATTTTATATTTCCATACAAAGAGAGTTGATATGTTTTGTGACCAATATGGTTTTTATTACAAGTTACGATTCGTATTTTACGTTATTAATAACTTACATTGTGTAATCATATAATAAAACATTGTTATATAAAACTTCTCTGAAGTACCTGTCAATCGAACCGTTTGTTTATCAACTTAACTCAATTTGTAAGATATTAGGAAACCTTAGATATCCGTTGTGAAGTAAGACACATTTAATTATATTTAGAATAACATAGGATAAAGCTTATCAAGTGCGTACAAGCGCAGCGTGTAAATTCAGATCAATGTTAACGAATATATAAAAATTATGAATAACTTGAACTGTTAATAATTTGTTGCCGAGAACATGAATTTGTTTGTTACTTTCACTTCATATACAATTCATATAAAACAAAAGAACTAACAATCAGTACTGATAAGCTACAAACTATATCTTAAAAGTAAGATAAAGAGTTTTAGCCATGAGTAGAATTTATAACAATATACATATCGTCAACAGTTATATGTATATTGTATGTAGTATAAAACACAGAAGAAATGTGAAGACTAGAGCAGTGTGCAAAAATACTAGTACATTACTAGCAGCTTAACGAAGAGATCTTAATTTACAAAAACATAAATAAAAAACAATGTTCATATTCTAACATTACATACAATAAGTATAAATAAAATACTTAATAATCACACAACCGCCTATAAATCATATTTACAAATACATAAAGTAAATATATAACAAAAATTAGATCACATAAATGCTATATATTAAATGTATAATAATGTATTGCATATACCCCATAAAATCGCCTCTCCTAGATTATTACATAACAAATAATACGTGTCTAGATGTTCAGATCATCCGCGAATAAGCTTTTGTAAACGATTATTTTCGTTAAAATAAGAAACTATTCTCATTGATTACTGTATATTATAGTGTTATATCATCTATACTTTAGTTTTAACATGCTGTTATGAGCATATAGTGAGCTGCTTTTCTTTCAAAATAGCACAATAAACACATGTAAATATTGTATGTTAGAAATAACTTTATACATCATAGGCTTGTAATGTATTGTAAAAATCTTATTGTTACTAATAAGACTTTGGGCATGTTACCAAAATCTATCCGTCATGATAATAACTATTTGTACTCTTGAAGTAACAAAAGATATTATACAATTATATGAAATGCATTTCTGTACTGTGTAAGAAATAGAGACTTAAACTTAATGTTAACCAATATGTATTACCTCGATTAAATAAAATTTGGTATTAATATTTCAGATTTGGTAATAATAAAGTATAAATTGCGCTGTAATTATATATCTATAAAAATTAAGTGTTCTATACAAAAGCTAGTGCTTAATATGTTTAAACTCTTTCTTCCTTTCTCTTTCTTTTTTATATCTCTGTTTTAAATATTAAATATGTCTTACAACATAGCATAAAGCAACACAGCATATAATATCATAACACTAAACAATAACACTGTATTAAAGATGTCCACGTACTAGATATCTCTTGAATTACCGAATATTGATACGCTTATTATTCAATCACCATGTGTCAATAAAAAAAGATCATTTTATATATGTGTATATATATATATATATATATATATATATGTATGTATGTATGTATGTATGTATGTATGTATGTATGTATGTATATATACATATATATAACTAAAAATATCTTACTAAAATGCTTAATGTTACATACAAAAATTACTTAAGAGAGTCGGCTACAACCACAACTACTAGTATCACCGATCGATGTTGTTTTACCATTTATTGAAGTTGTGTTTGTCTCATATCGAGGTAATTCCTTACTGCGTGCTTGCTAAAATGATATGTAACTGCTGACATCATGAACAATGGTAACATCATGATCTAAAATAAAACATGCAGCTCTTACTTACTTCCATGAGTTCAGCTGCTATTTCCATAAATAATCTTTCTACATTTTCTGCTTCTTTTGCAGATGTTTCTAAAAAGTACATTCCATGTCTTTGTGCAAAATCTTCTCCTACATGTGTTGGTATTTCTCTATCCTCTCGATCAATTTTATTTCCTAATGTTAAGGAAAATTATTTTTTTAAAGTTGTATAACTCATGATTATAAAAGATTATATTTTTAATATTATTTGTTTCATGTCTCTTCTTACTTACCTACCAATATCCTAAGAACTTTATTACTCGCATATTCTTCAATTTCTCTTAACCAGTCTGGCAAACAGTCAAATGTGGGTTGACAAGAAATATCATAAACTAATATCAATGCATGAGCTGATCTATAATAACTTTGAGTAATAGAACGAAATCTCTCCTGACCAGCGGTATCCCAAATTTGCAACTGACAAGATAGCAGACAAACAATTAAACATACATTTGATATATATTATAGACATAACAAACTCGTATCAAATGGTACCTTGACTTTTTCATTTTCTACTTCAACAGTCTTAATCATAAAATCAACTCCAATTGTTGCACCTTGCCCAGGTGGAAATAAACCCTGTAAATGTTAAAAAATTCACTATAAAATTGGAATCGATGTTGATGTAAAAACTGGATTGTTCATATGTATAAAACATACATTCAAAATAAACCACAGCCGCGAGAATAGCAAGGAATACAAAGAGTACTCCGGAATATTACGTTCAACATATGTAGATGACATCATCCGCACAATGTATAAATAACGAACTTTCTATCCTTCCGGAAAACGCAACCGCGCGTGAACGGTGCGCGAGAGTTCGTCACGCGAATAAGTCAACGAGATGACGATAACGACGACGACTATGTTGTCGTTCTTCCGTGATTTGTCTTATTATCGTCAAAGTCAATCGAGAAACATCACCTGAGTGAATCGTCGCACCAGACAGGTCTTGCCCACGCCGGCGTTCCCCACAAGCACAACTTTGAAGAGAAATTTGTAGTCTTCCATGCTCGATGGTCAGCAGCGTCTAACACACCAGGAAGCGACGAACGCGCGCACGAACTACCTCAACGAACGAAACGATACATTGGACACGGCGAGAGGTAGAGATTTCGCCGCAGCCGCAGACCTTTCGCAGGCAGGCGTTCACCTTGACAGGCCGCGCGAAATGTTGCAATGCATTGCCGCGCGCGGCGCCTAAGTGGCGCAATTTTTTATTTTTCTTTTCGATTTCTGCGCTGCCTAGCACGGGTGGAGGACAAGGAGCGGAGAGAAAAAACGACGATGGTAACTAACTCGGCGTCGTCATCGTGTGTGCCACTGTAGTCCGTTCATCACCATCGATCCGACATACGATTCTCACTAGATCGAGCCCGGTCGTTTCAACCATTCAACGATACTCCCCTGCACTTTGTCCTTTTTGCTCTCGCTCCTTCTTTCACCGTCTCGTGCTACTTCTTATTTCATCTTTAATGTAGAAAGTGCGAGAAAGTGCAGCTTCAACGAATATAGGCCTATGCAGCGACATCTACCGTCATTCGATTGTCTCCAACGCCCACGTCCAAGTGCGAAACACGTGCGAAAACGCGTTACCAGACAGATTTTTCAATCGGTAACATACTTGAGGAATTTCTTTTTGGACGCCAGAGTGCGTCCTAGTTCAGTGAAATCATTCGAAATTCACGTGGCTGTTCTTAAATTTTTTTTTTTTATTTCACGCATTGGCGTTTGAAGCAGATGTTTTCCAGGCATCGTAGGAGGAAGGCAGGGAAGTTTAAATCTCATGCTGACGTTGTCATTTTGACTTATTCAGACTTGTTAGGTTTTACTGATTATCATTTTATGTTATAAAACAAAGTTGATTTCAGAAATTAGAAGAAAATCACAATTTTTGGTTTTTTATTTGTCTTTTTTTCTAGGACTCTCAATCCAAACATGGTTAGTCACTTCGGAGAAGTTGTGTTTCCATCATCGCGAGCGTTTTGGGATGACGAAGACGAATATGAACTGGCTGAAAATTTAGAAAATCGTTTGTGAGTTGAATTTGTCATGGAAATGTATTATTATTTTTTAACGTACTATAATTTACACATTTTCGTTAATAAATTGGAACATAAGATAATGAAGTTGTCATTTATTACAGAAAATTATGTTTTCATTGGCAGAAAAATAAACCAGAAGATATAAAAAAATTTATCGTAATTGAAGGAGATCCGTTAATACGTAATATAATCTTTTATAGTACTAATAAGATTTTATATCGGTTAGTTTATATTTTTTCATTTCCAAGCTTTGTTTCAGCTTTTGCGCAACAATGCTTGTGTCACAAAATTGAAGAATCATGTATTATAAAAGATGAAAATGACAAAAAAGTTTCTGTTATCTATGAAATGGATAAACAGCTATATCTGTGTATAATTTTACCACAATTTAATACAAAAGATACAGGAATATTTATAAATGAGGCAAGTACCTTGATAGTAATTATACATATATATATATATATATATATATATAGCAGTCTTACATATTTCATAAGTTTAAAGTATATGAATTTTTGGTTCTTACAGATATCTGACTTGCTACTAAAAACAGAAAACACACTTGCAATAATGTGCCGTCATATGTCACAATTTCAAGGTACAAATATTCCAAATGACCCATCATTTTTAAGGATACTGACCACTAAAAATATAAATGATTTTGAATGCGAAGTTAAAACATTGGAACAACCAAATATTATATTTGGAGTTGGTGCAGGAGGTTGGTAATCATGTCTTATATGTAGCATGCATGTACATATTAAATATACAAATTAAAATTGATTATCTATTTCAGTTTTATCACATGCTGAATTCATGAACATGTCAGCTAAATTATATATATTGTACATTGACGGTTTTGTACTAGACTCAAAGTGCGCAGAACCAATTTTGAAGGTTTTAAACAATGAATTACCTGGAAAATTGCAGCACCTTAAATTTGCAGAGAATTTTTTTAGTAAAGGAAATCTTTACATGTGATACACTTCTGTTTTATTATTTTCTTGCGGGAATAATATTTAAACTGATTAAATGTATAAACCAAATTAAATATGATTCTTGTTATTTTGGTGAGTATATTGATTGTATCTATCAGAAAAAGGAAAAAGAATGATGATGTTAATAGTAGAAAAAGGAAAGCTTTATAATTATTGCTGATAACAGCAAATATAAAAGTACGACATATATCTGTACAAAATTTACAATAATTGAGTTCTTAATATTTTAATAGATTTATCTTTACTTAAAATAATGATGCTTGTATAGATACAGTTTACATTGTACGCACAATATATTGCCTTCCGTTATGGTTGTGATGGGTAATAATTGCGTGGTGGCGCAGCAGGTGGTGGGATTGGATTATTTGCTGAAAAATAGGTTGCATTTGTTGGATAAGAATACGGTTGAAATGGCGGCTGGTTCGTGGTCGGTACTGACGGTGGTGCAGGACGAATAGTAGTGGAAGATCCAATATGATGCATCGTTGGCACGATATGATTCATTGTATTGACAGGAGGAGGTGGGACCGAAACGTTCGTAGGCGGGAACGCTGGTGGATAATTTGAATTGTTAGATGCTGGAAAATTTGCCGGATAGGTTGGAAAGTGCGTCGCTGGGACATCTATTGGTTTTATAGTATCTGTGACATCTGCAGGTGGACAGCCATTTGCAGAAACCACTGGTGTTTCAATCTTGGAAGATTTTCCAGGAGTCACTGTAAGAGTTACAGGAATTACAGTAAGATTTATCGGTTACTCGTACAAGCTTTAACGTTCTTGAACATTTTATCATTGATTTAAGTTCTTAGTGACTCATCAGCCTTTTAGTTTTACATGCAGAAATCACTTGTGTTTATAACATTTTTAATATGATAAACACTCGTTAAATTCAAAAACTGATGTATTTGTACCTTAAGAGCTGATGTAACATCTACTATTACTTACCATTTGGCGTATTAGATGCCGATTCTACGTTAGCAGCAACAACAGGTCGTTCTCTACATATTTCACTGGATGGTATCATAGGTGGTGAATCAGGTGGTTTTGTATTATTTGCTTGTGAATATAGATCCAATACTTGATGACAAATGTCTAGAAAGGTATATATTTGGATAAACAGAGTAATGATAAAGGAGGATAAAGTAGAAAGCACTTTGCAAAAAATTTGCGTAGTCGTACCTTCTAAAAGGTCCATAGTCACATCTTCAACAAACATATCCCACCAACGTAAATGTTTTGGTTGTCTTCCAACCCAGTCTACCACTTCAAACTTGCTTAATTTTCCAGCTAAGTACATCAGAGCAACAGCTATGATTTCTGGTTCCCATTGCAATGAGAGAGTGGTACATAAGCTATTAAGAAATATTATATTAATATATAGTAACATATATTGTATGCATTAATATATAGTAACTTGCGATCTTGTTACATCAGAATAACAACTAGAATAATAATTGAGTAACAAATTAATTGTCACATACCTATCATTAACAAATGTCCAAGCCATCTGTACCATCTTTTGTAATTTGTTTTTATCACCTACAAATGAATTCAGATTTAAATATAAAATCTTTTCTTGTTTTGTTATAGACTCAACACACACACACACACACGATAAATTACCTTTAAGACACTTTGCATATTTCAGTAAATAGCTATATGGATGTTCCACTTGTAGATCAAATTTAATAGTTTGCAATAAGATCTTTTCCAATGTTAAGACTTCTTCCTGTTAAACAGAATATGATATATAAATATTTGTTAATAGGACAGTATATATCTTTTTATTAGCTAATATAAGTAACTTACTTTAGGATCTTCTCCAAATGTCATGAATTTCTGTTCAGACACCAAAGTCTTAGCAGTCCGTATAATATCTTTACACTTCTTTGGAGTTTCTTCGACTTTTCCAGCCAAGAGTAAACAGCAACAAGCTGTTACCTATATATTGTTATAATACATAATATTTAATGAATGAAGCAGAACTGATTTTATTTTACATAAGTATAATATGTACTTACATATCGCGGGAAATTCTTAAACGAATGAAACATGTAAAATCGATGAAAGTAAACTACACCCGTTGCCATCGTATTATAACCTAAATCCATTTTTGTACCAGTATCGATGATAAAACGTGCGCCTTCCTTCCTATATCTACATTCGGTCTCGTAATCGATACCATCCTGAATGGATGGTGTGTTTCGTAGTTCTTTCTTTTCATAGTACCAGCATGGCATGTTTAAACATCTTCAGAGTAGAATGAACATATTAATAAACGTATATTGTATTACTTTCATCTTTGAACGGTAATTCGCAATAATCTAACGCTACTATGCTAGTGAGATCAAACGGAATACACACACATAATTGTAAAGACTAATGTAACCTATCGTTAAGTATTATTGATGCTAAAATTTTTTTACGATTTACGATCGGGTACATATATGTTGGTGTATGTGATGAATATAAGACCACTTATTCGGTATATACTCACTCGAAGAATATTTAATATTTCGTGATAAATTCCTCTTTTGCGTCAGTTAACATAAATTAGTATCACAAATTATACACACACGAAGCAGAATACACTTTCGGTACTTGATGGATCAGCTGTTATGTTAAAGTGTAGTTTTCAAAATCTCCGCTATGAATGTTACTGTCGCTATCGATAAATCAAACTTGTCGTTCGACTCAACGTTGGGTCAGCCGGAACTTTATTTTCAAGTAGTACGATTCAACGACAGCTTTGCTCAACTAACATAGATGGCGCAACAAATCAGCGATTGGATGGGAACTCTATCAGAATCGTGGCGTGGCTCTTCTCATTCTTTTCTGTTATTAATCCATACGTTGCTTCTCTGCTTATCTGACTGCAATATATATATGTATATACATGATATATATATATATATATATAATATATACTCATGTTATACATGGATACATAATATAGCTATGCGCATTCGTGTGGTATGTGCATACGATATATATAATGCGTGTGTACATACGTGGTTATCAGTAGTTAGCAGTTAACCGCGAATTCTTGCTGTAAATTTGTATCAAAACCATTAACTGATAAACTTATCTTTTACAAAAAAAGACTAAATGTTTATATATGTTAGTAGCAATTTGATAAGTATACTTGGAAAACGTTTGCAATTTCGGAAATAAACAGAACTTTGAATATAATGCCGTTGGCAAATCTAACGGCTCCCTGGACCGAGCACCGTGTAAATGAGAAGGTAAAGTTTTCGCTAGTACCTCTCAATATTCTAAAAAAAAACTATATATATGTATATATATATATGTATATATATCAATTTCATTTATTCGCGAATGTTTCAACAATTTAGTTTTCTATCATTTGCATTCTTTTTTCAGCAAAGTACAGATATTTTGCCGGCGGAAAATCAAGAAGAAATAATGATTACTCAAGGAAATTTGATCGAAAGATCAAATGGTTGTTCTGAGTCTCATGAGATCGAAGTACGTGATATGGTACGAGATGGTTATGAAAAAGCAGAACCTTCTCATTTTGAATTGTTAAAAGTCCTTGGCCAAGGTTCTTTTGGCAAGGTAAGAGTGGCATGTAAAATATATTTGCATGTGTGTACATATATGTATATTTAATATATGAAGATAGGTTTAAATATATGATATATAATTGATATGGTATGTAATCTTATATTTTATTTTTCTTGTCTATTTATAGGTATTTTTAGTAAGAAAAGTTGTTGGAAAAGACAGTGGTACGCTGTATGCTATGAAAGTTTTGAGGAAAGCAACATTAAAAAGTATATTGAAAGTATACTATTAAATGCCTCATATTCTGTTTGTTATTTACTTATTGTTTATTCATTTTGTTTTAGTTCGTGACAGAGTTAGGACTAAAATGGAGAGAAATATATTAGTGGATGTGGAACATCCATTCATTGTCAGACTACATTATGCGTTTCAAACAGAAGGAAAGTTGTATTTAATTCTTGATTTTTTAAGAGGTGGTGACCTTTTTTCGAGATTATCTAAGGAGGTAATTTTTATTGAATAATTCCCATTTTTGAGAAAAATATGAGGAACATGATATATGTCATAAATGAATATAATTACTCAAATAAATATATCTGTAATTATAATCATATAATTAATGCTTCAGGTGATGTTTACGGAGGATGATGTTAAGTTTTATTTAGCTGAACTAGCACTCGCCCTAGATCACATACACAGTCTTGGAATTATTTATCGAGACCTCAAACCTGAAAAGTTTGTATTATTCACATATACTGTGCTTTGTATGTGATTGGATTACATATAATAGTGATTGTATGTAATCCAATAGGTATCCATTACGAATGTATTGCATTAATCTAATTTTTTATGTGATAGCATTTTACTAGATACAGAAGGCCACATATCTTTAACAGATTTTGGCTTGAGTAAACAACCTTTGGATGATTCATACGCATACTCATTTTGTGGCACTGTTGAATATATGGCACCAGAAATCGTCAACAGAAAAGGACATTCCTTTACAGCAGATTGGTGGAGCTTTGGTGTTTTAATGGTCAGTCAGATCTTATATGTTGCATATGGAGATAAAAAAGTCGTAATAGGCGCAGTAATAGACTAACAAAGAATCAAATATTACTTTCGATATATTTTTCCAGTTTGAAATGCTGACAGGCGCCCTCCCGTTTCAAGGTGCTAATCGCAAAGAGACAATGACGCAAATTTTGAAAGCCAAGCTTGGGATGCCACATAATATTTCAACAGAAGCACAGGCGCTTCTGAGGGTATTATTTAAAAGAAATCCAGTGAATCGCCTGGGCTCTGGTAATGTAAAATTTGTACAAGCTTCAAAATTTCACACATGTACACATATGTAGTACACACAGATAATTGTTTCAAAGTTCCCTTTTTTTTTAGGTGGTGTACAAGAAATTAAAAATCATATTTTCTTTGCTACTATCGATTGGAACGCTCTTTATAGAAAGGAGATACGGCCACCGTTTAAACCAGCTGTCAGCCAGGAGGATGATGCCTTCTACTTTGATAGTGAATTTACCTGCAAAACACCTAAAGGTGACCGCTTCTTTTCAAAAACGGAAGGAAAAGGAAGAACAGTAATGTAGACGCAGATCGATAATAATCATCTGAATGTTCTCATTTTTCTGAATTTACGCACTCAGTGCTTTTGTTACCAGCGAAATTCTGTAGCGGTATCCTCTTTCAGATTCCCCAGGTATACCGCCGAGCGCGAACGCTCACGAACTATTTCGCGGATTCAGCTTTGTTGCACCGTGTTTGCTCGCGGAGACCGATCACACCCAGTCTCTGGAGTGCAAAAATTGCGACAGCATCAGCGCTACTTTTCCAACCTACGTCAATCCCGTTTCTATAACGGACGAGTACGAATTCAAGCAAGAAATTGGCAAAGGAAGTTATAGTGTGGTTTACTTAGCCATCCATATAGCATCCAAGATGGAGTACGCCGTAAAGGTAATCAATTCTTCTTTTTTCCTTCGTGTAAATCTGTTTATAAAATTGTCTATATAAACCAAATATATATTCTCTCTAAAATTATATGCCGAGTAATAGGAGGAAAAAATCTCTATAAATAAGCAAACTTGAAAAAAAACAGGTGATTGAGAAATCGAAACGAGATCCGACGGAAGAGATAGAAATTTTATTACGATATGGTAGGCACCCCCATATCGTAACATTGAGAGCAGTCCACGAAGACGATAGACGAGTATATCTTGTATTGGAACTTTTGCGCGGCGGTGAACTGCTCGATCGTTTACTACAAAGACGAAATTTTACGGAACGAGAAGCTGCTGAAGTGATCCACACTATTACCAGTGTTGTGCACTATCTTCACGAGAACGGGGTAAGCGTAGAATTTTTGTTATAATACATCTTTCAACCACAGTATGTGCATATGTACAGTGTGTGCATGCTTATCCACAATAAAAACATCGTCGTTAAGACGACGATATTAACAGTGCGTTAAAAAAATCAACAGGTGGTTCATAGAGACTTGAAACCGTCGAACATTTTGTACGCGAAACCTGGCGGGGATCCGACGACACTTTGTATATGCGATCTTGGCTTTGCGAAACAATTAAGAGCGGAAAATGGTTTACTGATGACACCATGCTATACAGCGAATTTCGTTGCGCCGGAAGTGTTGAAACGCCAAGGATACGACGCGGCGTGCGACATTTGGTCACTCGGAGTCTTGCTGTACATCATGTTGGCTGGGTATCGAAAAGTTTCACTTATGACAACCAATTATTATTAATCCTCACCAAAATGCCTCACTTTATTGCTCTATACACGCAGATACACGCCTTTTCGCAATAGTCCGGGGGACAGCGCGAGCGATATATTGGATCGTATCGGACCGGGATACATAGACGTAGAAAGCGGAATATGGTGTCATATCTCCAGCGAAGCTAAAGAATTAGTCAAAAGAATGCTGCACGTAGACCCTAATCGGAGGCCTACCGCGGCCGTTATTTTAAAATACTCTTGGATTATGAATCGACACCGTATTCCACAGAAAGTGTTACCGGACCATACTATTAAAGATCCGCATAATCTGAAGGTATTAGAGACTATTATCGTGATTTAACGTTGGTACACATTTCGGCAACAACTCTACACGGCGGGTATCATGGTGCGTCTTGTTTCAGATGGCAGTGGCAGCTACATATAGAGCAATGTCGAGTAATCCAAGATCGCCGCACATTGGTCCTGTGATTATGTCGGAATTAGCACGTCGTAGGACACAAGGCAAACCCACCGGTCCCACTGCTGTTTAAATTTGAAATATCTCCTGGATATGACGACAGATTTCTGTTTTATCCCGAAATTAACAAATGCAGATACCTAGGATAACAAAGTTGTTTAAAGTACAAGCGGAAGTAGCTTAGGGAAAGATGTCGAGATAATGGGGGATTTTTGCAATATCGCCTCTCAGATACGTTAGATGTAAATCGTGAATGCTATTCGTCGCGCACATGGCGACGTTATTTCTGAGCAAATAACGTTCACGATTTACGTTTACCGTATCTGAGAAACGGTAATGCAAAAACTCCCCATTGTTGATTACTTTAATACCGTTGTAGAGAGTGTGTGACGGGACATTTATGACAGTGAATCAAATGTGATATTTATTTATAGAGTTTCATTTTGCGTGTAATGTACATACATACACGTATAGGAGCGTGCTTGATGTATGCACCACGCCCCATGTAACATATAAGTACACACACGGACACATATGTGCGCATATATTTATCACTTGTTGCCATGTATTGGGAATAGAGTGCGAATAATTCCGATAATAACAATCGGAATGTGTACTTTGGGGGAGGGGGGGAGGGAAGAGGGGTTCCTTTAAGTTTTAAATTAATTTTTTATTGTATTGAATTTTATTATATTTCTCGTTGCAGATTCATAGTGTGAAAGATATGTCTGAAGTAATCACGCCGAAATGATCGAGTAAGATTCAGCGATTTAAGTATTTAAACAGAAAAAAAAAGAATTGAATATATTATGCGTAGTATTTTATCTGTGCAATGTAGTTTGAATTAATTTTTTAACTAAATGTATATCGAATAAATGTCTTATATTTCCGCCTAAATTTGAGATTTTAAGCTGCTTGCGAGAATTGTACATACTCAAAATTATCGTTTAACTGACTACTCGTTAAAACGTACTACTTAGAAATAAAAATTAATTTAATCGTATTATTTAAAATAAAAAAATCTGTCTCTGTGTGTGAGACGTGCCATTGAATCTCATATTGCGATTTTGATTTATTAGCAAAAATTGTATATGGTATATTTTGAGAAATATTGAAATCGTTAAAATATGATAAGTGACAAAGCAAATGAGTCCACAGGATGACGAAAACTACGACGGAAGAAACGCATGCGCAATTTCGTCTTTCGATCTAATAACCTAACTTTAACATTCATCGTATCTGAGGAATGTCATTGCGAACACTTCCTAATAAAATATAAAATAGCCAGTAGCGAAAAAGAAAAGTGGAAGAACGAGAAGTTTCATAATTGTGAACAACTTTGATATAAAATTATTATAAATGTTACGTAACTTTATTGGCAATGTTTCACCGTGGAAGAAGAATCTATTCAAAAGGTAATCGAAAGCTAAAGAGCTGTTTTTGTTTGATCATTTCGACATGTTTCAAGTATCAATTGAATTGACAGAATTCATTAACAATTCGTGTCTCATTATTACAGAACAATAATAATCAAATCAAGTGTTGGTCATTATATTTTTAATTCTGCTTAGCTTACTCAACTCTGATAAGGTTATGTTAGATTTTGCAATGATGAAAAACCAAGACTTATTATCATTATTCTGTGAAAAACAAACAATAATTTGTTCTATATGTATATAATATGGTATAGGGTGTTAAGAAAAGAAAGTTGAAATTCATTAAATGTATATATAATAATAATATATAAATGTATATCTTGTATATATACAATAATTTGACTATGTTTTTCATTATAGGTATAACATATCACAGGCTATATTTAATGTTAGACATAAACAGAATTTAGCTAAAGTTGATGATGATGAAGAAGATAGCCGTCCCATCAAATATTCTCTATCAAAAGCTGCTCATATGAGAGTTGACGAATATCGTATTCCATATGAAGATAAGGAACCTAGATATCAGTCAGTACTTGTAACATTAAGTTTAATTGCCTTTTTGGTTTATTTCTGTATCTTAAGAGAAGAGAATGATATTGATGACCTAATTTATGTTGACTTAGAAACTAGTCTAAATCGATGTGAAACAGAGTATAACAAAAAGAAGGCTGCTAAACTTGCATTAAAGTAGAGAACTTGAACTTATCATAGATATTACCATACTATTATCATAGATACTACATAGACTATTGTTAATTTTATGAAATAATTTCATTTATTATGCAAATACAATATTTGTTCGTTATAATGGCTATTTATTAACACATAATTAACAGACATCAAATATTTATAATGGGTACAATAATTTACCCCATATGATATTATTTAATATTGTGTGCCATTCAATGGATGGATGACAAGTAATTGTATCTGGAATACATTTCTTCCATGTAAGAGACCAAGGTGCGATGACTAGAGTCATTGATAATGTAGTAGGTCTCTTTGGATGGTTAGGATGCAATCTAACATCAACTGTATCTATGAAAAAAATATTGACATAATTTACAATATTATTTATATCAGATGTATCATATAATGAGTTGTTTTATTTCCAACTACAAATCTTACTACAAGTACTGTAAGAATGCAACAGCCATTTCCAGAAGGTATAAACTGGCATAACTTGTAAATAAAACTTCAATCTGGTCAGTAAACCATCAAACCCAATAGATACTAGCCTGAGCTGCAATCATGTATGATAAATATCATTGTGAAATTATCTCAATTAAACTTTTAAGAAAATTGAAGTCAAAGCATACATCTTACCAATGTAAATACTGTATAATACACCCATGTTGTCGGCATTAAAAACACAAGAATAGTGAATGACAGAGTTCCAACAAATAATTGATCTGTCTGATATTGGCAGGAGTCTACTCTTTCACGTAAAGGATTCTTTTTTTTTCCAAGGAAAAGTCTGAAGAGAGCTGTGATACCTCTCAGCTGAATGTTAAAGAGTCTGTAATAAACCTGCTTCTTCAATAATTTGCAACAGTTAATTATTAAATACAATAATAAATCGTTTCATGCTTATTATTTGTCATATTTATCATCACATGCGCTTATGTGAAGCGGTGTACTATAGGATTTTTTTGGAGAAGATTTATCACACACACCTTGCTGCACAAACATAGATGCAGTATGTATGAAAGCTGACAAGAGCCAAGAGATCTGCAGCGATGGATAATTGAAATGTGATGCCAAGCCTTCCAAATAAAAGTAATATTTTGAATGCAAGATCCATAAGTGGCTTTGAAAATATCAGGAAAGTCCACCAGAGTTTTATATGATACATGAAGAATTGGCCCATTGTATTATTCAGAGCATGATTAAGTTTTAAACCAGCTGGCACACCCATCAACCAAGTGATCAGATCCTTTAGAGTCTCTACAACTTTCTAAGAAAAAAAGAATTGCAATTTTTAAAGCTGATTGAAATGGACAAAATCTGATAACTTGCAAGTATATATTATATCAAATCTTATTAACAAGGAATTTACAAGGAAAATTGTATTTATCTCAAGCAAATATTGCTTTAACTTAATTTCAGAGAAATAAGTTTTTATATTTCAAATTGTCAAGCTGCTTGAAACTAAACAACAAGTTTCAAATTAAATTTAACTTTTACCAAAAAAACAAGTATAAATTTGTATATACATAACATACACACATACATATATTTTCAAACTTGCCTCTGCATTGTTTAAAAGCAACTGTGATGGTAGTGTATCCTCGACATAATATCGCAACAATCTTAGAACAAATATTCCTAAAGCTATATCTATTATTATCGCCCATGCGTAATTTCCTGTCTTTAATGTAAAACCCTTATTACGTATGACTGTGACCAACATCCACTTAATATTCTCCAACCAATCATGAACATGCAAGCCAAGAGAAGAATATCTTAAGACTAGCAATAACTTTCCCGTCACTTTGGATAGTAACAGAACTGGATACAAATAAAAAAGCATATGATAAGTCAACAGAGTTTCCTTAATACGAATAAATCTTGATTTGACTCTTAGTTCATCTTTCTTGCCCTGGATAAGTTTTGCCAGCTCAGAGAAATGATCTCCCGATATAGTTTTGCTCTCGAATAATTCTGTTTCCCGTAACGCTCGCTGGTCATATAACACGATTATTGTGCGTATTGTCAATGGATCAATGTTAACATTGTTGAGAATAATGTTTGTCAAACAATATTCAGTTCTTATTTCATTCCTGAAGCATTTTACTGTAATGTGTATCCAATCAGAATGTTTTCGATCTAAAGATTCTTTGCTCACATTACTCGGGTTAGTGTAACATCCGATGGTGTCTAATGCGCATTTAATTGACTCCAAAGAACCTACTTTCCGCAATCCGATAATGTAAATTCTTTTTGTATTATTTTGTGTGTCATGAATCACTCTGCCAAAGACATAACCAGATGGTTCCATGTGTAGTCCTTGTGGGATAAAAACTAACAAATTGTTCGTCATTTTCAAACCAAAAGCATAATCATGTGTGACTTTAATTTTTATTAATATTACGCGACATCATGACACTTTATACATCACTTCTTTTATGAGATTTTATTTCACATTATAAATGGAACTTTTTCCGAATGTATCTAACATATCTGACACATATCATTGCCGCTTCTTCGAATCAACTATCATCATCGATATGAATATATAAGATAATTAAACATACGCCTGATAAAAGAAACTCTTTAGTAACTTTAAGTCTAATAAATATTAGCTGCGTTCCGAAATTCACTGCCAGTACTGAAAATACACAGTTTGTGTCACGTATACTATAGATTTTCAGTGCTGGCAGTGAATATCGGAACGCAGCCATTGAAGAAGTGTTTCTGCAATCTAGTGTAATATTGGTAACCAATCGAAACAAACCAATGTCACATAATGAAATGGCGTCTTTAGTAGAAGAAGAAAGCAATGTGTGGTGTTGACTTTTAACAATCGCAAACATAAACGTATTTAAAGAGATAGCCAACTTCCTTAAATCCACTAACCAATCCATTTAATCCTCCCTCCCCTTAACGCAGCTGGAGAATGGCGTATGGATACGCCTTACTACCTAAAGCCATATACCGAACGAACGAACGAACGTGTATCGACCTAACTTCACTTGACAGTACTTGAACTCACCCTAACCTGAAAAGATCACAATTTTGACAGTTCTTAACTTATTACGTTGTGTTGACGGAAACCAAGAAGTGAAGATGGAAACAACACTAAATAAAGTAAAATATCATCGTGAATCCGTTAATTCTTTTTTTAATTTTTATATTATTCATACTCTGTGTCTTATTATTATTTGTTTAAGACATTTTTGTTGTTCTAATTGCTTTGTTTAAATCGTTCCATCTTATCACCTCCTAGATAATGTAAATGCTGAGTTTTCTCATCATTTCTTGTTTTAATTATTCAAATCATACGAAATGAAAGAGATTATTACTTTATTAGTTATCGCATGCAATATTCAATGATTCAATGCTGAGCCTCATATACACATGGAACAGAATTTTTTATAGTTATTAACCAAAACTTGATTCATAGGATGAGCAGAATAATCAAGATGACTCGGATTCTTCAGAAATTGATGAAGTAGAACCTAGATTAAAGTATATGAGAATTCGCAATGATCTAGAACATATCCTACAGAATGATGCAGCTAGCTGCATTGCTGTACATCCAAAGGTAAAGTATTGCTGAGTAATCATGAAACTAATTTGTAAATCATTAAATAGTTATTTTCAGCATCAGAATTAGTATGGACATTGATTTTCTGTTTATATTTATTAATCACACTAGTTTCTTTTTTCTTTTCTTTGCTTAGTTTCTCTGTCTAGGGTCACATTGGGGAATGATTCATCTTTTGGACCACCAGGGGAACAATGTAAAGTCTAAAACATTACAGGCACATACAGTGGCAGTCAATCAGATTTCCATAGACCATAATGGTGACTTCATTGCTTCTTGTAGTGATGATGGAAAGGTTTTCATTTATGGACTATATAGTACAGAGAACAATCATAACATGAGTATGGGCAGGCTGGTAAAAAGTATAGCGATTGACCCAAATTATTACAAAAGTGGCAGTGGCAGGAGATTTATTACAGGTTAAAAAAATATATGAAATTTTATTTAGATATTTGTGGTACTTGATGATTTGTATGTAAAGTTAATTGGTTATTGTTTTTGGAACTTTAATGCCATCTACACATGTATGTAACTTATAGGTGATGACAAATTGGTGCTTTACGAGAAGACTTTCCTGGCCAGAATGAAGTCAACTATACTTTGTGAGGCGGAGGGTGGAGTAAAATCTGTTGCTTGGTCTAGTCGTTTTGTCGCTTGGGCCTCCGATACTGGCGTGAGAGTTTATGATCTCGATGCTAGATGTTCACTGGGACTGATCAAGTGGTCTCGTACAGCAGAGTAAGCGCTCACACAAAGTAGCGCATATAGCATCATATGCGTTGCAAGGTGTGTCAAGGAAGTTTTGGCGCTAAGTGAATTATGAATGAAACGAAAACCACTTATTGTTTATTTCCTGTGAAAGCAGCCGTTGCCACAATAATGTTAATTGCAGCGACTGCGATCGATTTATTGCATCAAATTGGAATTCACTTGGAACCAGAAGTTTTCTACCACACTTTTTGTATCTCACACAATTCTATGCCTTTTTCACGTAGCGCATCGCCAGAACATTATAGGTGCAATTTGCAGTGGTCGGACGATAAAACGCTGCTGATAGGATGGGTGGATGTTGTACGGGTCTGTCAGATTAGGAAACGTACTATGCAAGAGATGGTAAATCGAGACTTGCCTGAATTTGTAGTGGATCCAGGTAATAAGTGAAAAGTTTCATTAAAGTTTTCTGAATAAACGAAAAGCAACGTATGATCTGATTTGAATCGTATCAAAGATTTTTTATAAACTTAAAAATCGTTTATACAAACGTACATTTGTTTTAGTGTCAACATTCCAAGTGGATTTTTACATATCCGGTATTGCGCCATTGGGAAATCAGTTGGTATTGTTGGGATGTTTAAAAACTCTGGATGAAAATGGAAAAAGCCAGCGTCCGACCTTACATGTGGTTGAACCTAATGGTCAAGATTTTTCAGTGATATGCGCAAACTCACTCACTCTACGTGGCTACAAAGAATATAGCTGCAACGATTATCATCTAGACTGTTTAAAAGAGGAAAACAGGTGAGTGGTAATGCTATCGGTTCAATATAAGACATCTCGAAACAACATGTTTCTAATCATAGCTTCCTTGATCAAGTTGGAGGTGATTTTTCTGTATTCTCGATACTTCCTAAAAGAAATTAAAGAAATATCGAGAGAGAATATTAGCGAGAATATAAGATATTAAAATTTACATTTAAATGTAAATGTAAATGTACTGCAAAATTACTTTCTCTTCTAGGTACTGAAAATTTGTTTTCTTATCCTTATTATATGTTATTAATGTTATATATGTTATTAATGTTCACCATTGTTTCTCATGTAAAAAAAATAACTTTACAGATTTTTTATCGTCAGTCCAAAAGACATTGTAGTAGCCAGTTTATATGATGCAGACGATAGGATCGATTGGCTGTTAAATCATGGAAAATTCGAACAAGCTCTAGAAGCAGTGACAACAAACGGCAAAGACTGCAAAAAACATACGTTATTGTACGTGGGTCGTACTTATTTGGATCACCTGTTAAAATATCAAAGGTACGACGAGGCTGGGAAACTTTGCCTCAAAATTTTAGGGCGAAACAAAAAATTGTGGGAGGAAGAGGTAAGTGCTATTCTCTCAAGTTTATATCTGTGGAATCTCTTTCCTTCAATAATATGTAAATAATTTCCTTTTGCCGAGGTAGGTTTACAAATTCGCCAGAGTGCATCAACTACGTTCCATCTCGTCTTATTTGCCTCGAGGTGATATCACCCTCGATCCATTGATTTATGAGATGGTACTGTACGAGTACCTAAAGATGGATCCCGACGGCTTCTTGCATCTGGTTAAAGAGTGGTCCCCGAATTTATACACAGTGGCAGCAGTAGTTAACGGCGTGTTGGAGCATTTACTAGTCCACAATCAGCGACAGAACGTATTATTGGAAGCACTGGCAATTTTGTATATCTACGATGGCAAATACGACAAAGCACTCGCTATGTACTTGAAGCTGCGACACAAAGATGTCTTCCAATTGATCCAAAAGTACCAGTTGTACAGTTCGGTATATGAAATGATCGAAGGTCTAATGGATCTGGACACGGAACGTGCCATACAGTTCTTCTTGGAGAAAGACCGAGTTCCGTCTGAAGTTGTTGTGCAGAAACTTCAGCATAATCAACGTTACTTATACCTGGTATATGATTCAATGATACTTTTGTTATTCAGAAGTATGTGAGGAAAACGCATTTCGGTTTAATTAATCAGGTCATATTCGCGCGGCTTTAACTTTCCTACGTTTTATCGAGACAAACGATTCTCCGTATGAATTTCTCCTTAGGAAGCTTCAACCACATAATGTCTTTTTTATTTTTAGTATTTGGACGCCTTAGATAAAAAAGATACAAAGGATTCTAAAGGCAAGTATCACGACTTGCTGATACGATTGTACGCTGATTATTCGAGGGACAAGCTGCTGCCACTCTTACGTCGCTCTGATAGTTATCCGATACAGCAAGCCTTGGATATATGTAGTCAGCGTCAATTTTATCCCGAAATGGTGTACCTTTTGGGTAGAATGGGAAACACTTCAGAAGCTTTGGCGCTCATGACAAGGGAACTCAATGATATGGAGAGTGCCATCGCGTTTTGTCAAGAACACGATGATAAAGAACTGTGGAACGATCTAGTTAATTACTCGCTCGATAAACCTGGTATGAATCATAATATATGTCGCTTTTACCACATTATATCTGTTCTTATATTTGAAGAAAAAGAAATCTGCTTGTGACATTTTAGGTACTAATTACGAATCGATCCATTTTAACACAATATCAGTATATAGAGTTTGTAAACAACAAATTCTTTTTCGTATATTCCAGCGGCTATTACCTTCCTTCTCCAAAGAATTGGTACCTACGTCGATCCACGACTCATGGTACAAAGGATAGAGCCCACTTTAAAAATTCCAGGACTAAAAAGAGCATTGGTCAAGATGATGTGTGACTATAATCTGCAGGTGTCCGTGCAAGAAGGTTGTAAGAAGATTCTGTCCAATGATTACTTCAATCTTCACGAGAGGCTCGTTCGTTGTCACCAGAAAGGCATATTTATCGACGGTAGTGTACGCGATTTCGTAGAATTTTGAAAAGCAAAGATAACGAATTTATTATAGAATTATATATTATAGGAATATTATAGGAATAAAGGAATATTATAGAAATATGCGATTAAGTGTTTTATATATAACTGAAATATCTCATTTTAGTAAATTTATAATAATATTTTCAACAATCTGATAGAATAATTAGGATAATAGTACGATAGAGATATAAACTATATTTTAAGATATAAAAAGATCTTGCCACTAGCATATCTGTTTTTTTTTTTTCTACAGACGACCAAATGTGTGGAGCTTGCCATAGGAAGATAATTGTAAGAGGTATTTATACAAATTGTGATTAGGTATTAACATTTAATTATACAATTATACATAAATCATCTACTACATTTCTTTTCCTAGAGCCACGGGACATGGTTGTATTTTATTGTAAGCACTCTTTCCATGAGGATTGTCTGCCTAACTTTGAATTGGTTGTATGTATAATGCTTTTTCTGTAACAACTTATATCGCTTCGTTGTTATCATCGACGCATCGTCATTATGATCATTATTTCCAGGAAAATTGTGTAATATGCAATTCACAGAAGGAAATGACGCCTGGTAGAAAATGATAAAGGTAAAATTGCATCTCTCGTTATATGACATGTGCAATATCTAAAGCTTGAAGTGGATATACGATAATATACTTCAGTGTGTGTGATACCAAAATTGTGTTGCGGTGACGTAAACAAATTTTTGCATAATAAAATAGTTAAAATTATTTAATAATTGAAATTAATGAATTTTAATCTAAAACTTTTTCAATTCACGCAAAAATTTTTCAGTTTATGATATCAAACTAGACCGAATTTTAATCCATTTTTTTTATTAGTTTATTTACTTTGCTTTAGTCTATATTAATATACTCTATATTAATATAATATATGTAGTAAAGTAATATATGTTGATATAATAATAATAATAATAATATAATAATAAATGTACATATTTTTTATGAAAGTTTGAGAAGAAAGCTTTGTAATAAAATATTATTTTTCTCAAATCTTTGTAAATGATTTGTAAACGATTTGGAAACGAATATTTCTGCTTTAAATTTAATACAATATAGTTCTTTATTTAATATATGAATCTACATAATATAATAGTAAACTTTTTAGAATTTAATAGAAACGTTTTTAAATGACTTACATACTATTTATGGAGTGGATGTATAGAAAAGAATCAGTCTCTTTAGAAATTTGATTCATCCTGCTCAAAGAATGATTTATGGAATTGTGATGCAAATATGCACTTTGTGCAGAACCTGTGAACGTCGATGTTGGACGATGTTGGACCTTCAGATATTGCAGTGGACGCGTTTCATTGTCAGATTGCTTCGCAGATTGAATCGACGTGCCAAACTTTCGGTTTTTTGGTGAACGCTTTGAAGTGTTGTATCGTGAAATCTATGACGTCGACAGGTTTCACTGATTAAAGATCAACAATAGAAATATCAGTTGATGATTTATGACTATGATTTATCGAAGCAGATTGGGCTGAAAGTTTATCCTGTGAATGTTATGTAATTACCGATGAGAAGAGTCAGAACGTAGTCTGCAATTAATTGTTTTATTTCGGGATAATCCACCAGGTAATCCGTGTGCTCAGCTATGTTGCAAGACTGTCAAAGAATTCTTTGTAAAATTTTTACAAATACACACACACACACACACACACACACATACACATACACATACACATACACACGCGCACGCATACGATAAGAAAACATTTCGAGTAAAAAACAATATTTAGAAGATGTATATAAATTGATCATAGAAAAAAGGCGATAGTATTTGTATTTATTATTAGTAATGATCTCTACAAATTCGTTTCTATATAAACAACAAAAAGAATAATTATTAAAATATTAAATTCACGAGTATTATATGAATAATCTGATAACTAATATTATTAATTTTAGGCTTTTATTATTCAATATTAGCCTTTGACTTACGAATAGAAATAAATTTATGCGACTCGATACAAATGTATCGAGTCGCATAAATATGACACAAAAATGTCGTACATACCATTCTAGGAATCATTCTAATGTCAACTACATGTGTATATTTTAATAAGAAGTAAATTAATATACAATTATAATAAAGGATAAATTTGCTATCAATTTTTATTTATTATCATTCAGTATATTATTATTAAAGATTATAATTAGTTAAAAGTAAGAAATTACTTTTATATCTAAATATTTGGAGAACATCTCGATATCTTGCATCCATCGTTCTCTCAATGGAACATTCATTCTACAGTTTTGTTTGTATCGTTTAAAATTATATGAAATTCTGCCTCGTGATATGTCAGAAGATTTTTAAATATGTTACGCGAATTTGTCTCCTCTATGGATCTTGTATTGCCCGCAATTAGATTTATGTTGGTGTTACTGGTTACCAAGTGGCGCGAGTAGCACTGATGGTAGCACTGAGGCGCGAAGAAAGGACAATATGGAAGAAGATATTTAATTATCCATCTGTCATGTGAGAATCTGATCGATCTCGACGGTAACAATTTTTCATATCCTTATTTAATTACGTCTCCATAAGCTCGATAAGTGTCACACAATCGGCGTTCGTAAGAATAGTAGTTTCCGCACTGAAACTAGAATCGGTCGCTAGGCGATTGCCATACTTTGTTGCGAAACCGTACTTTGTCGTTAAGCGAAGCGTCAACATGATGATAGATTTAAACATCTCGAGGAAGCAAGGAAATTTGCATATATGTGACCTGCCCAAGTCGTCCGACAGCAATTTGCCGAAGTTACCTCCGAATGCGAAATTTTACAGTCGCTGGCGGCGAAGTCTTCAAAAGCTCGTTCTCGTCTCGGCCCGACATCCCTTAACTCGATCAGTTTTGCGTAGCCAGGCGGCTATTGCCTTTGAAAAAAGAAGACACGCGAAGTCACCTTACCGGTGGATGATACATCCCTGCAGTATGTTAAGGTACGAGAATTAAAGGAGAGATAACCTTGACTCCGAGTACAGACTAGATATAAAAGATGTAGTTGGAAATACTTGCCGTAGATTCTACTGGGATACGATAATGGCCGTTATCTTCTTGTATCTCTTCGTGACGGTTCCATATATTATGTGCTTCTACAGAATCGGGAAAAGTAGCGGTCCCGAACGATGGCACATTGTGTATCCCGCCTATGCTGTTTGTATTGTCGACATACTTTTGAATTTTATGACTGGTTTCATATCCTCCGACGGATACGAGATTTTTCTTGATGCTACTTTAACAACGCGGTAACATCTCAATATACAAGCATAAAAAAAAAAGACGAAGGAAAAATTCATTATTTCTTGTCCTTTTACATAGGCATTATGTAAAAGGATATTTCTTCGTTGACTTGGTCAGCTCGGTACCGTACACATGGTTCCACCCATTGCGTATTTTACCGCCTGGTCCTGATTCGAATTCGGCTTTACTTATTGTCGAATTTTTGCCTATTTTGAAGATAATTCGTATGCCTACGTTACGGCGCAATATTCAGCACATCAATATAGTAATTCGTAATAAAATCACTAAATAACACAAATCTATATATTTGCGGGTCGAGTTACCGAATTGAATTTAATGGACAAATTTAATTCAAAGCTCTATTTTACATAGATGTGTGGAATACCGCGAACTAAAAAGGCAACAATATGGTTAGTTATCATAACACTATTGATTATTCATTGGAGTGGTTGTGTAAGTTACATCTTTCCATATATTGTCATGCATATACGGGAGAGACCTATGGAGGTATGTTAAATCTAAAATTCTTTCATTTAATTTGATATTTTTAAATCTGTATAAAAACCGCAGTCTGTCTCATATTATTTTAAATGTAATGATTTTAGGAATCAGGCACATATTTTATATCAACTAAACTTTATAATAAGCCAATCTGGAAGGTCTATTTAATATTTGTTCACGTTGGAGTAAGCAATTTGGTTGGTTCCAGTTCCATTGAATTTGAAAATTTTGGCATTTTGGACAGAATGATTCGATGCGTATTATTACTGTGTGGAAAGGGTTATACAATCTATCTCATTGGTATAGTATATATTTTGTCTTTTTAGATCTGAATCGGAATTTAGATCTAAATTTGGATCTGAATTTAGATTCGAAAATAAACAGAGAAGGAAAAAGAAGTAGAGACAGCTTAATGATTAATAAAAAGCTAAAAAGGTAAACGTAGAAATCAATGTGTTGAGATTGGTGTGTCTTTTCAAAAAGCTGTGTAATGCTCTAGTACACTATCTGCTTTGAGTCATTATTAAAAGTATTCATATTTGTCTATGAACTTTGTACCTTACAATGCTATTGTGACTCACTGTTATGTATCATAGTAACGATATTGCAACTCTTGGAATCGTCGGCTGAGCCGGAACTGAAGTATCAACTCATTATGCATCAAGTGAAGGAGTACATCTATCAGAAAAGGCTTCCGCGACATCTGCAAGACAAGTTGATTTCCTATTACGAATATCGTTATCAAGGCAGCTTTTTTAAAGAGAACATTATATCCGATACTCTTTCAAGTTAGTTGAGAGCAAAAAATATCTATTAAGACAGATAAGTTGATAACTAACTATTTAATTGCTGAAAATTAAAGATGTAAGAAAATAATGTTTTTCTGGCTCTCCTGTAGATCACTTGAACCGAGAAATTTTACTTCATAGCAGCCGAAGATTGCTGAACAACGCGATTCTTCGCAACTTGACCCATAACGTCCTTGGTCATTTAATGAGTAATTATCTCCTTTCTTTCCTGTTTATAGCTGTCAGTCATATTTATATCGACTTTTGATTGTCATTGTTTATTACTGAAGTTGAATTATGCAATTAACGTTACATACATATTATAAAATAGGTTTATTAAAACCGGTGTTATATCTCGAGGAAGATATAATTTATAAGGCAGGCACTGAAGGTGACTGCATGTATTTCATAGCCAGCGGAACCGTCGTATTGATCACATTCTCGGGGAAGGAGGTAAGCGACTGAAAATATCTGAAATTCTTAAGTTGTTGTTCAAACACCCCAATTTTTAAATATTTTTTCCCTGGTGTTGTAATATATATTTGCTCATCTTTCAAATTGAATATAGATATGTCACATGCACGACGGCGACTACTTTGGCGAAACTGTTCTTGTTTATCCTGATCGAAGTAGAGCGGAATCAGTGATCGCCTTGGAGGTGTGCGAGTTGCTTCGTTTGAATCGTCGCGACTTCAAGTATCTTTTTCCGCCAAAATCCGAATTCTACGCTAACTTGAAACAAGTTGCCCAGGAACATTTGGAGAATATCAGCAAGTTGACTGAACCAAGTTTCCATGAGGGAGAAACGATGTAGTTTTATTCGATTCAAGCAGGTGAGAAAAGTACTGAGTAAATGAAATTAACGATTAAATTATCAATTTATAAGGTATCACAAAAATGAATTCTTTGAATGTCTGTTTGAAAAAGAAACTTGCCAGGTAGTCGAACGCTATATACGGATTGTATTAAACATCCGAGACTTTTCGTTCATCCGAAGCGTCTGCAAAACTATTCGACGCATGATAACGCTTTAATTAAATTATTAACGTTTCAAAACGCAAACGTGAAGGGTCTCGAGTGTTCCAAATTTTTTCGCAAGATCGAGAAACATAGTCTATCGTATCTCATCGTATCATATCGCTTTATTCGTACTTTATCACTTGTGTGCAACGTTTACTTCGATGCAGTAATTAAACTCGATACATTCTAATTCAATCTTTTGAACTTACAAAGTCAAATCAAAGCTAATTACCTCAACGCTTAGTATCGTTATCTTCATCGATGTTGTTCGTTTCTCGTTACTGTCATTCCAATTTATCCATGGACAATACATCGTTTTCTCTGTTGAGGAAAATCTATGGATCACAGACCGACGCTCGCCTCGCGAATTAGGGCCACCGTCCTTGTATGCTGCGTAATTAAGCGATATGAAATTACATTGCGCGGGGAAAAGGCGAGAGAGTCAATTATCCGTAACCCGGCATTCCTACGCGTCCCTTAAAGGATTTTAACGGCGAGTCGTCAACGACTCTATTTGAAGTTACGTTCAATTGAGCTTTTTCACGAATCCGTCACAGTGAATATACGCGCATATATGATACGCAATTATCATCATTGTTATTATAATATTGTACTGATCAGTTGGTCGGAAGTATCCAACTTCCGTTCTTGTAACACGTTCAAACCTTTCCCTTTGTAGTAAAAGAATATAAAAGATGAAAAATTAAAATTTATTATAGGTTGCCATAGTCACACCAGCCGTACGAGCCACACCATCCATCTCGTTAATTGGTAGTCTCATCTTGCGTCGCCTATTTTTTCTTTCTGGAACGAGAAAATGGGGTGAACGATCGAATGGATGCGATGGATGCGATAGATAGGACGTCGCGAGAATAAGTCAGTCTGATTTAACGAGCATAAATGTGACCGATATGTAGGCAAAGGCCACACCTGCTTCCGTTTCCCACTGGCCTACTAAAACTGACGCCCGGCGTTGCTCAAAATAGAACCGCCATTCGAAGAAAAGCAGCTAGTCGCTCCGGCAAACTAGGAACACCAGAGAGAACGAAACAGATATACAGGTGTGTGCGTGTGCGCAAGGAAACGTGTAAGGTAAAAGAAGCGATGATAGTCGGAGATTGCGACTGATCGAAATTAAATGGGCTCAAACGGGCCGAATGTTGCCTTATCGCGCTTAATGGATATTCATTACTCGCCACGTTGGCTATCGCCGAAGGAAGTTTTATTGTTCCTGCAACGTTTCCTAATAATAATAGTAGTAGTAGTAGTAGTAGTAGTAGTAGTAGTAGTAGTAGTAGTAGTAGTAGTAGTAGTAATGACGCGTAATATCCTTAGTAAGCAGAAATATACTATAAACGAAGATACGCGCGATATAGTTTGCGAGTCGTTCGAAATAGTTGATAATCTATTTTGCTTCGCAGATGATATTGTGACGTTTAGCGGCCAATGTTACTACCGATATTATGCCATATTAATCTATATCAACAGACGAATACATGGATCGTTTAATGTTCACGATCGTTTGATGTTGTCCTTGTGCAAATCTTTGGAAGATAGCGTGACGTAATAGAATCCAGCCCGAAACCGGATTCATGGAACGTAGCGTGATCATATGTGTAGTCTTCTCTCTCTTCCGTGCAAAGTGCGTTCAAACGAGACATCATACTCACCTTCATTTTCGTTTCGTTATGGACGGAACTATGACGAGGCCGCCGCTTTTGTTTCCATTACATTCTACGTAGAGTAGCTTAATTTAAACATATAGACACTGCCGATATCTGGCTAACGTTACAGCAGTCGTTTCTATGTCAGGAAGTGTAATCTTATACCAGATATCCAAACAGCACGACAGATCATATGTATATTCTATGAGTGCGTCGGAGAGACGCCATTAGCGCAACCAACGCAAACTCTACCAAAACTGTACGTGAGACGCGATAATACGATAGTGATAGCGAATATCACGAATAGCATAACGTTAACTTTACTACGTCATACTGTTATATCATTTAACAACCTTGAACATACTTGAACGGTTTATGCTTTAAAAATACTAGTTGACAAAGAGAGTTGTAATTTAAATTTTTTTTCAGATTCAGTATTCTCAAGCTTTACTTCCACAAAACTGTCCATTACAGACATAAATAATAAAATAATGAATATGATGAAAGTACTCTTCAAATGCAATGACATACAATGATGCATAGTTTACAACATTTTAAGCATTCACGGGGCTTACAAACACTAACGGTACCAATCCGTTATCTCGAAATAAATAGCGTTGGTAATGCATAATAATGGCGTATAACACTACCATTAGTTATAGTAGCACTATCACTTAGCTTTGTGAACTTGTAATGCTAAATAGCGCTAATGGCGTCTTCTCGGACGTACCTTGTGTAACGTCAGACTAGCGCGCCAAAATGTATTTCCGTCAGAAAATCGTTACAGAGTTATCTTTTTTTTTCAGAATTTACTAATAGAAACTATGGAATTGTCCGAACGAGGTTTTATTTTTCTAACAATCATAACACATAGCGTTTGCGGTCAAAGCGCACTTGCTGTGTGTTTACACGTACTCGATCCTGGAAATGGAAAAATCCGCAGATCTTTATACTCGGAACTATATTTTGCACTAGGTGGAGTTGCATGAGTTTCGCCGCACATACACAAGGTGTACATCTCGACATTAATTCCCGCAAGTGTTTCCTCGTCGATCCGACCTTGGTGTCGAGCAACGGATCGTCATAGTCTGGAGAAATCGTCGTCCGGTGCGATGTGTTTGCATACACGCGCTTGATTCGCGTTGACAGAGGCAGCACGGCGTGAGAAAGCCGAAGGAGGGCGGCGGACGAAGGGGAATGTAGCATCGTTGCGTAACAGCCTGTTGTCTCGCGCTGCAACGACACTCGCATGCCCGTATTCGCGCGTGTTGATGCAATTCGCAAAAATATCTACAGCATAGCATCCACCGAGCGGTGAAAATACGTATGTACGTACATATGTCAATGAGACGTGCATCATTTGCGAATGCATTCGCATGGGAGTCACGTTGCAGCGCGACCAATGGGGCTCGAGATGATATTTTCGGTGGTAGCCGCGCGAACGCGCAGTAGACTTTCTCGAAATGGTAACTCCAAGACAAATGGATGCGGTCGGCACGAACGTTTGAAGGACAACGAGTATATTTCCAAGGTTTTAAAACAGCTGATGTCGAGTGTTAGGAATGAACAGAAATGAACGTAAATGTTTATCTCGAAACACGTACATGCAACTTTCCCTCGAATTATTTCTGCATGTTTTCGAAATCGCTAGGTTGCATGAAGATATACAAGCAAAAATCAAAGTAACGCATCTGCTTGCAAGCCATTTTTTCAGCCATAAATTTCCGCAACTTTCACTCGCTCGCTTTGTTCATTTACTGCTTAATAGATTTTAAAGTCGTTCGTTCTCTCGCGGTCGTATTGTCTCAACTCCAGTGCAGTCTTTCCAAAGGGATACAAGTTGCGAAACGATCGAAGATAAACATTTTACTATTATTCGAAGCTCACTGACTTCATCGATTTCCCGACTTCGATCCCCTCGATAATAATCGTAAATCACTAATGGTATCACAGATCGTAACGCTGGAGATTGATTAATCAATTGAACGCATGGAAGATTGGGAGAGACAACATGAGACAACCCGCGAGATCAACGAAGGGCTGCTAAGGGCTATTTTCACAGCGGTTACATCATACCGGGCCGAAAATTCATGTCGCAACTCAACAGAGCGCGGAAATTTGCATCTCTGCGTCATTTCGCTGCCTGTAAGCTCGATGTAACATGGGCGTCTTCCCTTCGTCCCTAGCCGTGTGTAAATACACTTTGGACGCGCGAGTGGGAGATCGACGCCTCCCTAACTAGTGGGTGGGCAACGCAGTGGTGGCGTTGCCGATGACGAAGGTGCCGCGCGCCTCTCGTCAGTCAAATAGCGATCGTCGTTGTATGATCATTTAACGTCGCACTTGATACAGACGCAACCACGGTACACGCGACTCTGACCTGCGTACGAAAATAACCACTTCTCCGAGGACGTTTCTCGCGCGCTAACAACGACGTCGTTCTTCCAGTTACGCGTGAGACGTCGTTCCGTGACTTCGCGACTTCGCGAAGACTCTCTTCTAAGTCCGCGTGTTAAAAGTATAGTAAACATCAACGAACCAGTGACAATAAAGAAGTAAATATTTCGGGGAGATACTTAATATCTGTGTGGGAAATTAGTACAAGCGCGTCAAGATTTCAAAATCGGGGGGGAGATAGATCTGAAGACGTAAACATTAAACGAGTGAAGATGTTAAATAAAAATAGAATTCTTATATAATACAGATCATAAAAAGTAAATTTGTATTTATATAATATTATTTCACTTGTTTAATATCTAAATTCTCTCTCTTTCACATACACTCTCTCTCTCTCTCTCTCTCTCTCTCTCTCTCTCTCTCTCTCTCTCTCTCTCTCTCTCTCTCTCTCTCTCTCTCTCTCTCTCTCTTTCGATCCTTGAAATAATGATGCACAATCGTGAATCGTTGAATCAGTTATATACCGGATGAGAGTAAAGACCGTTTTCATTCTGTAGAAGATTTAGCAGCAAGTGATACGTGCTTCAATATAGAACACAAAAAAGTTTATATAAAAGTTTATATAAATATAAATCAAGAAATCGCGCATATAATAATAAAATAAATAAACTTGCAATAACGAATCTCTTTTGTAGATTTTGTCCTTCTTATATAATGATGCTGTCATTTTCGTATAATCTCGCTCTCATTGGATAAGTTGTTTTGATAATTAACATTTTCTGTTTGCACGCCAAGTAGGACAAGAGAGAGAGGAAAATAGAATTTTACTCTTCGTATTCACCCAGCACGTGATTCGTGATATTGCTAAAACTTTTGCATTCACATTAAACGCATCTTCAAAATATAATTTTCTAAAGCAGGACTGCACAGTCACAATTGTACGCAGGAAGGAAGGAAGTGAAATAAGCAGGGCTTAGTGGAAACTCAAGTGTATGGTCACATCATTTTGTCTCGTATCGTCGCATCAGTGAAAGAAGTCTTTGATACCCGCAAGATGAAGCGATTGATGCTGTTGGCCCTCGTAGTCGCCGTAGTACAGTGCCACGAACCGTTCCAAGTGATCTTCGAGTGGAAACAGATCGACGTTCAGTGGCCGTCGGAGGAGGAACGGCAATTGGCCATTACAAACGGCAAGTACATCGCGGAGAACAACTTCTTGACTACCGTAAAGTTTTGGAAGGACAAGATGTACCTAACGATGCCGCGGTGGAAGGACGGCGTGCCGGTGACGCTCGGCGTTACTTCGGCAACGCCGGTAAATGGTACCACAGCGCCCATACTGGAGGCTTTCCCTAGCTGGGCCATGCAGACGCTGGGTGATTGCTCCGCGTTTCAGCTGGTCCACAGCATAGAGATCGATCCGAAAGGTCGTATGTGGGTGCTCGATACTGGCCGACCGACGACTACCAGGGAATTCAAAGCCTGTCCCGCGCGTCTCGTGATTCTCGATCTCGAGGACAGTGGCAAGATCCTCCGTATTTACGAATTCCCCGACCACGTCGCTCGTCGTAGTACCACTTATCTCAACGACATCGTTCTTGATCACGAAGACGGTGGCATGGCGTACATCACCGATAACAGCAACAACGATCCTGGCATCATCGTGTACTCTCTGAAAAATAACACTTCATGGAAGGTCCGTCACGATTCCATGAAGGCGAAATCTGAGGCGGTTTCGTTCATGGTAGCGAAGACACATGTGATATTACCGGTGCACGTGGATGGTATAGCGCTTTCGCCAGCAAGCAGCATGGACAGGTATTATTAAATTAGTGTTTCTTTACAGCCGGTAGATTTTACATTGTTGTTCTCCTCTGCGAAGAGACGTTAAATGTCAAAATACGACCATACGTGAGCCTCTCGACACCTTTATTCAAATTTTAAAATAGACTTGTATGACATTTGAAATATGACTCTTACGTCACACTTTACATCGTGTAAAGCGTGACGTAAAGTTTCGCGATAATATCGAACGACTGAGTCATCCTATAAACATCTTACGCGAGATCTCCCAAGAGACGACACAATGTTTCAGGCACGTCTACTATTCGCCTCTATCTTCCTTCCATCTGTACTCGATCCCAGTATCCGCTCTGAAGAACAACGCCACGAATATCGACCATTACGTGAAAGAACTCGGACGGAAGAACTCACAAACGGACGGTATGGTGATGTCGGCTAAAAGCGTACTTTACTTCGGTTTGCTGGCCGATGATGCTATCTCTATGTGGGACATGAAGAATTCTTCGTCCTTCACCATTGGTCAACGTGTCATGTCGCGTGATCATCTGTTGACGCAATGGCCGGACAGTTTCGCCTTCGACGAGGACGGTAATCTCTGGTGCGTCGTCAACATGCTGCAAAACTTTTTGAGTAATCACATCAAACTTGATACGCCCAACTATCGTCTCATCAGGACACGTGTGGGTGTTAAAAATTACCAGTACTATGAGAACGGCACGGCACCGGATTTACCGGACATCACCGCCGGCGCCGACTCCGTCAATTTCATGTTTGCCACGCTACTCTTTCTAGTTTTGGTATTAGTCGCCAAGTAGTCGCCGCTTTTTCCTTCATAGAGAATCGTGCATGGAAGGTGTAACGAAAGAAATATCAGCTCGTATACTTGGCACACCCGAAAGAAAAATGACCTGTAAATCCACATTACAGTCAGTTACTTAAATTATATCCAACTCTTCAACGTGCGATACCTTTCTATATGTATATACCAATGTATATACTTAAGTATACATGTGAGTATAAATACAACGCGCGAGAAGTGTGAATGTATAGAGAATGCGTGACGAGGAAGAGGTTTATCGAAAGAAGTGTGTCCATAGATATGATTAAGACGAAAAAAATAAACTTCATTCAAGTAATGTCAAAGATTATTGCGCGTCCGTTTCCTCGACCGAAGGAGGAAAAACGGTTCTCTCGATGCATTTTTGGATCATATTTTCCTCGTTATCCGCTTGTATTATGAATCTTTAGGGAGGACATTGAAGAGAGGAAAATAGGATACTTGAAGAGTGTTCTACACATAAGTGTGAGACAGCGTGCGCTTAAGAATTGGTCGCAACTTCTACTGTCTGGATTCTCGCTCTGACCTATTTACACAGTCTCGGAATTATTTATAAATTCATCTCGAGTCTAACTCAATGGAAACCGTCGGAGATATTTCTCAGCGATTTCCGACGAATATCGGTGATGAATACTTCCGACGGTTAGTCAGATCAAAACACGTTTGATCGCCGTGATCTCAATCGAATCAAAAGAGGCAGATTCAGGAGAGCAAAGAGAGAGAGAGAGAGAGAGAGAGAGAGAGAGAGAGAGAGAGAGAGAGAGAGAGAGAGAGAGAGAGAGAGAGAGAGAGAGAGAGAGAGAGAGAGAGAGAGAGAGAGAGAGAGAGAGAGAGAGAGAGAGAGAGAGAGAGAGAGAGAGAGAGAGAGAGAGAGAGAGAGAGAGAGAGAAAGAGGAGCTATCAGCTTTCGCACTTTTATTCTGATCGTGCAGCTGCAACTTGTAAGTCACAGATCATGACACAGTTTACGAAGGCTGCCGCTGTGCGCTGCTGATCGTAGAGAGCTCTAGTAAACGAATCTTACATAAACATAAGTTCAATGTGTAGATCGATTTGTACAATATTAATATTAATGGATGTATATGTACGTCTTTAATTAACACTCCACTCGACACCTCCAGCATCAGATCCAATCCTGAGCTCGTGTTACTTCAGTCTCATGTTAAATCTCCATATATATATATATATATATATATAAAGCATTTATTAATATTTATTATTATTGTTATTATTATTCTTATTATATTATTAAGAAGTTATGGAAATTATTAGTATTACTAATTGTTGTCATCGGTGCTATTAATGCTAACGTTATCATATCGAGTACTATAAATATTATTAATGAACGTTTCCTTCGCATTGTGTATAACGCGGACAAAGGCGAATTCCAAATAAAAGTATTTATTTCTTAGAACGTCGTCCTTGCCTCTTTCTCGATACAGGAAGATACGCTTAGCGATGCATCACGATGTAACGCGCGCACCGATGCGGTGAGTCACGTCTCGGTTTCTCCTGCCGGTAGAGTCCTTCGAATGATCGGTGTAAATAATACTGATACCGATGTGCACATCAGCAGCGGTTTTCTCATTAACCGGCGGCACTTGCCTCAGCGAAAACTCCGTCCGAGATCTGTCGACTAGATTTGTTTTAATGAGCGTATCGTGCGAAAACGACGTGCATTGAATAGCAGGTGCGATGCACGTTGACTTTACAGCACGGCGTTTTGTAACACGGTTCGTTGACTGGAGGTGTTTCGTGACTACGAATGACTACGCGTGATGCGCGGGTATCATCGCGTAAAAGTGGAACGGCGCGAGCGTGAGGTTTGTCCGCGAGGACAATTGTGGGAAGCTGTTTCTCCGTCCTCTCGTGTCGTTTCTCTTTTACGAGAGATACGTAACATACGCGTAACGATTGCGTAAAATCGTAGAAGCGCACCCCCTCCCCCCCCGGGCCCCGATGAGAACGTGCAAAGCTAAGTGTGCACAAGCTGTGGAAAAGGCGAGCGCTTTCTAGATCGCGTTAATTCGATTTAATTATCTTCAACGTTTCTCGCTATATATATATTTATATATATATATATACGTATGTTGCGCGTATCGTGCGTTTCATCCGAAAAGTATTTGCAATTCGATTATTTTTCTTTCGAGCTGACTGGCGAAGACTTGAAGAGAGTATCGCGATTACACGCACGACAAGCTCGACGATGTCCACGAGAGCCATCGTCATCGGTTTCGCTTCCATCACATTAACGGATAATAGCCGGGAATGATGCGGCGATTCTGCTTATAATAACGCGATGAATTCTCATTCAACATTGTGCGACATTGTGTATGTTCGAAAGACTCGCCGTGACTCAGTCGGCAGCGAGTTGCATAACCTACTTGCTCGCGGCGTTCGATTTTACATTCGTGTGCATCATCGCCGTACGAGCGGGATACTAATAGCTGCCTCACCTTGATGTCGCCAATCCATTTGCTCGTGATTGCCTCTTTAGAGGAAAACGCGGCCTCTCGTACACGCGCCTACGTAAATACATTTGGAAGTGTATTCTCATGCTTCTCGTCATCGTAGAATATATCGAAACATATTCGACAACACTCGTGCATGCATCTGATAACAATAAAGAAAAATTATGTTATTGTCGTTCCCTTTCTTATTCGAATGCACACAACGTCCACACGATGTAAAATTTATACAATTCTTAAAATCGTATTCCTTTCATCGTATACTACGCATGCGCCGTGCCGTATACAAAATAATATTTGCGAAATGGAACGGCGGTGATAAAAATGTAACAATCGAGATTGTTGCTGTCTATTGAAATTGGATAATCATAATGACTGATTTGGTATTTGAATGATAAAAGAAAGACAGTTTTTCTCTCAAATTTAGCGAGTAACAAGATAAGCACGCGATCAAAGTATACGCATTATTATTACACGATTTGAAATAGTCATTGGCGTGTAAACAGCATAACTCACATTACACGCACACGAACGACAGCTTGTTAACGGTCAACTTACAAAACGTTGAGTGTATCAATCTGTTCAGGAATGCTCACATAATCGCTGCCGCAATTAAAAATGACCTCATTACCTGACAGAGAGAAGACATTTTGAAAATCCTTGTCTCGTTTCCGGATACGATATATTTCGCGAGACTGTTCGTAGTGACACTAGATGTAGGGAACGATACACGGTTAGTGTCTAGTATATTCTGTATAAATACCTATGGTTCTCTTGAATCACAAGTTGGCGAACATTAGTCCCGATCTACAATAGATGATTTGGGGCAATAGCACAGACTTTTGCATAACGCATGAGAGAATAAACCAATTAGTTTTCTTCATTTCCCTCCTCAGGGTAGAAATGAAGAACTCTGATTGGTTGATTCTCTTATGCGTTGTGTATTATGCGTTATGCAAAAGCCTGTGCTCTTGCCCTAAATCACCATTGTAGACTCGGCCTTACTCGTCTCTACGGATTGGTCCAGGATTCGATACGAGATTGATCGATCGACCGCTAAAAGAGACCAATCAGTGCAGCCTCTGAAATTGGCAGATTTTCTGGCACTCCGCCAGAGTGGAGTCTCTAGCGTCGCGAAAACGCCTCCTTTCGCCGGCGACACGAGGCGTCGGCAGTGGCCGGCTGGCGTCCGCAATTGGGCCGGAGCGAAGTCGAGAACGTGGTAGGCCTTGTGCGAGAGCGAGAGCGAGAGTAACGCGCGTACAGTGTGTGTAGCCTTATGCGTGACGGTCGTAACGTTTCTTCCGTGCTTCCATACACTCGCTATTGTTACCGCTATTGTAAAATTCTCGTATTTATCGTATTTACACTGTAGTACCTCTTCTTCTCTTCCTCTCGCTTGTTCGCTCTCTCGCCGCGCTTGACAGCGGCTCGACCGCCCCCCCCGCCCCTCGCCCCCGACCGATCACGTTTTCGCACGCGACCGGAAGGAGGAAGCCCGTCCTCGCGTGCGCTCTTTTATTTCCCAAAGCCTACTCGCTTTTCCATGTCAACGACACGCGCGCTCCTACCAAGGCCAGCAGCAAGCTACGCCCCCCGCGTCGTCGTCGTTGCTGCTGTTGGTAGGTTTTCATCGTTGTCGTGCACGTCGCGCTCGCGCTACTGGGAGATTCCGACGAGGGTCGCCGACGGCATCGAACGTGGGGAGTCGCGGCGGCGGAGGAGGAGGAGGACGACGTGTGGTCGTGTCGGCGTCGCTCCTGCCAGCCTGAGATGAGCGACCATGGCTGCATACATTTGAATAATTTCAAAGCGGCTAAGGGTATCCAGCCCTACAAAGTGATACACGCGTACTTCGTGACCAGCACATCGACCGAAGCACGCGTCAGGAAGGTACGTTCGTCTATCGTCATTTTTTTGTCTCGCGTGCAATTCGCGGTCAAGGTTCTTCTTGTCACGCCGTTTACGAGACTTTCGCTTTTGTTCCCCGTCATATCTTCTCTCTCACTCGCTCATTCATTCGTTGCTCTGAAGCTCTTTCTTTCTTCGTCTATCATCCGTTCCGTTCCTTCTCTTTCTATTGGTCTCTTTAACACCTCCCTGCACTATTGTGAACGATTGACGTGCGAGCTTCGTGAATCTCCTAGAAGAGGATGCGAGTGTGCTGCAGCAGCAAACTGATGGCGGGACGTTTAAAAATGTCTACCGCCTTTGTATACAAGGAGGCCATCTAGCGTACTCGTCGCGTATGTCTGGCGAGAGATACGCATTATTTCTTTTTCTATCTTGACATTGATCTGGCGTTAAGTAAGAAAAGTGGATTAGCGACTATGTGAAATTTTTCGTTAAACGCTTTTTAGCGATTTGCATACTTTCGATATATCGCACTTAGTGGTCTATGTAAAACACAAGCTAATATAACCTAGTCCAGGAGTGGGCGTTTAGCGGGATTTTCAAACTGTTGCTAATGTAACGTTTACTTCTAATAAATGCAACTAATCAATCTTTTAGATTTCTTTCAAAAATTGTTTGCAAAATTTATAGATAGACCAAAATACCTACTATTGATCTTTATAATTTGTATAATTTTATAATTTGCAAATATATATAACAGTGTTGGTTATTTTACTTTTTAGGCTGTGAGCTGTTTATGTCATACATGTAATACTTACAAAGACCGCCTACATTCTTGTCTTCATTGTATATTTTTTGGCTGCTATGTGAAAGGTCACATACAAGAACATGCGAAAACGAAGAAACATTTTTTAGGTAATCAAATATTCTTTGTTCTTTTTTGTCTTATGATCTGTTCGAAGTAATATTGAAAAAATTAAAAGTTGTAAATAAGATAAAATTAAGAAATGCAAATTTTATTGTTTTATGCAATTAATCTCATTTTATTTTTTATCCTAGTGTATTAATCTATTTGTTTATGATATTTTAGCCGTCGACTTATGTTATGGGAATATTTTGTGCTTCCAATGTGGCGACTACGTATACGACAGAGAATTGCTGGCAGTGGCAAAGGCGCAATGGAGTGCTTCAGCAAAATCCCTGAGTTTTGGGGAATTTTATCGAGCATGGGAACCAACGCAGATAGAGACCGAGCTATTGAGGAAGCATCCGCGTCGAAGACGTGTCGCAGAAAACTCTACCATAGGTAAAAGAAGTAGGATTGCAGTTATTTCTATCAAATGTTGATATTTAATTTGGAAGTTTTAATAGTTTTAATCAACGTCACTTCTCCATGTATGAGATATGTAACTCGACAGTATTATAGTAATACTTCGGTTGCTCCAATCTGTTCTTACAAAAATACAAGATATTCCCGTTGTAATTGTTTTTATGCTTTAGGTTTAAGAGGGTTAATCAATCTTGGCAGCACTTGCTTTATGAATTGCATCGTACAAGCGTTGATCCATACTCCGTTGTTACGGGACTACTTTCTTGCTGACCGTCACCACTGCCCGCAACCGACTCGCTGCCTGGTCTGCGAGGTATCCCATTTGTTCCAGGAGTTCTACTCCGGCAGCAAAGCACCGCTGACACTTCACAAGCTCCTTCATTTAATTTGGACACATGCCAGGCACTTGGCTGGTTATGAGCAGCAGGATGCTCATGAATTCTTCATCGCGACGTTGGACGTCCTTCACAGACATTGCGAAGCTGCTCCAATACTGGTCAAGGATAATCCTCATCATTGTAATTGCATCATCGATCAAATATTTACAGGGGGCCTTCAAAGCGACGTTGTTTGCCAGGCTTGCAAGTACGTCGATTTTTCATCTTTTGAGTTAAAAAGTTATAACGGAATTTCAGATAAATTTTCGTTTACGGAATTATCCTAATCAACGATAGAAATATTTATGTTAAATATAATACTAATTTTTATGAGACTGTGAAGAGAATATTTCTTTATATGTATTTTCGATTTTAGTGGAGTGTCAACCACAATAGATCCGTTTTGGGATATATCTTTGGATCTGGGCCCGGCGGCTGGTGCTTCCGGTTCTGATGCGTCCGGCCCTCCCACCTCCCTGTTAGATTGTCTGGAGAGATTTACCAGAGCCGAGCATCTGGGTTCCACTGCGAAGATCAAGTGTAGTAATTGCCAGACCTATCAAGAGAGCACGAAACAACTGACGATGAAGCAATTGCCCATTGTGGCGAGCTTCCATCTGAAACGTTTCGAGCATTCCAGCATTCAAGATAAAAAGATCTCCACTTTCATCTCGTTCCCGGAACAACTGGATATGACGCCATTTATGTCGCATAAGCGCAATGGCAATAACAATAGCGCCATGGTAGATGGCTTGTCAAAAAATGGAGAAGATATGACCTTCAGTGACAACAGGTAGGTGATATTTAATTGGATTTGAGAAATCTCCAAGTGTAGTATATTATTAGACATAGCATAAAATAACTTAATTGTTCTGGTAATATACAAAATTTATATCTTATGACTTATATACAAATAACTAAGCATTAGATGGTCTTGGAAAAATGTCAGGTTCATTTAAATGTTACAAATAGGTACTCTCTCTTTGCCGTGATAAATCATGAGGGCTCCTTGGAGACGGGACATTACACCGCCTTCATCAGGCAACAGAGGGATCAATGGTTCAAGTGCGATGATCATTTAATCACGCGAGCTAGACTGAAGGATGTTTTAACCAGTGAGGGGTAAGATACAATACGCGAAACGAATAGCAAGATGTGTTAAAATTTTTCCTTAATAAATACAAAGAAGGAAAAACATATAAATCATAGCTAATGATTTTTTTTCTTTTCAGATACCTTCTATTTTATCATAAACAAATCTTGGAATATGGCCGGAACAGTAAGGCGTGAAAGAAAGAGAGAAAGGGAGAGCGAGAGGAAAATGTATGCATGCGCGCAAGAGAGAAAGATTTAAGTCATATAATTAATTTATTTAACAAAGAGTTAATAATTGATGCTGCAGTTAGACGTCGGTGACGCTTTACGTTTGCCGGAAATGAATTTATTGTCGCCGTCGCTTTTTGATTTTCGCCGGCGCCTTTTGTGTTCGATGGGGTAAGCCGACTGACTGCCCGATCGACATCTTTGTATGTCATGAACGTAACGTAAGCGTAGGTGTTAAGATTAGCTCAATTTTTTTAAATCGACCGATTGCAATTTTTGTATATCGCTGACTGTTGTTATACTCCTGCCGTGACACTTGTATACACGATACGCTAGGGATGGACCTTTTGTACGATTCTTCTACTTAGTTCCTGCACATGCCAGCAGAATATTGATGTTGCCGATCTCTGAAATGTTCCAGCAAACGCATAATATCTAATCATTTACCAAATATCGAACTTTTTAGTGTGTGTGTATGTGTGTGTGTATGTATATATATATACATACAAGTTTATACGTGTGTGTATATATATAAACATATGTATCAAATAAATGATATATACATACATATATACATATATATATATACATACATACACGCACACACACACACACACACACACATATATATATATATATATATATGTATACATATGATTTAAATTTACGCATGTCTATTGATATTATATTAACGTATAATATCAATAAGTTTAAATTTATGTTACTAAATCAAGGTACTTTCATAGTAAACACAATAATTAAATGATACATCATGCATCTTCCTTCAGTATTATAAAGATTAAAATTTAGCTGAAGAATTCGATATTCCATATGCAACAACTTGATGCTTTCTTGCGCGAATCCAATTGTATGCCGATCGTAATGGCCATCCCTGGGCAACTCGATTTTGTACAGGCGAAATAACGTATTATAGTGAAGATGAGAACATTGTGTGTGACTCGAAGCGAACTCTTTCGCTGAACTTTGTATAATAAAAATCGCTGTTCGACAAAACTGTCGCTCTGGTTGCCCGTTCCACTTTTAGTTTTCTCAAATTTTCTCACATATATATAATATTATATCACATTATAATATTATATATATTTTTTTTTTTCTTTTTTTCTCTCATAACTTCAATTATCATTCATGAATTACGCGACGCAACCAAAGTGCCAAATACTCGGAAGCGCGACATCCAATTTAAATCTCGGGCTGTACATTTTCGTTAGCGCATTATCCGATTCATAAAACGGGTTTCCATTAACGAGTACAGAGAACAAAGAAACTATCAATGACAATTTCTAGATTTTTATGGAATTTTTAAGCAAATGTAATCTTGCGTGCGCGCGAGTTTTCTCATTTTATGCTAATTGTGTGTTTTATCTTTCTATTTTAATATTCTCGATTCTCCACTGTATATCCATCGAAATATATTAGGTGAGAAATTATGCGGATCTTTTTATGCACATTATACATGAAAATAAAATGATTTTTTGCATGCGATATAGAGCATCTTCCACAAATTGTATGTGTTACTCTGTACTCATTGGTATATTTATGTACTGTGTTCATTGAAACAAATATATACTGCACGTCAGAGTTCATCCCTTTGAGTCAGGCGTTCATTACGAACGTCAAGAATAAGTATCTTAATCAATTAATTGTCTAAAACCGCATTGATCCACCGATATATCAATCTTAAATTGGATTTTATTATAACACATGACAAATACCACATGTTGAGAGATGACACTACTACACGTGCAGTTGTAATGTTTTATATAAGGCTGAAGTACACGTATATAGAAATAAAAACTATATTTCATCTAAATTCGTTTGTTGATACTACTGTACGTTTGATTATAGACTTTCTCTTTATTAGTAAATCAGAGATTGTCAATAAGAAACAATTACTGGATTTAATATTAGATATAAATTTATAATGCAAGTAATTTGTGTATGTACAGCTTATAAACATCACACATGTACGTATAGACTGACTTCAATTTCAATTTTATACTTTTTATGTAATTATTTTAACCACTACTAATTACTCGAAAAATTTAGCCTGTTGTATTAGCCTAATATATTTAGCCTGTTTCAGAAGTAACTGTGATACAAAATATTCTTTTAACAGTTATATTTATTGTATTTTTCGAAATTCTTCTTTTTGGTAATATATATATGTGTGTGTGTGTATATATATATATATAATATATATATACATATATACACAAAGATAAGAAAGGTACAGTTGAGACATAACATTTAGCGAACTTTCAAAAATTCAACTATTCGCGCCAAAAGTTATCACTTTTGATTCAGCCAATCATCTTAGCGAATGAATTGAAGGAAAAATGGACGCGCTAACGTTAGGTTCGCACAGGTAAAGCCGATTGACCGATATAAATTTCTATATATTTTTTGAAGGACGAAATGTCATGTTACGATTGATTGCTTCTTGTTTTCTAGGCTAGTTCATCTTGATCTGAAGGGTGCTCCGCCGCGAACATGTTACTTTGAAAAGGTAAATATTGCCGATAAATACTTTGCATTCTTATCGTATCGTTCCAATTTGGAGCATACATTGTTTGTTTTCCGCGCATAGTTTGGATAATAAGTGTAAGAGCATTGTCTCATCTGCAAGTTCTATTATTTGCAAATAAAAACAATGCGTGGTAATTAACTTTTCTCTCATAACGATCTAAAAAATAACGTTTGCAGCTTTTTCCTCTCTTAAGAACATGGGGAGCTACTGGCTTATTGTTGGAATGGGAAGATACATTTCCTTACAATCGAGAACTCTCGCCCATAGGAAGCAATGGGCCGAGCAGCCTTGTCAGTGGATACACAGTCCAGGAAGCTAGGCATATTCTACAGATAGCAGGTGATTGTGGCTTGGCAGTCATTCCATTGGTACAAACTTTTGGGCATATGGAGGTATGAAAATATTTTATCTGTTTCTATATTGTCTTATTTTATATTCATCTACTATATGGTTATAACTTTTTTTTACTTTTAAAATCTTATGAACAATTGTTTTAATAGATGGTAACTGAAATTTCAGTTTGTTTTAAAACACGATGAATGGAGATTATTGCGAGAAGTAGAACCTTTCCCAAGTTCTATTTGTCCATCAAATCCAAGGACACTTCCAACAGTAAAGTCCTTGATACGTCAGATTGTTAGTTTTCATCCAGATATACAATATCTGCATATAGGTTGCGACGAAGTATGGCATTTAGGCCTTTGCTCAGTCTGTACCAAACGAGCTGCAGCCAGCAAATATGGCAAATATTCTCTGTATATGGAGCACATTCTGGCAATAGCCCAATATATACAGGAAACTTATCCATACTTAAAGATCATTATTTGGGATGATATGTTAAGATCAATAGATTTACAGGTTTTGAACGGTATCTTGATAACTTGTTCATATCATTTGATTATGCAAATGTCTACATACAACCAACCCCTTTTTTTGTAGAACATTACATTGGCAAATATGTGGAGCCTATGGTGTGGCATTATAATCCCAGAGACAATTTCGCATTACCTCATGGTATTTTTAAAGGATTTATAAGAAGACTAGATTTAAGAAAAGACTAGACTTTATAAGAAGACTAGATTTGAGAAATATATATACAGAAATACATGTACATAGACAAATTTATTAATTATATATTAATTATATATTGTCAGATTTGTGGGATAAGTATAGCGCAGTGTTTCCTAATATTTGGGCAGCTACTGCATTCAAAGGCGCTACTGGTTCTGCACAACATGTACCCATAATTCGACATCATATAAGCAATCATGAAAAGTGGCTAGAGGAGCTCGGAATTCATGTAAATAAAGTGCACGAGTTTCGAGGTACAGCATTCACTGGTTGGTCGAGGTAACAACAAAGATTAAATTAAGAAAAAAAATATTAATGAGCGAAATATTTCAAAATATATCTTATTGATTATTTGGAATTTTAGATATGATCACTATGCCACGATGTGTGAACTGCTGCCTACAGCGATACCGTCACTAGCTTTGTGTTTGAAAGTTTGGCTAAATGGTTATTCAGAGCAAACACATACACAGGTTGCAAAGAGTTTGGGATATATTGATTATCCATTGCATATAACACCACAGCCTAGACCAATGCCAATACCCAATAATCTGCTTTTTCCGGGGTGGCAAGTGGCTGTAGGTATGGAATGGTTCCTCAATTTCAAGACAAAGTTTCATAATATCGTCGCCAACGATCAGTAAGTACAATATACACACACACACACACATACACACACACACACACATATGTATATACAACATATATAACATATTTAATAAGAGTTTATATAAGTTTTGTTCATGAATTTTTTTTATCATGAATGGTTTATATTTATATAAAATAATTCGGTAGAATTATGACATGGATGAATCCGTGGCAAGTGGCGAATAATTATACAAATCCTATGCAATTGGAGAACTTGGTACCTGCTTTTACAGAGTGAGTGTTTTTACACTAATATTAAATTATAAAAATAAAAATATTGTTAGATATACATTTGATATATATTTCGCGTTCGGGATAATGTGACTTCAATCGTCTATAACATATAGTTATAAACTATATAGTTTCCCATCAATTACGGCAACTTGTATATATATTATGATATGATATTGAACAGATTATTATTGGAATTATCTTCCTTGGAGGGCTATTTGCGAGTTCAAATGGAAGCAATTTTTTTCTCATCAATGATTGAGGAATGGATTGGTACCAATATTCAGCCGATGAAGAGAAAATTAACGAAGCTGAAACAAACCACAGAGAATCAGCTGAAGCAAAGTAGTCGTATGTAGTGCTTTTTATTTGATAAATTGGCGATCGAATACTGAGTGTATAAAAATCAAAGTATATTCAACATATTCAAAGCTGACTAGCAATTTGAAACAAAACAATCACCATCAATTCCATAAAGAAGGGGTTGTAACAATTGTTTACTAACGGCTAGACGATTGTTTACATTTTTTGGACGTAGGGAGAAATTATTTTTTATATATAATAAGTAGTATGTTATACATATATAAAACGTTAAACGGTCTATCAACCTTATAACTTATCTTTAAAGAAGGATCACTGGAAAATAAAAAAAAAAGATAGTAAATGTAAACTCCTAATAAGTGTTGGATGAATTATTATTTTAATACTGGATACAGAAAGCAAGAAAGTTTGTGCCGACACAAGATATGTTCTGTGATATTTGGCTATGAATGAATAACTGTGGTTCTTAGTTACAAAAGTTACTTGATGATGATCAAAAAAATAATTAATATATGATCAATGTATGATCTTTCCATAGATTTTCTTATTAAGTACAAACATAAAATTTATATAAAATTTTTTTTAATAAATAACTAAGATTGTGATTATATATACATAGAGTAGATTTAAAATATAGGAAAATTATATTGCAAAGATAATATTCGTAAATTAAGTTAAATTGTTACAGCCCGTTATTATGTAAGTAACACAGATATGCAACTGACATATTCGTGTATTAATGAATATTATTGACACCATATTTAGTCATATCCATAGATATATTTCTACTTTGTCATAGAATATAATTAAAATGAACTTTTGACTATATTACATTTAGCCAAATATTCAATGTGATGTATTCTATATATATGTACTTTATATTTATATATAATTGTTTTCATTTCATTTTACAATAATGAGGAGTACGTAATGAATGGTATGTGCCATGTATGTGTGTGTGTGCGCGCGTGTATGTACAATTATAACAATTTCTTCTTAATGCAATATATTATATAAAAAATTAAGTTGAAGTAAAAGTAGAGTAGAATTACATAATTATAAGGATAATTATGATAATTATGAATAAATCAGATCGCATATCATGTTTATGTTTCCTATTTGCATTCTTACTTAAAGTTCGGATCGCTCCTGAAGCGATAAAAAAGAGAAAATCATTATAAAATATAAAACGTTATTAATAATCCTGTAAACAACTTATTTTAATGAGTTAATAAAAGGTTTAGTTTGTGGGGTTATTAGATCCGTTCTTTAACTGTACAATAAAAGTGATTATTATTAAATATTATCAGAGATATGTCTTTCCCCTAAATTAAATTTAAATATATATGCTATGACATTTCTCGTATGTTTACACAAAGCAATGTAACCTACGACCTGTCAGTTCATATTAATTCATATTATCATGCCAAAAGTTAAAGAACGCGACGAGCAAGAAGCTTTAAAATTGGACGAACATTATAAACGAACTTTGATGAATATTAGACCATATATATCGAATTTAAAATCTTTGGAAGAGGCACATTTGTGTAAGATTTGGTTCGACAAGCTGAATGCTACTATTTCGCAGCGTAATTTAAGGAATGAATATTTGTTAGAGCTTTCGCGACAGTTAAAAGCAGGCACGCTCGAAGGAATATTCAAGACTCAACCACCTGATGACTTGTTAATGCCGTTATCATCCCGTCATGCGGTACTTTATTATTTATCTTATAGTTTTTAAAGCCACAAAAATTACATCTATACGTAGATATATATTTATTAAAATATTTCTTTCTTATTAAAATGATGATTGAACAATTTTTAAAGTGGTTTTAAGATATTTGGTGATACATAAAAATAACATACATATTTCTGTATATGTATGTGTGTGTGTGTGTGTGTGTGGGCGCGCGCGCGCGCTCACAGTGCATGGAGAGAAACTTTGTTTTTATTAAAAATTACTTTGTTAATGATAGACATTAGTTAGATACTTTTCTATATTTATTTCAATTTTCATTTTTACTAGGTTTGCATTAGTTCATCTTTGAGTAGCGAGTTGTCTGACCATAACAGAAACTGTTATAATTACTTAATGCTAAACAGGAAATTAAGCCAAAGAAATTATCCGAAAAACGGAATGAGATTTTATGCTTCTGATTCGACAACTTATGCGACTTCGCCAGCATATTATCATAATGGAAATACCATAGAAAGGAATCATCTAAAGCTTTGTAAACACCGTATCGATATGTTAACTGTCGCACTCGAGAATTTTCAGATTCAGAATGAACAATTAAAGCAAGAATTAAAGAAATATCGAGGAAATACGGTGAGCAACGAAGTATTTCAACTACGAAATCATATTGAACAGTTAACAGACCAGGAACAAAGCCGAAACCTTATGTGGAAAGTTAGATCGCTTAAGAAAACGATTTCAAAGTTGAGAAAATTGAACAAAACCATAGAGAACGTTTACGAAAAAAAGTTACAACGTGTCGTCAAAGTACCGAACAATATTTTCCTATAAGGCATTATTTTAAATTCTCTTTTAATATATAATGAAGTTCCTAATCCATAATTTACATACGACGTTATAGAATAAGAATCTAGAGATCAAAGTGTTGCAGTTGCAATTTCAAGAACAGATGAGCGATTTATTTTTATCTCTGTGTTCAGAAAAGCAAAATGAGCTGCATAGTTTAGTGTCATCTTTAGAGAAAAAATATCGTACACTCTTAATAAACGCTGATACTGCTATTGAAAACCAGCGAGAAGAGTATATTACGGTATTCTTTGTTTATTATATTCCTGTTGTATATTTTCTGTCCGAACCACAATTTTTAGTATTACGAATTCTTTCAAATAAATTATATAACAATTTGAGAATTTTCTCTAATGATTGCTTTCCATTTTTATGTATAATTCATTTCCAATACGTATAAGTAATTAACATTCATGATTATTAAACCATATTTTCAGAAAATGGCCGCACTTGAAGCTGAATTATGCCACTTGAAAAATAATCTTCGGTCCAAATCAGAATATGTATGACGGCATGCAAATTACATACTTTTTTATTCAACATGATTCCACTTATTATTATCAATTAATACAAAATTGTGTAATTATATTGTGAAGATTTTTAACATTTATTTGTGAAAAATGTAAAATCAAAAAAGATGGTTCTTCAAGAAGGAACAAGAATCGTATGTTAAGTTGAATTTGAAACGCGTCAAAAATGGCGGGTGAAGTCAGAAGGTAACATATTTCGGAATGTATTCTTATGGTAAAACAGGTTGAGAGTTTGAAATTGAAACTCAAACTATATATTGGATCATGTGTCGGTCTCCATAGCAACTATCAACATAATTGAACATAATATTGTATATTTGAGACGTTGCTACCCGCTGTATGAGGAAAAAAGACACTTGTATCAATTAAATTTTATGTATACTAAATATATAGCACAATATGATAAGTGTATAATATGACAAATGAATATAATATGAAATGAGTCTATATTTTGACATACGTGTGCAAAATCCTGAAACTGCTTCGATAAGCACATCTGTCGCTTGGCATAATAATTACCCCTTATTAGCTGTCGCTGCCTATTCTCAAGATAAAGGTGGTTTTGTAACAATTTTTGATGACCAAGGTGAACCTGTGCAAGATGTTGAGCCAACAGGACACGCAGTAGCACAAGTCACTGCACTCGGATGGCATCCAGAGAGGACATGGCTAGCAGCAGGATGGGAGAGTGGAGAGCTGCGAGTCAGTTTTCTTTTTTAAAGCTAAACAGTAGAATTGTCTTTGTTGTCAAATAATATGACCAAAAATTTGGAAAATTATTTCTAGATATGGCCAGGAGATACTGGAAGTCAAGAATTCAGTATAATTGTAACTCCCCATAGAGATCCCATTACAATTCTCCAATGGAGTCAATTTGGTGGTCGCTTGGTATCTGCAGACACTGGTGGATCTATAGTTGGCTGGAAAATAGATTCCAGAGGACAACTTCTTATGACATTTCATCATGAATTAAAAGAGTCTTTTACACAAATTGCATTTAAAACAGCTCCTCCAAAGCCAGCTGTTGACATTAGGTCAGTATTTATTATTTATTCAAACAAATAACTTAAAATTACTATATAGCTTTCTATTTTGATTGTTTTATTTCAAATGTCACAAACTGAAATCTGTAAAGATATTAATCTAAAAGGATCCAAGAGATAGGTATATCTAAAAGACAAAAAAAAGGAATGTCTCAAATTATAGTTGTAAAAATATTTTAGACACCTAATAATTTAATTTTTTTCTCAATTGTTTGATTTGGGATGTCTAATTTTGAACAATTATTGCTTATAGTGGTTTGGCAAAGGCAGCAGTGGCTGGGGATGAACGAGCTTTGGATCTGTTTAGTTCCTGGCGTCCAAGAACCGCCGCACCAACAGTAGTTTCGACTCAACGTGACAACCATGCATTCTACATTGGTACTGCAAGTGGTACTATATATTTCATTGATATTCAAGGGCAATGCAAGGAAGTATTCAATACTGATGGTGCAGGACTACTTTGCCTGTTGCATCATCAAAATAGAGACTCGATTGTCGTCATGACAGAAGGATTGAACATCGGGCACTTTCAAGCAGATCCGATTAGTGGGGAACTCATAGAGTTAACAAAGGTACTGATAATAACATTGTGAATATCTTTTTTCCACCTAAATCATAAAATCAATCAGTGTGACTATGTGATATGTAACATTATATTATCTCAGGAAATATTATTTTAGGTAAAACTGAGCGGCAGAAGCGACACATCGCGCACTAGCGCTACTCTATGTTGGATCAGCGGGAACACTTTAGCAGTGCTTACAGGTGAACTCGCTGTACGTTGCTGGGACCTTCACACTGGCGACACGTATGTTCTGTCGCCTCCAGACTCGACCAATGGAAACATCGCTAGTCCTCAAGAAATGTGTACCAGCTTGGCATTTTGCAAAGCCAATGGTAATATCTGCTTTAAAATGTTCGTTATTTATGATGGAATTAATATGACACGTGTTTTGAAAATCTTTTCTCCAAGTTAGATCTGTCGAAAATAAGTTAGTGTTTCGAATTTTTAGACAGTTTGGCTGCCGGCACCAACTTGGGAACGATCTACTTATGGAAGCGAAAAAACGTGTCCGAGTGCGACGAGAACGCCTGGCCGAGCGTGCCGGAGTCCTGCGCGATCCACGGCACAGTGAAGCAGTTGACATGGGGTACTAGCTTATCACGGAATTCCCTCTTGGCTGTGAACTGCATCACCAATGTCTTCATTCTGCATCAGCAGCCAATGTGCGCCGTGTATAACGACGGTGTTTGCGCGAGTCAACTCACTCCCACGCAGATTTTACTCGAGCTGGATGAACAGACGTACATGTTGAAAACAGAGATTCAGGTGCAGGCCGTCGCAGTCACGAGGGAGTACGTCGCCGTTTCCTCCGGCAGACAAATAATCGTGAACCGCATCAACCGAGGCGCCAATTTGAATACAGTTTTATTGGCGACCTTCAGTTGCGACACGGAGAAAATGTTGATCTACGAGCACACGCTGATTGTGTTGACTCCGATGATCCTTCAACTGCGATCCATGGAAGGTTCCATCATTCAAACGCTCCCCACGTTACCAGAAGAAGGTGAACCGATCACTATGGAGTTAACAGGTAATTTTCGACTAAGACAGCTTGTGATTCTTCAGAATTAAGAATTTAAAATTTCACTTCAATCGAAGTATTCCTCGTTAAGTATCTATTTCGCGACTGCCATTGTTCGTAGGGCAATATTTGACAGTAGCATCGTTAAATGGTATCTTGAAGATTTGGGACTTGGGCAAGCGTGAGGCTAAGTTGCACACCCGAGCTATGGCAACATACGAGGCTATCAGCGATTTTGCCGAGATCATCGAGGCAAGATGTAATGCGGATTGCCATTGCGTTTCCATCACAGTTGCCATGGCCAATCTCATGCCTAGCTCGGTTTTATATGTTTGGGACATCGAAAGTGATCAGATCCATGAATTTGACTTTGGCGAGTCAGACGATATCATTGACGATGACAACACTATGCTGTAAGAAGACCACGATGACATTAAAGCCATAATCATAGACATCTAATTCCAAATTAGAATTAATGGTATTCAATATTAAGTCGAGCGAATTCATTTACCTGTGTTCATTTGGGCTCAATTCTGATATCATATATGACAATGATATAATATGCAGGATATTAAAGTCTAATGTTCAATCTGTTCTTTAGAACTACACAATGCAGAGGGAGATTGGTCACGGCGCACTGCTGGGACGTAGAAGACCCCAGACTATTAGTGTGTCGAGCCCAGAGATTGGAAAACCGTGACTCTAAGAACTTCAACAAGGACGGTGATCAGGTAACGACCATTAAATCATTATTTGATCATTATATATATCTATGATCAATGATCCGCTGTATCTTTTCTTTAGATCGCACAAGCCTCCGTGGTGTTGGTATCGTTGTTCGCAACGTCGGACCATGGTATAGTCGTACAAGACGTTAAGCCGATTGCTGATGAGAATTGCCGTTTGTTAGGTGTGCAGTCACCGCATATCGTTATCTTAAATTCTGAAAAGACTTTGGATAGAACGAGTAAGATAACACGCTTACTGATGAGAGACTTCGAGGAATTGGGTGACTGTGATTCCGTCACGAGGAAGGCGGTGATGGATTTCAGTTATCACATCAGTGTGGCAAACATGGACGAGGCCTTCAAGGCCATTAAATCTATACAAAACGAGGCTGTCTGGAAGAGCTTGGCTAGAATGTGCGTGAAAACGAAACAACTAAACATGGCTTTGCTCTGTTTGGGCCACATGAAGCAGGCCAGCGCCGCGCGGGCTCTTCGCGAAGCGATGCAGGACGATAGTTTGAGCCTGGAGGCGCAAGTGGGAATTCTGGCGGTTGAGCTTGGTCTTCATGTACGTTGAGCGTCTTTTACGTATGAGCGCAATTGAATGTGCGCTTCTTGATCACATTGCTGTGAGTTTACTCAAAATACATGCAATGTCTACGATGTAGGCTGATGCGGAACGTCTATTTCGTGAAACGAAACGTTTGGACCTATTGGGACGGCTGCTCGAGGCGCGGAATAAATTCAAGGAAGCGATCGACCTAGCCAGCAACGAGAACAAGATTCGGGAGAAAACCAGTTACTATAATTACGCTCGCGCGTTGGAGCAGCAGGGTAAAGTAGCGGAGGCCATTGATATGTACACAAAAGCAGATTGTCATCGATTCGAAGTGCCACGGATGCTCTTGATGAGACCCCGAGAACTCCTCGTGTACCTCAATAATTCAGAAGAGCCGTAAGTGACGCAATAAAGATTGTTATTTTCTATGAATTACAAAAGGTAATTAACTTTATTAATGTCGCCACGCAGGGAGATCAAAAACTGGCATGCTCAGTACACTGAGTCGACCGGCGACATGGAAGCGGCCTTGCGTCTGTACGAGCAAGCGAAGGATACCCTGTCAATGACGAGGTTGCTCTGTTACTTCGGCCGAGAGGACGAGGTGTCTGAGCTGGTAACCAGAACGGGTCATGCCGCGTCTGCGTATCATCTTGCTGCGCATTGCGAGTCGAAGAACAATGTGTCGCAAGCAATCCATTTCTACACAGTCGCTAAAGCTTATACCAACGCGATTCGACTGTGTAAGGTAAGTGATTCAGCCGACGAAACGAAAATATTTAATTCCTCCTGTTGAATGGTTGAGAAGCGCTTGAGTTTCTCAATTCGCTCGAAGAAAGTACTCGGGAGAAGATGCACTTTTTGTGGATCAGAAGATTTTTTCAACTTACAGGAGCATGACATGTTGGAGGAATTGTGGCCATTGGCTATATTAGCGCCGCGACATTCACAGATAGACGTCGCAAAATTTTACGAGGACAATGACCAGTCGGATCGCGCAGTATTATTGTATCATAAGGCCGGTCTTTTGCACAAAGCCTTGGACGTCGCGTTCAGAACGCGACAATATGGGGCGTTGCAGCTGATCATCATGGACGTAAACGCGGATTCTGATCCGGCGCTGATACGGAAGTGCGCCGATTACTTCATGCAAAACGAGCAGATCGACAAAGCAGTGGACCTACTCGCGACTGGCAAAGATTATATGGCGGCGTTGGAACTGATTCAGCAGCACAATGTCGCGCTGAGCGAAGAGCTCGCGGAGAAACTGACGGTCGAGAAAGGCAGCAACGACGATATGGAGCACGAACGCTTGCGAATCTCTACGCTTGAGAAAATTGCGGAGATCGCCTTCGATCAGGGCAACTACCATCTCGCGACAAAGAAATTCACGCAGGCCGGTAACAAGCTGCGCGCCATGAAGGCGTTGCTCAAGTCCGGCGATACCGAGAAGATTTGCTTCTTCGCGCAGGTCTCGAGGAACCGCGAAATTTACATTATGGCGGGTAATTACCTGCAATCATTAGACTGGCAGAATCAACCGGAAGTCTTAAAGAACATCATTAGCTTCTACTCGAAGGGCAAGGCGATGGATCTGCTGGCGAACTTTTATGTGGCGTGCGCGCAAGTAGAGATCGACGAGTTTCAGAATTACGAGAAAGCGTTGGACGCGCTGAATCAAGCGAGCAGGTGTTTAACCAAAGTGGTGATGCCACGGGATCCGGATCTTCACAAGCAAGCGGTGGAGCTAGTAAATAACAGGATGTCGGCGATTAAACGTTATTTAGATATTAAAAGGTAATTATAAAGTGTGACGCGAATCGAAGAGGAAAAATTAAGTGACGAAAGTTCTGTGATATCTTATTCTCTTTCTTGGTATATAATGGCGGGATGATAGAGATAGATGGATTAATTTTAAGATAAAAATAATTTTAGTACAAAGTATCATTTTTTGCATTTACATATACAAGAGAGGATATATTTTTTTCATTTGGAAGGTTGTTCGACAAAGGTGAGACGGAAACGGCGATGCAACATGTGCGCCACTTGCTGGATTCTCAAGGACCAAATCTAGAGCAATCGGTGCGTCGTGGTGACTTGTTCGCAACGATTACGCAACATTACGCCGATATAGGAGACACTGATAAAGCTTGGGCTACTATCGAGGAATTGAAACGTTTGGTACCGGGTATCAATCTGAGTTATTATTTTAATATTAATCTCCTCGAAGCACTGGGTTACAAAATGAAAGTACAACGACAGGACAGTTCCGATAAAGATGATGGAATTGAGGAGCTTTTAGGAGAATAAAAATCTATTAAGCCTAATTTTGCCTGCAAAATGACTAGAGAATTTGTGAGATAGAATTAACTTTGTTAATCTAGTATATTAGATTTAATAAGCACTTGTTTCTTAATAATAAAGAAATTCCGTCCATCTAGTACTGTATTCTAATACTGTAACAATAATGTATTGTATGTATACCGTATATTCCTGTTTTAATGACACTGTTGCAACTTTGCAACAGTATTGCAGTAAGATTGTACAACTCATCTGCAATATTGAGATAAACTATTTTTACAATACTTCTGCAATAATGTTATATAGAAGCTAGTATGATATAAATGAGAGAATATAAATATATCTCTGAATTTAACAAAAGTTTATTCGTAATTTCATAAATCTTTGTAAAATATCCTCTTCAATTCACCCCTCCCCCGCCAAACGACGACGATGACTTTACGTTCAGGAAATTCGGTAATTAAAATACCAAGTAATAGTAAATCTATCCATTCTATGTATGAGTGGCATTTGTAACATGAAATTTGATGAAAGAAGAAAATATTCGTACGCAGAGTAATCGAGAAAGAATTATTTAAATCCTAAGATTATCACATTGAAATTCTCGACTCTGATTGGCCTGCTCATTTATTCCACATATACTGTATGTCATCTCCTTGAATGTGATTTTCATTCATATTTCTAGCTCTGTTTATTGTTACGTAAGTAGGTTGTCATGCATTCAAGTTGTTAAAGTATAAATTAGAAGAATATGATGTATAATAAAAGATAGATTCTTCGTTAATGTGAAACAAAAGCAAAATATTTGTGATATTAGAATTAGGTTATATGTATGTATGTAAAGTATGATGTTTGAAGTGAATATTTTGACTCGTCTATCTCTCGCTATATCGTCTATAATTCTTGGTAGAATTGTTCATATGTTATGTAATTCATTCTCTATTTTATTTTTGTCGAAACAGATATTTTATTGATATATTGTAATGGATGAGGTTACAACGGATATAGAGGCAACGGTTTTATTTTTTGCAAAAGCACGCGAATTAACAGGAAATAAGGAAGACAAGATTCGTGTTCCAAATAGATTGACTTCCACCGATCTTCTGGAAAAAATTATCTTCAATTTTAATTTAGAAAGTATACGTAATCAGATAATACTAGCTGTGAATGAAGAATTTGTGTCTTTTGATACTATTCTTAATCTATCAGAGAAAGACAAAATTGCAGTAATTCCACCACTCAGCGGAGGTTTGTTCAATAATAAATTGATTATGTACAAATTAATACATTACACCTATAGGTTTACTTAATCATGGAATTATTTGCCTTGTACTTTTTCAGGCTAATCTTTACGATATGGAGTCGCCAAAAAATTTTATCAAGTTACAACAGGAAGAATTGGATATTGCTGATATCATAAATCTAGTAGTATTTCCTAATTGTGGAGCAGTATCTAATTTTATTGGGATTACTCGAGATAATTTTGAAAATAAAAAGGTAAGGTAATATATAACTTATAAATATTATAAATATAAGAATATATGTATTTATGTTTACCTCCACAAGCCATATTTATGTTTACCTCCACAAGCCATATTTATGTTTACCTCCAAGTAGCAAATAAATAAAAATTTTTGTGGATATTTGTTTCTTTTATAGGTAGTTAAATTAGAATATGAAGCCTATGAGGGAATGGCCATAAAAGAGATGAATAATATCTGCACTAAAATTCGTTTGCAATGGAATGTAGAAGGCATTGCTATATATCATCGTATTGGGGAAGTACCAATATCCAAAGCAAGTGTTGTAATTGCTATCTCCTCTCCTCACAGGGAGGAATCACTAAAAGCTGTCGAATATGCTATTAACACATTAAAAGCAATTGTGCCTATTTGGAAAAAAGAAGTATATGAAACTGGAGAACCAGAATGGAAACAAAATAAGGAGTGTACATGGAAAAATAGTAAATAATCTTTTTATCATCAGTTTTTTGTAATGCATGCGATAGTTGCATTTTTTTAATCTGGAACTTAATTATTCTTGTTTGTGGCTAAATATAATATATCAAAGTTTCCTATTTTCTTTTGTTTGAGATTTATTTTTTCCATAAGTTTTGAATATAGGGTTTTTTGTTTTTTCTTAATTTCTTTTTTATTAATTTGAAACCTTGTGTCCTGACATATCTGTTTTATAAGACGCGTCATGCGCGGGTGTACTTATCTATATGATACATGATATAAAATTGATCATACAAGAAGGATTGCCCCAAATTGATGTAGAGCTAGCTGTTGATTACAGATTTTGAAAGATATTAATATTCTGTCTTTATATATCTTTAAATTATATATTTGAAATTTATAAATTTCAAAAATTTAATTATAAAGACTATAATTATAAAAATTATAAAGACAGAAATTTATAAATCGCCTATTTTTTCTTCTATAGTAAGTAATAACGTGTCAGAAGTGGAAGAAATCATTGAGTCTACAGCCTTGAGGAAGAATAATGTTCAAGTAACTGCAAATGTAAATGAAGATATACCAGATAAGGTTATTATCGACCCTAACCATGTACAAATCCAAGCAAGCCCTGAAGAATTGAATCGTAGGATAGAATCATTCATTGAAAGAAAACGTCAGCAAGTAAATATTGTAAATGTGCGGGAATTTTGTTGCCACAGGTTGGTTCATCATTATTGCTGAAATAGGGATAGTTGCATATGTATACCTGCTACTTTAGAACAGCAATTGTTCTCGTATAATTTTATAATTTATAATATACATCATTACATATATAATTATATGTAATTATTACAATAAATTGACAGCGTGCTATAATTGCAACTGATATTCACAGTGAACAGAATGAAGATAATAAAAATTCTTGTGCAAGAGTAGATGCCATTCTTATGCATCGCAATGATTCTAAAAGTCACATGAAAGGTAATATATAATTTAATTTTATTGTTCACGTATACAAACTCTTAGATAGCTATTGTTTCCTTTATTTTTTTTTTTCATACATATTTACCCATTTCATTTTAATCTATGTATTTTTTGTGTACAATTTTTTTTATATCTCTATATATAAGAATAGATTAGCTTAAAATTCTTGAAGAAAAGTTTTAAGCGAATGTACATTGCAAAAATTATTATTGCAGAATTTTCGCACTAGACGTTAAGATAATGTAGATAATGCCAGGAAAGAAAGAGACAAAAAAGCCTCTTCTCCAATCTAGACTATATTGTATTATCAAGATTTTCCATTCTCAAGTCACTCAAGTTGTATAACTCAAGTTGTATTTATACGGAAGAGAAATTGTATAATTGCAATTTATAATTACAATTTGTATAATTACAGTTTAGATCACAATGCCATAAAAATTCGAGAATACTCGCGTTTATTTTGTACAAAGGTTTAAGGATCCTATGATATATGGTTTCATTTATTTTCAGTTCACAGGGTATTTAATATATGGGGACCACAAATGGTTGATCAATCAGCTTTACGCAAGTTATCAAGTAGTACAAGTCCCAATAGTGCAAATCCTTTTCCTGTATTGGACGAGAGAATTTCTATCTCAGAACGTATATTAGGGATTAACAAACCAGTACCCAAAGATATTTACAAAAGATTGAAAATTATAGAAGATAAAATATTATATTTAGAAGGAATATCGCCAGAATATAAGGAATTTTGGGTATACTATATATATTAATGTATATTTAATTTGCTATTTTAATGGAAAGACAGTCTCTTATACACATTTTTATATAATAGACTTTCTTGAGACAGCTATAAAAGAACATGTCCTATTCATCACATAATAAAAAAAACTTATTTAGATTATTTTCCATCCATTGTTTTTTTTTTTTTACTTTTTATATACATGCAATTTTCAATTTGCGTAGATCACAAAAGACATCGATATCTTGAAAGGCAATTTGAAATCCGTTCAAAAAAGAGTAAGTATTACATGTAATATTCGATGCGTTATGTGCAATATAATAATTATCAATGTTTCCAGTAATTGTAAGTTGTATTACTTAAATTCGATTAGATTTACTGGTGTATTAAAGTATATAGAAAAAAATTCATCGTTAATTTGGCATTGGGAATTTATATTACATTTCAGACATATTCTATGGCAGAAATTGACTCAAAGTTGTATGAATTAGAAGAAAAATACAGCAAAAGGATAAAATAGCGATACACAAATGATGATGCACAAATGCGTTAATAATTATATCATGTAATTCACTGATAATTTCAATAATTGTAAGTAATAAGCGATCCAAATATATTCTGTTATTTATTGTGATACATTCGTTTTTGCAAGTGACTTTATATACCGCAATTGAGCATGCGTGTTGAGTCTGTCGCAATTGTCGAAGTCATACATGGCGCACGAGTCGTCGCGTGACGTACGTTTGAACTTTCACGAGCGACTGTACGTAAGCATTCTGCATTCGATTGATAAAGGCAGGTAGTGCTCGTTGCGCTTTCACACGATATGGCTGTGGTTAGTATCAGTTGCAGGTTATCTTCGATCGTGAAATATCGTAAAGCTAATTGAGTGATTGCAATGCGTCGTTGGATTACAAATTGCAGGATCGACCTGAAATAAATCCGTGCCGGTCACGGTAAGTCTCTTGATCGACAGAAAAATGCTCCATATATTCCTACCTAACAGCACATGCGATGTGACGCGACTCGTTAAGTTTTCTGTCAATGTGACAGGCGCCTTGCAGTCTCCCATTTGGTAGTGTCACTAGCGACGGTAGCTCGAGCTGTATAACAACAAATTATTAAGGTAAAGGATGATTTTAAAAGACGCAAGCCGGACCCGGCTTTTGACTGTTTCATCTTAATCATTTTTAGCAACGTAAATAAATAAAATGTGTTGCGTGGCTATCGAATAATCTAACGATAATTAAGTATATCGTTGAGAAATATTCCGATGTCGATTGTTCTCGTGTTAAACATATTTTACTTTGCCTAGCCCTAGTTTGCGAGATTTACACGCAAGCGATGTACGTGTAGATAATGTGTTTGTAATCATTTTTGCTTTGCTTGCACTGCTTTAACCCGCGGATTCGGCTTTCGTATTTAAAGCTGTGTACAAATTATGCCTGTGATTTACTTATAAATGTACGTAAAAATGTACCATTTCCATAAATTTCTTTTAGCCTCAGTTTTAGCTTTTATTTTTAGAATTTGATGCATAATTTAATACGTGTGCATAAAAGTAATTCCAAGAAATTCTTACTGTTGTTATATTTGCTGCTATGTCTCCACTAATGTATACATTGCATATTAGTGTTTGAAATTAGAAAGCGTGAAAGTCCAGAGATAGCCATCCTCCACAGAAAATATACGTTCAAATCAAGAACTTGCAACACACAGCAAAGAGTTTGTTGAAAGTGTATTCAAATCTATCTGAGCTAGATTTTCAAAAATATATATCATAACTGTAATATCTTATACCGATTGTTGTTTATTCATATAATGGATATAAGATATATAATTGATAAAAAAAAATAAACATAAGATATTTTATAAAATTTTATAAAATTATCATAAATTTTTAATTTTAAATGTAATATCAGTTTGTTTTTATATTTTTTATATTTTAAGCGTGCACGCTAGTTTTAGATACGTGTATATGTGTGTATGTATATATTTTAGATGTGTGTATGAATATAAAAATGTATACATCTACAAATGCAAATTTATTCGCGCTTGCAATATTGATTACTACTTACACCGCAAGAGTGAAGCCTTAATTTGGATTAAAAGTACCCGCTGTAATTAATTGAAACGCGCGGAAAGCACGAAGTTTCTTAGCACCTCAGCCAACGTAATCGATCGTGAAAAGAAAAACGTACCATATAACACGTACGATCGTGTGTGGTTTACGTGATTTGCAACTAAGATAGGACGTTTAAATTGATATTGGAGCTGGATTTGTCCGATTGAATATGTCTGCGTTTTATTGATACTTGTAATTTTTACATTAATTCATACGCATTTAAAAATAATATCTTAGGCTTTTGTTACGAACTTTTGTCAGTTTATTTTCCATGACCGAAGCTGACTTTTCTCTAATCTCTTTTATTGTTTGTATTTAAATATAAAATATAACGCTCACACAATTAATCTTATGTTATCCTTGCATTGTTATTGGATGGTTTCTTTGATTTATTTGTTTATTTTTTTGTGAAACTTTGTTTCGTAAAATATTAAAAATGCTTCTTCAACTTTATAAACAATATCAGACCATACCTCTCTCTCTCTCTCGTAAAGTATGATAGCGTTTTTATTTTCTTGATTAACAAACAGTTACTTTGTCAATCCTTTTTATAGATTTTTATTGACAATCGTATCATGATTTAAAAAATATTATCCACCGACTTTCAGATATAGCACAATGTCGCAAAGAAAGAATGCCAATGCAACGGGAAAGCTGAAAGGGAAGCGTTCAAAAGAGCTCATGTCCTCCTCTAGTCTTTCCGGTATGTCGCAATTATCGAACAGCAGTGAAGAGACATTGGAGGCCTTTGTACATAAACCCCATAAATCTGACAATTTAGAAAAGTGAGTTATCTGAATGGGTTGTGTCTCTAAATCATCCAATAAAACGCGATGTCATTTAAAACTGTACTTCAGTAGTCGGGTAATACTTTGTACTTTGAATGTTCATTTGCAGCGCAACGAATACACGAAATGCACAGAACAACGAATGGTTAATGAACGGACCAAATGGATGCAAGGCGCCTCTTTTACGCTTTAAGTGAGTTCACCAGTTATTTTCTCTTTAGGAAATGTATAAATTCGAGGAACTATATGTTTTACTTGTTCCTTTTGCTCTTTTTTTATAGATGTTCTGCTTTAGCTATGCCACCAGAAGACCCACCCGCAAAGCAGCTACATATGACCTATAAGATCTTTCAAACAGATACCAAACTCATTAATCTTCTGCTACAATCGCACGGCTTAGTAGAGGTGAGTCTTTTTTTTTTTTTTTTTTTTTTTCAAGGACATTAATTATTTATTACACAAAATTGGAAGGAATTATGCTATTGATTGGTCTAAAAAAATTATCTCGATAAGATGCATATGCGACGTAGTACGAGACTACTTAGCCAAGTTTAAACTCATTACATCTGTTGATGGTAACATAAATAACAGTCTTGAGAAATTGCAAGTGTCTAAATCGTTAACCTGTTTTACATGGAAAAAAAAAAAGAAGAAAAGATCGATCTAACAGAGCAATGCTTCTTTAACTTTCATTAAACTGATTATTACAAGTCGCGCTCATTTACAATTGATTACAATGAATTCTAGAAATCTGACTAATCTCAATTATGTGACAATCTGTAAATGTATTAGGACGCGATTATTCCGACGATGAAGAGTCAGACTTAATGCGATATCATTGTATACAGTTATTCCAGTTCCAATGTGGGTCAGAACACAAGTCCACGTTCAAGTTTGCACGCGCGATAGTTATTACAACACTTTCATAATCCGAAACCCAATTCGCCAAATTGCCGATCTGTCTCAATCGTTTGTAACTGTTGATCATATTTAGCACCGTGTTCGCTGACACTTTGCTCGCCTGATGAATGTAGAAACACGTCAAATTGGACAAAGTGCTGTCGCATTCGTTTGATTTTTCGCCATTGTTGGACTTGACAGGCGGTTCCGACAGCTTTTCCAAATGCTGGTTCGTCAGGTCGAAACAACTGTGAACATGCAACGCCGTTAGTCCTGGGGCTAGAGAAAATACTTTTGTAATCGTTAACGCATCCACTGTATGTCCAAGCTCGATTTTTCTCAGATATCTAAGAAGAGGAGGATCGCATCCTTCTGTCCATACGACCTTGGCCCCGTCATTAACGAGTGTATGTAGATTAGGACAACTGCTCAGAATTTCCTTCAAGTCCATCTGCAAAGGGATATTCCTCTGTTCCGTCATCCAAAGACCGAGTTCGCGTAAATGTTGCCCGTGCGCTCGAAGATAACTGTACAAGTTCTCTAACCATTCTTTCGTCGTCGGTATGTTATGCATACTCAACGAAGTCAGGTGAGGAAAGACACGCAATGCCTCCGGATAATGCCAAGGTTCGGAGATGGAAAGCCTTCTCATGTTTGGACACATCTGCGCTAAAAATTTCAGCTGTACCGGCGTCGTCTCGCAACTGATCGCCTCGGTTAGATTCCACGGCGATTGACCTATGTCCACGGTCTCCACTACATGACCTATGTACTTATATTCCGCTAAGGACTCGAGTTGTGTAATATTTAACAGAGCGAGCGACACACCAGCCTCGGTGACACAAGTATCGGCAATATTCAATACTCTCAGCGTATCGCACAGCGGATTCTTACTCTCGTAATATTCTAACAGTACATTCTGCTTCTTTTTCTTCTCCCATTTTGAATTGCTCATCTTCCACCTAGTTAGTAGTCTTTTCATTCGCGACCAATTGGTACACTCTCGTGCCGATACGGAAAGCACTTTATCTTTGAACTCTACGTGCAAGAGCAATTGCTTCAGTCCTGCATCCGTTACTTCTCTCGAGCAAGCTACGTCCAGGATTATGAGTTTTGGACAGGTTTTACCGATAACTCGAAGCATAGCATCATTGGCGATATTGCGGAGCGTCAGAATCGTCAAATTCTTCATGTTCGATAATGTCGAGCGCAGTAAATTGCAGTCCATGCGGAGTAAGGAGTAACGGAACAAGTGTAATGACTCTAGTCCAGTTCCTTCCGAAGCGAGTAATTCCAGCAGCGACGTTTGGTAGCTACATCCGTAATAGCAACAGAGTTGAACCTTCAGTCGTTTTATGTCACGATCGAGAAGGAGAGATAATAGAAATAATATCGCAGGTTCGGAGACAACGTGAGGCTCGTCCGGTAGTGGCAAGCACAGCATCCTTGAGGTTTCCTCGATCACTTGGGAGCGCAAACGAGTCGGTAACGCGTTCACATAGTACGGTCTGATCATCCGTCTTGCAAAGGCTAGTGCTCGCGCCGCAGTGGATCGTTGCGAAAGTGACTGCAAACGTCGGCACGTCCCGTCGAGTTGCTCGCACACACGTCCCAAACTAAGCATCACTAAGGAGTTAGGCTGACGGTGACCCGGCATCTTGCCTTGTTCGCTGAAAAGAGATATTTCAACGATCGATGGAAGTCATTAGAGATTCTCGTTAGATTTAGATGTCCATTGGTCAACTACGATCTTAAATTTCCCCAACATTATATTTCTCAATTAGTAATCTTTTGGCGAATTGTTTCAAAGGTAATGATTTTTTCTACATTTTTCCCCATTCTCTCTGTCTTCTCTTCTTGCTCCCACTCTCTTTCTTTCATCTTCTCACTTTTTCACTCTCACCTTCTCATCTCTTCATTCTCCCATTCTCCCACTTTCTTTCCTTCATCTCCCCTCTCCTCCTCTCTTCTCATCATCCCTTCTCTTCACATAATATAAAAATAATTGAAATACTTTCAAATCCTGCTTTGTTTTTTTTTTCTTTTTTGTTTCATTTCTTCATTATCGAAATTTGCTAAGTAATTTGCTAAGTAAAAGCAAAATTGATTTTTGTAACATTACAAATATGCCAGTAAAGATGTTGAGAATGTGGAAACAAATTCTCTTAAGTACATTTATACAGATTAAATAATAGTTTTATGTGAGTGGGATACGTTTCTAAAATTTGATCACGTGTTTCAGTTTTACTCGTCCTCTTTATTCATGGACAAAGAATTTACATTCTCACAATCGTTGCTCATTCCAAAATTTGGCAAGAGATAAGTGTCGCAATCTTTTTAAGTTACGCATATGAAACACACGTGTCGCCGTTACTACGCAATGTGTTTTGATCGAACGCTTGTCAACACGTTTGTCGTCATGGATGAAAATTATATTAACGTTTTGTCGTGTAAAAAGAAAAAAACACAAGGTTCATACCTGAAAACGAGCAAGGTTCCTACGGGCGTCTCCTGAGCAAGAGCTCGCGCTAGACTGCCGCCGTATCGCTACATTGATGAGGACGCGCTACTGATGCGTCTCGTGACATTGTCGCGGCCTCCTCGCGGTGACCTCGACGGATTTTAAGTTTATCCGCCAAAGGCATCGTTCGAACCTCCAAGGTAAATCGTCCGAGGGAGAGAGAGAGAGGGAGAAGGAGAGAGAGGGAGAGAGAGAGAGAGAGAGAGAGAGAGAGAGAGAGAGAGAGAGAGAGAGAGAGAGAGAGAGAGAGAGGAGAGAGAGAGAGAGAGAGAGAGAGAGAGAGAGAGAGAGAGAGAGAGATCCGTTTCCTTTCTCCAAACCGCAACATTCAATTTATGTATACTGGTAAATAAATCCAATTAATGCAGTATTTTATTAATATGAGTTTTACTTTATATAAATAAAATTTTATTACATATAAATAAACTCTGTATTAATAAAATACTATATTGATCGGGTATACATAAAACTCATATGAAAGGTTGGCTTTCTAGTGAGATTAAGTCTTTTAAAGAAATGATTTATTAACATAGAGATTCCTGATTGACAATATTGAAGAGTGAAAATGTTAAAAAACGCAAGAAATTGTAGAAATTTTTTCGTGCACTACTATGTCAAAATATATTAGTTTCTTCGCATGACACAATTTCAGAAATCATTTGTGCCTGTAAGGTACAGTTATTTTTGCACGAACAAACGAGACCGTATAACACGCTATTGATTTTTAAATGTGCGGTATTAATATCGCACGATTTTCGTTGTTGATATCGTGTGTTGAATTTTTTCTTTATTGTTCAATGTACCCGCGAGAATATTGAAGTATTCGTCATATGGCCTTCTCCTCGGCTGCCCGCTCGTTATCCTTGATCGATGCAGTATGTCGCTCACGTTCTACGTAGTATAAACGAGACAATCGTATTCGTATCAATGACTCTCCCCATCTACGATTTAGCCACTCCATTAGAATTCCAGATTATCAGTTTCGGAGGATGGTGTGGCATCTCTCCTATTTATAAATGTAGATTTTCACGAAAGAGGCGCCGACTGCGAAATGCAAGGAGCCGATGTAATTTTCAAGAAATAAAGTCGCGCGGAATAGCACGCGTTTTTTCTCGTGCTGTGTAAATTTATTAGTATCGCAAATTCGTCCGACTTGCCGATCCGTTAGCGTCCGAGTTATTAATTCTTCAATAGCCGTAAAGAGAGTCGACGTACATTTATAGATGCGCAGGTATCCAATGACCGTTATGAAGCTGATCATTACCCTCATATTAATATGTTGTCGCAACAGTTAAAATGCAAAGAGTTCACGACGACGTTCAGCTCAAAGACGACCTTATCTATATCTTTTACAATTTGCATTTATTTTTCTACATATGCAATTCAGAATTGAATGTATTTTAGTATAATTGGTAGCTGGTTTGCGTAGTTAGACGTATTGTTCCGTAAAGAAACTGCGAGGTCAACGAAGGCGTCGATCCAATGTATGCCGATGCAACTCGAATATTAAGTACACGCATTACCACCACCGTGTTTCCGTATTTCACAATCGCCGCTGATACCACGACACACGAGCAGCGGTTTATTATTCGCTCGCATCTAATACATAAATGCATTTGCGTGCTTTCTTTCATTTTGGTAAAAACTAAGAAAACGGAATCTAAAAATAACAATAATTTATTCGTTGTATTTAGAGTTGCAAATAACCACGTCGCCACCTTTGCTTTCAGGTACCGATGAACGAGGCGGATTTTAATATATTATGGATGGGAAATCATCCGAAACCAGATGTCCTGCGGAATTTGATGCCTTATCAGAAAGTCAACCATTTTCCCAGGTAATCACCGTCTTTCACCGTCATGAAAGATAGCTTCTAAAGATAATGCATGTGTTTTATGTCGTGGAGAATATATAGTGAAAAAATATACATTGAACAGTTTGAGTAACCAAAGAAATGAAGGCAGAATTTTCTTTTGATCTATCATAATGCACAAACGCGCAGATGTTGATTTACTTAATATCGCTGAACAGGTTTGTTGTTGTTGATTCTTTAGGTCTTACGAGATCACACGTAAGGATCGTCTCTACAAGAACATCGAAGCAATGCAGAGGAGCAAAGGCCTTCGAAATCTCGACTTCATACCTCAGACGTTTCTACTGCCGGCCGAAGCCCGAGAACTAATCTCGGCACATTTCAGATATAGAGGGCCGTGGATAGTTAAACCCAAAGCTAGCTCGCGAGGTCGCGGTATTTATATCGTTAACAATGTAAGCATATCTTCTCCTTTTTACGTCTGTATTGGCTTTAGGTGCGATCGAAAGAAGTGTTAGAGAATCTAAAAATAACAATTAGGGCAGACTAATGTTGAATAGTCACTCGTTAAGACCACTCTACAAGTAAATCTTATTAATGTTTGATGATATTTGGGCTCTTGATTACTGAAATGTAGCATTTTGAAAATTGATAACTACGCTGAATGCTACGGCACTTGTACCACCTACCAACTCTATCCGTTTACGCTCATTATGTTGTTATAGCCTGAGAAGATTCTGACAGACGAATCGGTTATCGTGGCACAGTACATAAATAACCCGCTTTTAGTCGATGGACACAAATGCGATTTGCGTCTCTACGTGGCTGTGACGAATTACGATCCCCTGCTAATTTATTTATATGAGGAAGGTTTAGTGAGATTCGCGACCGTCAAGTACGATGGCGGAAACCAATATATCTGGAATCCTTGCATGCATCTTTGCAACTACAGTATAAACAAGTTCCATGTGGATTATGTAAAGTAAGCTATAACGATATATATACGATGTACGTATCGAACGTTAAATTACTTACACCAATGAGGGACATAAATATAAGAGCACCAAGACAGTCTACTTGTAAAAGAGACCTTTGCGAGAGGGGGCTTGTTTCAACTTGACAAATTTGTTCAGTAGCGGTTTCCTTATGCGCTTTCTTCTTCTCTTTCTAATGTCTCTTTCTAATATCAGAATAATAAAGGGGAATCAAATAGAACATGAGAGAATATAGAGACAAGAAAAAAGTGTGCGAAAAGAAGAGATGAAGCACGGGCATGGAAAGGTGTGAATAGACATGATACAAAATTGTAAGATAGAATATAGATTGCAAAAAAATGAGAAAGAGGGAAGAAGGGACGAAAGGGACAACGTTTAATGAGAGCTGATTGCCGAGCAAAGCTGTAAAGAGTATAAATGATATTGCTATTAGGAACGAAGATCCGGATGCCGAGGATGTGGGACACAAATGGACATTGTCAGCATTACTCAGACATTTGCGCTCAACGGGCCAAGACACAGAATTGCTAATGCAACGCATAGAAGATATTATCATAAAATCTATTCTCGCTACTGCATCCGGGATAATTAGTGGTTTAAAGCAATTCGTGAAACATCCCGAGACATGTTTCGGTAATTATTTACTTTTCTAGTATGTCAGACGAGCAAAGGAGATCGCCGATTTCTTTTTCAATTGTACATAATGTCATGATACAAGTGAGATCTGATTGAGAAGCTGTTCCAGATTTATGAAATTTACGAAGAATTAATAATCAATAAATCGTTAATGTTCAATTTTTGAGTCTAGCGAAGATCACACACAGTACATTAAGCTTCAAGTGTAACACTGAATTCTTGCATAAGACTTACACCTTGAATACTAATGTGGATGTTATATACATATATATAATTCTCATTCTAGAACTATTTGGCTTTGATATATTAATCGATGATACGCTGAAGCCGTGGTTACTGGAAGTAAATTTAACTCCCTCATTGGGGTGCGATTCGCCACTAGATGTTAGACTCAAGTCAGCTTTAATAGCAGACTTGCTTACTCTTGTCGGAATACCTGCTGTTGATCCAATCCTGCGTCCTCAAAATTTAAATCGTGCTGCCGTCAATTCCAATAAAAGGATGACTAGTGTAAGCTGTTATTTTTTTACATTTATTTACCGAATCACTCGTTTATCTTTATTCCTTTGTTCCCCGTCTATACGGGATACGCTTCGTAAATATTTAGTTCGTCATTAACATGGGATTATGTTTTATTCGGCTTTTCATCCTTAATTAGCAAGAACGTGCATAAGATATTTTATTTGGCTTAAAATAAATAATAACATGCAGCGTGTGTCTGGCAGGAGGCGGATAAAATATTATGTATATTAACAGCATATATAATAATTACTTCATTATTATAATTTTTTTTATTTTATAAAATATAAAGATTGACTAACTGAAGGAGAAAAAATAAATTGCACCAAACAACGAGGTATGTCGAACAAATGTTCGTTTCCTTGTTTTAGTATAGAAGGGTACAGTCTGCAGAAACATTACCTCAAGGAAGAAAGAGCACTAGCAGAAGTAACGTTAATAAATCAGGCTTAAGTTCAGAAGAACAACGAATAGTAGCTTCTGCAAAAGCACAATTTGAGAGGAGAGGCGGATTTGTTAGAATATTTCCAAGTCCAAAATCTTGGGAACTCTACTCACAGTACTTAGGTAAATATAACTTTACATTTGACAGTATATATTCGTGTTTAAATAAAAGAAATATCAAAGCAGTTTCTGAAACGGTCTATTTTGTGATAACTTATCTGTAACAATATTGTATGTTCTAGATATGATTACAGGTACGCCAATGATGTCAGACCTAATCGGTCTAAGGAAGTTGCCGCAACAAGTCAATACGAATCATAATCTGATGTTACACGAACAATTGTTCCCTGCAGCTAGTCGCGTTACCGGTTTTATAATACCAGAAGTAACTTTAGATAGATTGTCTAGGTATGTTCTATCACTAGTCTTTAACTCATACGATTGCAACCCTCTCGATCTCTTTTATTTATATTTACATAATTATTGCACTTTTTATGCGGTTTATGCGGCTGTTAGTCAGACAATAAAATATATAAGAGAAACAATATAATGGTGGCATCGAGAGATATAGTTTGATATTATATATAGAAACGATGGAGCAAGAGGAATAAAGCAGTAGAAATTAAATTATGACACGCTATAATTATATTTGTACAATATATTCTATTTTATAAAAATAATCAGATATTTGACTACAGATACGAGAGATACGAAAGAGCATTGGTGAAGGGTCATAAACAAAGCTTAGATCGTGAAAATAAGGAAAATGTGGATATAGACATGCATAAATATAAAAATCAAGTGATACAATCGATGCAGGAAGGCAACAAGCTTAGGTTTGTCATTAAAATCCATAAACAAAGCACTAAGAGAATATTTTCAAAGTCAAAGTATACGAAGGTCTCCAAAGTGCAAAATAAAATTATTTTCCTTCCGAAGATCTTACAAGTACCGATTGTACAAAATTTCAGTCCCGGTGAAGCAAGGAAAGCGTTTGGTTTATATCTAGGTTACATATTACGAAAAATATCACAGTCCAACGCAGATCCGGCATGCTGTGATCTCGTGATGAAGTTTCTCCAACACTCATCCTGTAGTTTGAGGACGCCGTTTCTATTTACGGTATGTATTCGATGTAAAATTAACTGCTTTTTATGTTTCCATACGTTAAACAAAATTATCCTGCGGAACGTAGTGCAATAATCTTTGCGCTAAGAGTCTTGTTATTTCTCTTAGAAATTCGCACAAATTATTGAGGCAGGTAGAATATAACATTTTTTTTCGCATAAGAGATCATAACAGTAACTGACATCAACAACTGGATGATTTTATTGAGATAATTATCTTTTCCATAGTTACCGTGCAGCAAGCTTAGCGACAAGGATCGAGCTGCCATTACTGCGAAACAATTGTCCGATTTTTTACATCTATATAATAGGGAAACGGATCTTTACGAGGATACCGTAGATCGGCCCCGTACAGTTCCCAATAAGCTCTTCCAGAAATTTTTGGCCGCAGCAAGGTACATTTACGTTGAGCAATTTTCCACGCACAACTTTGTCCGCAGCTTCGTCTGTGAAATTATGTAATGGGAAAACTGCTTCTCTTTATTTGACTAAAACGTAATAAAAAACGAGAGAATAGAAAACTGAACACTGAAAAATAATATGGTATTATTACAGCGAACAAGATCTCGATGATGTGTTAATTCTGCAAACTCGGCTGTACAAGTGTGCTCACAGTTTCTTGGGAAGAAGTGGCTTCGCTGGCAGTCTACGCGGCGCTAATCTTCTCGGCTCTCTGCCTCAGATTACATCACGGGTGTATTCCAATGCCGCCGTAACAGAACAGTGCAAGTGTAACAATACAATTAATAGGTAACTCAATTAATGATTAATTTATCGCACTTTTGCATATAATTCTGATACAATTGTAATTCCGCGTCCATCAGAATAGTCCTGCCGCAAGTCCGTTCTTCGGGGTTGCCGCACAGCTCCTATATCAGCAATATTTTAGTACCAATTGGCAATCTCTCTTGTGCGCTAATATCGTAATGAATTTTTCTTATAGCATGTCGAATATATAATGACAAAGAAGAATATTTTGATACGTTTTAAGACTATTCCGTTGAGTCATAAATAACTTCCGCTTTTTTGTCTTTAAATTTACTTTTACATAAAATATTGGATGCTGAAGCGCCTAATCTAATGTATACTTCGTCGTTATTAATATTTCTTTAATATTTTTTTGATAGACTTTCCCGCGAATATTTGGGAAAAGTAGATATTAACTACTTACATCCGAAGTTATTTATGACTCGATTTAATATTAGCCGGAAGATAGCCGGAAAAAAATAACTTTCAAGTACCATTTATGAATTACTATGTGTTGCTTACTGTAAACACTAGCGAGCGTGCAAAAATTCTCAGTTTATTCGGACATCCATTGTTCCGTCTAAATGTTCCGCCTAAAATTTTAGGATTTTAGTGAGTTATCTCTCACAACATTCATAGTATGTCGATATTTATCGCTATTCTAATAAAAACATTTTACTTATATTGTCATCTTCTAGGTATATCACAGGATGTTGCCCGATTGAATGAGAATTTTGCATGCTTATCACTTTTGTGGATTTACAATCTTTTACCTTTTCACAAACAATTTCCGAAAGAAAGTCGCGGATCAAATGTTATATCGACTCTAAAGCATACTTTTTTTACATTCGTACGAAATGACGTTAGTAATCATGCGAAATTTAGCAGAAATTTTTTTCAGCAATATGCCATTAACTACTATTTTACATTAAACAGAAGTCAGATTTTTTGACTAGTCTATGATGTGAAAAATGTTAACTGTAATATATATATATATATATATATATATATATATACATAGTGCAACCTATATCATGATTATTTCATACTTATCGTGTATGATGCGACTTAAAGAAATTGGAAGACTTAGGAATACAATGCAAATTTGGATAGTCTATTTGCATTTTACGCTGTCATTTCGTAATTTTCATAATTCGTAATACACGCTTATTAAATATTCAATCAAATAGTAAGAATGAATGTAGTTTTATACTGAAGAATTATCAATTGAGAGCTAAGTATTACATAAATTAAAGCAACAAGGCCAGCTCTCAGGTAACATAAATGTTTAGCCTGAATTTTAAACTAACTTAATATTTGAGGCTCTTTAATTAAGTTGATTAGATTTTAGTTGATTTTTATCGATCGATCAGTTCGATGATATACTAAGGCAAAGCAAATGACGCTTAAAATAAATGGATTCTATCTTTACTCATTTACTCAGAAAGATGCTATTTCCTTAGAACAGTCAACTCGTATCAACGCATCTCAAACCATTGGCGTAAGAAAACTCTGCGGAATTTCACCGATTTCCGCGCCTTAGCCAATAAATAGCGGTAAGATTTAATCAATCCTTCTGCATATCTTATAGACAGCCGCAAAGATTTTATTAGAATTATGTGACAAACTAATTATGCGTCAGCCTGCATTTGTCTTTCAAGTGAAAAATACCCGAAAAATATGTTTCTCTTTTAGTATCTATTATCTTCTGCGCAAAAGTTCCCAAGTATCGCAATACTTTTCACCGATTATATAGTGCTTGTATCTAGTCATAAATTATGAGATAAGATTTTAAATTATTGACAGTCTATACGAGAAGAGAAACTTCTTGAATTCTATCATTTAAATAGTTCAATTTAATTTTTAGATATAAGTCCAGCTCTATTGTACTTACAAACGGCAACTAAAGTACGCGTACTATATGTATATCTACATCCTCCGATCGCGCAAATAAAATATTCTACTCAAATTAAGATCAAGTGCATTTTTAGAACTTGTGATTACCCGATCCATTTTCTGGTCAGTATTTTTAATAAATGGTCAGTAATTTATGACAAATATCAGGATTTATTATAAACATGTATGTTCAAAAAATGCACTTCTAACATTGTTATTATTACTATAGGGTACGATAACTATGTTTAATTATCAGTATTAGAAATAGTCTGCTGGCAAGTACTATTTTATTTCACTAATATTATTTATTTGACTATTTATTGGACAAGCTATCACACATTTATTAAAGGAATACTGGCCAACATATAAATTTCTATTTTTAATAAAACCGATAAAATGTATATCCTTTGTAAATCATACCTTCGTAAATAGCAAGTTTATAACTCGAGTAAATACACAGCTTAAACAAACTTTGTTACTACTGTTATTTATGCACCATTATATTATAGTTCGACGATAATTTTACAGGATGAAATATATATCAGGATAAAATATCAGGAAAAAATATTTTTTTTATTCATATGTATTATTCTATCCATATTGTTTGAATTCTTTGTTAAAAATTTAAAAAGTGTTCTATATGTACATATACGTACATATGTGTGTATGTGTGTGTACTAAATAAATAATCAAATATTTGTACTGCAGATATGTATCGCAGACCTGTGTGCATATATATTAGTGGAAAGATCAACAGATTTCTAACAGTCACTAGAGCATTGTTGTATTAACATGAACTGTTAATATTATCAACATGAATAAATGGGTCAAATATGAACAAAACTACCATTGTGAATTTCCAATTGAAACACAAGCTCGTTGAACTGAACGTTGCTACTTTTATACAGCATTTTATGACATAAAATACTAAGATAATATATATGGTCAGACAAGTTTGTGTTCTAAACAAAAAATTACATAAATAAATTGTTTTATTCGCGAGTAGTTGCGCTTTTCGCGTTTTTTATTCATCACCTCTTTAAATTCGCGCCAGGATGCCATATGTGCAGGATTTTTTGGACCCCACTCGGAGGAAGGTCTAAAGGCCGCCTTGAACATCTGCAGGAGATATATTAAAAGAAAATAGTCGAATAACAAAAGTACTAAGATTAGAAATCCGTATTCGAATAATAATAATAGATATTTAGACACACTTAATGAACGTGCGTGATTACCTCGTGCAATCCCAAGTTTCTTTTTGATAATATTTTATAAAACATCCAAAATGGAATCTGTAGCACGCCAAAAGTAAATAACGTCCAACCAGCAACTGTAATATTTTTATAGATTGTACAAATTTAATTTTTGCCTTCATTTTTATGTTAAATCATATATCTAATTTTATTTCGAAATAAAAATATATAATAAATTTTTATATTTCCCTTCTTAACTTACATTTTGCACTTAACTTCTTTATCTACACTTAATATTTACTCAGAAATTCACCATAATCTGGTTTTGAGAATTTTATAAGAAAAAAAGAAGAATTTCCGAGAAGAAAGAAATATTTGGTAAAAAAGCGAAATGTATTGAAATAAGATAAATAAGCACTAACCATGTGCGGTAGACGGATAGGGTATATTGCCATAAGTCAGCGGCTTTAAATTGATAAGAGTATAAATTAAAATTCCTGTGAGCAACAACGGTGTAACCACCGCCCAACAAATCCTCCAATATATCGATGGACGTCTCTGTAACATATACTCGACGTCATCTAAAAAGTTCTCCAATCCATATATCCAGAATATGCCAATCATCTCTAACGCAGCTGAGAAAAAGATTATAAATGATCCCGCGTAGAAATCCACAAGACCTAGGATGAATTGGCCGCCCTGTACATACGTGTACAAATATTATCAATTTTACATACGAATAAAACTTAAAATATATAGCCTAATGGTTTTCAGATTCTGAGCTTAACAAAACTTATTGCACTCTTTGAGAAGAAATAATTCTTCACGTAAGAAAAAATAAAACAAAAATGTATCAGGCTTCATTTTTGACAAGATTAGTCTTGAAAACTATAAAATAAAGGATATCGCATATTAATCTTTATTTCATGCACATACGGGTTAACACTTACAGGTGTACAATAAAGATTACCGGCCAAGAAACCAATCACAGCCGTTCCAATAACCACGTACCAATATTTCCACGTTGGAAATTGATCGCAAATAATAGTATTGATAGCACCGATACACGCGACGGCGCTACCAATTCCTAGGACGTATAACATTAAGAAGAAAAGCACAGAAAACAGCTACGGAAGAATAATAAATTATGACTTATATCGTCACATTTTTGTATTGCGATTTTAATATAGGCAATAATTTGATGTAATAATTTTTACCTGTGGCAAAACATTAAACTTTGCTATAGCATCCGGATATGAAATAAAAGCAAGACCAGTACCGCTTCGTACTACACTACTTATGTCATCAGTGCCAAGTTCGTGCGCTAGATTACCAAGCATACCAAAGATAGTGAAACCCGCTAACAAACTCGTTAATGTATCCAGCGTGGTCACAACAATAACATCTCTAAACAAATAAACAGAATAATTAATTAATAATCGTATTATTTACTGTATATGTAGCTGATGAAATCATTATCTTAATTCAATTAGATCTTACAATTATATGAGAAAAGAATCCATTTTTATATGTAAAAATCAACACTTCTTTTTATTCGTACGCTTGAAATTTAACGATCCGAAACCGACATGTTCATCCCGTTCGAATGTACACCGACTCGTTTTAGCTTTTTAAATGCAATATTGTTTCATATGCAAAGAGAATAACCTGTAAATATTGTGGTTAAAGTTGTTGTGAGATGAATACATGACTACACCACCGAAGCAAACCGACAGTGAAAAGAAACACTGTGTGACAGCAGCGTACCAAACATCCGCCTCGAACAGTTTCTTAAAGTCGGGCTTAATGAAGAAAACAATTCCGTTTACGGCACCTTCCAAAGTCACTGCTCTAATCAGCAAACAAATCATCACGATATACGGAAAAATAGCAAGGAAATAAGCAGCCTTCCCTGAGCTTTTTACGCCGCGAGCTATTAATCCGCAGATACAGCCCCATACGATTAAAAGGCAAACTGTCAGCTTCCAATTTGGAAGGCCCACTCCATCATCGATGTTTTCTTTCTCTTTCAGCACTGTTTTCCTGCCAAAAGATATAATAAATAATAATGCTAATTTTATATTATTATTTATTTAATTAAATATTATTCATTATATTATATAATGTTAATATAATAAATAATGAAAATAATGAATAATGAAAATAAATAATGAATAATGAAAAGACTGATAAAACAAGCAGTTTGCTTGAAGATGTAAGCATTAGAATAGAGATTGAACAATAGAGAAAGCACACGTACACAATTTGTCAAACAAAAGTATTTTTAAACGAGAAGAAATGTTGAAAAACATGATTTACGCGGAAATATAATATATGTATGCAGAGAGAAAATTAAATCGAATCGTATTCACGAATTTATTTCTTTTTAAGAGGAGACTCTTGAAATTTCTTACATAACTTATAAACGAATTTTAAATTAAGCTCGTGGATTATAAGCGATGTATCTTATCAGTATCTTATCGCTGATAAACAGTAATTATATTTACATTATTTTACCACCATGAAATTTTGGCTACATTTTACTCTTCATTTTAATATCTGTGTTTTGTTTAAGTTTATGACTAAGTTGATTAAGTTATAATTAAGTTTATGTATATGTACTGTTTTTACATTATTACAAATTACATATATCATAAATAATAAAACAGTGAATTAGTAAGAAATTTGTATATTTATGCGCATTGGCAGAACTATTTCTCAATAATAAAATCGAGCGTATTGACGTAAAAATTAAGTATAGCATACTACGTCACTTGCGCGACAACATTTAACATATATTTCGTATGGACTTACGTGAAATATAGTTCAGCGGAACTTCTCATCAACACCACGGTGGTATTATGACGCACGATGATGTTATCCACGCTAGACGAATTTATACAACTGTCTCCCCATTCCTCTAAACAGGTAGACCATGGAAGCTGCGACGAAAAACTCTTCGCGAGATAGAATAAACTAATCGACATCAGCGAGCAATAATAAGTACCGACAGCAACTATCGAATACGTTTGTGCCCAGCCGACACCGCGGAATCCTGGCACTGAATAACGAGTTTTCTATTGTATATATTACTAATGCAAAATAACGAAAGTAAATAATTCGTTGATATTTTTATATTCGTTACCGGCGGACCATATTTTCACAGAGGAACTGCTAGTAAATTGACCCATTATCATCTCCAGATAATAAAACGGTTTTCCCACTACGAAAAGCACGAAGATATATGGGATTAAAAAAGCGCCACCGCCGTTTTCGTAAGCGGTGAATGGGAATCTCCAAACGTTGCCAAGTCCAACGGACATAGCAATACACGACATTAAAAATTCTATGTCGTTTCCCCACGTTGCTCGTTTCTTTTCTTTTTCCTCGACAATCTACGAGCAAACATTTGCATAGAACTACTTGAAAAACAAGCATCATGTACATTATTAAGTAATTTAAATCTGTTTACTGGTATTCGATACTAGATTAATATCAAAAATGGCCCGATAGTAAAATTATATTTTAATTTAAGCCCATTATATTTGAATTACCGTCTCTTCCAGCGACGAGAATGATAACGGCAATTTTCTGTCGTTAGGCATCTGGCAAACAAAATTAAATCCATCGTTATTCTGTAATGAAACATGTATCTTCAATTTTTTTCAGGTTTATAGCTGCAAATATTCAAATGTGTTCTGACTTCATTGATAATTCATACATTTTAGACTTGGTGAGAAAAGTATAAAGGAGATTTTTAAACAATTGAGTTTTAAGTAATAAATAATGAACATTGAGTTTTCAAATCGTCAAATAAACATATTCGCACCGTTCCAAGGATTCCTTTCGAGTTCCGCCTTTCGCTTCTGCCACAATCACCATCGCCAATAAAACCTGGATTGTCTGCTCCATCCTGTGAAGATAATAGTGAAGGATAATAGTTTTATTACACTCTTATTATTAATTATTTACATATTTCTTGTTTCTAATTATTTATCATCATTCAATATATCTGTATATTTTCTTTCAACACATTGTCATTCAACACATCACTCAATAATTACACCATTGTACATTGCAATATTCGTGTCTATAATGCGTGAAGGTCTCGTTTTAAACACGATAAGGTCCGTCAGGCGTCCGACGCGATTACCGTGCATCGTTAAACGAAACGATCGCAAGTGTAGGAATTTTACTTATATGTTACAAGAATTAAATATGTAAAAAAATGGATATATCTCTTTGACACAGAGCGCAAAAATTCACTTTAGATTATGAGCAATGTCTCGAAATTCATCGATTTCTCATTTTGTACAATATAACGACGCAGTGGGAGGTTGTCGAGAAAAATTATTCTTAGCAACCGGTCGGATGAGAAGACACATATTTTTTGTATCCTTCTTTAATTTTTTATTTTCACAAGTTAAGCCATTAAACTGTTCTCAGATATGTAAATTTTTTCTCGCCCACACTTGTTCCCGTACTTTTTGCCGTAACTGTAGTCAATTACTATGTTGACCCTGTTTCTTATAAGCGGCGCGACGTGAATTTGGAGGACGTCATAAGAGTGAAAGGAAAGATATATCTCTCGGTCAATCACACGATGATGATTATTCTTCAGTCCGGAATGACTCTGTCATAGCTAAATTTCGACATCGTGTTAGAACCGAGGTCGATTCGTTTGCCAATTTTAAAGCTATATGTTGCAAAAGTATTATATCAACGAAATTTTGTGGAAATATCACATGTGGTTCTAATTAAATCAAAGCGTGCTTCGTGCGTTTCAAATTTTCAATATTAAAAACGCTCCTGCGCGCGTTGCAAAAATTTTAGACAAATTACCTGTCAAACCTCTGTATTGTATCTTTTTATAGCTTTACAAAAATCTCAGAAGACTATTCGATATTTTCATGATAAATTCTTACCTTTCTCATTTTTCCTGCAGCTACAAAAAATATATAAAATCTTATAAAACAATACACTGACACTCGCGGACGCTGTAACGACGAGACATAAATTAGAGACTTCAAACGGGGACACACAAATTATACGCGGTGAAAGTATTTGAAATTTAAGTAGTTAAAGCTTCCAACATCTTATACAAACTGGCAATTTCGGCACGTATCGCTGGTACCTGCTTGATCTTGCGGCCACACTGAGAGAACGTAAATTACGTTTGCGCAGGTGTAGTGCAATACCGATACCGCTCAAGGTAGGGAAAGGCCACGATCTACGTAAGTACGAGCTATAAAATTCACGGAATTTACAAAACAAATGGAGACAAGAGTGGAGATTTACTTTCGCAATTACGACTTTCGCAAATTCTAAAAATAAGTGATGTATAATTTGTAAATCATCCGAAAAAGCCGAAATACTTGTTGAAATATAAAATAATAGAAGTTCTGTAATATTTCACGATGGAATTATATATCGAAATCGTAGACAGGCGTATATCACCGATATCTTTCTTTTACCTGCACAGTTATTCTTTCCGACTATTATTATCGATTATTTCATCATAATGATTTATAAGAAGCTGGCGGCTATGCATGTTATGTTATATAACTAGATTTCCAAGCTCATTATTATTCTATGCAATGAAGAAAAGAATGAAAACACTTGACTCGTTCTATACCACCATTTTCGGTACATGTTTGATATACGTTGTCGCTGCAACGGATCTGGTCATGCGCATGCGCGCTGTAGTGTTGAAGCGTCATTATATATATATTAGATCTGTTTATCTAAACTTCACTTTCGCTAATATCAGAGAGGAACCTGAAAGTGGCCAACACGGTATTTTCAGCGACACCGACTTTCCGTACCGGGAAAGAGCGCCATCTGCATCCATTTTGAGAGGGGAACTACGATGTTATACCCACTTTCAAGTCTCGGCGGTAAAACCTGCATGTGGTGGCAGTCCGTGCTACATCCACTTTCAGGGCGGTTTATGTCCGTGCTATAACCATAATGGCGTACTTGACAAGCACAGTCTCGCACATGGTTATGCATTTGTAACATGAATTAACATGTTAACATGCGCAAAAGAAAAAAAGAATTGAGATTGTGTATGATTAATATTATGAAGATTTTATACGATATATATTGTATAAATACGGGGTGTCCGGTAACTAGCTGTTACCCGAAGTGCGAAGGTACATTGGGTTAAAACAAACATTAAAGTCCCATACCGTTTTGCGAGATTCGCAATAATTATCGAAATATTAATTACAGAAATTTGACGAATGAGCGCGCCCTGAGATAAATGATTGGAGAAGCGTCGTAGCAGAGAGAAGAACATCATTAACGTGGATATGAATGTGGATGCGAATACCGACAACGCAGAAAAGCGCAACAAAACGCAGGCAAACGCTGAAAAACGCAGAAAAATACAAGAACACAATGAGTATCGCAAAAAGACGAAAAAAACGATGTGGATGATGTGAATGAGGATGTAGAAGCGAAAACACAGAAACGCCACGTGGTACAAACGATTCTCTATCGAACTCCTTTGTCCGTTTTAAAATATCTTGAAAAAAGCGGAAGTACCATTTAGCGTTATATGAAGAAGACGGGAAGATACTGTATTTTCAAACCGATTTGAGGTACAAACGAAATGCAAAGTGGTACAAACATATCGTTCTAATGTAAAGAGAATTCGTTGTAATGTTAAGAGAATATTCGACTGCGATTGGTCCTACAAATTCCTACGACTTGCGAATTGCATTCTGTGTCTTGCGACTAATGTAAAACGGGCTCAAACGTGGTCTACAATGACAGTAAGCAGTAAGAAGTAAGCATAAGCGGTAAGAAATAAATCAATCACAGTCGACTATGACAGAAATAATCAACTGTAGTTGGTCCATTTCTTACTGTTCACGCTTACTTCTTACTGCTTACGGCCATTGTAGACCACGCTTTATATCATCAACGTCCACTTCAATCTCCCACCCTCGATAGAGTCTCAAAATGCACGATCAAGAGCGAGTTATGAAGATTCAGTTTCCGCGAAGAAACTATAGTCGGGGAACGTTTGCAGTCGCGGTGGAAGATTTAACGCTCGCGTTCGCAAGGGCCTAACATTCTACTCGCGAAGGGACACCATCGTCCCTCTTTTCACAACGGTGTCGGATGTTTAGCTCCTTTCTTCCTTATTTTCCGCGACAACGATACCGCGACGGGACCCTAACGAGGCAAGTTCGCTTATAACTAGCGTTTATCTCAAGAGCGCTTCTTGGAAATATTCCGCTCGAAGGGTTAGTCCGCGATAGAAAGTTTCCTGCGATCGGAGACCGCTGTGGTTTAAAGTTAAATTGCAGCAAGAATATTGTTATCGGGCAGCTCTGAGACGGGCTGTTGACATCCATCTGTGACGTCTACCGCGCGCGCCTTTGCGATTGTCAGTAAATTGAGTTTTCTCGATTGCTCGCGCGATTTCAAGTGGCCATAATATGGCGATAATATATGGCAATAATATACGGCAACAATATATGGCAACAATATATGGCAACGATATATGGCAATAAACATAGCCATAATATATGGCAACAATTCATGGAATATATTTATCGTTATAAAAGTCAATGCAAATTTGCGGCATGCACAATGTAATAATAAAAGAGCTCTCTGTGAGCATTGAGTCAAACGCTCACCGATGATGATATTGATGATGTCCCGTTGCATCCAACCAGATCCATCAATGTTCATCGTCCATGTCCGCTACCGCTCTCCATGTCGCGCAGCATCCATTTTGCAGCACGTCCCACGTTGATTGCTACACTTTCCCGACGCGATCGATATTTGTATGAGAGCGGCGACATTTGCGATCAATTAACGAACGTTTTACATCGACATCGGTGGAAACTTTTTACGCGCTGCGAAACGGACTCTATAAACTCGATCGGCAAGGAGCAAAAACCGTGTGAAAATTTATCGACTCGTCCAACGGACTTTTACGGCGCTTTTCGCGATCGCATCTGAAAAGTCGCGAAAATGCGAGAATATCGATATCTACGAGTGAAATATTCGCGACGCGAATGCATGCGAGAAAAGATTAGGCAATCAGAAACCGGTCGCCCCAAGGGAGCGCAAAGAGAAAGAAGCGGGGCAAAGTTTTCACGCATGATGGTTCCTCGTCACGACGAAACTTACGTTCGCGATACTTTGACGAAATGAGAATTTAAGCCTTCTTTGTTAGTAGCGCGGGTAAAAACGCGTATTTTGATAACCGCGGTCGCGATATTCAAAGGCACGCGAGCGAGGATACCTCAAGCTCGGCGTGCGCTGGCGCAATCTCTGCGCGCATTATACGCTACTCGAGACAACAGGGATCGTGATGAATGGATGGAATATTGCCAAATAATTCTACAGCCTGTTTTGCAAATAAAAGTAGCCAACGGTATCGGCATTTATGCGTATGAATATATTTTACATGGACAATTGAATATTAAATCAAATCAAGTCAAATAATTAAATCGTTAAATAATTCTGCGGCCCGTTTGAAAAATAACAATAAAGTAGTTGATGACGGTATCGCGTTTGTACATCGCGGTTGTACAGAATATTTCTTATTCAGATGACTGAATATCAAAAGAGAATCATTCACTATTTTAAATCTCGTATGTAATGCAGGCTATCGCGATCAAGTGATCCCCTAATTGTTTCGAGCAATGTATTTTATTCAACGTCACAAACACACACATGCAAGAATCTATTTGCAATTTACATTGACTCGAACGATATTCTTTAGTCCCACATCCGTCATGCGGAATATTGTTTCTCTTTTCATTTTGACTCACCGAAACGACTTGCAGTCAGAGCCGGCCACGTTCCGCTTCAACTCTGTAACAAAAAATTCACATTTGCCTATCAGATTTGACCAACGAGTGCGGGCGAGTAAAAGAGTAATTTACCCTCTGCGATCGTAATTCAAGTCGAGTCGGAAATTATATCCCAGCTCTGGATCGCCAAGGGTCAAACAGAGGACTACAGTAAACTTGTAAACTTACCTTCAAGCCGACTCTGCTTGGCCCGAATCGGATCCTCCGATGCGGCATCCGCGTACGCCGGGTTGCTGTTGCTTTCCGCAACAACTGAAACAGAAAAATAATTTTCCCGGTTAATAACCTGCGGTAGAGAGAGAATATTTTTGATCAGGACGAATCGAAAATACGGAAATATTTTGATAAGGAATTTTTATCTTTATACTTTTGTTCCAACATTGAAAATTTAAATGAGACTTGAAGCTTTCAAGAGAGCTGATGAGGAACAAGTTGCAAAGGCAAAGATCGTAAAGGGTTGAACACAGATGTGTAGGAGACTTGTAAATTTTACCTTCCGACCGACTCTGCTTGGCCCGAACCGGATCCTCCGGTACAGCATCCCTCGTCCGCCGGATTGCTGTTGCTTCCCGCAACAACTGAAACAGAAAAATAATTTTCCCGGTTGATAACCTGCGGTAGAGAGAGAATATCTTTTTGATCGGGACGAATCGAAAATACGGAAATATTTTCATATGGAATTTTTATCTTTATATTTTTGTTCCAACATTGAAAATTTAAATGAGACTTGGAGCTTTCAAGAGAGCTGATGAGGAACAAGTTGCAAAGGCAAAGATCGTAAAGGGTTGAACACAGATGTGTAGGAAACTTGTAAATTTTACCTTCCGGCCGACTCTGCTCTGCCCGAACCGGATCCTCCGGTGCGGCATCCGCATTCGCCAGATTCGCTTCCCGCAACATCTGGAACAAAAATTTAGCGTTTCTGGTTGGTAAGCTGCGATAGAGAAAGATAATGTTTGGTCGGGATGAGCGGAGAATATTCGCTACGGTTTTTTTTCTTTATTGACATTGAAAGTCTAGATAGAACTTGGAGCTCTTGAAAGAGCTGACGAAAAAAAATGACAAGAAGCGGAGACAACAGTTGTGTGCTCTTGAAAATACTCTTTTACGAATGGACATTTAAATTTAGATCCCGTAACGAAAGTAAACAGACTTGAAAGAAACGCTGACCGAAAACAAAAAGGTCGCAGTCTAAGAAGAGCGGTATGACGTTGAATATTCTACACAAGACAAGAGGTATACTCACACAGTTAGGAATTATTCAGAATGTTTAATTGAGAACATGATGAATTAGAGATTCGCGTTCATGGACCGTTATCCGTCTCTGTCTGCATCAATGTATCTTATATATGCTAAAGGTTAAAGTGATAAATTAGTTATTATGCATAATAACCAACAGCTTTGGTTAATGTGATAAAATACATGCAATTTATCACTATAACCGATTATTTTACATAACCAAACTTTATTGGTTATGTAAAATGATAAATCATATTAAGAAAATAATTTTGGAGAAACTTTTGAAAACCGTTTATGTCCAATTGTCATGAGTATTGGCAGAAATACTTCGCACGATATCAAAATGTTACAAAGTTATGAACAATTAAACCTACGCGTAAGTTGCAAGTGCGTTTTACATCGCGCGTTGCGCACACGATTGTTGAAACCTACGCCTAAGGCTGCGTTCCAATATTCACTGCCAGCACTGAAATTCTATAGTATACGTGACACAAACTATGTATGTTTTCAGTACTGGCAGTGAATTTCGGAACGCGACCCACGTTAAAAGTGCGTAAGCTGCACGCGCGGTTATTAAAACTCACGCGTAATTGGGCGCGCACAGCGCGCGATACAAAACGCATTTGCAACTTACGCGTGGGTTTTAACTACAAAAATATGAATAATTTATCAAATTAACCATAACTGTTGATGGTTATTATGCATAATAACCGGTTATTGTGCATAGTAACTGGATTTATCACTTTAACCGTAACATATACAACAACGCAATAAATAGATAGACAGACAGAGATTGACGAGAGTAATTGCAGATTCATAAAGTGTCTATGTTTACTAGTTGGATGATGACGGATCGTGAATGCCGAGCGCGAAATTCCGACTTGTTATTCCCGGAAAATTCGTCAAACTCCGTCCGCTCTCGTTATCGGAGACCTCCCGCATAATAAATGATTCCACATACCTGGAAACGTGACCTGATATCGCTGCCGGGGTCCTCTGCTTCCCGGCTGCTGGAGTCCTCCGAATTTCACTCACTCACGCTTCACTCAACGCCGATACTCGCGATTCGATTGTGCGGTTAATCGATGCAATGCCGACGCGATTGCGATTGAATATCTCGAGGACCGACGAGATATATTTCTTTCAATTATACGAGAGGAAGTGACGAGCGCGTCGCGCACGGCTGCTGCTGATGGAAAGAGGTCGAGTACGCGAGGCACGCGAATATTAATACGAAGGGCAAAAAGTGTCGTCGCTCGCGAGCCAATCAACACAATCGGCGCGATGTAAACATTGCGTGCGGGCCTCGGCGGCGGTTGAAGCAAGAAGAGAGACTTGCCCTTGGACAAGTCTCTCTTCTTTTCTCGAAGGTTTCGGAACGACGAGGGGAGTGCGGGGAGGCCTTTCAACTGTACGCGACATTGATTTTGCTTTATTTATTGATTACTGAAAATAAAGAAAATTACTCTGTCGAAGCATCGGACATTTGTTAGCTTTATGTTAATTGAAGAGGAATGTGTACGATTAGAAAATGTGTTAGCAACCAATTGTACAGTGTGTCAAAGTTGTGACGCCGTTTTCAGAAAATAATTAAAGGCCATGGTAGAGTTAAAGAGTGGAATTTCATCCCATGCGAATTTTTTCTTGTTCTTATTAAATGTTAAATTATCTCGCTGCGGATAATAACTCTTCTATACTTTTCATTTAATATTCAATGATGATTAATAACATTTAATTGCATTCATTTGGCTTTTTTTATTTCGAAAATAAAAAAATATATACCAGGGTGAGAGACTTCATCCATGACAACATCAACGCGATTTTCTTTGATGCTTTTTTTAAAAGTTCAGATATTTCGTCGACTCGCGGGATATTTATAATCGGAGCCTCGTCACGTTAATTAACACGTGCTTCTCCGAGCGAATCGAATGCTCACCGACGGCCACTGTCAATCCGGCCACGAGCGAATGTCCGGAGCGGACAGGATGTTGAATTGAGAAGCAGGACGAAGGGAACGGGACGCGGGCAACGATACTTTATGCGTCTCCAGACGTGTCAAATTCTTTATTATACAGGAGACTTTGATACGGCAACATTCGAAAATTTAATAGTTAATACGTACTTTTTTTTTATTTTTCCTGCTCTTTCCTCCCTCCCCCCTCCCCCCTGCTCTGTTTAGATCTCAGGACATAGTCCGGGCATAGAGATGACAACTGTGATTGCAGCACGGACATAAATCTCCTAAAAGTGGATGTAGCTCGGACTTCCACCACATGCAGATTTTACCACCGAGACCTGAAAGTGGATGTAGCATCGTAGTTCCCCTCTCAAAATGGATGTGGATGGCGTCCTTTCCCAGTGCGAAAAGTCGGTGTCGCAGAAAATGCTGTGTTGGTCGCTTTCAAGTTTCTCTCTGCTAATATATGGCTGCGTTCCGATATTCACTGCCGGCATTGGAAATCTATAATATATGTCACATAAATTATATATTTTCAGTAGTGACAGTGAATGTATTGTCTTCATCTCTAGCATTTAAAATACAAACGCGTGATACAGATACATGTTGATCAATACAATGCTTTGAAAATTATTTATTAAAATAATTTCTAAATTTATAATAAAATAAAAGACTAACACACACAGATGCACACACGCACGCACAATTTTTCCAACAAAGAATTAAATTGTATAATATTTTTTGAATATTTCTCTTATTACATACAATATCATTGCATATATTGTATATATGATTTCAGAGTTTGTTCATTTCATACATTTACAAAATATTTGCTTATGATTAAATATATTTGTATATTTTTTTTTATAAATGTCAACAGTATGAAATTAAGAATTACAATTCAACTTATAAACTGACTGAAAAAGCACTAAGTACTAAGCAAATTCATTTTTACTTAAAACTTTTTTCATAGTTTTTTCCAAAGATGGCAGTAATTCACAATAAGAGTCTACACACTTGGTAGCACATTTTTCAAATTCTTCACTATATTTGTCTACTTCTGCCTGTGTAGGGTTTGGACCTACTTTATCCTTTATTTTATCATTACACTCCATTACACATCTCTGCAAACGATTCTGAAATCATTGTATATATAAAAATAAGTACATATTTAAATATTTAAAAAAAATATATGTATATATTCACAGAGTTAATTAAAGTTTAAAAATATATTCATATTGCATGAAATATATCAAATTTGTAGCTTTCTTATAACTATATTTCTTTAATATCTTAATATCTCTTTCTAATAGTATTTTATAGAATATATCTTCAAATAATATTGTAGCAACGGAATATTCTTCAGTAAATAGCTTTAATAATTAGCTAAATAAAAGATATTTATTCACCTGCACCCGGTCAAATTCCCCTTGGACATACTGTTGCGCCTTATGCAAAGAGGTACTACAATTTTCTACACAATTATGTACTTTTTGTACAGAGTAGGTTTCATTTTCACAACAAGAAGCAGCACATTTATGCATATCTCTCTGAAATGAAGTATAATATTGTGTTTATATATGACACATATAAAATATAAAGTAAATATTGTTAATTAATTTGTTATATTTATTTTCTTTCCCTTCTTCATTCAAAATCCTTATTTTTTAGTGAAATTTTATAATCCAAAGTCCAACTTGAAAAAATACCTGCATTTTCCGTAAAATAGATTTATCAATTTCTTCGACTATTCTTGTCATATGGTCTTCTACTCGTTTTTTTTGTTGTTCCACCATTTTTATCGTATTTGTTCTGTAATAATTATTTATATTACACAAAATATTAGTATATTAAATTTAACCTATTTAAGGAAAGTGCATGTGCTACTCTTAGCCATCTATAAAAGAAAGAGACCACGCTTACATGACGTACAGGCTGACATTCATAACCCAATCATGATTTAAAGATTATCTCAAGTTCATTTTAAGATGCCGGGCAACCAATGAAATGTTGCAAACTATGCTGTCTTTACTTGCACTATCACAGTTGCGTTGCAACCAAAAAGAACGAACTTTCAGATTTGCAATTTATATAATTTGCAGAGATAAGCTTAGTCAGTTGTTCGCTTCTTTCTTTCACGATTGGTTGTGGAGAGATGTTGTGGGACGATGTCGTGTATGTATCGTTATTGTTAATCTCCATAGCAATTGGACCTCTCTACCGTGCGGTGCAAGAACCTCATGTAAAACAATGGTTCGCGACTCTCTTTGGCATTGCGTTAGTGATTTGTGTTTCAGGATGGTCAGTCCTGCACCCACTCATCACTGTTCTTGTCAACGCTATTATCATAACCAGCTTATCTTGGAAGTACGAATACATTTTCCTGTATAATTAATAATTAATGACAGTGCAATGTATAGCCGGCTAAATTTAGAGCATTATATTTACCGATTCCGTTGTCATTTTTCAATAGGATATATTAAAAATGTAACAACGTAAATATATATCTAGTTAATTTGTAATTGTTGACCGGTTACGAGTAATCTCATTCTCATGCCCGGTCATTCACATTAACCGGTCAAGGGTCAACTTGTATACGCTTATGTAGATTTTAAGGGAAAAAATGTTAAAATCAGTCAACAAAATGTTAGGTAATAGGTAATAGTAAGGTGAGACTAAGAAAAAAAGATCCACAATCAATGTATTTTAATATTTAATTGACATTTCAATCGAGAAAAATTTCAATGGGAATAATTCTGATATGTTGGAGATGATCTAACAAAGCATAAAATGTAATGTTATTTAGATTTTTCCAAGATCATAATATAGCGTATAATCACTATATAACTAGTATTTATTAAAACACTTAAAAAATACACTATGATATATGTTAATGTAATTTTCTAGAAAATGTCATCTAGTCAGCCTGTTTTTCTCCTTTTTCTACTTACTGGTGATCTTTCGATTGGGTGATTATTTCGGGCTACCAAGCCCACCAACTCATACAAATCTTGTTGTAATGATACTTACATTGAAATTGCCTGGACTAGCATTTGAAATTAATAATGCAGCTACAGCATCAAATGACGATATTCAAGGAATAAATTCAGAAGCGCTCAAGAGCATTAGCTTCATGGATGTGATACATTACAGTTTTGGTTACATGGGAGTTTTAACAGGTAACAATATGGCAAAGCTTGAAATCTAGACAAGATCTAACCAAAGTTTTTATTACTTACAGGTCCATATTATCGCTATAGAACATACTGGGACTCTTTACACAGACCTTTTTCCAAACATGTCGACCCATGGCCACTCACATATTATAAACTCAAGCAAATTGCAACATACATCACAATCTTCTTAACAGTAAACCATCTATTTCCCAGCGATGTAAGATTAATAGGATTCATCTTATACCATACAACGAGCATGCTGGAGCATGGAATTTTATATAACCATTATATCGAGATATCATTGGCAGTCAGATAGGGAAGCTGAGATAGTCATTCTAGTAATGCACCTTCCTTTTTGCAATTTCAGTACACGCAAACGCTGGAGTTTGAAGAACACTGTTTCATATATAGATTTTTTTATATGTATCCGGCATTTGCCGGCTTCCGACTGAGAATGTTTATTGGCATGGCTCTGGCTGAATGCGTCTGTCAGATGTCAGGACTAGGAGCTTATCCAGTCTGCTGCCAGCCCGTACCTGGTCTAGGTCCGCGTGATTACAAAGTAATCGAAAAATTGTAAGACAACTCGCTTTCCGCATCTATTCTTGTCGTATTGGATTTTTCCTCTTGTATTGATGATCCTCTCTCAAGGCACATATTTAGCAAGCTTCTTTTTTTTCGGTTTAGTAATTAAATTAATTGACACTGAAGACAAAATTGCCGAGTAGAAAAGCATGATTGTATGTACACCTTCATTATTTTAAAAATCACATAATTGAAAAAAATATTGCGTGATCATTCAGATGTATGCAAGATATTTTATAATGATCATCTAAAAAAATATACTATGGTATTATTACCATGGTATTGCATTAAAAAACATCTTATTGAAATAAGTAATTTAAAAATCACCAGATCGATGGATGATGAGAAAATGAAGGATACGGAACAAGACTTTGAGACTGTGCATAACATGAATGTATGGGAAGTGGAGACTTCTCCATTAGTTAAGCAAACGATGAAAATGTGGAACACGTGTATACAATATTGGATGGCCATATGCATTTACAAGAGATTCCCTCATAAAGGGTTGAGAACCATGGTTACGTTAACTCTCTCTGCTTTATGGCATGGCTATGCTGCAGGTTATTACTTCTGTATCTGCCAAGTTCCACTCTATCTATTTTTTGAGGACATCAGTGTCAGATTTTACAATCAATGTGACCCAAATGGATTTGTAAGTAAATTTATAATTGTACCTAGTTATAATTGTACTTAGAAATTTATATTTATGTAAATTTTTTATGTGAATTTATATCTACACACGATCTTAATTTATATAGTAAAAATCGATATTAGTACAAATATTAAATTAGTACAAGTAGAATGTTATATCAAGAACTCGAATGATTAAGGATTAGCTCGTCATTGATTTGATTTCCGCGATAATTTCACTTACAGCAGCAATCATATTCGAGAATATTATTTCAAGAATAATTTCTTTTCTATTTGAAAATATTTTGTTTATCTAATATAAACGTTTTCCGTTATAAACAACTTGAAACTATAAATTTCGGATTATTGCCAATAAAACGTTCTTATTACAGAATAAAAACGTAAATTTATAACTATTTTAAAACGAATTGATAAAATACCTTTCGAAGCAATGTTGTCGGATGCGACGCAAATATGTGTAATAACGATGTTTTTGTAATTAAATACAGGGTAGGAAGGCTTGGGGATTCTTCTTATGGTGGGCGAAACTCACGTGCATGGCGTATCTTGGTGTACCATTCCAATTGTTGCACTTTTACAAGATAATACACTTTTACAAGAGTCTATACTTTTCCGGGCATATCTTAGGACTTGTATTATATTTATTCGTACGAATCTTAAAGATTTACTTTTTAAAACGACGTCAAGACAAAGACGACAAGAACAAGTAACTTCTCTTCCGTTTTTCTTCGTTAAGTTTGATTGTTCTTAAAGCAGGGATTTCTGTACTAACATCGTATCAGAAAAAAATTCTAAAACTGTAAGAATATGTATATAATTTACTAGAATATGTTTCTTTTTCTATACCATGAAAGAAAAACGATTCCATTTCTTTTCGACTGACTTGAATTAGTTTTTAATTGGATCAATAAGTTTAATCAACGAGATCGAATTGATGAAAAGATAAAACTGATTAGTTTTATCTTCAAGTTTTACGACATTAATTTTTATATTAAGAAGTTTTATAAGATAAAAATTTACTTATTCATATTAATATAAATATTAAGAATTCGATCCTTTATCTTCTATCTTATATCGAGTTACATTCGTGACGTAAATTTATACATTAAACATAAATATGATAAATATGAGTCGCACTCATGATACAAATTGTGGAAAAACATGAGATTTGCTCGTGCTACATTTATAAGAATGCAGACATGTCAAATATTAAAAGATATTGAACAAGAAAGAGAAAAAAGTAAGAACATCGAGAAGCGGATTTGAAAATTCTTGCTTTAGATTCTCAAGAAATGTGTTGTAAAGATGAGAAAGAAACTTATAATCTTCCGCATAGTTTTGATAAAGTATATTATAATCAAAAAGTAGCAACCATTGTTAATATTTTTTTACATGGTACTAATGGTTCGGGATACCGGAAGTATCGAGTATTGGAGAATATCACTAGTACAAATTTGAGTGCCACTTGTTAGCTAAAGTTGTACAATCTCTGAACACTCCCTTAACACTAATGTCTAAAAAACGTTCCACTTTTTTTTTTTTTAGAAATCTAGTAATGTTTATGACCTATTTTAGACATTCGTGTTGTTCAGTGACTTTCTTACCGAAAGGGTTAGGAGTTATCGTTATTATAATGTAAACGGGGATACATTTGTGAACAATAGTCGAAATTAATAATAAAAATATATTTCTTTACCTGATACTAGATATTTTATTAATTTTTCCACATCTGCACAATCTGTTGTATATTACTTCTATACGATGACGTATTAAAAATATTTCACACCTCACTTTTAAAATACTCCACGTATACACATACTTACATGAACCTGTGAGCAGTTTCTCATTTAGACCTGAAAGAGAGACATGATGAAATGCTTAGAAAAAAATCTTCCTAAAAAAACATATCCCTTCAAAATATCTTCGGCCGATGTGACGCTGTTGCGAATATTAAATCTTTCGCTGGTACGTGATGTGTGGCGATTGTGTGGCTCGGGACTGAGAAATAATGTAATAGCATCGTCATCTTATACGTTAACTTTGTACATCGGTTCCATTCGAACGCTTGAAAATTTCACCTATATGTATCTTAAACCTTTCTGAATTCAACTCCTATCATTGGTACTACTTGTAACGTTTGCTAATGTACAGTCAAGAACACATGATAATTTATGGTCAAAAAATATGCAGATACTTTCGAAAAAATCCATTCTCCTATTTTCATGAAATCAAGTTAAAATGTTCTCGAATTAACAAAAAGAATGAATGAATTTTTAATGCAAACGGAATTTCTCATTGAAATAACATTTGAAAAGATGATTTTTAATTTTACATGATCTATTCTTTGATTTGGCGTATAAATCTTATACCTCCTTTCAAATTAATGAATTGACAATACAGTAAAATTGAAAAATCTATAAACGTTAGGAAAGACCATTCAAGGGACACCTAACATTCATCTGCGTACATTCGTTTAAAGCCATTTGAGATGTTTTCGTTAAGTTTCAGGGAGAGTCGGAGAATGGAACTTCGAAACTACAGCCACAACGATAAAAATGCAAAATCTGTAAAAGTTAGTCAAAATATCTATCAAGTATATGGGTTGTTCCACACCACACGCGATGCTTTCGATAAAACGAGAGCTGTACTTGTACGGTTTCACATGGATAACATGTTGCACCTAAAAATCTTTTAAAAAATTACTGAGGCCATCGTGACTTACAGGCCATTGTCAAAACCCTATCCTATCACTGCGTTTAATATGACATTTACCTTTAAAAAATTGCTAAAATCAGAGATATTTTAACAGCATTGGGTAAAAATAATTTCAAATAATCAAAATAAGTGTAGCATGTTTCTGTAACAATCGGTACTCGATATATGTATATGCATATATGTATGACAGAAACGAAATAAAAGATGGATTATGAGAGAATGACACGCGACAAGCACTGTCGAAGGCAGCTCTATAGTGAGATGATCTAACAAGCTATGATCAACTAGGATAGATTGCTTTTAAGACACCCATGACTTCAGTTAAAATCTATAGCTGCATAAGAGCAAAAATTAAGAATATTTTTACAACATAATACTACTCGTACCTAATTCCAAAAAACACGGTTAAACAGTTTCTCACATTACAGTTTCTACAATTTCGAAAAAATGTTGAGGTCTTGTCTAAAATTCTTCGACTGATTAGCCATTATTTTCCTGTGCTTTGTAATTTGTATGTTTTCATAAGCTATAGACCGAATGTATTGTATCTAAAGCTACTATCTGTAGAGCTGCCACTCTCAGGGCAATGATGTGAGCGCTATGGTCTACTATAGTTTACCGTGTCGTGTGACTGCGTTTACCGATGCTCGATCGATGATTACGATGTTTTATGAATCAGGCACCTCTGTTCGCGAGGTCTGGTCTGGTGATGGCCTGTCGCGTGATGCTAGAACCCGATGTTGCGCTCCGGACGTCGTCCGAACAAGCCAGCAACAGAATCACATTTTGTTTTTAACTTGCAAATTATTTAGCTTCTATTCCCTCTTTCAATCTTTCATTCTGTCATTCTCTCTTCCTTTCTCTCCCTCTCTTGTTCTCACTCACTCACTCACTCACTCACCTACTCTCTCTCTCTTTCTCTCTCTCTCTCTCTCTCTCTCTCTCTCTCTCTCTCTCTCTCTCTCTCTCTCTCTCTCTCTCTCTCTCTCTCTCTCCCTCTCCCTTTCTCTCTTGCTCTCGTTCACTCTCTTTCACCCTGACCTCTCGCAAACCCGCCTTCCACAAATCACCGGATCACCAGACCATCAGACCGGACCGGACCGGACCGCATCGCGCCGCATCGCACCGCACCGCACCGCACCGCACCGCACCGCACCGCACCGCACCATCAAGAGCGCTCTCTCTCGCTACTGCGAACTGCTTACAGCCCCCTGCCACTCGGCTTACTGCTTACTCTCAGCTACCCCATCATCAGCTACACCCGCGCCACGCCACTCCTTTCCACCGCCTGTGGCACCATAAAATCACAACTTAGTCATCAAAGAATAAATGTGTCGCATCCGTGTGTGAGAGGAGTAGTAATTTTCTTTGCTTTTTGCAAACGCTTTTTGCTTTTTGGGACTGTAGGTATAAGCGAATTAGAAACCGACAGAAACATGAGGGGCTTGTTACAGTCAAAATGTTCGATATCAGCTGGATTGTTAAATATTGTAAAACACAAGTATCTTCCGGAGACAAATGATACTTGTAATGATTAACATTTTTCGTTATTACTAAGTTCACATACGCTAACGTTCTCTTTATCCCTGTGTACCTTATTTATGACATATGATTATTCGATATAACGAATAATCCTATTTAACTTGAACAAAACTATACAGGTGTGTATTCTGAAGTGCAATTTGTACAATATTTTAACAGCTGATCATTGATGCTGGTGCGTAAATTGCTATAAAACTAAAGTTATATGAACACACATATACACACACATACACATTTTGACTGTAACAGTTATATCGAATAAGCGCGATTAAGTTTTTCGCGAGAGACTAATCCGATACCTCACAGTAAACCACCCCTGAATCCAAGGATCTACAAGCTTCGTGCCTCCTAGATTTCCAAAAGATGCAATAATCCCAAGAGCCAGCCGATCGCCAGCGAATAATTTTCACATAATAGTACTATATATGTAATAATGTAGAACAATATATACAGATATATACTTTTGTTGAATATAAAATGTCGAAAATATCAATCTGATCTAAAAAAGTTGAACCTAGTAAAAAAATTACTTTACACTTCAACTAAATACATTTCATAATTTATTAATCCATGTAAGATAAATAAAAGTTTATACAATCATTCTTGCTAGTAAAGTTGAGCAAACAGTTATGATTGTTGCATAACAAGCCTTTGTACAATATGGACCTACAAAAGATGTATCTTCTCTATTAAAGTCTTTTGTCTGATAAATTTTAATCTCAATAAATTTCCCAATAAAGTAATAATCGTTCGACATTTCATATGCAACAAAAGAGAATGCAACATATATAAAAATTATATATATATTTATTATATATTATATACATATACATATACATATATATATATATATATATATATATATATATATATATACACACATACATACACATATATAAAATTTTTATTTTATATATGTATGTAATACAATATATGTATAATATGTATAATAGACGCAAAACCTAGAGGTGGATCGAGCGTTACACATTAAAATCCACAAAGGAAAAACAAGGGATACGTAGAGACAGCTCTGTCTTCTGCAACTCACTGCGCTTTATTACAAATGAATCTACGGTGTGCGGACTTACATGAGCGATTGCCTATCAACGCAAACTTATCTCTAGAAATGTATTGTCGTGCGTGAGAGAAAACCTAAAACTTTGAATTCATTCTCAGGAAGGATAAAGGGCTTCCCTTGAACCCAGTACACACATTTAAACACACATTGTTGGCAAACACCTTCGATAAACGAAGAGAATATCGCAGAAATAGTTTGGTATGTTTGCACATATTCCAATATAGCAATTATTGTTTCGTTTATTGCTGTTTCCCAACAACAGTATATAAAAGATTTGAATTTTACCGTTTTTGCATTGAGCTTGAAAATTAACAATTTATCTAATAAAATTGGATGACAAAGTGGCTAAGTATGATGCAGCTCAAAATTGTATCACGTATGCCGAATAAACTAATAAACTTTTGAAATGTCATCTGATATCTACATGCATCATAATATCCTTTTACAGGTTAAAATATATCAAATCTTTATGAATTAGATAAAATATGAATTTCAAAGATCACAATAAGTTTAAGAAGAAATACCTGTGTAATAGAGACACATACCTATATTGATCGTGAAATTTTACACATTTTTTATTTCCTACCTGTAGAAGTTTTGAATAAATGTTATTCATGACCAATGTTTGTCACCAATGTTTGCAAGCGTGTACTAAGCTTTGCCAACATTGCACGGCAGACAATCCATATGATTTAGAAGAATAAAACATAGTAAGGAAAGCTATTTACTTCCATTTCGTAATATTATTCTATTTGTCGGTGAAAAATATATATGAATGGTACATGTCACCTTGAGGATCTTATGAAACGTAATACACAAATGTTATATGATACTATTTATCAACAAGAATTGATTACACCAAATAGTATGGTCCAAAGATAGATCATACTAACAAGATTCTAAAGAATTTATCTGATTGTAAGACGGAAACAACATTAATTCAGTCGTTGCACAACCAAAATGTTATTAACGCGAATTAAGAAGTACGCAGAAAAAGAATATATGTATTATAGAGAAACTAATCGGCCTCCGAAAGAGGAGGAAGACGCGTAATATTAATTCAAATATATGTATGTATATAATATGTATGTATTTAAATGATAGAAGAACGTGAAGAAGCGTGCGACAGTGTTGCTATAGAGTATGATGGAATACCTTTTGCAATCTCAACATAGATTATTCGGCATTCGTTGGACGCTCGCGCTCATTCTTATCTCGTTACTTTTTTCGATAACTTCAGTCCCTGGAAATACACGTTAAAATCGATCGAACATCTAAATTCATCGCGTTGTTTCGCGTAAAAAACAATAGGATAAATTGTAAGAATGTGAATTAAAATCTATAAAAAATCTATAAAAATTATAAAAACTTTATTGTGTATCATATATAATAAAATAATAAATCTACAAGACCAATGTTTTATTTAACTAATGTTTTCATCAAACATGTAATCAGATTTTTCTCAGAGTTATTAAAACTTCAAGTAAATAAATAAGATTTGTCATAAAATGTTGGTTTTACAAATTAATGACAAAAAAAGCACTCGATAATCCATAGATAATTCGTGAGTTGTCTTTCAACGACAAAATTAGTTATCCTTACCTTGATTTGGAACGACTGTCTTTTTGCCTGTCTTGAGATTTGCTGCGAGAGCGTGATTTTCCGCGCGAGCTCTTACTGTCGGAACGAGAGCGGCTTCGGCTTCGGGTATAAGAACGTCTGCGATCTCTATCGCGGCTACGTGACCTACTACGAGACCGAGATCGGGAACGTCGTCGCTCTCTACTTCTACTTCGCGATCTGTAAACATATCTATATTAACACAAGATGTAACTGAACTGATGTTACAATTGGTTTCGACACAGATAAATTAGGCAAAACTTAACGAAGAAGTCCTCTGTTGTTTTCTAAACAATCATGTACATATTGAGTTATGTGTAACTCAAAGTTATCACAATGCAGCAGTTCTATGTGTAAATTGAATTATAAAATAGAAGGTTATTTGTTAAGCTAAGCCAACTGAAATCACAGATATTAAAACTAGAACGAAAGAACATAAAATATCCAAATTATGAAACCGACCTTCCACGACGGCGACTTCCGCGACTTCGATGTGGTGATGTAGGACGTCCATAACGTGCCATTTGAACACGAAGTTCCCTACCATCCAACAGTCTTCCATCCATAGCATCTAATGCATCTTCAGCATCACGCTTATCATAAAATCTGTAAAAATATATATTTTTAGATTTAGATTTTAGATTATTTGACACATATATACACATAACATTTTTAGAATTTAAATACATACTATTAATTGCTTGAATATATATTAAATATCTCCCTGATCCAATTATTTATTTTAGTTTATTTATTTTAGTTGTTTCATACATACAAAATAAAATTAATAATCTAGATCGCTTAATACAGTTGATAACAAAAAAGTTGCAATATTTTTCAATTGTATAAGTTTCAGAACAGAAAAGATCATATAACTATCTTTATGATTTTTATTTGTCACAAACATTTTATAAGATTGTTAATTCTAGATAAATTCTAGATGTTTCTTTCTTCTTTATGTTATATTTCTGGCATATAAAAGAAAATGGAATTACATACATACATACATGCATACATACATACATACATATATACATACATACATACATTCATTCATTCATTCATTCATTCATTCATTCATCCATACATACATACATCAATACATATATACATATATATGCATACACAGGCGTGTGCGCGCGCGCGCGTGTATGTGTGTGTGTGTGTGTGTGTGTGAGAGATTAAAATGTGTTGAAACCTGTTATTTCATCTACATTGTTTGAAAATTTATATTGCCCAAAAAAGTTATCCTACAATCTTATTATCTACGCTGAAGAGTACATCGGAATATATTTTTAAGAAGTGGAAAAATGACGCACAAGTACGATATAGCATTGCTCCAGATCGCATCATGACGTCAGCGTCATCAGCGTACACGCGTCAAAGATTCACCTTGAGCGGCTCGATGATGAACAAAATGGTAATGAATCTTGATGCTTACCTGACAAACGCGAAGCCACGACTCTCGCGCGTAAAGCGATCTCGGGGGATGTAAATATCACCGACTTCGCCGCATCTCTCAAACACACGCCTTAGATCTTCCGGCGTCGTCCGATACGTGAGATTGTCGACTTTCAGAGAAACCATACCATCGATACGGGGCGGCGGTCTACCATAGCTCATCTTCTCTTTTCGTACGTTACGCTGTCCTCGTCGTGAATTTTAGAAGGAGCCGAACTTCGTTGACAAATTCCGAAGTAATTACGCAAACTGCGAATCTTCGGAGCTCAACGGAAGAGGAGAAGAAGATGGCGGAAGAGTGCAGATAGCGGTAATGGCGGACAGGCTACATGGCGGCATGGAGAACCGCGCGCCGGTTCCTGATTAGTCAAACGAACTTTTAACATCAATTTGTCGCCGGCTCTCTGACCTATAATGTAATATATATATATATATATTATATATTTATGTATATAAACCACGTATGTATATTGCAAAAATCAGATATGTAACTCTTCTGCGAATGTACAATCACTCAAAAGCATGGATGCCATTGCAGGGAATATTGCAGGGAATTGCAGGGAATGCAGGGATATTTCATCCTTTCAAGTTTCTCTTTGCCTGTCGAAATTACGGATAAACTTCCGTCATTATGGCCTGGTCTACAATACGTGTCGAGAATGGCGTATGGGTACACCCTTCTACCTAAAGCCATATACCGAACTGAACTGTACAATACGTGTCGTAAGTTGTAGGGCAAGAGCACAGACTTTTGCATAACACATAATACATAAAGCCAGCGGCACACGGTACTTGTTTTCGTGCTGGATTGCTTGCTGGATGAAAATATTGCGTTCTGATTGGTGCATTTCCATTCATCTTCGGAAATGTACCAATCAGAACGTAATATTTTCATCCAGCAAGCAATCCAGCACGAAAACAAGCACCGTGTGCCGCTGGCTTAACACATAAGAGAATAAACCAATTAGTTTTCTTCATTTCCCTCCTCAGGACAGAAATGAAGAACTCGTATCTTAGATCGAAGGAGAACAATCGACTGTGATTGGTCAATTTGCTTGCGACCGTGTGACTTGTGACTAATGTGGAATGGGCTTTGTAGAGAAACTTGCGGCTATTTTATAAAAGCGTTAATAATCCGCTGAATCTAATGAACGAAGCGAATAATTACATTTGGACATTTCGAGCGTAACCGTTGCCAGTATGAATTTAAAAAAGCACTGAGAAATCACCAATAGAGTGGCAGTGGCTGCATTCAGCAGACTCAACAGTTGGACAACATTACTAGATTTTCCACTGAATCTCGCTCCTGATTGATAAATACTTCTGGGTCTATGAAGAATCTAAAAGAATGCTTCAATCACAGACAATAATCACTAAGCGCTCTCTGATCACTTTGTTCTACTGAACACGGCCAGTGAGAAGCAGGCCAGTAGATGGTACTGCGTCGCGGTGCGATCTGTCTGACTAGGGACTTCCCACCTTCGTATCGCGTAACACACGGCGGTGCGTGTACTGTGCCGCTGACAATGAGCCGCGGCGGTGACTGTGATAAGTGAATCGCGTAAGGCCATCCTCGTTGCTGAACGCGTATAGTGGCAGTGGAGAAAGATCGCACGTCGACCGCTGATAGAGTTCATCTCTTGATGATTCGCGCTTTACGTGGGCCGCAGGCAAGCCGGAACTCGCAATTATGTTCGAGGTACCGCCGAAGTTCTACGAGCTGTGTCGCCTTTGTTTATCGTCGGACGGTGTCAAGTTGTCCATATTCGAGGAGGAGGGCACCCAGCGAAACTTCGTCGACAAGATACTGACATGTCTGTCGCTCACGGTGAGTATTGCGAATTACAATTACGCCTGCTTTTATCAAACGCGACCATCTGTACTATTCGCACGATTGTGTATGCGTCTCTCCGTCTGCGTTCTTCCCGTGTCGTCACCACCGTCTACCTCCGTCTCTGTCGCTCCCTCTTTTCTTCTCTCTCACTCGTTCACCGACTCACTCGCACCAGAGGCGCTCTTGCGCTCTCTACAGCGAGATTGAGTCGGTTTCTCTCTTGTCCTCTCTCTCTCTCTCTCTCTCTCTTTCTCTCTCTCTATCTCTCTCCCTCTCCCTCTCCTTCTACTTCACCTTCTCTCGCTCTCTCTTTCTCTCTCCTCTCTCTCTCTCTCTCTCTCTCGCGTTTGCGATCACGCTTGCGCTCGCGATCGCGTCACCGCGAATGTGTGTGAGTGTGTTGAGTGTGTATGTGTACGCGTGCCACGGGAGAAAGTTTGGCAAGAGATGTGTCCGCGAGATAAGCCGACGAGCAGCAGCGGCATTTAAAATGGCAGTGATAAGCCCAGCGCGAACGAGAAGCGGAACTACGGTGCGAGCCGAAGGGAGGGGAGAGAACTGCGGCTCCTTATTTGGTTGGCATGTTATCAGGTTTCACACGCGGATTCCGTTGTCACGTTGTATCTTGCGTTATCCGTGCCTGCGCTTATCGATATCCCAACGTCGCGTCGATGCGTATTAGGAGCTGAAATTAGAAACACACGAATCCATTTCTCGTACCGCATGTACCGCGACTTCGTAATTTGTAAGCGCGTGAATTATCGCGTAATTTTATACGGTAATTTATATGTGGCAACTTTGCGCGAAAATCGAATATCTTTCGAATTACTTATATAAGCAGCGATTAAAGTTTCTCTTTGTTCAAAATATATCTCCCATTCTATATACGTCTCGTTTATTCGTTAAGGGTATTGCATAAAGATTTAAAAAAAAAATAGATTGACTATATTCATATATCTTCATTGATCCTCGTATTTTTATTGAGCTCTTTCATCGGACGCTAATCAGTCTTATTTAACAAAATCATTGCTGTGTACCAAGTAGAGAATGTTATTACAAAAGATTATTCTAGTCCAAGCATGTGTCGATACATTTCTTTGCCCGCGTAATAATACAGCAGTTTTCTGCGATATTATTTCAATACATAGTGCATTTTTTGCAGGTGAAGGATAATGATTCCCTACCACCAATTATCTGCCATCGGTGTGTATATAAATTGGATGCACTGTGTAGCTTTCGTGAGGCGTCGCACAAGTCTGACATTATACTCAAACAGTACCTGGATTATGCCAAGCAACTGTCGTCTCACGACGAGCAGGTATTGCTTCATAATACAATTCTTTATTGCTAGGTCCATCTGACAAATTATGCATTGTACATAACGTGATACGATGTAATATACGTATATATGATTAAACTGACTTTGTGCTAATAAAAAGACTCTGATGATAGAGCAAATAAAAAGTGATATCTCCTTGTTCTGTACTCTTTTTTTATATTTTTATATATAGAAAAAGTCTTTCTCCACTGCCAAAGTAGCGGGTACAAGCCCTCTGCAATCGTTCCTCCAATTGAACAAGATACTGTTCAACGAGGAGCCTAACTCCGAGCCGGCCAGCATTAATCAAAACATAATACCTCAAACACAAACGCATCGTCTGGAATTGCATAACGACGATATGCCAGAGTTTTACAATGTTAAGTGCGAGCCAGGAGACGACACCTGCTCTAACAGTTCAGATCCTGACCGATTGGAAATCGAGGATCGCGACGAGCAAGATAGCGAGAGCGAAGAAAATGTCTGCGACACGACCGTCAGCAAGAGAATTAAACTAGAGAGCAATTATGATGACTCCGAGCCTAACACAGCCAATTGTAGCCCGGTTAATAGGATGGACACTCCGGAAAGCAATTGTTCCGACACCAACATTGATCAAGAGACGACCAAGTTATGGCAAGCCCTAGCCAAGTAAGTCAGCCAAACATGTTTGTGTTTGGCAAATATTTGCCTATGTGTAATTATCTGAGCTTTACAGGTACAATGTGTCAACTATTTACAGATGAAATGTGTGATCGTGCGTGTGCGTAGACGAATGTGCATACGAGCATGCGAAATAGAGACAAACAGACACATTGTATTTTGTAGTTTTACACATTATACTGCACCCTCGATTTTTTTTTTTACACGATAAAAATCAGTAAAATGTGCTATCTTTCCATATTGAACTGTCTTATGTAGGAATTATGTATTCGACACAATATTACAAATATTCCAATTTGATCCGATAATCAACTTAATTTGTCAGTCAAAATAGATAATATTTATAACAAATACAGACAATGATAAAGAACGTGATTACACATATTTTTCACATTTATATCTATTATTAACGCAGCAATAGAAGCTTGGAAATCACTCGAACGAACGGCGATAAGCTAAACAATGGATTTACTGGCGAAGCAACCAATCTGCTGCGCACTTTGATCAACACTAGGCAGATCGGTATTACTCCGGTTGATTCGGATAAGTTAGCTCCGCCAGTCAGATTTTACAGGGATATGCAAGGGACTACCATGGAACGTAATTTGTCCGATTGCTCCGTTCTCGGTAATCGTACCAATGTAGCAACTTTAGAAAATAAGGTAAGCGAGCGAATGTCTATCGGGAGTGGATGTAAAAAAGAAGAAAGGAATAATTTCTATAACAGCCAATATCGGAAGATTCACGAATAGAAAGCTGTGAGTACGTATTGTTTCTCAATAAAACATTCCATGCACATTCCTAATGGCGTTAAAAAAAGTCCATCTTATCCCGAACGTGTAAAATGGAATTCTCAGAAATTCGTGCTGAATGTGAACATCTGTATATCTAGTATAGATACCAAGGCAGAAAAGGTTCGCAGGTATAGTAACGGAAAATTCTTAAGACCCTTCGGTGGGTGAACATCGTTAGGCTATCCTTGGGGCCTATTGAGAAATCCCTTTAGGTCTATTCACTTACAGGTATCGTCCTGTAGATAAAAGATAACCGGCGACACCTTCGACGTTCATTGTGTTAGCTTCCTGCTTCGGTGACAAAGTGTAAGATATAACGGAATATGTGTCGGAAAAAACTTTATCATATTCGCGCGCAATATTTAAAAAGCAAATATTTTCATTCTTCAATTATAATATTAATAATATTAACAATTGTATTGTTAATTGTATCGTTAATACATTTAGGTTTTTCCATCGTGAACATTTTTATAAATTACAAACTATGAAAGAATATCGATATATCTAATACTATTAGAAGCAAATAGTTTCTTTTTTCTTTTTCAAAAAGTACTTTTCATTATCTTGCAGACGCGACTGAATTTTGCTACTTCGACAATATATTTAACATCTTTCTCTCTTTATTAATTTTTTCTGAGGCACGTTTCTACTATAACAGACATTTTTTTTTTTAGAATTCTTAGCGCTTGCCCTTTCAGCAGCCGTCTTTTCATCTTGGTAATAGGTAGAAAGCGTTACCGTAAATCCGTGAGCTATACCTGCGCGCTCCGTTGGAAAATTGCTGAAATTCCCACAACCGTGATAAAACAGATAGAAAGTGAAAAATTTGAGACGTGTGAGTTATATATCTTAACTGTAAAGAAAGACAGGAACAATACGTCTCGAGCATATTAAATATTGTATACAATAAGTTAATCTTTAATTTTTACATTCAATATAAATGTACAATGACCCACACTCATATATTCAAACTTTATTGCGTTTGGAAATAATAGTAATATTACGTCTAATTCAAGAGTTTTTTGTCAAATTTTTTGGGCGAAACTTAAAAAAAATATGGAAACAAACAAAGAAACATAGGATATCCCATGTGTGACAGTGTGCCTCGATAGACAGTAATCCGTCTAGCCCTGCCAGCGTCAGCCGTAAAGAGGCAACCTCGACAAAAGGCCGCAGGAAACAGAGTTACCCAAGCAAGGCTCCGGCGAGCCCGGACGTCGTCGCCGCGTATCAACATGAACACAACGAAGAGCAAGCGCAGGATTTTACCACGTGGTCCAACAAGATAAAGAGCAAGGTATTTTTGCACAATGCGTCAAACATCGAGCGATACATTGCTGATAAGATGTGAATAAGATGTAAGCAATCACGCGCAATATCGTCAATTGATTATCTCAGATGGACGAACAGAAGCAACAGTTTGACCAGCAAAGTAGCAACGTTACGAAGAAAGTCGAAATGACCTGTTCGAATTGCGGCACCATGACGACGACCATCTGGAGAAGAAATATGAAGGGCGAGATGGTGTGCAATGCTTGCGGGTTGTATTACAAGTTACACGGCATTAATCGACCGGTTACCATGCGAAGAGATACTATACATACGCGTAGGCGTAGACCTAAAGGCGAAAAACCAACGAGGCATAGAAGTAAGAGAGATCTTTAATTAAAATCAATATCTCTATATATATACTCCCTACATATTAACGGTGTATTAGCGTATGCGCGATCTTTATGGTAGAGAATGATCCCTCCTGAAGATTAATAACATTCTTAGAGAAAGGAAACACGATCGTAGCATCTCAAGGAACGGAACAAATGGATCGCGATGACAGCATGATGGAGGCTCTTCGACGACAAATTCAGCCTCATCTGATGATGGCGTTGACACCTCAACGTATAGCCGCTGGCCATCCACCTCCGCCTGCTACTCAACTGAATTATTCATTACCTTTGCCTAATTACATGCTTCATGTAAGTGAACATTTTCGTTGTATGGTTGATCATCCAAGTTGAACACGATATTTTTAAACTCGTATTCTAACGCTTTTCTGTCAGGTTATTTTGGGTCATAAAATCGCCGAATTTTGTATTTTTAAAGAGATAAAGGTCAGTTATGTTCCATCTGCAATAACTTGACAATTAAACTTACAAATAGTCGAAAAGATGAAACAAATATCATGGGTTCTTACATGGGTAGCCGTCCATTCTCTCATATTAATTTTTTTCTATTTGGATAATCATAAAAACATATTACGAGCCCACAGCTTTATCACTCATAGTTTATTAAAATTGCAGCAACATGTGAAAACCGAAGGCACGCGTGTGCAGCGGCATTTGTCCGTAGACACCGAGGAAGCAGACGAAGGTGATGAGGAGAACGTTTCCGATGTTCCCCTGAATTTGGTGGCGACTTCGCTCTCGGATCAGGCGCACTGAGAGAGTACTCGGTCGACTTTCACGCCTAGGTATGCTTACGAAAGCTTTCTAGACGGCGCAGTCCGTTTAGCGAGTCTCCATTTCTTTCTGCTAAGAAATAGCGAATCGTTTTATGACGGATGCGGTAGATCGCGACGGTGTTATGAAAGAGAAGAGAGCCACTACTCTCTCGCTCAGCGCGCACCACGAAACGGGATGATATTAATTACGCAGTATTAATTATTCATGATGTACATACACAGACATGTACGCGTATGCGATACGCATGTACGTACTCACGCATACAAACACGTACACGTCATACACAACACGTACACATACACACAATGAGACCGTCGAACACATCTCGAAACACAGAGACACACATATAAGAAAATATTTTTATACAAAATTTTGTACGCTCGTCCGTTGTACATATATGTGCCGCGGAACTACCCGTGGTGCCACTCGGAGACGCTCGTCGTTATCGTCGTTATCGTCATCGTTTCATTTCGATCAAGGGTTTTACAATAACGGCGACGACGGCGATCTTTCCAATGGCGTACCTGCAAGGTCGTTTTGACTTTCAACATTCATCTGCATTATGCTCCAAATTTGAAGGTCCTCTCGAACTTTTATACGTTGCATAATGAATGTTGGATTTTTCATTTTATTTTAATACAAATAGCAAACCCGGTTAATACAACTGGTTATCACTATTTGGTAGTATCAAGTATTACAATTTTCTTTATCGTATCTTAGGTATTTATTTTTTATGACGGCTTCATGTTGATTAAATTATTTCAATTAACGACTATAATGGTCATTCTACTGTTTCCAAAAATGTTGAAATCTTTTGGAGGATCAAATCTCTTTTTAGTTTTACGTAAAATTTCACTTATCGTAGTATGTTTTATCATAAATTACCTTTATCAATAAGTGATGAAATAAAACACTCGTGAAGAGGAAAATTCGCTTGGTCAAGAAATAGAATCTACAGTGATAGAGAGTTGTAAAGAAAAATGATATATGATATCGTGGCTGATTGGTACAAGTTTATTAATTTCTCACAAAATTAATATCGATTAAAAGATTAAAAGATATTGATTAAAAGAAAACTAAAGCTTGTAAATACCATGTTGCAGTTCTTTTGCTGATGAAGCTTTAAAATAAAAATTAATCACTTGATTTTAAGCGACACAGTATATGAAATTATTTTTTGTAAGGAGAAATTTAACATTTAACGTAAAGTGGATCATTTTATTTTATTTTTTATTTTATTTCTCAACTGCATACAAATGGAGAACCTATCTGGTTTAACGTGGTATGACCGAATAAAAATAAAAAAAAATAATATAAACTCTCGTGTACGAGATATGTGAAAAATTGAACGAAAGATCCTGCATTTCATACGCAACATCTTAACGTGTTTGTCCGATGACGAGAAATTTGAGCGGTTGACAATAAAAAAATATAGAAAAAGATTGGCACAATAGGAAACTTTGGGGCCTGAATAAAATGCAGCATGCTAGCAGCTATGTCACAGACGTGCCTCCTCTCTTCTTCGTTATTCGGAGGATGCAGTCGCGGAGCCTTAAGTTAGAAAAACCTGTAGATGCTATCGAGTTTACGAGACTGCTATAATTGTGCGAAAACAATTAATATTTCTAAACTTCCACATCCCTTCTCTTTCTCTCTCTCTCTCTTTCTCTCTTTCTCTTTCTCCTTCCCCTTCCCTTTCTGTCACTCTGCCTCCTCTCTCTTTCATCTCCCTTCCTTTTTACTTCCTCTTCACACTCCTTCCTCTCCTGCAACATCCTTTGCCTCTCGGAAGACTTGTACTTAATCTCGGGCTGCGTACTGGTACGCAATCACTCAAAACTCCGGAAAAGCAATAATGAACACGGCGTGGCGTTACGTATCGTTGTCGTCGTCATTACGGATACTCATATACGCGCTCTCTTCCTCTTCCATTCTTTCTCTCTCCATCTCTCTCTACTATCCATTCGATGACGAACGAGAAACACGCGACAACTTAAGAAAGTAATAATATTTAGATAACATTTATTCGTACGCTACATACGTTAAAGGTCATGAATCTTATTGCTCCACTGCTGCTGCGTAGCCAATTTCTATGAATAGTAATATAATAGAAATGTATATATTTTGTGGCTTCTCTCTCTCTCTCTCTCTCTCTCTCTCTCTCTCTCTCTCTCTCTCTCTCTCTCTCTCTCTCTCTCTCTCTCTCTCTCTCTCTCTCTCTTTCCTCCGCCCTCCTTTAACTCTCTTGTTCTCTCTCACAAACTGGATCGGATTGGAGAGGCTTCATTTTATTAGAATATAACCGAAACTAGGGTCCACATCTACCTCCTACATACACAGATATGTACACAGATCATGTAATAATGATAATAAACCGAGAAGTGTACATTACAGAAAGTTAATTTGTAGACTATAGCTTTGAAATGTAATATGAAAAGTGATCTTGATGTGAACGACATGCTTTCAATGGTACAATTACCTGCGGGATATTCAGTTGTAATTTTTTATGTATTCTAATATATTTTTCAATGGTTTAATATCACATATTGATATAACTTTTCATTATTTTGAATCTTCATAATGTCTTGTAAATAATTCTACCAAGTTCATAGAATCGATACTTCTCAGTTGATTATGCAGGATATTTCACTTAACATGTGTTGCAATCTTTCCTCTCTATTAAAGATAACAATTTGGGTGTTTTTTCTTTTACTTTTTTTTTTCTTTTGCTTTCATATTCGCCGATAGTTGGATACCGATACTTGGATATTTGTCCCATCAGTCGACACAAAAAGAGTTTCTTTAAACTTTTTTTTTTTTTATGGAATGATATTTGGATTCTTATATAAATAGGTTTTCCTTGTCAGAAAAAGAAGAATAATCCAAAAAATGGAGGTATACAGGATACCGGTATAAAATTGTGGCCGAAATTATTTCAATAAGATTGATTTGGAAATAATTTGAAATCATACGTCCCTACTATCTTATGTTATATATATATATATATATATATATGTGTGTGTGTGTGTGTGTGTGGTGTGTGTATGTCGTGTGTGTATATATGTAATATATATATTATATATATATTTTTTTTATATAAGTAGTATGTGTGTTACATATAATACATTTATATAAACATATATATATATATATATATATATATATATAATATATATAATATATATTTTCTTTTCTCTCCAATCCGAGTCCTCCGTGTAAAGTAATAACATGAAAAGCATAGTGGGCTGGGGTCTCCGCCATTTCTCCAGAATTGTACAGATAACGCGTGTCAAGGAACGGGTGTTAAGCGACTTTACATAGCGCATAATACTATGGCCAGTGCATCTACTCATGGTATTGTAATACCTAACATGTCGTATACCTAAACAACATTGCCAAAAATAGATTTAGTCTACGTACATAGGATAGTTAAGGACGTACATGAAAATTTAGCAGTCTTCTTTGTTCTTCCCGAATCTTCCCTATTATATTTTCCCCGCCGACTCTCTTTCTATTCTTAGTGCCTTGTCTTTTTCTCCTTCTTCTATTTCTTTGTTCGTTTTTCCTCCTTGAAATTGCGAAACTACGTATGTCTCTTTATTTCTGTCCCTCCCCAACGAGCTTGTCACTCTTTCCGTGGAGACCCACGAAGCGTTCTTGTGAGATTTCGAAAACAGCTCGCAGCAGCCCGTGGAAGAAGCTATTATTTTAGGCTTAGTCGTTATCAAAGTCTTATAACAACAGATACTTTTTTCCGTTGGCGATGCCGTTCTTTCGCTCTACGAACTCTTTCGCAGTTGATTTTTTTCTTCCGGAATTATCGGGATTGCTGAATTATAAGAAACTCAGAGCAAGTGGTTTTACAAAATTGTCTTACAAATGATTTAATTGAATATTGAAAAGATAGGAACAATGTAACTTTCGAGAATAATTCTTCGTTACAATGGAAAAAAAGATAACTTCAAGTTTTTCTGATAATACGCAAATGAAAGAAAACGGCGATAGAGATCAGGATACTCTGTATATACATATATATGTTAGAAAAATTCAATAATCTTCGATTGGCCGTTGTCTTTGAATGTTTAATGCATTCATGGAAGCTGTAGTAATATCTATTTTAATGCCCAAATTATAATACGATATTTTAGCGTGGGAAATTTGGTTTAAAATTTTGGCTAGAAATGCTCACTGTTAAGCTTGGTCGAACCAATTTTCGAGCTCCATTACCAACGTACATGAATAAATATGTATACAAATACATGTAATTACATACATCTATACCATATATATGTATAAACATGTATAAACCATATGTATAAACAACGTGTATACATAGAGACGGGAGAAACATTCTATGTTACTATATATCGAAACCGCATACGAATAACAGGAACATAATCGAAATTGCCGTAGCAAGTTAGCGATGACTCACGATGAGGTGTATGTACATACAAAGTAAAAAAAGAAAAGGAAAGAAACACGGCAATCCGGAACTTCTATCTCGTATATATCAAATGATTTTTTCTCTCTCTCTCTCTCTTTTTTCTTTTTTTTGTACATATTTTCAACGTTCTTTCTCCTCTTATCCAGAGTAGAACAGAAAGAACACGGCTCGTCGACGTCAACGTCACAGTAGATCGAAATAGATCGAAAGTTCACGGTAGCTTTACTATTTCGTCGTTGTCAATCAAAACTTGTAACTTCATTTTCCTATCTTTTCTACAAAATATATAAAAAACGGATTGTTCCCAAGTATCGTAAAGTAACGTTGCATAAAGAGAAAAGGAAAGAAATTAAACCATATACACGATGTATATTCTAAAAATCTACAATTACCGCGATATATTATATGATAACAGATAATAATAAATCGGAAGCCACTAGCGTTAAGTAATCAGGGATGGAATCATGACATATTCCTATTAAAAGTGACATATAATAAACGGTAGATCTCGATAAAAAGTTCGAATAACGAACAATGCGCGTTGAGCAAAAGCAGCAATAATCACATCCACAACAGCAGCAGCAGCAGTATTGCTATCGGTCGTTGTAAAAACGCGTTTGCTTTCAAACACTTGAGAGATTCGCAAGCTAGTGGCAAAAGTTGAGGAATACCAAAATTATATACGTGTCATCCAACATTTCGCGGGAGAGAATGATGCGAATTTAGTATTATTGTCATAGTATTACTTAGGAATCCCTCCAAGATCCCTCGGGACTCGATTTTTCATGCTGCTGGATAGGCAAACGCGTTTGTTTCGTACTAAAAGTATGCGACGTCAGCGAACTGAATCGTCTTTTCGAATCCATAAACGTGCGGGGTCCACGTACATTTTTGTATAATAAGAGAGGCGAGACCATTTGCGCGAGAAATGTGAGGAACGGTTATCTCTTGTGTTAGGTATTTTTTCTCAATTGTAATTGGCATGTTGTAGATTTTTAATCATTAGTTTTACACACATACAAATACACATACACACAGACACTCATCCAAATATTATTATTATTATTATTATTATTATTGATTATTATTATTATTGATTAAATAATTATTATCATTATCATCTTCACTAAAGTATACAGTAGATTTGAGCTCTCTACTAAATATAAAATTAGAGAATATTTTTTATAATCATTATGATCTGAGTAATGCTATTATTATCGCTATTATTATTATTAATTATTATTAATTATTAGCGTCGTTACTTGAGCATATTCGATTGACGCAGCGCTCTTTTCCTCTCGTCTTCTGTTTCTATTATAACTTTCGTATAAGATCTTCTTTTCTTGAATATAGTTATTTCGCGAATAATCGCCATGGGTTTGTTTCGACGATGATGAAGCCGAGGCTTTTTATACATATGTTTTTTTTTTTTTTATGTATCAGTATTCTACATGTTTGATCTTAGTGGATAAGTGATTCTTGAACCGACGCTACTTAAACCCCCGATGCAACGGCGAGATTTACTTTACTTAATTATTAAATTATTGACTTTACTCTCCTTCTTCTCTTGCCCGTTCCCTCTTTTCTCCCTTGTTTTTGTACGTCCATTTTTACAATCTCCTCCCTTACGCGTATACCCCCATCTCCAAAATATTATTTAAACGCTAATTTATTGTATTTCACACGTACGTACGGACATACTCGTATATATAATATTGTATACGCAGCATCTTTTACGTGCGAATTTTGGCGCGACGACTGGCTTAATAATTTATTATTATATTATTATTACGATTATATTACATTTTTACAAACGCGGGACACGGCCACATATTTTAGTATGCAATGCAGGCTTCTCTCTCTCTCTCTCTCTCTATCTCTCTATCTCTCTCTCTCTCTCTCTCTCTCTCTCTCTCTCTCTCTCTCTCTCTCTCTCTCTCTCTCTCTCTTTCTCCACTTGCCCATGAAACCACCCTTCCTCTCCCAGTGTGAGCTACAGCATATTGTGTTGCAAAAAATATATCCAATCGACTGTTGTCCAGCTTCTCGACTATTGGGAATGAAAGGGTTGATCTTCACCAACGGGTCAAACGGTTGGCGAAGATCGGGCATCACCGTGATCGTGCATACGCTCCCCGGCGTATGCTTCTTTATTCTCGCCTCTGTTCTCCACTATTTCGTTTTTACTCGCAGACGACGCAGTCGGCGGCGCTTTGGGTGCCTTTGCCCGCATTTGTAGATTCACGCTACGTCGAATCAATGTTGCATCTCGACAGTAGCGCGTAAACTTCATTGTCGGCATTGTACGTATACGAAATTCTTCTAAGAGAAATAATTGTAACTAAACGCGCAGAGAGGAAGAGCTCGCGCTGCCGAAGACTCGTAAGGACTCATAAGTTGGGGATCAGCCCGAGCCGGACAATTTGAGTGAAACGTTAGGGGCGAGATTTGTCGAGACATAGAAGTGAATCTCTTTGGTCTATCGAGACATTCGATCGTTAAATCGAGCAGATCGATTTGAAATAATTAAAAGCGTAAAAAGAAACGTGAGAGATAGCCTTCGAATGACAATTGTTCAGTCAGTCGTCAACACCATCGACACGTAATTTTAACTTCGCCATGACAGAGTGGAGCATGAATCCATATAGACGTATAGACGTGGGGCTAAAAAAAGAGCGGTTCCCGTTACTTCGTCCAATCTGACGTACAAAAGAACGGAAACCGTTAAAAGCAGAAGACACAAGTCGCAGAGCAATTAACGGTTCACCGTCCGCTCGTGTTACCTTCGACACCGCAGTCTGCGCAACGTGTGTTCGAGCAGCTGCCGCAAGAGCTCTTCCTCCTCATTATCTCATTAAGCACGAGTATTAATCCGAACTAATTGACTGAATATTATTTTTCTATTGCGGATGTAATACGATAATACGATCACGACGGATGGAAATCGCGGTGGAAACCGCGCGAATGTATATTTTGCACAAGATATGGCGGCGAGTGGCGAGTCGCGAGGCTTTGATCGATCGAAAAAAAAAAAGAACAAAATAAATTAATAACTTTCGATCTATATTGTAAATTGAATCTGCACCGCGAGATTCTCCCGAAGTATCTTCTGTTTCTGTCGGAGAAAAAGGCGAACAGACGCATGCGGCGGTTCGCAAGATCCGTCCAATGTGATCCTGGTTGTTCGCACAACTTTAATTGCTAATGACCAGTTGTATGCAGCCGCGTTAACTCTCCACAGAGGAGAGTAACGAAAAGGTATAAACAGGAAGATACGCGAGAATCCCGCGGCGCGGAATCAAGGTGGATCGAGAGTGTTTTTGAGAATAGAACGTGTGCGAAACGTAGCAATAGCGAGAAATTACTTTTGTATCCACGATGTATGCGTAAGTTAGTTCGGGCTAAGGCCAGCAGCTGTTGAGATTATTCAAGGTTGTGTGTATCATTATAAGTATTTTGAATTGTTGAATAGTAATAGTGTCAATGGACATTAGGCGTTGCACGATGTGGCTGCGCCGAGTCAAGAGCAAAGCAGAGCAAAGCAAAGCGCGAGCAAGTGTATAGTAGCTCTTTGCTACTGTTATTGACGCGCCGTATCCCGGATCAGACTTTTATCCCCCATCGTGGTATTCGCCTTGCACGACCGAACACTTGTTTTTACTCTTCGTCTGTGTTTTTTAAACGATTATATTGTACGCGTGGACTGGTCATTGCGTAGCAACACGCCAGCCTATATGTCTTATCTAGTCCCATAAAGGACGCTGATGAAACAGCGTGTACCAAATGATAGCTGATGATGAGTAGATTCTGTAAGTGGAGCACACCGCTGTCCATGGTACACACATCCTTTTTGGGACTTCACGCAACCGTGTGTGGGGCGAAGCTGAGTTTTCGATCGATAAACTTCTAAACGATAGAAGCATCATTAATAGAGAAGTGCCGACAATATTTGTGACTTTATATTATACGGATTATTCGATTCTGAACCAAATAGTCAACCTGGAACGACGAGTGTTCTTCCGTACGGTGGAGATCGAAGAAATTTAGCAGGATTTATTAAAATTATGGATTTTGAAGTTACTTTTTTGAAGTGACAGTTAAAGAATGTAAGCAATATCGGTCGATTCGCAGCGGTAAAGTAAGTTAGATCTAAAAGTTCGCGTACCTGATGCCACAAGAATCAAGTTCGGGGAAGAAAAAGGCATAAGAAAGAAATAGATCTGAAAATACGTTGATTTTCATGAAGTAGATTCATTCTACATTGTCTGAAATTTGTCGGTGACAAATTGGAAAGTTTTGCTCGAGGATGCTTATTGTCCGTTTTGCAATTGTAAATAATAAATGTTTCTATTTATTTAGAGCTATTTTGACTCTGCGTATTTTTTCTATATGTACATATACATATATAGACGCATGAATCTGCGGGATCACACTTTTGTGGGCAATTTCGACCAGATGTTCCTTACATCCTTTGCTCAGAAGTTTGTCCATCAGAGTTTAGCTTCGCCGCGTATACGTAACGACATACAAACACACATAACATATACAAAATCCTACACATTGCGGCATTGTAAACACAGTTTAATTTATGAGAATCTCGAGAGCACATTTTTTTACGCGATCTCTTCCATGACAGGTGTACCTAATTATTACATACTTACGGGTTTAACAAATCATCAAATCGCGTTATTTCCTCCCCCACCCTCACCCTCTCCTTATCATCTTAGCTATTCTTTAAGCTAGCTCAGTTCAGAGCGCATAATAAACGTTTCTCTCTCTCTCCCCCTCTTTATCTCTCTTTTTCTTGCTCTCCTTTCTTTCTTTCCGAGTTTTTATATATCTTAACGGTAGGCGATAACGCTGTTAGATGTTTTAAGGTATTTATTGGGCTGCTATGTGATTTGTTGGAAATTATTTTGAGAGAACTTTTTTAATTGTGAGAGCGGAAGTGCCCGGAGCTGCAACTGCAGCAACAACCAACTGCAGCGACGGCAACAACAGCTCTTAGAAACTATGCAATTGCGATGCGATGCGATACGATGCGGTGCGACTTCGATGCTACGTTTGTTGCACACGCCTTCGTATGTAATCGACTATTTTGCGAGAGAGATTGTGTTTGCGCGAGAGCGTGTAGCAACAAATGTCAGCGACGGGCAAAGGACCAAAATGTACAATCCGCGTTCGCCAATCTAAATTATCTCTTTATGATTGGTACTCATCCATTATTACATGCGACGCATTATAAGCATCGGAAAGTCTCGGAGATTCTTATTTATCCGCGATGTGGATGATCCGATTTTTCGAGACATCTTGTATTTGCGAGGGCATTGTTGTGATACCACAGATGCAGCTTCATTGAAACTTGAATAAAAAAAAAAATGCGTTAAATGCGTGTTGTGTATCGATACATCCATTTATTCCGTTAAAATTAGTTCTCATCGTTGTTTCTTTTTTTACATGATCCGCTTTAATCTCACACAGCATTCAACCGTAATATCATTCAATACAAAAATGTAACTTACAACTCGTTATTGAATATATCAATACCGTATTGTATCACGCCACGGGACTAGCACTTTCCCCTGTGAAAATCGCAGATTGAAATCTTACTTGGCTATTTGTAGTTAGACGGAATGATTAATTTTAACAAAAGAAACATATAAGTATATTGGACAGTATGTAGATGAGATTTACAGTGAAAAAGAACGCAATAAATGGCCAACGCATAACTTGCATCACCGGAGGAAATAAATTTTCTTTCGTACGCGTCATTTTTACCAGGGATTCATTACGTGCGATAATTAGCGCAACTTTATAAATAAATCAGAGATACATATGACGAACGCACGATTGATCATACGCTTGACCTGTATTATCTTGTCCAGAACATTGCTTCAGAATGATTTTGATATCTCTATGATATTTTTTTCAATTCTTACAGATATTCCTCTCTTATTGTTCGTATTTTATAAATATACAAATGGGAATGGGGACGAGGAGCTAATCGATTTTATTCTCGTGCAATGAGGCATCTCCTATCGGAGATCTCTGTAGCATTTCATATAAACGCCTGATGCTCCACAGCCATTAATACATTTCTTAGAATAATTATGATGTCGGTGACGAATAAAGAGCCGCAACCACGGCATTGTCACATTATATGATCTGATATACATTGAGATCTGAAGATGCAGTAAAAAGTTAAGAAATATCGCACGTTGTACTATGGAATTCTTTAATCAAAATGTAGTAACCAACTCCAAAGGAAATTAAATCAATGCACCTTTTTTTAATGATTCAACTTTTTTGCTTAATTTCAACAATGACGAACGGCGGTGTCGCATGTGCACAAACCCACACGCATACAGGCATATGCACGTACGCATGCATACATACTTATCACTATAATCGTAATATATAACAATATATACATAACTTTACAAATGCTGTCGCACCATTAGCAGGCACACTATATAGAGATACGAACGAGCAGATCACAAATTTGTCTTAATCTTTCATATTAGAACGATCTTTGTTCTCTCGGGCGGTAAGAATTATTATTATATTTTACAATATCTTTTTCCTTTGTAATATTTTTTACACGATTAACATTGGCTATGTTCTCTTCTTTAGTCTTGTATTTGCTACAACTTATGTGCTTTATCACGAAGCTACATTAGTTGCAGAAGCATCAGTTCTGTGTACAATCCTTGCTGGCTTAATCTGCACTTTAGTCTTTTGATATGAACATATTTTGAAAACAGAGCCAATACCAAGCGAGAAAATACACATTTCATTTCATTTTAATAAAATTTGGCATCGATAGTATTGGCCAAAGTATGTCTAAGATATCCCAAAATATCGGTATCCACCATCACGTGGACGTACATTGATTAATATTCGTAAGGCGGAATCTATATCACAATTTACTTCTCTTCATTTCTCGCTTAGGACTCGACACGTGTCCTCCGGTGCTGTTCGATTTATGTTGCCTTCCTTCTGTTTTGTTATTCGTCTCTAACATTCTAAGAGCTTTATAGTACTTACAAAATTTCTCCCTGATTAGTTGCGCCTTCTTCTGATCTTCAGCGAGATTCACGGTAGAACCCAAAGTAAAGTGAATATCCTTGATGTGCTCTAACTTCAGAAAAATGATCTTGCGCTTATTGCGTGCGGTCTTCTTATCTAAGAAACTCAAATGTCGCCTCAGTTTCCTATAGTCATGCAAGAGTTGCTCGATAATATCTAAGCACAGCCATCGAGTCCTAGCAATACATTTATCCGGCGCTTCGCCACTCCCTGCTTGACAAATGTTGGTCAGCGCCTCAACATGGGAATCACCATCTAAATTTGCCAGCACAAAATTCAGCAAATTCGGAATAGTGATAGGAACAGAGAATGGAAATACCGTGCTATCTTCCTTTCTGCAATTTGAATCATGAACGTTAGAACGGAAGCTTCGTAATCGAAAAAAAGAAAAAAGTATTCGCACAAAGAAATCACATTGAAGAAATGACTGTACCTCTTTGCAGGAAAGAATAAGATGGATGGAAAACGATTCATACTGTATTCCCACGGTAAATCGTTGTTGTCACCGTCAATTCTTACAAAGATCATATGATCCATATTGGACAAATAATGCGCTACTGTCAAATATATGTATGATACAGCACTGCAAAATCCGCAGTAAGGAGAATGATGCATTATAACTACGTCCTATTAAAAAAAATCCAATTACTTCTTTCATATATTAATTTATCATACAGGCGGTAGAATGTGTTGCGGCAAAATGTTCAGATATACAGAGTGTGCATGCCAATATATCCCCATCATCTCCAGGAAAGTTAATGATTATCAAAAACAAAAAAAATTTTAATCGTGGTTATCTTATGGTCATCCAGACATTTATGAACGGCGTGAATTTGTTTCAGATCTTTAGTTTATCTATATTGTGTTTATCTATATTGTGTTTGTCATGTAGCATTGCTAACTGCAGAATGATGATCATGTCGAGTCACTAACCTTGGATGGATCTAGAATCGTGTCTAAGAAAGTTTCTGTAGTCAGTTCTGGGATGCGAATCTTCGAACGTGTGTTGACATTGTTACAGCTATCCTCTTTAGATGAGGTTCTTTGCTCTTGTGTTTCACAACATTGCGAATTATCCGAGCGTAATGTTCGCTCCAACAGACCTTGTGTATAATTGTTTATGAAATCAACGAGTGCGTACTCGCTAAAATCATGATGCATGACATATTGGCTCTCCAGCTGAAATAAAAAAAAAAAAAAGAAAAACACGACACGTCATAAAACGAAATGTTCGAGTGAGGGCAAGTGTTTAATGATGATTTGATAAAAGTTGAAAGAAAAATGGAAAAGGAAGCTATAAATCTTGAAATTTACCGCAGCATCCAAGATGATAACTGTAGTTTTATTTCTTCGCTTCGAGATATCAATTCCGAGACGTTCCGCAAAGTGAAAGTAATGTAAACTGTCGATAGCTATCAAAGCTAGTGTTTTGTTAGTCTTGCAAACTGATTCTTTCAAGCTGATGTTAAACTGCTTCGGAGAATCTCGCGGGAACAACGACGGGTGGTAATTGTTCCCAGCCAACCATCTTCTGCAACGTTCTTTCAAGAAATTTTTTCTCGCCATACTTGCGGATAGTGGATCGTCCTCTCCCTTCGGCAATGACGCTTTGTATTTCACATCTGCATACATTCTTAAAATAAACGGACAACTTACTAAGTCTAATTGCGGGGCGCCTTGTAGATTTAATAAAAAATTACATATTTGAATGACATTCAAGTCTTTTGAATGCATGACAGTCGCTGTATATCATTACGTTCGTTTACACACATGTTACCTTTTTGATTCTCCCTCTTTCATCTTCGCATAATTCCTGTGACTGTATATCTGCTTGCCGCATTGGCGGACCGTTACCGTAAATACATCGGTATCTTTGCAAACACCGTCAAATTTTTCAGATGTGGTCATACACATCTTCTTCTGCGTTAATGGATTCATTGTCTTTATCTCGCGCACAGTACACTTATTCATTGCAATGTTTGCACAGCAACTACTGTTGATCCATTGCTGAATCGATACACTGGCTACCGGTTCCTTGGCTTCCTCAACATAGACTTTACTCTCATTTAGAAGTTCGGCACATTCTTCATTTCTAGAGAAGTGACGAATTATTGCTGTACGTCGTTTCGCTTCCAAACGCGCAACTATATCCTTCACTAACATATTATCCGCGCAGTTATAATATTGCAAGCCGACTTCCCTGACCTAGATGAGAATTCGAATATATTCATAAGAGATATCATATGTATTCAACAAGTGCACTTCTATGTTTATATCAGTACATAATTAATATATTTTTTAGATTAATAATAAGTTCTTATATTTCAAGCAGAAAACAAGAGTACAAATTTATAATATAACGCACCAGGTTGTAAATGTAATTTTCCGTATGAAGTGGATTTCGTGGTGTAAAAAGAAACAAGACTGGACCCTCGCGCAGATATGGCGCGAGTGTGAGTGCTTTAACACCAGGTGGTTGTAACCAGAGAGATGGTTGATGGATAGAACTGCTGATCCAATTCAGAATGTTCTCGGAAATCCATTCCTTGTCTTCCGGATAACTCTGAGTGTTTTAATGTCGTTTTATTACCTAGAGTGAATTAGATTCGCACGTTAAGCACTTACTAATGATTCATTCCACATGAGCAAGCTTGCCGATGGAAATCTATAAATTCCATAATTTAATTCGCTGGATAATGCATTAGTTACTATAGCAAACACCAGTTCTCTATTAGGATCCCTCTCTAGTGATCGTATTGCAGCTTTATAAAACTCTTTGTACCCAGGAATTCTATCCAATCGTGTAAAATTAAAATATCCCACAACTACTGCCTGTAAGAAAATTGTTAGTAGATTAATAGGGCAACAAAAGAATGGATTATTATACATCATATCAATATGATATCTCAACTCCTTATTAAAATTTATACGAATTAAAAATTTATCATAATTTGATAAAATTAATAATATATATATTTCTATGTCAATAGAATATTGAAACATTTATTTGTCCTCTAATAAAAATGAAAATATTTGAAATAAGTTATTAATTTACTAATTTAGTGTTAAAGTCTTATTTTTTTTCTAGTTTATACTTACATCATAGGTAACTAGTAATTCCATCAGCTGTTCTTTATGAATTATTCTGATGATAGGATTCATAATTGCATCTAGAAAACGGATCATGTATGGTGCTGTACGAATACCTCTGTAATTAATACCGGAATCCCTGGATGGATACAGCATCAACACTGGGTAACCATGAATTTTGTTATATTGTGCTCTACATTCTGAATCAGGATGCCAACAATTAATGGCTGCGAAAAATATCTAGGAACATATAGCACACAGTATAGTGTTCACAAGAATTCAACAATAGAACCAACAGAACTTTGATCATCTCCTCTGTCATACCTGTGGGTAGTAAAACTGAGCAACGCTTTCAAATTCCTGTCGTAGTGCTTGGCTCTCTGCATCCCAAGGAGCATAATACATGACAAAGCTGAAATCAGCTTGCGTTATCCTCTCGATCATTGCACTTAAATGGCCCTTATAAAAATCCAACACAACAGAGCTCCGATTGAAGAAAGGTTTAGCTATAGGAGGCTTGGAGACTCTGGGGTGCCTGTAAGATCCGTTTAATGCGGGCTTAGCGTGTAAATTAGCAGCGCGCAATAAAAACCAAAACAAATATTTAAAACTTACGCGCCGTGCAATGCAGCCAGTGCGGTGAAAGTGATGGCAAGGAGGAAACAAACAATTTCGTAAGAGAACATTTTGCTAACCAGTCGCTCTTCTATCGCCAATTCCTCCTTGTTAGCCACGTCGTTATTCGTTGGCTCAGATGTAAATGTTGATGTAGACGTGGACGTGGACGTGGACGTGGACGTGGACGCGATCGGGTGCTGTAGGTTATCGACATTTTTCAGTGGGGTTGTCTCGCGTTCTTCTCTGGACGTTCGTCCAGCCATCGCCTATTTTCCGCTGATCAATGCATCGCTGTCGTGTTTTTCGCCAACCACTTTTATCTTTATTAGATTACGAGGGATTAGCCGGCCAACTTTGAACACTTCTGACCCTCGTGCCACATACAATTACGCACGAGGGCACCTTTCGATCGGCTGTTCTTATGTCACGATAATGCATGCCCATTTGCATGACACGCTTTGACAGAAGGTCGTTTCACATTGGCTGCGTTTCATTTTGAGATGATATGCAGCCAATGATATATGCTCATACCAACGCAATGTAATTGAAAAGCATCCATAAACATCGCTCTTCATATGAGGGCTGCGTTCCGATACTCACTGCCAGTACTGAAAACACATAGTTTATGTCACGTATACTATAGATTTCCAATGCTGGCAGTGAATATCGGAATGCAGCCTAGAGTGCATTACCATTATGTGTAAACTCGAAGATTTTGAACTTGTTTATTGAATGTTTATGCGAGAGGAAAAATGAGAAAGATTGCGATTGTTTTTCCGGAAAGCAATTATCTTTAGTTAGACAGATATTCATCAATATCCCTTTTATATTTCTTTCCCAAAAGCGACGTGATTTTCGACTGTTACCTGTATTAAAACTACCAGAGTTAACTCTTAATCGGTTGCTGAAAGTTATCTTGCTTTGATTTATTTAACAACTTGACATCTCATTCTTTAATTGAAAGAAATGGAAATTAGACATCACTATGAGTTACGTAGCAAAAATAAGTCACATTTGCACAATCTAATGATTTCAAACCAGAAGGAACTAAACTTGGAAATGATGGAGCATTGTTATGATATCAAAAATAAAAATTACAAAAGATTTTGTAAATCCGGAGAAGTAACAAATAGCAAGAGGTACGGGTATACATGGATATATATAATTAAATTATCTTACTCTTGTTTCTTATTACTTATACTTTTATTATCTTAAATAACCATAGGATTAGAAGAAGCAATAAAATACATAAGAAAAACATGAAAGTAATAGAGAGTAATAAGGAAAGATCCATGACAGGTGATATAATGGATGAACAGAACACAAAGTCAGTAAGTTAATTAATATTCAAAAAACACACCGCAAAGATCAAAATGCTAAAGAATCAGACAAATATTTGTTAATAGCCAGAGTAAAAATAAGAAGAATATATTGGATTGAAAGGTTGAACAAAAGCACAAAAATATAATACCATGCAGAATACTTGTCAACAATTGTTTATTCAAAGAGGAAAAGAAAAAAGATTCTTGGAATAAATCAGAATCTATTTATGAAACCTATAAGCAAACTAATAAGCCATGGAAGTATGTATATATATATATATATAGAATCTTATTATATACTGTATACTTTTGATGATTTTTTAAAACAATCTTAATTTTTTTTTTTATTGATTTAATCAGTATGATGAATATTTCTCTATGTATAACTATATCCTGTTCAACTATTACAGATTATATATTTTAAAATCATAACTCTTTTTGCTAGAAGAAAATACTTATAAATATTAGTTTGTAATTTAAATTATTAACATTGATGATTGAAATTAACTCTACAAAAGTTACAAATAAAAATAGATTAGCTCTCTGATATGTGTGTCAATAACAAAATTATCAATGTATGTATGAATATATTAAAATGTTTCAGTGTTTATGCAAAGACAGACTATACATATTCCCAAGCTTCACAATGTTGTTATGAAACAGCTCCGAGTGTGCTAGCAAGGCCTAACATTTCAAAGCAGTTTATACACAAGGACAACAATGAAAACAATTTTGAATTATCAAAGGTGAATTATCAAAATCAGACTTTGCAAGAAACAACTGTTCTCTCGGAAACTTCTCAAGTTCATTCGGTAATCTTTTTTATAATTTTACATTGTATTTATCATTTTTTGCTGATAAAATTTTAATATATTTAATTGTAAAACAATTGTTGTTTCTTGAATTTTAGAATATTTCTGAAGATATTTCGTGTATGTATATGTTAGATTCAACTAGATCAGTTTTAAGCAAAAACATGCATGGAAAACAATCTTCATATGTAAGACCAGGTTATGCAAATTCTAAACATTTCTCAAATCTTCCACAAAGGTTTTATATGCTTCCTTTATTTTGAAAATAACTAGAACTTATTAAAAATATAAAAATAGACTAATCAATTATTATATATATAATTTCACAGTGGCAGAAGATGGTTACAGGGAAGTATATGGATGTGGAGCCTATTTCTATTTTTATTCTTGTTTGGTGAGCATTGCTGCGCATTCTGTATTGGAATTCTGTATCTCAATACAGTAACAGAAGAAGAAGAAGGTCAGATTTTGTTCAACTATTATATAATTATTTATATAAAATGCATTTTTAGGTTGTTGGTATATGACAAGATATTCATTATTATCTGCTGTTTATGGTGTGTCAAAAACTGTGACAGGTGGATTTCTATCTGTTATAAAAGTAGACAACAATGAAAGTAAAATAGCTAAAGAGAAATCAAATAATAATGATATTTTACTCAATAGAATAATGATATTTGAAAAGGAACAGATATATCAAAAGGTACAAATTAAAATTTTTACATATCTGTTTCTTATATTTTGTGTGACTTTCCATTTAAAATTTGTGTGCATATATGTAGGAATATCTCATGAATATTACCTTCATTTTGGATGATTATCAAAAAAGGCAAATGGATTTTCAGAAAGAATGCAATGTAAGTTTACAATCGCATAATTGGTTTTTGGCAGAGAAAAGTCAGAATATAGACTTTAGACAACAATTACATAAAAATTTTACAAATTCCATGATATTTTTTGTAGGATAAAAACGCTGACAAAATAAATAAAATAAATGAACTGAGAAGCTTAGTGAACAATGAACTCAAAGTGATTAAACATGAATTAAAAAAGCTACAGAATCTTTCCACAGAATTGCAATCTCTTATAATCAATTATACCAAGACACAAGTGGAGGAGATCTTATCTGACTTATCTTATTTCCCGCCAAAAATTTTAAAAAAAGATCTGATGGAAAATAATTTCGTATCTGATAGTGACAAAGGTCCAAAGATAAGATACAAATTTAATAAACTTTAAAACATCATCTTTTACATTTGCCAATTAAATAACTTCGAATCTGTTCAATCTGCATCAATCGTGCGTTTCTAATGACGAAAATAAGAATTACGAATATACTTTTGCAGATGTGGCAGTCTTAGATGATAATGTCAGCGATTCCAATGTTCTTATCACAGAGGAATACGTCCGCAGAATAGTGAAGGAGATCCTACAGATATACGATGCGGACAAGACGGGTCAAGTAGATTATGCTTTGGAGTCAGCAGGTATTATAATCGCTCCGACAAGTACAATAGGAACAGTAATATCGACAAGTAAATCGATACGTTACATTTACAGGAGGTGAAATTATTAGTACACGGGATACTCAAGAATATAACATCAAATCGCGTGCCATCAACATTTTCGGTTTCTTGTTGTATTATCAGAGCTATAACAATGATCCACGGATTGTGATACAAAAGAATTCGATCCATCCTGGCTCTTGCTGGGCATTTCAGAATTTCCCCGGATATCTCCTGATACGATTACGAAGCGCCATTTACGTAACCGGTTTTACTCTGGAGCACGTTTCCAGATTGATCGTACCGGCTGGGAATATGTCGAGCGCACCCAAAAATTTCAACGTGTGGGTATGTAGTAACGATCGCTCTCGCTTACCAAATATCATAGTATACAGTACAGCATTCCTACATACTTTTCTGAATAATTTTATGTTAAAATGAACACAACCTTTTTTTGGTATATTGCAAATGAAAATATCTTCCGATAGATATTAGTAGTTTCTTATTATCATCATACTTTTATCTTTTGTATAAAATTATTCCGAAAAGAATAAGATGTGTAAATATTTTTTTCTTATATGCTTATATTATTCATATTTATTCTTTCTACTATTTCGCCAGGGTCTAACAGATGAGAATGATCCGAAACCTGTGATGTTTGGTGACTATGAATTCACATATTTTGAATATAATTTACAATATTTTCCAATACAGGTAAATTTTCCAATTATTTATAAGAATTATTATTAAAGTATTTACATAGCATAAATTTAGAGTAATTTTATGAATTATAATATTGTAATAAATTCCGACGTATTGTTACTATACTATATTTTATTATACTGTATTTATGTGTGCTATAATAGTCGATTTTTTTTATATATAGAACACAGGGATCGAGAGGTCCTATGAATATATTGAATTAAGGATACAGAGTAACCACGGGCAACTGGATTACACGTGTTTGTACAAATTCCGCATTCATGGAAGACGTACTTAGAAGTATCGATTTGATAATGTGCTCAAGTTCCTCTTTAAATAAAAAAAATAATATACAATCACGCGCGATTAACAAGAGTCATATGTGCTCGTTGTTATTATTATTCAATATTTTAAATTGGACAGTCGATGTCATTTATTTTTAACATTCGTGTATTATTTAAAAAGAATGGCATTTGTAATGTAAAACAAATTATAGATAAGAGAAGCAATATCTGAGATATCCATTTGTTGTCTCCTTTAATGAGCATTGATGATAGATGTCGCGTAGACGTGATATATGATTGAAAATTTTAACATCCCTAGATCTAGTAAGCGGACGTAACATCTAGTACTCTGTTACTAAAGCTGCGTTCCGAAATTCATTGCCAGTACTGAAAATCTATAGTATACGTGACACAAACTATGTATTTTCAGTACTAGCAGAGGATTTCGGAACGCAGCCTAAATAAAAAGTTCCCACCTCGAAGCTAACTTCTTGCTAACGTATCCGTTACTAGAGTTTCTGATGCTCTTTTTTTTTTTTTTACAAAAGACCGTTTTGTAAAACGGTCCTATACTTCGTGAACGTTTTTCGAATTATGAGTATTACAAGTGAATAATAATAATCTTCGTTTCTTCTAAGCATAATATGTAAAATACTTTTTACATGTCATAGCTCTCCGGAAGAGGTCTTCACAGTCGCCTTAGTTATTTGGAAGAATCCCTGGACTAGAGGATTTCTAGCCACTGTTGATCGTTCCTGCTGTCGCGCGGGTGATAGGCGAATCAACGGGGCAACGGGCTACGAATCTCTTTCTACTTACGTGAGTTGGATTGGTTTGCTGTTTGCTGTGCGTCAGTTCGTCTTGAACTACTTAGGTAGCTGTTTGGTTTGTGTCAAAGTGTACAAGTTTTCATCTGCATGTTCTGCGGATGGTCTTTTCTTCCTGGAAGTGCGTACAAAAAGTGGGTCAGTGCTTTTTATATTAATACATGGATTTAAACATGGAATCGGATTATACATCTCAATCTAACACGGTGAGTGCCGACGATGTGATTGTCGATGATTGAAAGTGACGATGAAACCAGCGCCGCGACGCGCCCTGAAATTTTCGGGGTTACGTGACAGGCTAGAGGAGAATGTTTTGTACATATCGCGACGAATTTTCGACCATTTGGGCGATATATTAATCGGAGTTTGTTCGATAATCGTGAGTCTTTGGCAATACGCGACATTGTGTAGAAAATTTCTCTATGTTCATATGTAATATTACCACTTGATTAAAATTTAATAGGATTGATGAACTTGCTAATTATATTGTACGGTATATCTTTATACATCTATAATTCTATCTATTTCTGCATGTAGAGATTCACTTCCCCCTCTTTCTCTCTCTTTCGCTTTTTACTCTTCTTCCTTCTTTCTCTTTTTCTGCCTTTCTGTTGTGGCTCAAACTGTTATATTGTTATTATAAAAATATTTGATAAATATTAACATGTAAAATATTAAAAAGATCATGTTTTACATATAACTTTAATATACAGATAAATATATGCATACATATGAATACAGATGAATGCACACATATGTATATATTTATATATATGTCTAGTTCAATGTGTCCTAAGAAACTATTTAAAGAAAGAAAGAAACTTCTCCATTATTCTTTATACTGTGCATATATTATAATGTCTCTGAAAGAGAGAGAAAGGAATTATATAATTCATGTAAATATTTTTATTTCTTTGAATATATTCATACTAGGTAGAATATATTTTGAATTTTATAATAGAAAAAGATTGTTCAAGAATTTAGAGAATATATAAATATATAAAGCAAGATGCTTTAAACCTCTAAAAGTATTTATATAAAAGTCGCTGTTATATATAATCAGGATCAAATATATATAGTAGATAAACTGCAAAATAAGATTTTTATTATCTACTACTTTAATTAACAGTTATTGCTTCTGATGCTTTAATAACAATAGACAAATTATTTTATATAATTGCTGATTTGTAATTATTATAATTTTCCTAAGATATAGATGAAATTTAGTATAGAAATATATTTATTTATTTTGTTACAAAAAAATTGTTAAATAATTTAGCAATTGTTTATAAAAATATAACAATCATTTACAGCTATTAGTATTGGTGGATCATAAGCTAGAGCTCTTATTCAATAACTATGTTATAATTATGTGCAATTTATAATTATAATGTTTACTTATTCCGCATGATATTAATTTATCTCACATGATTTATGAGGCTTTCATAAGTTGTCTTCTTTAGTATCCGCCTTTTTATTAAAGAAAAATTATAGGCTGCAAAGTTTCTTCTCATGTGGAAATAATTAATTTTCCATAGTCAGCGATGTGTATGCAGGAAAGATCGCGTGTGAAATATCAAGCTGACACGAGATACCATCAACAATAAAGATAAGCTCTTGATATATAATTTCAAAGCATATCTGTGACATCTTTATACTTATCATTTTTCAAAGAAAAGAATTATTTTCATTGGCAAATATCTTTGTTCTCAAGATTTTTTCTAAAAATTTTACTAGCATATATGTTTATGCTAGGTATGTATACCTCATAGAATAAATTTAAATACGATATAAAATATGAATATATCGAATTTAATATTGATATAACACGATTTATCGCATTCAATACTTTCAATCCATAACCAATAAACGTTAAAAAAAACAAATATACATCTTGCTACTGTAATATGAACGAGGGAGAAAGGAGTCCCTTCTCTCCATATCACATATTAGACGTGAGATATTTACGAAGAGGCAATACCATATGTACGAAAAACGTAGAAGCATATATAAGAACATCACTATAAATAAGAGTCGCTATGTACACATTCCTTCTCTAACTTGCTTACGTTACTATATTGCGTTTGGAAATTTTTACTCTAGAAAGGTCTCTGTAAAAATGTTCCGGTCGGCCGCTGTAATCTGCTAAAGTTCGTCGCGAAAAAACAATGTCCTGTCGATGATCTTAGTGATGACGTCATTTAGAATATTTTGCATCCGTTGAAACGCAGGCTGATGGTAATCGAACGACCGTCTAGCATAAAACGACGTTTAGCCCAGAATTCGTTGAATATTATGATATAGAAGTGGAAGGCAAATGAAATAAAATAAACCTGTATAAACATGGATATCTCTTGTCGCGGAGAGCCGCCGAAGAGCGGGACGCGACGCGGCTGCGGCGCACGCGCCTCTTTGCGAGTCGATAATGCACCATCGAGGCGGCCACCAACACCGATCCGCATCGGTGATCCCGATTCAGGCATCCCAAAGTCACTGCAAGCGATAGGATGCCTAGCAGCCGCTACTTTACGCGTCCTATTCACGTTTAATCTTTTTCCGGCCGCCTCGAATGAGATAACGTTCTATTTCGGCGAGTATTCATGACGCGCGCGCTCGCGCATGTTCGATAAATCGATATATTCATTTTGGAGGTCTTTCGATTTATCGGAAATCGATGGGAACGACTGTTACCTTCGTGTCGTTAGGACTCGGTGACGCTTCATCCAACTGTCCTTTAACGGTCAATGGCGTTAGGGTAATGTGCCTTGATGTGTTCCTGAAGCCAGAAACTGAGAGAGGAAAAGAGAGCGGTAACACTCGTGACATTTAAAAATGTCGGAAGTTTCTGTCAACACAAACACATTCGTTAAATTCGTTCTTGCGGAAGCAGTAGCTCAGCCGTCAAATTTGATCGAATCTACGCGAAAAGGCATATTTTTCTCATGAAATTTCGGTCTACCGTACATACGACGGTGACCTACAACACCAGATTTCTCCGGATGCAGACGATCTTCCCTCTCGCTCACGGATTCAATTTGATTTACCTACTTTTGCACGTGCGTATGGGTCCGAAGTTACTCGCGCGGATCGTTACCTCGAGATGTTATCTCGAGAACCTGTCGTACGTAGCGGACATGGGTTGCTATATTTTATCATAAGTTCGCGATGCTATTTTTAATGGAGTAGATTCGAGTTCCGCTGAATTCTGCGGACAATCATACACTTCTCAACTTGATGTTATTTCAACGACGCAACGATCGTTTACCCAATCATCTCGAACATTCCCATGCTAAAGTTGAAACATTTCTTACAGATTTTATTATTGATATCTCATTTTGAATTTTGCGCAAAATTCCATGCGATCGGAGGCGTGTAGCAATATTGTAAAAATTCCTAAGTGTATTGTACTTTGTGTTTAGGGTTGATAATAGGAATGCTACCCTATTATCAGCGTGTCTCGCGAGGAGATCGGTACGTGCACTGGTGCGTTACGGAGGAAGGAGGAAGAACATCGATATCCAGCGATGCAAGGTGCGTATAACTGTTGCTATCGCTGGACCGCTAGGAGAATGCGCGCATGCGAAAGAGAAGCACGGGAGGGAGCGCGGATGGAACGTTGGAGAAAGTTAGTTCGATGATGCGAAAGATGGAGATAGCAAAGAAGACGTTGTAAAGCTGTAAACGGTTCACGGAGCAAGCAGATCGGTATTCAAACTCGGTGAATTTGCTTCAGGAAGGGCCGAGCTGACGAGGAAACATTTCTCTGAACATTTCAAGCCTTCATTTAGAAAGTTTCTCTCCTTCATAATTCTCTCCTCCTCTTTCGACCTACCGAATCTTCCTTGTAAATCAAAAGTCTGGAAGGCAGCTTCGACTACCTTTCCTTGATGCAATCTTTATACTTTATCTTTCTCATACATTGCTTATAGTTTAGGTGGTATAAATAATGAGCTCGATTTACGCGCCAGATAGCTAAATAGATAGATTAATGAAAAAGAGGGATTGGGAAAAGGGAAGGAGAGGAAGAGAGAGAGAGAGAGAGAGAGAGAGAGAGAGGTGGGAGGAAGGAAGGAGGTGGAATCATTGGCCCGATAGATTACCTTTTACTCACTTTGATCAGGATCAAACACCGGAAAGTCGGACGTAAGGAGGATAATAATTGCTATCGATACACGATGGTCGTGTTACGGAAGAGATTTCTAAATTACGTATCCATGTAATCCGTGTACAATCTGTTTATTTATTTCGTTCCCTTCTATTTGGAGCACGATTAATACTAATCGTGCTCCAAATAACATAAGTCGAGAGAAATTATAACATAACATAGAAAATAAATATCCTGGAAATGAGTTTGTTTTAATCCTATCGTGTTTATTATGATGGAATTAACACGAAACATTTCACGTGTTGGAGCTTCTCCTTATCTTTGAAATCATGTCGGTTATATCTGTATATGTTAAAAATAATTCGCAAGGGTATTATTTGCTTTGATATTTTTCATGTATGAATTCAGTAGTAGGCCAGAACAAATGTTGAAATTGAATGACCATGAGAAACCATAAGAGATACGCTATTCAGAAACGTGAATCGGTCAGAAGTGACAATGTCCCCGATCCAAATCGAGAGGGAGTCCTACTTATTAGAAAAGATATTTTAGGTCGCACCTGTATCTTTCGCGCAAAACCGGTTGACGTAGCGCGCGCTAACTGCGGGACGTGTTTATTTTTCAGACGACACACTAGCGAACAGTTTGGCAGTAGCGAGTCCTTTTATGGACATCGAAGGCTGAATTTGGAGCAGGAGATCTCGTACGAAAGGGAAGCAGAAAAGATCTAGATGTTAGGTAGGGCCAGGACGAAGTAGAAGAGTGAGAGAGAAAGGGTCTTGAGGACGCCAGACAAAAGAATAGGGAGCACTCAATAGAGAGAAGGACAAGAAGAAAAGAGGCGGAAGAGCGTCGAAGGAAAAGAGAAGAGGGATGGGCGCTGGGATGGGCAGAAGCGGCACGACCGGCGGCGGTCTGCTCGAGGCGCTTCCCACAGGAACTCCACTCCACGTGGCTATGCTTGGCCTCGACAGCGCCGGCAAAACAACCGCTCTTTACAGACTAAAGTTTGATCAGTACCTCAACACCGTGCCGACCATCGGTTTCAACTGCGAGAGAATCCGCGGTGGTATCGGAAAGGCTAAAGGTATGTTTTCGTAAACAAAAGCATAACATTTTTCCTTTTCTAATTTGCCGCTTCTCTCCCTCCCTCTCCTCATCTCTCTCTCTCTCTCTCTCTCTCTCGTTTCTTCTCTGAAAATATAGATAAAGGAATGTAGAAATACATTATATGATTTTATTTTATTGAAGACTGTTCGCTTAGATGCATTATTTAGCAGGCACCATTCAGAGACACGCATTACACCAACATCCTTGCCTTGAGATACGATCTTCGTTTGACGTAGGTGTTAATTTCCTTGTGTGGGACGTCGGCGGGCAGGAGAAGTTACGACCGCTATGGAAATCGTACACGAGATGCACCGACGGCATCATTTTCGTCGTTGACTCTTGCGATACAGAAAGACTCGAGGAGGCGAAAATGGAGCTTACTAGAACTGCGAGAAGTCCAGACAATGCAGGTGTACCGATCCTGATACTCGCTAACAAACAGGATTTACCTGGTATGTAGATAAAAAACTATATTAGCGTTTCAGGATTAACTGTTGGTGTACCGGCCAACAAGACGGTAGTATTATATACAGAGTCTTGAGTATAATTTAAAACTTTGATTTTATTGGCATATTTTTTATCAACTCGTCATCTTTAATAAATATTCAATTTTAATCTATATTTTTTACTTTTGAAAATAGTTCATTGGATACTTTATTTTATGAGTAGCGTACAGAAGAATGGCATAGTAGACACAGTTATGGTTGCTACAATGCCATTTCAGGCCTGGATTTTCTACATGATTTCACTAATAAATTCCTCGTCGTATAGGCGCGAAGGAGGTCGGCGAGTTGGAGAAGTACTTGGGAGTGTTAGAATTGGCTGGTATGCCAGGTAGCGCCTGCATTCGCGTACAACCGGCGTGCGCTATTACGGGCGAAGGACTTCACGAAGGTCTAGACACGTTGTATCAGTTGATTCTCAAGCGACGTAAGCTGGCCAAGCTGAATCGGAAACGGGCCAGGTAGGCCAGGGCTTCGGAAGACTGCACATGCGTCTTCTGATATTGTCGATCGCGGACAGCTTCCCCTACGGCGACGCTTTCCACAACTTCCTCCTTACCTTCCCGCATTGATTACGAGGAGGAGATGGCACAGTGACTGTGAAAAAGAGCGATCACGATGATCATAAGACCGTGATCATCATGAGGTGCGACTACATTTTACGCAATCACCCTTCTTTCGGCTTTGGTTCTTCCGTTGGGAAGTGAACCGATGCTGTTGGAACAATTTCACGATTGCGTCGATCTTTTTTGCATGTGTGCATGGAAACATATATGCGTGTGCGTGTGTACATATAAATACACGTTGATTGTAAAATTGCGCAGATGGAGAGCGAAGATGGCGGAAAAAATGGAGGGATTTTAACAACTATTGTTCCTATTAGGTTGTTGCATATGAGATGCCCAAGTTCTTTTCATGTTTTTCCAAAGGTTGAGATATTATTGACATTTTTAAGTATATTGACATCGTTCGTTAATCGAAATATTTTAATCGAGAGATACTATTTTTATGTGGATATTTATTCGATCGTAAGAATGAAAAGGAAGAAAGTCGGGAATAATAGCTTACGCAGCATTTGTATAAATTCGTGTGGTAATTCGTCATTTTACCAGTGATCGGGCATAATTTAGATTTGAAATAACATATCGTCTGCCGTTCTGGCGAATGATTGCGAAAAAAAAAAAGAGGAACGCACGGAATCCAAGTTTGACGCTGTTTAACTTGTTTTATATGCAACAATGTAATGATCATGAATAATCATAAAATCGTTATAAAACGTGTGACGATGCTAGTCGACTGAGAAATTTTCTATTGTTGGAGAAGAGTCGATGTGAAAGTGGTGTAAATGTAAGTAAATACTTGTAAATAAATGGAAAAGCTGTAATTTCACGCCGAGACAAATTTAAGGTGTAAAGATACATTAACACGAGCAACGAACTGGGTCAACGTTATAAAATCTGTGACAATATATATATATATAAATATATATATGTATAAATATATATGTATATATTGTTATAAATTACCTACCGACATTGACGAAATGCTACCGCCATCACTAGCGTTATGATTACGATGTTATAATACAGTTTATTGCTGTCATATTTTTCACACAAGATGCGTTACATACATGGCACGGCGGTATATTTTATTTACATGTGCGAAGTCGTTTTAATTAATCACTGCTTGTTTTGTAAAGTTCATGTTTCCGTGTAAATCTCGTTACGTATGAAAATATATAAATATCTATTTCTGGATAGAGAAAAAGGAAGAGGAGGCTTAGGAAGTGAAAGAAGCAAAGAGATAGATTCAATACAATGATTCGATATGATTGCAATTTTGTGTGAATTTCATTTTGTTTTCGGTAGGATTACTTCAATAACATCCGTAGTGAATCAATGTTTGTGATTAAACGAATTTGCCTTGCTCTTCTAAATCCGTCATTATATATTTCTAGGAAAAAAAGAAAGATCTTTCGAAAGTTTTCATCGTCCCTGTTATTCATCGATGATTATTTAGTATCGGCAAATTATATCGCAATTCTCAACAGATAATCGTCGTATCTTTAGCAGAATATTCTATTAAAAAAAAAAAGAAATGTTGCTCGTGTGTGTGTGCGCGCGTGCGATGTGTGTGCGTGGATGTGTGTATGTGTTTGCGCGCGTGCGTACGTATGTGTGTGTGTGTGTGCGTGTGCGTGCTTTGTGTGTGCGTGCTTTGTATGTACGCTGGGTTTCCAAATAGTTTGAACAGTTTTTTTTTTGCAATTTGAAACGCAGCAGATGTTCCAATGAGAGAAGTTTCTTCAGAAGATCGCGGAAATTAATTTCTCTCGTTGGATATTTACTGCCTTTCGAACTGCATCACAAAAAGTGATCAACCGCGTTTTGAAAGTTTCAATACATTTCTTCCCAATTTCATCGGGAAAAACGTGTGCAAATGAATGTACGTGTGTATGTGTAAAGCTATTCAAAGGTGGAGCGTATATCTCGCGACTTTCTTGAAAAGTTTGTACCGAAGAAGTCGAAGCGGCGCTTTGTAGCCAACGAAATCGCTGTCAAGCATGGTTGTTGTTTTTATATCAACTGTCGTTCCAAATTCTATTGTATATTATACTTGCCCCTTGTTGTGTTTTATTATCTTTGGATATTTTATCTTGTGCTTCGATCGATCGTTAGATCGTCTATTTATGTATACATACTATTAATAGTGATAGTCTAAGTAATCGATGACGCGTAGCGCGTTAGACTGATACGATCCTTTCGGATATACACGCAGGAATTTTCAAATAAATCCGCTGATTCCGTTATATTTTCAGCTGCAACGTTCATTCGCCTCTTTCCGTTTTATCCGCTTCGCGTCCTCGCTCTTGATTTGAAAACGCCTCGTCCGCCAATATCGTTGACTCGGTTTGAACATCGATAGGTATGCTTCGGAACGTGAAATCAAAATCGTCTGGTAACTTGGCACGATATTTTTCAGACTTGTCGCACTTGCAGAAATCGGTGAAGAATACGAGATGTCGCGTTTCCTGAGCTGTTGGTTGCAACGTAGGCAGTGACAATTTGGTCTTGGTCGCGATAGGCGTCGAACGTCGAATTAACGGCCGTTTTTTCGTCTTAGGTGGTTGCATAATGCGCTTCAACATGCTCAACAGTCGGTGCATCAGCTCGAACTAGTCAATATATGTTATAATGTAGAAATCCATAATAATAATATACAAATAATGTTCTGAATGGTCGACTGTGCGATTGTCTCGTCACAAGGCTCGCAACTTTTATCAAACTTTTCATCATCCAAAATTGATAGAAAAAAAAAGTATATTTTATTTTAACAAATTCTACCTTTTTCGCTGCGTCTTCTGCTTCTTTCGTAGCTTTCATCTCTTGTTTAAATCCTTCTCTCTCGCAAGCGCGAACAATTCGATGCGGCAGATTGTCCAGTTGAAGATTCAGTTCCTCGTGGGTTCTTTCCACCCATCTCATCATCGAGAAACTATCGAGATTCGCGTCATTTGGTCCCACGCAAGCTTCGTACGTGTCCTCCACGAAGACACGAAGATAGAGAACCTCCTCGGAGCAAACGAGATTTCGAAAAACGCCTCGAAGAAGATGATCGGCGTATTCCTCGAGACTCGCCGCCCTGTCTTCCGCTTCGGCAATGTGTTTCTATCGACACATTACTGCTTGTAGAACTGATGCTCGTGTTAATGCCAGAGAGCAGAGAAACGGACAGATGAAGAAATAGGGGGAAGTCGGAACATGTTGGAAACATGCGATGAATAACGTGTAAAAATCTTCGACGTACTCTCAAGTCGTCGATCGTTGAGGAGATCTCGCTGACTTCCTGCTTGATACGCGCTTCAGTCATGGCGATAGTCATAGTCACATCCGCCATTGGGCCAGCGAGTGATTCCAGATGTACGAGCGCATTTAAATTTTGCGTTTCCATCGCTCGGAATACTTGGACGAGATCGAAAGGATCCTCGAAGTATAACTCGGCAGGACCGGCTTCGGCAATGTCTCGCTCGAATAACTCTGACAGAGAACAGTCAGTTTATCGTCACATTCTTCGTAAATAGAATAGTTGTTGAAAAAATATCGAGATCCAGGGAAACTGTAGAAGAATACATCGGAAATCATAACGAAACCCGTAGTTTCCACCCGGTAGTCGTCGCTTTGACACGAATTTAAGACAAATATTAAGATGTAGAGAAATTACAAAGAAATAATTAGTAAATTAATTAAGATTAAGAGTGTCGGCTACTGGATGTTGCACTCTATAATCGAAAAGAAAGCGTGATTCCTCACGCAAGAAGACCTTCGGTAGTGCTACAAACAACTTCTATCGCAGCCTGTGCTACGTATTCTAATGTTTGACGCTGAATGTTTGACATCCGAAATCACCTATCAGGTCCTCCAAAGAGGCGTCGTCATCTGGTGTTCCGTATCTATTGAACAAGTCCCCGGCGTTAACAGAGATAAGGCTGCCGGTTTCGAGTCGGTGCGACCAGTCGTGCTTGCTCCTCCAAGCGATAGGTGACAGCCGATAGAGGAACAGTTGACACATCTTCACCATTCTCCAGTTTTCCTCCCAGAAGTAAATATCCAGCCTGATCTGGCCATACTGTTTCGCCAGCTCGTTTCTACGTGCACAAATCTGCTCCGTCAGCTTCGTTTCCTGATCCGCTCTGTCCAGTATACTCATACTTCTCTTGTGATCCTTCGACAAAAATTCTTCAAAACTGCTCACGTATCGCTGATGACGCTCCTGTTCCCAGCGAAAAAAGAAAAGCGTCATTTGCATCGCATTAAAATACTCTTTCTTCCCTGACACGCGGACAATTACAAGGAGAGAACATTTTGAACCGACTTTGAGGACTTTGCTGTACCTGGATTTTTTGTAATCGGTACGACTCTTGCTCGAACTGCTGATCAATGCGGATACAGTCGTCTTTCTTTTGGCCAATGAGCAGTCTTGCTTTCAACACCTCTCGCGTGTCCAACACGTATTGTTCCAATGAAAATTTTTCTTTCGCAGGTCTGCCAGCTAATTCCGTAAAATACTCCGGATCCACGTCCGTCATGGCAATTGCCTCGGACAGATCCATGTATCTCTTTGTGATTTCTGGTTCTACCTGCATGCAATTTGTGGAAATTTGCTGACGAATCTTTCAAATGTGATTCTATCAATACGGAGAAGAATATGCTAGTTTCTTTCTTTATCTCTTCCTTCTTCCACTCTCTTTGAATAATTTCATTCACATCGTTTAATTTAAAACTTACGTGTAGTCCTTGCGCAATCTCATTTTTCTGCTGATCCTTCTGTTTTACTTTATCGCGTTTGTTTATTGTCATTTTCTTCCGCGCCTTCCACCATTGAAGATAAGCCAAGGTTTGTGAGCAGGAAGGAAAAATAAAAGGCGACTGTTCTTTCTTCAAGTCTCTCTCTTCGTCCAAACGTTCATGATTCCAATGATACTGCATTCTACAGTGTTTTATCAAAATACATCATACTTGAATAATTATTTTTTCTTTTTTTGAGATATATTTTACAAACGCACTTATTTTATTTTATTTATTTATATAAAACGAGTGTAAAGAAACGTTGCTAAAAAGATGAAATATTGTGTTCTCTTACTTATTAACCTTGGAAAATTTTTACGGTGGCGAGTATTGTTATTAAAGGTTGATCCAGTCCCAACGCCTTGTAATGGACGGGCTATATTTTACATCAATCCTGCTCGTTAAGAGATTTCTCGGAAAAACTCATCCTTCACAACTGTTTTTAATTGATGATGGAAAGCATCGATACGAACTCGCAATAACTGTAAGAGACTTGCAGTACGACATAGTTTGTTTGACATGCGCCCTACCGTCCTTCATAATATATTATATTCAATAAAAGTTTTACATGCTATATAGTAAAGAGTTAATCGAATTTTAATAGCATTTTCATCATGTACATAATAAAAATTGACTTTTTCTTATGTCCATAATGCAGTCGTATTTTTCTTTAAATGCAGCTACATGTTATTGACATCAATGTGGGACATTCTGTATAAATTAAGTGAGAAAAATGCCTATAATTTTCTAGATGCATGTCTATCATAACCATTGTTAAATGATATAAATTATTTTTATTTGTACATGATATATTTTTGATTGTACAATTAGAGTACGTCGGGTATTTCGATAACACATGTAATGTCTATGTATAACCACTACTTTCAAAATACATGTAATTACAAATGAGCCGAGCAAGTGCTTCAACGCTGCTCTTCAGCTTTGTACGCAATTGAATAAGAACTTAAGCAAAAATTGAGATGGAAATAGAAAATGAAAAAGAGAGATAGATAGAGAGAGAAAATGGAGTTATCTACTACTACGTATTTTGAGACACAATCCGCTCAAGTGTAAAGAGAAGAAACTGAAAATTCATTATGGAATGAACTGTGAAGCGAAAGAGAATTCAAATCAATAAGAAATATGACGCGTTTTTTTGACTAAAATGTTGATAGATGTACCACGAAGCAAAGATAGAAGAGAAAAATATAAAATAATGATTTTTCTTCGATGACGAACGACACAGTCAGAATTTCTCAGGCAGGAAAGAGGACAATACGTTTATCTTTTTATATCGATCGGTCGGCCGTTCTAACGTCGGAATATATACGTAGTTACAAACTCGCCTTGGAGCAGCCGAACTCCTCGCTTCCCCCTCCCCCTCCCCTATCCATAGCTGATGGTGTAACCCATAGACAACATCAGTGTCTCTTTTATCGCCGGATGTAACTGGCGCTCGATGTACTTGGTTAACGCTTGGCTAGCGCCTTGTAAAAACACGTCTTCCATTTCGCGCGTGATATGCTCCTTCGACTGCCAACTTCTGCTTGGGTCTTCCGAGTCTACGGGAAATAAATTTTCGAGATTGTCGTTCAGCACGAGTTCCCTTACCTCCCGCGAGATGTTTCGCGATGGATCCTCGTTCTGTAAGCTGTCGGTTAAATTGAATATCTCGACCAAGTTCACAGGCTCCTTCTTTACCGAAGAAGGAGTTATCTCTTCATCGCGCTCATTCACAAGGGAGCGTGTAAAATCTTGCGGCGCGACGGCCATCGTTTGGGCGGCACGCGTGAACCGTTGTCGTATCGTTGAACGTCTCCGGCGTAACGGTGACTTGGTGATCCAAGAATTTTTCCTCCATACGCCGAAATTCGTTTTCGGAGTGCGTGAATAATGCGGATATCGGCTCTCGTTAGGCACGACAACGTCCACCTCTTCGGTGATGCCCACTAGCTGTCTCGGTTCCGCCGCGTCGTACTTGTCGCTCACGGAGGTCAATGGAGGCGTCGACGAAGTTACCTACGTATTGGGAAAAATATCAAACGAAAGATACCTATCGCTATAATTGCATTTTTGCTCTTGAAGTCGTGCGATTTTTGCCTTTAAGGCAAAGTCTTTCGACGAGTAATTTTCAAAAGTCGACCACTGTTATTGCAAGAAATATTGGTTTACTTTGTCATTAGCCAAATGATATGGAGGCCATTTGTCCTGCCGTTTGATCTGCTTGTCGAGACGCGTGGGGTGACAACCGTACGCGTATATTGAGGCGAACCTCGGCTCCAAGAAACTGGACTCCGTGCGTATGCGCATCTGGCCGCGTCCGCGCGCGATCGGACTGGTGAGGAAGTCTATTCCCGCGCGTCTCAGTCGCAGCGTCATTCTGCAAGACTCGGCATTCGGCAACATTCGGATCGGAGGGCGACGATCCCTCGGCATCAGAGACACAATTCCCGACACCGACAAGTCGTTGAAGACGACGCGCGTCCTCAGGGAACTCCGCTCGGGCTCGAAGACGCATCGTTCCACCCGTGCCCAATGACTCGCGGGCTCCTTCGTATTCTCGGGCAGCTGCGAAAAGTCACCCAAGTCACCTACGTCATCCGCATTATTCGTTTCGTCCGTTGATCACGTCTGTATAGAAGTTGAAGATGTGGTTGGACGGATGTAGTTACCTTCACAGCCATACGGGAGACGGACATTTCTAGAGGAGCGGAACGCAGTTCACGCTGATACGACATTCCAGTCTCCTCTTCGTCCAGCTTGTTTTTCCTGCTGGAGTCCCTGTGGAGGGCGTCTAGAGCGTGCTCCAGTCTGCCGCTGCACGCATCCCAATTGCTGATACCGGCATACGCAAGACCAATCGGCAGGAAGATCAACGACCATATCGCCGGCTGTCTGAACTGCATCACCTGCGTGATAGAGACCTGCGCGTTACTATCTATCTCATTATTCGTGCAAAAAGCAAAGAGAAAATTCGCAATCAACAATCAAAGGTGCGTTAAGCTGCAGGGGAGATTTCTAATTTCACACAAACGATCGTTAATGACGCAAGAATGATAGAGGAAGGAAACACGCGAAAGGAACTGCGCAATGGTAGCGCTCATTAATGTCACGTTGTGCCTTGATTGACGAGGCGCTATTTTTAATTAACAGCACGCAATGAAATTCTGCACTCGGAGCGACGCGAAGGAGGTATTACGGTTTACGCCTATGCCCTGCCATTAAAATATCTCCCAAGGCATATCCTGTAGAAACTCGGTGAATTCAGGCGGCTGAAACAGAGCATGAAAGCGTCTCCATTCCGCCTGTTGTCAGCGCCGATCGGATTGTGTGAAACTAGGAAGTGAGATTTCTTTTCGGCTGCTCATTAACGTTAATTGTAGCACAACGAAGCGATACAAATCTAATAGCGTCGTTGTTAACGCGCGGAATGCAATTTCGCGGAACAACAATAAAGATTGAACTTTCGACGGGATTGAAGAAGAATATTGTCAATTTCATCAAATAAATGTACCTTGACTGATACAATTTCGGTATACGGCTGAACTGCATTGCCAAAAGATCTAGATCGAGAAATTCACAGTACGCGACATGAGATTTAATTTTTTTTTATTTTTAGTCTGCCAGTGACTCATTCCGTGGCGATAATGTGCAAAACGATGGATCCTGCGAGTTGCACCGCCAGTGGTAGTTACAACTCGTACGGATGAGTCAAATTGCGCGAGATGCTGTGAAATTGCATTATTTGCTTTTGTATGCTAATGGAGAATCCCGAATCCATTTATCTCGCCAATGCGTTCTCGCGCTCCGTTAATCATTTTCGGCGTTCTCAATAGGTATTTGCGCAACAATCGAACAAATCTTCCCTGGCATCTTCTCTTCTTTCATCACTTCCATTCACGTTGATGCAACGGTAAATTTGCGCGTTTACGAAACACCGCACCGTCGAACGGTGTTTCTCATCACGAAACATTTCGCGTTATTTTAGTTCTCTTACTGACACCACACGTATTCTCTTTCCTCTACGGAAATATTTAAATTTATATATTATATAGATCCTTGAATTCGTAAAAATTCATTATTTATAATTAATAATGTTCACTTACACTTTGTTCACGCGACGTAGTTAATAAATCGTTCTTGTCTTTCGAAGATGACAGCAATGATGACGGTGACGATAGCGAAGTCGACGACAACGATGATAACGGATACGCCAAATCGGTGCTTGTGGTGAAGTGCGCGAGATCGCACTCGCACCTTTGCTCCGAGGCAGATCGAAGAACAATGAAAGTGCTCGCTGCCACTCGCACCGCTCAGACACGCACCGCGGCGATACGAATCATTCTTTTCTCTCTGCAAACGTTGCGTGCAGCTACCACACGACGAAGAGATATGAGGTAAAAGGTAAGACAAACCTCACCTAACGCTTTGCAGAATCTAGGACAGGCTATTGTACTGGATTGCAATCAACGGAAACGGGCAGGCACAAGCAAGCTTTACCAGCAAGCTTCAACATATGGGCCAATAAAATATATGTTACTTGAATTTTGTGGCATCTACTTCCATTGATAAAAAATAAATTGTAACTTCAGAATTTCTTCACAAAGGGCAGACCAAGCTCTGCTTGATACTTATTATCAGCTGTTATATCACTCAATGCAGTTTTATCTCGATACAAATATTTTCTTCATGATTTGGCAATAGTCCTTACATGTACAATATATATAACATACATGTATCATATAAAACAATAAGATGTTAATTTATATTTACCAACATTTGCATTCTATCATTTTTTTCTATAAAGTTTTAGTTGCTTGAGCCAGATCTTTTGATGAAATTTCTTTCTTTCATAACTCAACTCAATCCTTTCAGTTGAGAAAACTTTGTCCATCAAGCAACTTTCATCCTCCAAGGAAAGCATGTTTTCTTGATATTCTTAAGTAAGTATATTCTGAAATATCCAAAATACATGAATAAGCAATCTTGCATATAACCCTATAGAAAGGGGTAAATAAACATTTATGTTACCACATTTCCCCCCCCCATCTCCCCCAGCCCTCACAGACAATTATATAATTAAGAATGTTAGCTGACAGAAAAGTCGTCGCTCTGAGTGAGTGACAGTTGGTTCATACGTTGCCATTGTTCGCATAAAAATTATAGCTAACTCACTCTATACACACTAAAGTAGATGTACATGTAGAAAAGTTTAGCTTAGTCATTTGTGCGCGAAATTTTGCAAAACTACTGGTTAAACTTACATGTGCCAATTCTGTGCGTCTATTAAATACCTGTAATTGCATTTACTTCTCTTCCTTCGGCATTCAAATGTGAAGCTCAGTAAATTCTAAAATTTAACTCACAACAACAAGATAAATTTCAACATCGCTTAGGTTCGCGCAGTGTTGCAAAGTTGAACGCATCGGCGGGAGAGGGCCTGTGGCTTATTTCCAGATACGACGCGTTTAATTGGTCAAGTTCAGTGACGTCAAAGCTAGGAAATCGGACAAGCGTGCTTCTTTATTTTGTCAATATGAAAAGAACGATCAATTGTCTTCTCTGAAATTAATAACAGATTGTACAACTAGAAATTGTTCTGTCAATGATCCTGTCGGTTAATCGGTGGATTATACGAATTCAATAGGAGAGTTAAGTGAAAGATCTAGGTAGTTACTGCATCTAGGCTGGCTAGGGATGTTCAAGCACACTCCTTGTTCACCAGCTAGTCTTCATTTGGTTCACGGTGCTCCCGGCGATCCGAGCGCTCGGATCGACACTAGCTACCGTGCGCGGTGCCGTTATTATGACGGGTCCGCGCCCGCGCCCGCGCCCGCACCCGCGCGTCGCTGTGTATCATATGTGTTCCGGCGAGTCGTGTGGCAGGCTTCTCGCGCGAGCCGAACATCTCGACGAGTAATGGCGCTAATGCCAGAACGTTAAGGTGTGATCCGGCAGACAAGCATGACAAGATGGTAACACCCTGTGGTGCATCGGGAGGCGATACGTTTCCGCATACGTGAGCTACGATCGAGGCGGGACGGGCGGTACGGGGAGGTTTGGGCTACGATGAGTACTGACAGTCATGATCAGACGAAGTCCTGCAAAACAGCCGTCAGGAGCGAAGAGGAGAGCGCGTTCGATGGCAAACGGATTAAAAAAGAGTACAATGACATTTGCGTGGAGAATGGCGACACCGTCTCCGCCTCGACCACAGCCGCCACCGTCGTCGCTGCCACCGCCGTCGTCGAGAAGCGACAGCAGTCTTCTCTGCTACCGCCGTCGCCACCGCCGCCGCCGCCACCACCACCACCGCCGTCGACGGTGCCGGCCGGCAGGTTCGTTTCGAATGGCTTTCATGAGGATAATGGTCCGCTGCAAGACATCGTTGCGACGAAATTCGCGACGCTGGCCAACCATAGCACTTCCAAGCAGGACAAGATTCGGATCATGATCGAGGATGGCATCAGGTTAAGTCGATTTTCATTCCGACTCTAATTCGTCACGATCCTTTTTTTTATTTTGGTGTTGCACATCAGGTGTTGCTACCTCGTCTTCATGTCCGATATATAAAGTCCGACAATACAAATTTTCTTCTCAACAAATTAATGTTAAATTATCTTATCTATCTTGTGATATATGCAAGTTGCACATTGTTATATCACTTGGAAGTATTCTTATGATTGTTGATGATGTGTTGATCTGCTACAGTTTTCGCTGTAATACTTGTTTGACATTCAGGATATTGGTCAGTTCTAGTTCAATTATAGTAATTTTTCATTATATATTTAACTTGATTTCCTTAATATTTTGCAGTAAAATATTCAAATTTTTTTATTATGTTCAATATTATTTGCTTTTCTATCAAATAGAACAATAAATAGTTCTAGTAAAAATTTCACACTGATTAATATTATATAAAAGAAATATATTTATAATACAACATAATCGGTTGTTTTGTAGTCTGTATGTGTGTATATTCGTAGTAAATTTTATATCAAATATTATATACACTTTTATCCTTAATTAATTAAAATAATATAAAATTACTGTCCTTGAATAATTGATGAGAGCTGTTATTTGTAATGATAGGATTCAATAATATAGAAAAGTTATTTGAATTATAGCGAAGAATCCAAGGTGCGCGTGCAGGAGATTTTCTCACAGATGGAACGACTCAAGACAGAAGAAAAATTATTATTGTACCTGAAACTTCCATTATTGCTGACAAATCCAAGTGGAACCATCGATCCACTGAGGCAGCCATTAAATCCATTAGGAAATCGTTATGAAATTCATCAGACCATTATGTGGATCAAGACACATCTAGAAGAAGATCCAGATGTCTCCTTGCCGAAACAGGAAGTCTATGACGAGTATAAGTAAGTTGTCTATTGTATACATGCTGCACATACACATAAACAAGCATGTTTTCATTAATATATTCCCTGATAAACTTGAAATCAATTTCACCTTAGATAAGAAATAAATAAGATATATGGTACTATAATTCAAATATTATTGAATCTGCGGGGTGTAGTGCAGAAGTTATTTTTCAAACATACTTTTCCCTTTAAATGTATATGTCATTTCACCTGATCTGGATATTTTTACAAGATTATCTATTTCTACTAAAATATTCTATATTTAACGTACACACGTAGATGGATACATAAAAATACATGTATATCTTCTATTTGTTTTCATGAGCGCTTTTAATATATTCTTCTTTAACTGTTGCGTCACATATCTGTTGAAGAAACTGATAAATAAAATATGACTTTATTAGCTATTTATACTACTGCTGCCTTGAACCAATCAAATGTTTGCGAGAAATTACACTTATTTGAATTTGTCTTCATTGACGTGATACAGAAATGATACACACATCTACGTTATCTAATAGTCTTTCGAAAAAAAATTTTGTAAACATTTCTTTGAGGCAAATTGCATCTAATTTTCTCCTTCCAGTGTCTATTGTATAAGAAATTCTATGAAACCATTATCAACGGCGGACTTTGGAAAAGTTATGAAACAAGTATATCCGCGAGTACGTCCTCGTAGACTGGGCACGCGGGGCAACTCTCGCTACTGCTATGCGGGAATGCGCAAGCGAATTAAATTGGACCCTCCGACACTGCCAAAGATATCTGGCCCTCAAACTGTGAGCAGCATATAAGCACAGATATATTATATAACTTCCATTTAATATATTTTGTCATAAAAAATTCTTTTCTACTTTCTCAGGAAAAGACAATTACGTTGATCACATTTATATGAAATAAACACATCGTCTATTGTCCTATTTAGGAAGAGCACTCGGAGGAAAACATTACCGAAGAAATGTTAGGCGCTGCATCCACCTTGATAAGAGAATGGGCAGAAAACTTGTTAGGCCTGAAATTTCCAAACTTGAGTGCCTTAGCGCGGCATCTTGTTGATAACCTTTGCGTCGATATTCGATCTCTGGCTGCTGTGTGCATTTTGTCCGCCTCAGTTGAGCCTAAAGCTTTATCTAATAAAGGTTAGTACTTTAAGTTCGTTAAATTAACTCTGCGAAACAAGTAACTCTTTCGTGCATTGTCTTTCAATTCAGTCAGTTCGGTTATACTGAAAGAAAAAGATATATCGTGTGTATCAAATATATTATTATCATATCGGATTAATTGTTTAGAGCCAACTTCTGATCTACCAACTACGCCTACAAGTAGTAAACCTGCGAAACTCCGGGAGGCTCAATTGCAGTTGCAACGTAAGCTTCAGCAACGAGAACATATAAGGGATCAGAAGCATCGTCATCTGGACACTATTGTACAGGTATATCGTATATTCTCTCTCTTTCTCGTATCAACTTGGACGATAAAACAATTTTAATTTAATTTAACCTTTGGATTTTACTTTGCCATATACCTTTAATACTTTTTCATCAATCAAATCCACATATATCAATCGTTTTCTCCAATAGTGTAACTAAAGGATAGAGTACAAAATATTTTTAATTCGGTAACACTTAGTCAAAATAATATTCATCATTTTTATTCAGCGTATAATTTCCATCTCGTAGAATAAAGAAAAAACTGTCGACGGTAAAGGAAATATCACTAAAGGATGCAAGAAAGTCAAGTCTAACCAGTCACCTCAAGGTACAAACGTATCAGCAACAACAGTGGCCGCGCAAAACTCCCTGGCAAAGTTAAACCTATCCGCTATAGTTTACAACCGGCAAAAGAAAGTATCGAAAACTTGCAACCAACAGCAGCAACAGCAACAGCAACAGCAGCAGCAGCAGCAGTCCTGCAATGTCTCCCTGGAGTCTAACTGTGATAATGTAGTGGTACAATCAGGCGAAGACGGACAGAGTAATAGCAACTCTAGAATAGTAGCGAACGTGCAGCGCGACGTCAAAGGTAAACATTCTAGGAAACGTGCCAATAATCCAATCGTAGCACAGCAGGAGCCCAGCCCTGAGAAGCAAACGAAGCTCACAGACGAGAGCCCAGAGCATTCCAATGTTTTACTACCCAAGTTAACGTCCATCCAACGCGCCGGCAAGATATCAGTGATACTGGCCGGCAATACGAAATTGATCAAGTGCAAAGCGGTCGGTGAAGCTGCGGATAATAGCCAGCCTGCGAAAAACTGTGATATCGACTCGTTGAGGAGCTGTTCCGCCGTGAGTACGGTGGACACGTCCTCAGGACTCCTCACGAAGGACCAGATCCGCCTTTTACAGGACGCGCCGGTCTTGAAAGGCGAGAAGCTCCGCGGCATCGACACGGATGCCCTGGACGATTATCTGAACGGCGGGAACAATTCGCAGGAGCAGGAGGAGGAGCTGCTGCAGTATTTCCAACAGAGCAGCTCGTCCAGCTCCGATGTGGAGACCGGCGTGGTCAGTTCGGATGCTGAGCAGGTCTCTCGATCGGACAAAGTGTCGCAGCTGCGACTGATGCTGCAGCAGAATCTAAAAGCGCCCGTTGTCGCCGCCGACCTGCTACCTACGACCGTTGTTCGGCAGAGCATCGCCAGCATCGAGAAGCGAGATCCTTCGCAGAAACATAATATCATACTACCGACGCTTCTCAATCATCCTAACCCGGCCAGCACGCGTCGTCGCGTCAGCTTCGAAACTAACGTCATCGAGCATGTCCAAGAGACGACGGCGCCGGTCGTCAACACCGTGCCACAGAGCCCGAATACGCGACGCAGGATATTCAACTTCACGCCGATCTCGCCCGGGCCGCATTCTCCGATCAATGGCCGCGCGTCTAAATCGAGCTCGGCGAACGCGAGTCCGTTCGTGTCACCGCGCAACACTCCGGTACCAAGGTCGCGCAGTAATCTGCAAGCCAGCAGCTCAAGATCGCGCGGCCAGAAGATGCTCGCTCGCTCCATCTCTTGTGGCGTACCGTACACCAACAAAGGCACCGATACTTTCATCGTACCGACTTCTAGTGGCACGGAAGCTGCGCTTTCGCGACATGCCTCTGTGGCAACCATCAAGTCATCGGAGGTAAGGGCCAAAATCAATTGTACACAATTTTACACGAGAGAGGTGAGCGATTCTCTTAGGAATGTCTCTGATAAATGTTGAAAGAATGAGAATAATTTGAGAATATTTTCCCAAGATTTTCATAGACTTTGGATTATGTTTGGACTGATATATGTATTTAATTAACTGATTTTTATATATGACTGAAATATATGGTGTACAACAGCTAAAACGAAGATATACACTTATTTCTATACACGCGTTTTCTTTGGCGAAGAACACTCTTTGCAAGATGATCATATTTGTATTATTATTTGCTGCAGGTTCTGCCAAAGGTAACCCCGTGCACATTTTTGGATCTGATGCCTCAGAAACAGCTGTTGATCAATTACCCGAGTCAAGAGAATCTACAGGAGATCAAGAATGTGTACCAAAAGGGTCAGCCACCTCCGCCCGACCAAGAGATCACGGAACTCCTACACTCCGGCAGAAACTTGAGCAACGAACAATTGTTCTGTAGGTCTCAGTCAGTGCCGTTGCACAGGATGGTGAATCCTGCGTCTCTGATGTCTCCGATCTCCACGCATTATTGCTTGTCGACGGTGCAGAGTCAGAGTTTCAATCCGTCGACCAGCAGTTCCGTCGCACCCACGCCAGTGCCAAGCGAATACAACGACTTTGGCTCCTCCATCGGACAAGAAGGAGCGTATTTGTTGGACGACACCAACTTTATGTCGGAGCAGCAGTTCTTGATGACTGACAAAGGAATCACTTCGGAGAATATCAGTAACATCCTGACAATCTTGGACGAAGAGGACCAGCCGGGTTTGCAGATACTGCCGGAGCAGACAACGGAGGAGTCGTTGAATAGTGCGATCGTTTTGGACGTTTTGCCGAACGCGACTCTAAATCTGTCGGAGGAAGACATGCTGGACGCGTCGAGTATTCTCACTGACGCTGGTGGTACGCTGCAAAAAATTATTCAATCACGATCCTACCCGAACACTCCACTGCCGGCAGCGGTGTCAGCATTCACCCCGTCATACACCGAGGACAGTAACGGCTCCAGGTCGTACCCATCGACTCCACTACATACGATGCAGTCTCAAGATGTGTATCAGGATCCTGGCGAGCCGATACTCTCCAGTCCCACCCTGAATTCTTTGAGCTTACAGGGCGATGTCAACACTACCGCTAACAACAACAACAACACCACCTCCACAAACACCGCCACCACTACCATCAGCACCACCTCAACTACGACCGCCACGACCAACACTACTATCATCATCACCAGCACCAACACCTCCATCGCCACCACCGCCACTTCCGCAACCGCCACTGTTGCCGACGCCGATGACGTTGACGCTGTCGTCGCCGTTGTCTCCTCTTCTTCCAGTAGTCTCTGCAGAAACGTGGCAGACTTACTGGAAGCAAGCTTTCTCGAAGAAGCCGACACGGAGACCGACGATCTGGATCCTCTCGGTAATTTTGACGGCCTGCAAGATGTGGACTCGTTGACACCGCTGTTCAACGACGTCACTGAGCCTAATCGCTGAGAGAATATTCCCCCGATGCAATTTTACATTCGCACGTCGAAAGGTGTGGCAAAAGTGTAGACTGTTGTTTTGGTCCAGTGGCTCTCACACACGATTGTATTATCTAATAGAACATTTTTAGAGTAGAGAATTAGCAACAGAATGTATAAGTGAATTTTAATAAGTACTGAAAAATTATCTGGTTTTAAGATATAGGATACCTCGGATAGTTTTGCCGAGTCTATTGCGATGTAATTTAATCGTACGACAGTTTCAAGTATTTTAGTTATTATTTTTTACTACTGATTGTGTATAGATTCTTTGTAAAGGAAATGATTTCAGCTTATAGTAAATATTTTGAAATATGCAATTTACTATTCAGGCTGTATCAATGACTGTTTCATCTTTATCGCAATAAAGGGTAGTATTGAAATATATACGAAATTTTAAAATTGCAAGATTTTTACAAAGTTAATATGTTCTTAAATTATTAATGATTATATAAACATATATGATATGTGTATGAATATACATGTATACATGTGTCTTTACACATTGTGTCATTTTGTTCCGCAAGTTTCCGATGTATATTTTACTTGAAGTATAAATGATGCGCGATTTAGTGCAAAATTATAAAAGACCCTTTATATCAGATCCGTTATTTTGATTAGTTTCAAAAATCTCCGCTACGAGTCGCTATCATTTTAAGAATTGGGATCGTAGTATGACTCAACTGCAAGGTAGACGAATCTTTATTTCGAAGTAAAATAACTCAATGATATATCAGATACAAATCACTGTTTATTATTATATATCAAAGTAATCCCAGTTTTGTTGCAAAATTTACAAATGTATTTTATACTTAAAAATTAAGAAAAAATTGTTAATATAGATCCAAAATCTGATGCTTTCTAAAATATAACCACTTTTTCATTATAGAGTAAATCAGATCTTTTTATTCATATTTTTTAAGACCCATATATTTATTAAAATTTATTTTACAGGAAACAACAATACAATATACGTATATGTATGATTTTGTTTATAATCATTTATTTGGTCGATCAATCTAATATTCCAACTCTTTTACATCAATCTATTATATCTACAACCAGCCAAATGTGTGTATATATATATATATATATATATATATATATGTGTACATTAAAAGTGAGGAACTATGACAAAATAGATTAATGATAAGAAGACTAACGTTTGCGTGGAATATTCATTTTTTTAATCACGAAGTTATATATATATATATAATATTTTCTATATCACTCTTTGTACAGTTCCAAATTATATTTTATTTCTAATTTACTTCAGACACTGAGATACTGACTGAAGAGATATAATTTTGTCGTCTACTTTTGTAATAAAAGTTTTAATTTACCTCTTATTTTTTCCTATTAATTGATAGAAATTACAAGTATCTCCACACTTTGTTTCATAAGATAAATGTCAAAATTCTAAATTAGTCAAAAAAAAAAACTCATGATAAATGATATCTGGTAACTTTGGAAATAATAGTACAATAACATATAATGAAACTTGCACTTCATATTAAAATGAGATGGTGTTTGATGTAATCTTGTAAATTTGCATGTTATGTAAAATGTAGATTAATATTATGCATATATTGGCTAAATCTAATAGAAATACATATATTCATATTTGAAATACAATCAATCACAATATTATGATAATTTCCTAATGCCATATTCAAAAACATTATCATATTCATATACACACAAGAGCAAGACAATATTTGTGAATATGGAAAAAGTAAATTACCGTTGTGTATATTGTTTAGCTTTTCTCCTTATCTTTCGATTGTTTTATTCTTCGACCTAACATATCATATTTACAAGGACATGGTTCTGTTTCTTCATCTGTATCAGAACTGCAGTCACTGTCACTAGAATCTTCGTATGTACCAAGACCAGGTAATATACCAATGCATTTGAGTCCACAATCGCTATTTACTCGTTTTGGCATATTTTTTGCTTGCTCGCAAGATGTATCTATTTCTTCCTTCTTTGTAGTGTCTATATCATTGTCAGATGTGGATAATTTCCTTTTAATTCCCTTAGATGTTTCTTCTACTGAAATATAACATTATATCAACACAAAATATATTGTATATAATATTTCAATTCTGCTACTTGTTTCTATCTTACTTTGTTTTTGCTTGTCAGACCGTTTTACTATAACACCTGCCAGTAGCTTTAACTGTGAAGGACGGCTACTGAAAAAAAATTTAAGTTTGTTAGAGAGAGAGAGAGAGAGAGAGAAAATGAAAAAGTAAAAATCAATTGCTGTAAAGAATTATCATCTAAATTTTGTATTACCTTCCACAGAAAGTATTTTTACTGCTAGCAGCTGGATTCTTCAACTCTTGTTTTAATTTTTCACTTAACTTCTTCTCTTGAAGCAAAGCAACTGCATCTTTAAAGTCACGCATTTCTTTTTCCTCCTCTAAATTCTTTTTACGTTCTTCTTCCAATTTGGTTCTATCAACCAGGTCCAGAAATTCTACTTCATCATCATCTAAGCCTTTAATCATATTTTCTGAAAAAAATTATTGTTCGCAAAGCAAAATTTACACTTTGAATACATATAGCTAGCAATCATATTTGCATATAAATTTTGATAAAACCAAGTTCTACATATACATTCCACATGTATCACAATTATAAAACAAACTAGATTTTCTATATGCTTTACAACTTACTTAATTTATGAGCTTCTTCATATTCTATGTCTCTTTTATTTTTCTGTTCTTGTAACCTTTCATATAATGATCTGGGATCATAAACTTCCTCAGGAGCTTCTATAATTCATTATACAAATGTGAGATAAATTTCAAATGTCCAATAATTTGCAAATACTTAGAGAACATTCAACTTTCAAGTTTAGTAACAATTTTAAATTTATGAATTGCCGACAAAATATTCACAACTATTGTATATGTTAATGATTTGCACAATTTTCAATATAAACACAAAGCTATAATTACATCTAAAGTTTTCATTCAAAAGTTTAGAAAACTCCATGCAACAGTCGCTGACAATAAGTCTGATATAATCTGAATGATTAAATTTGAATGTTTTGCAGAAGAATGGAAAACAAAGTAAAGAATATTAACCTAAAGGTTGATCTGCTGTTCGCACACGCTCCCATTCCTCTTGCCGCATTCGTCGTTGTTCGGCAATTTCTGCCTCTGATATGAAGCCTGAGCTCATTTTTGCTGTACTTCGTTCCAACAAAACACACACTATCAACACCGTTGAAAAATATTTTTCTCAAGCACCTCGACAAGAAGGAAGCAAAGGTACATGTGCTGGAGTACTTTACTGGAAGATTTTAAAGTACGTCACATACGCGTTTCATGACGCATGCACTATCGATGAGAGTCGTATTAAATATTACTTCATATTGCTAACGATTATTCATAATATTTTTGACAACGATGAATTACATTTATTGGCTACATATATCGACTGGATTGTTTTCGGCAACATAAAAATAGTAAATATTCGAGAGCTTTCACAAACTTTCACAAACACATATTTGAACGGTTAGTTAGTCGTGAATTTCGTTCGTGATGTTGGCAGCACCGATATTCAGGTATCGAATACAAGAAAGGTTCTCCGGTACAATAGATAAATTTACTACGGTCACTCAACTGCAATTGTAGTCGGTCGTAAATGTCTCTCTTTGTCATAAAGCCTTAAAAGGAAAAACTATCCAATATATATCTTCAAATTCGAAAAAGTTCAAATTCTCACGAACCTACGTTGGAGAAAAGGATTTACGTCCAATTGCGCTTGAAAAATGCTCGATCATTAACATAGACACTATCGAACCGACCATGATTTTCGAGCATAAACGTAGGGATTATATAGATTGCTTTGATATATCCCTCCCTCTCTCTCTCTCTCTCTCTCTCTCTCTCTCTCTCTCTCTCTGTCTTTCTGTAATTTTAAAGCAACTCATTTTTTTATCCTTTTCACAAGTTATCCGTGTTTTTATCGACAAGTCAGGATTGTGATACTCAACTCAATACTTAATTTACGAATCAGACTATATTATTCTTTCGATTGTCAAACGATACAGTTCGTCAACAGATGAAACGGACCTTTATTCGTCCTTGAGGCTACCAAACAACGGGTCGGAGATAAAACTTGTCTTCTCCATCGAAAGAGAACCCATTTGGCTCGAGTTATCGAGTTAACCGAGCAAGATTCGAGCAGTTTTCACGACGACTCCGGATGCCTCAACGCTTACTAGATTTAGGGATCAAACATATTGAGTAGGACGCATGAAGAGTAATCCTCGGGCGTCCCTAGCCAGCCGAAGATCCTCAAGCGCGAATTGTCTCTCGTGCTCGTTCTACGACGGATCGTAGCGAACGATTCGAGCTGAAATCCCGTGCGCGTAACGTCGCCTCGAATAATGTCGAGCGGACCGAGTGCGAACTGATGGAAACATCGGCGAATGAATACACTCCAAGACGCCGAATAACGGCGACGGGGACGGAGACGGGGACGGGGAGCAGCGAGGGCAGCAAGGACAGTGAGAGAATGAAATGGAAGGGCTGTTCGGCCAGGTTCGACAGTTTCCGGTTCGCCACGGGTGTCGCTAGTGACGACTGAACGAGGCAGCGTGGGGGTTAGGGACGATGCATGGGCCGCTACTAGGAGGCACTCGGGAGGCAGGGAGGGCATGCGAACGACGGTGGAGCGCACAGTTCGGTAGTCGCCATTGCGAGTCCCTCGTGTCTCTCGCGCATTCGCGACACTCCGTGTACGCGTGGAGCCTGGACTCTCTTTTCGTTTAATCTAATACAATATATCGCGCTCGTGCGCGACCCACCGATGCAGAAATATTGCTCCGAGCTCACCGAAAGATTGTTAAAATCTCTTGACAAGGAATACAATGTAAGTAAGGCGGAGTATGGTGCGTCGCGCGGCGAGATGCACCGCGCCGTCTCCGTGTCCGTACGCGCAAACGGCTATCGGGCCACTCTCGATCCCCCGTACGCCGTATTGCTGCCTATGTGCCAGTGGCGTGCGCGAGAGTGCCTCGCTGTGCGGCGTGCTTGTGTGTGTGTGTTGCTCCGCGCGGAGCGCGTGTACGTATATATGTGTGTAGCAGCGCGGGCCAAGCGCGGCAGCCGCGGCCGCGAGAGGACCGCGCGTGTATGAGTATCGCCGCTGCCGCCAGCGCGGCTGCGACTGTCGTCGGCGACGGCGACGATGATGACGACGACGACGACGACGACGACGACGACGACGTTGTCGTCGTGGTCGTCGTCGTTGTCGTCGTCGTCGTTGCATCGTACTGTGCCGTGCAGTTCCGTGCCGCACTGTGACGTGCATCGTGTGCCGCTCTCGGCTCTTTTACATGCACGTGCAACGTGAGACGCGGTATTAGTTTGTGCTCTACGTGCTGCTCTTCCTGGTCTTGCTGTCTCACTCTTTCGTGATATGTCGCTCAATGCGCGTTTGTGTGCGTACGTGTGATGTATGTGCCGTGCATGCGTGTGTATGGGTGTCGTGCGTGTGTATGTGTCGCGGAAAGAGAGAGAGAGAGGGAGAGAGAGAGAGAGAGAGAAAAAGAGAAAGAGTGATAAGACGGGTAGAGGGGAGAAAAGGAGTGAAGTTGGAAGAGAGTCATACGTGAAAGCGCGTTTTCGACTACCTGGCTACATAACCTCAACCTTCTGACCACGATCTACCCGACGATGGGTGTGGAAGCCGATGCGCGACTTGTCCCTGTAACCCGTAACCTATAACCCATGACCTTTGACCTGCGAAACCTATCCCGTATGTATTTCTCGTATTTTGCGGCCCCCCCGTTTCATTCTCCCTCCTCTTAGACCTTCGCTCTTGTATCTGCGTATCATTATTATGACGTGCCGAAAGATTCATTCCCCGGTCGCGTAATTCGCTGCTTATCTTTCCTGTCAATCGCGACTTCCTCCCAATCGGCTTCTCCTTCGAAGATCGCCCAATGTTATCTGCGATATCTTTTTCGGGCGAACCTTCCCTGCCAGGTTGCAATCCGTCCGTGCTGTTGGAACTTCCGTTGGGGTTTCAAAGGCACGGCCGCATTCGACAACCGCCGGTTCGGACAGATTTCGCAGTCTCCCGGGGCGTATATATGCGGTTTGATGTTTTTGTGGCGTTTCGATCATCCATTGTATCGACGAGCTCGTTTGCGTAGACATCGTCGCACGGACCTGATATCGTTTGCGTGTGTGATGCAACTCTCGTGGTTATATAGGATTTAATCGTTTCTTAATTAGCACACGAGACGCCTAAGATATTACATGCCATAAATATATGCGCATTGTTTCGGGATAACACTATTGGTTACAAACGTTGATTATTAATTTTTATCGTTAATGGTCTCTCTTCCCTCTTTCCCCCTCCCCTCCCCCTCCATATCTCTCTCTCTCTCTCTCTCTCTCTCTCTCTCTCTCTCTCTCTCTCTCTCTCTCTCTCTCTTGATGAACATGTGCAAGTTATGCGAAAAAGTAACGAAATTCGGAAGGTGATGATGTCGAAAACTAGATTTTAAGAGATATTTTGTTTGAAATTTATTTTCATTGAAAATTTTTTTCGAAATTTTTTCCTTCCATATTTTTCTCATTCGACGGAAATGGAATTTTATACAGAAATTTCCATGGAAGAAATACACTGCCCCGAAATATTATTATTCTTACAATCATTTTATGGGAATTTTTCGAAATCTTTGAAATTGTCGAGTCGTATTTTCGTATTCTCAAAGTTAAAAGTCGAATATTTAATTGCAATTTAAAGTTGTGGTTTTCTTTCTCAGGAATTTTACTCTACCTCCAATATTTCTCTTTATAATAATTTCGACATGATAGCATTCCAAGGGATTCGGATTTTGGAATTATAATTTTTGAAACTTTGTTTAAATATTGGAGACAATGTTGCTGCTTATTAAATTGTATATGTTTATTTTACATTAAAAACATTTTATAAATGTATCAATTATTTGTCATATACTGAAATACTTATTGTACAATATACCTTTTTTTTCTCTATACACTTAATATATTAATTGCAACAAATTGATATGATAATATTAAAATAATAATTTCTAAAAATTTCATATTTTTGTCTTAGGTCATCGACATGGGAGTTGTTGTTGACATCATTTCGGTTTTGGAAAAGACGACGATCACCAAAGAGGTGTTGGAGGTAAAATCAAGTTCATGAATTTATAATGTTCTACTGTAATATAAATTATTTTATACAAAAATGTGTATATATATATAAAATATGGTATATAAGAATGCATGTGTTATTGCTCCTTCTATTTTGTTGCGTATATATGTGTATATATGTATATTATAATAATACCCTTAACATTCATAAATATGAATACATTGTAGCAAAAATTGAAATAAAGCAATAGAAAAGACATTACTTTGGGCCAGTAGGATGATATAATGATAAAACAATGAACACTATTCAAAAGACAATCATATTGGTCTTTCTGTTTAATTATAAATTATATGAGATATTTTATTAATTATAAATTATATGAGATATTTTATTGGTAAAATAACACACATCGACACACATCTTATTGAATACATTTATGATATACTTTACATCCGAAAGATACTTCTAATGGACAAATAGTTGGCTAAGCGAGTTTATACGTTTATGCGGAGAGAACAAGTGCATAATGCAATAATTTTTAACAGGTTACGAGGCTCGGCAAGCATATCAACGAGCTCCGTCGAAAGACGGATAACGATGCTTTGGCCAGGCGTGCGAAGGATCTGGTGCGTCGATGGCGTGACATGGTTTTACCATCGGCGCACTCCACACCACAACCTACCCCGGCTGATACAGCACCGCCAGCTCTCAACGGTGCAAAACCTCACAGTCCGGCCTTGAGGAGTTTGAAACCGCACAGTCCTGCTTTACGCGGACTCAAGCCTCAGAGTCCCTTATTGAAAGATGCCACTTCCCTCAGAGTGAGTTTTATTCTTTAGGAAAAATCACCCGTTATCAGATACAAGTAGTAAGAGTAACATTACAAGGTGTGAAAGATCCTTCGTCAGCAACAGAATGTATTAAAAAAGAAAAACGGAATTTGTTTGAAGCATACATAGAGCGTCTCGTAGCAGTGAAGCAAAAAGAAATTATTCTAACAAAATAATACTTCAACGTATACTTTGCTTAAGAGTGTATGTTCAAGTCAATTGCATTACTTGTGGACATACTTTATATTTATCAATTTCATAGGAAAAAGTGTTACAAAGAGCTGTTAAATGTACAAAGTATACAAATTTGCGTCCACAGGTGCTCAGTCCGGCGCTGTCCCTGCACAGTGACCATTCGAGATCTCCTAACGCGCCCTTGAACAAGCAGTCAATTATATCGACCAGCAATCACAGGATAAGCTCTACCAATGTGTCACCGGTGTTCGGTTCCTCGAGCCAAAACCATACAACGGAGGCGGTGCCGCGTACACACAGTTCCAACAAGCGGCTACGAAAAGAGAATAACAACAAGGACCAACGCCATTATTACCAAGCGCCGCTTGAGTTCACGCAGTCGATGTTCGAAGTCGAGGAGTCCGCTGTCAAGAGACAGCGGCACAACGGCGAGAACACAAGTGGTAGTTTGAATTTGCAAGTGCCTAGCCCTACACTGAAGGAACGAATCTCCTCCGATCGTTTCGCGGAGACCTCGCTCGAAACCGCGAACGATACGGGCCCGAAGAAACGCGGCCGTAAGAAAGGCAGTAAGTCTGCGAAACGACAGGCGCCGTTGAAGGACTGCGTGAAGGAGAAGCTGGCCAGTATCTCGAGGAACCCGAAGCTGAAGACTACGCAGGAGTTACTGGCCGATCTACGTGGAGCCAACTGCAGCAGCAGTGCCGTCGGCGCGAGTGTCCTACCTAGTCAAAGCGGCGTCGCGGAGCCACCCAGTATGGAGGATATTTTGCGAGGCAACAGTAGTGAACAAGTGTCCAAGTATCTGCGTTGCTCACAGAAGAACTCGAGCCACCGCAAGAGCCCGATCTCAGAGACATCGTCCGACTCGAGAGCGCAGGTATCACGGGGTTACAAGTCTACGGAGAACTGTCGCGAACGTTCGCCAGAGTCGTGTCAGGAGAGATCGCGCGACGACAGGACGGACGTCGCCGCTGGCTCATCAACGTGTCGATCATCTCCGCGGCGGGAACTTACGGTCGAGGAGATACTGGCGAAATTACCACCCCTAGATCTCAAGTCGATAGACTGGAGTGATTGCGAGGCTGCCGAGCTCACAGACGAGCGGAATGGCGTCGAGTGTTCGCCGCGGCGGGAGCCTACCGTTGAGGATCTAGAGAGGTTACAAACGCAGTGCGTCGAAGGACTTAATGGGAACTACCAGGCGAGGCTACCGTCGACCGCGTGTACAAACGACAACGATGGCGAGCAACGCCTGATGACAAATCAAGGGAACGAAGTGTCGGTCGGATTATCGAACACGGGTGGTGTAAAAAGTGTATACAACAACCAGACTGACGGTGCGGAGTTTCAGGAGTGGCATCAGATGTTGGCGAGGCCCAGTTACCAGGGCGAGACCCTCCACATATTGCCTTATGTTATTATCGATTAGTAATTTTATTATCTTATCCTATTATTATTTCCGTTTCTCCACGTGCCCCCCCTCCCCCCTCTGCCTTCCCTTTCCCCTTCTGAATCGAATGAAAACTTGTGAAGAAAATGCCTGCAAAAATTATTAAATCGCTCGATCAATAAATCGAGTCGACTTACTGAAAAAAAAAAACGTACCATTTCTACTGCGATTCCCAACATCATTTTCGCTCTTTATTTCCGTTTACACCATGATGCGTCGCACCGCCATCCTCGTTGTCGTCGTCGTCGTCCTCTTTACCATCATCATCATTATCATCAACACCATCACCACCACCACTACCGCTACCACTACCACTACCACCATTACCACTACCACCACTACTACTACTACTATCATCATCATCATCATCATCATCATCATCATCATCACCATCATCATCATCATCATCATCATCGTCGTCGTCGTCGTCATCGTCATCATCATCATTCCCGTTAATATAGCCGTTATCACGCCGATCGCGTGTAATTGCACGACGAACGGCCATCATCCATCCTTCGTACCGTCATTGTCAATATTACTGGTATCGTTATTACTATGATGATGATTATTATTATTATTATTATTATTGCTATTATAATTTAAATGATTTGCGCCCATCAGGCTCGCCCTGTGACCGTCCCGCAGGGGGAGTCTACGAAGAGGCACTGCAGTGGCTACTCGTCGCAAGTCATCCATGTCTCCCATGTTATTATTATTATTACATTATTATTATTATATTATTGTTATTAGTATATTAATTTGCCGCCACTATCACACTACTGCTCATTACTTCCGTTCCCACTATTATTTTTCACAGTTGTATTGTTATCCACCGATCACCGCCATCTCCATCATCGTTATCTGTGTTAGCGTTGAAGAAGCCGAAAGACCACTACGCGAGAAACGAAAAAGTACTGAATTATAAATGTATCATACGTAACTGTTTCCGGATTTGACGCATGCACATGCAGGCACCTCATGCGATCAGTTTTTAAATCACATTATATATATATATATCATATATATATATGTGTGTGTGTGTGTGTGTGTGTGTGTGTGTGTATGTGTATAATATACATGTATATAATAATCATATGTGTATATATACATATATATATATATATATATACACATATATATGATTATATATATGTATATATACGCGAAATGAGTTGCTAATTGTGACATACAAATCACTTAGATGAGATAGTTGATATGCGCGAGATAATGCGAACGCCACATTATTTTTACATGATAATAACAGGTGCCGCTTGATCTTTTGAGTGTTTATCGGTACGTTACGACAAATCAGATTTGATTATTTGCGATAATTCCGTTTGAAAAAAAAAAAGAAGAAAATTAATGCTTTAATTAATCGGAAAAGTGTGTCTTGGGCTCTACGCGCGGAAAAAATAGCTTGTTCTTCCTTCCTTTTTTTTTTTATATTATATACCGTGTAAATTATACTTTCTCTCCTTGACTACGACCATCCGAAACATTATAGACGAATGAAAAGGGATGAAAGAACCGGTACGAAAAGCGGACGAATCAGGGATTGTTTCGGAAAACTTGCGGACAGACAGCGTGTAATAGGAATAAACGAATAAAAATTCTAGTGACTGCTGCTGAATTTTTAAGTAATTTGCCGATCTTGAAAGATTTCACAAGACTGTACAGAGATTTTGTCGCGCAAATTGTAGGAAATGCAAATGCGATTTCTTCAAGCTACCAATAAGTTAGATACACTGGGGCCTTAATTAAGCAAAAGATATATTTGTCTAAGTGCGTCGTAGAGATTTTCTACTCGAAAACTTTTTTCCGTTCATTGCATGCGTAATGTGTTGAGACCAATAAATAATTTACCACAGAAGAATAAATCACGTGACGATTGATGCGCGATACAAAATAAATCTTTGTCGGTGCAATATTGGAACAAAGAAAAGTGTAAAATTTAACTTGAACAAATATACAGGATGTACATTTGTCGAAAAAAAGTGTGTCGCAGAACTAAATAAGATGCAATAAAACGAGATCCTGAAAAAAAAAGCATACGTCTGGCTTGTCTCGTGATGATCCCTATTGAACTTGACGTTGCGATTTTATTCAAATTCAATTTCGATTCGAACGAAGCGATTCTCGTCATTCCTCCAAATTCTCTTTTTATAAATTTGTCTCCTCTCGGAATTGAAATATGAAATGGTTATTCAAAAACAAGCTTGATTATGCATGCAATGTTCAAGAGGCTAGAACATGTGAATTGAAAATTATCACGAAGGATAAATTTGTACATACTTTAAGAGACACCTTCGACAATTATATCCATAAGTTGGAAATCGCTCTGAAATTACACGGAAAATCTACGAAAATGATAAACCACTGATTTCGATTTTCCTTCAAACTGTGTGCGTCTTACGATGGTTCGATTCGCAATCTCGAAATGTTTGTCGATATCTTTTATATATATTGCGCGAAGTAAAACGTATCGGAGTATCCTGCAAAGTGCATCGGAATGTCATTTCTTTTGTTCCACAGCATCTTGAAATTTGTGGAGATCTTCCTGTCGTTGTTTTTTAAGAAGTTATTAAAACATATGTCACATATACATATACGTAATATCCATACTGTCTTGTGTACAATGCAAAGTTGCGAGAAGCGACAGATGAAACGAAAAAGACTCGTCTCCGCAGGCCCGTCGTCTCGTACAAGATACACATTTGGTTCGATATTAAAATGATTCTACACGCGATTCGAGCATCTTCTCGGCCAAACGAGTTCGAGTTGGTGAGCTGGTTAGATAAGTTTCCGAACAAGCACCATCAAGAGCTGTAAAAAACTGTGTGTCATTTTTCTCATTGTTACTTCAAATAATAAAGGAGCAACTTGGCCGTTTACCAGGTGATGTGCATTCATTGACATTACCATATATACCATTTTTCCGAAAGGATCGTTCCTTAGGAACGTGAGTCCATCTTCCGGAGCGAAAGGTCAACAAAGATTTTCCGTTGTCAACGCGATGCGGAGTCGCAACCAGTCGACCGATGGCAGTGAAACATCATCGGAGATGCGTAAACGCTACCAGCGGCTGTCTTGCGAATTCCGACCGGTATAATGCGACCGGTAATAGCATTTTCTACTGACTCGTGTTCGAATCTATTTCGGAGCGATTAATGACACGGCATAACATTTACCTTAGGGCAAATCCGATTGGATGCATTAATGCGCATTAAGGGCGAACTATAGTTTATTCATACACAACTTTTTTTATTTAATTTCATCTTAAATTCATCTTCAAATCTTTATAGCAGAGCTTTTGTAGCAGAGAGGAACGTGAAAGCGGCCAAAACGGTGTTTTCGACTACACCGACTTTCCGCACTGGGAAAGGGCGCCATCTGCATCCATTTTGAGAAGGGAACTGCGATGCTACATCCACATTCAGGTTTCGGCGGTAAAACCTGCATGTGGTGGCAGTCCGTGCTACATCCATTTTTAGGCGGTTTATGTCCGCGTGCTACAACCATAATAGCGTACTCGACAAGCACGGTCTCGCACATTGTTACGCGTTTATAACATGAATTAACATGTTAACATGTGCAAAAAAAAAGAATTGACATTGTGTATGATTAATATCATGAAGATCATACGAAGTGTCCGGTAATTAGCTGCCAACCCGAAGTGTGAGGGTAGATTGGGTTGAGACAAACATAAAAGTCCCATACCATTTTGCGAGATTCGCAATAATTATCGAGTTATTAATGACAGAAATCTGAGCTCGGGGCAGCGATTATGAATCTTTTCCCTAGCGTGAACTAATAAAAAGTGAAAGACTTCTGTGAATCAGTGAAAAATGAAAAATTTTATATGAATTTGTGAAAATCGAATCATTTCACACGACAATTGAGTCGTTCAACATGGCAATTGCGCGTTCTGGATAATTCAATGAATACCAAAGAAATCAAAATGATCAAAATAATAATGTCCGTGTAGTCCGAAGGATATTACATGACATGGCAAAATCCGTTTGATATAATATCCAAAGAAAATGTTTCAAATGTATGTATGTATGTACAGGTAATATAAACCTTATGCACCGACGAGATATACTACAAAGACTGATCGCCTTACGGGATTTAGCGTACCAAAGAAATTTCCCTGGTGAGGCACCCGGGCGAAAGAGACCGTCTCGTATTTAGCGCAGTAAAATTTAATGGAAACTAATACTTTTCAATCCTTTTCTTCGGATCAGAAAGATTCAGAATTCAGTCATATTCAAAATGTCAATACCTTTTAATACATTTCAATTCGACATTTTATACAGTATTTACATATTTTTATTGTATATATGTGTACATAAGTTTTTACCCCCCGCTCTTTTTAGACCTTCGGGCATAGCTTGGCATAGAGATAGTAACTATGGTTGCAGCACGGACATAAACCGCCTGAAAGTGGATGCACGGGCTTCCACCACATGCAGATTTTACCACCAAGACCTAAAAGTGGACGTAGCATCGTAGTTCTTCTCTCAAAATGGATGCAGATGGCGCCCATTTCCAGTGCGAAAAATCGGTGTTGCCGAAAACGCCGTGTTGGCCGCTCTCAGCAGAGAGAAGAATGAGAGCGGCCACCGGCCGTATTTCGGGGGTACGGCTAGGCGCATTTTAGATACGCCATCTGACCAAAATGCGCCTAAACTACGTCCGCTAGGCGCACTTTCGCGGTGATAAAAGTAAAATGCGCCTAGGTTCGTGTCCGTACACTTCCATGCAATGGATAGTAGGTTAGAAAAAGACAGACGACAGACAATCGTTCCGTCTTTGTCTCACTACTGAGCGGCGCGCGGCAGTAAGCACGAGGCGAGGTAGCAGCGATCTTATCGCTAAGAGAACATCTCTCCGCTTTTCTTTCATCTTTCACGCTCCAGAGACGTCAAAAGACGCGGTAGCGTCTCGTGTCAAGGGAACGTGCGAAGCGAGGAATTATTTTTCACGCACGCAAGGTAGCATATGGGAGACTAGATGAACGTCGACATATTATCTGTTTCTTTCCCGCTCGTCTAGCTTATTGACTGCGTGAGCCGCGAGATTTTTCTCGCTATTCCTATACCTCGCTCTTTTTCTCTCTCGCTCGTTCTTTCTCTCTCTCGCGCACTTGCTCGCTCTTCCTCTCTTCTCGTGTTCTTACGGCTTGATTAAATATATTAATTACATGACAATATATATATAAATAAATGACACATATATAGTGTATATGTATATAAAGAATATTTAGTATTAATGCCCAAATAAAGAAGAGAGAATTATAATGAGAGACGAAAAGTTAATAGAAATCCACTCTTAGCCAATATATACATCTTTTAAAAATGATTTGTTATTAAAGTATATGACAGAATAATTTATTTATGCTAATAAATTTAAATTAAAAATTAAATGAAATGTTATTTGTTTTGTAAAAGATATTCCATTGTTACATTTTTCTTTTCGTAGCAAAAATAAATTTAGTCTAGTAAAAAAAGAAATTAGTTTTATTATCATATTTCAATTACGACTTTATTATTTAATTTTACGAATAGATAATAGATAAGAATAGATAACGTGCATATTGTTGCTCAACGGAAACCGCGAGAAAATGGTGATCTCCGTCAAAAAATAAATGCAAACTTTTTAATAATATAATAATTTTTTTACGTAAGTGTTTGTTTTTATAGTATAACCTGTTGAATTTTATTAATTATTAATTCAGCATGTTATAGTATAAAAAATATATTTTAATATAAAAATTAATGTAATATTCATTGTTTGCATTTGCAAGAAATATGGATAGAACAGGATAGGTTGCAATGATACATAGGAAGAAAAAGATAGATGGATAAATAGATAGATAGATAGATAGATGTAAAATGTAACAATGGAATATCTTTTACAAAACAAATAACATTTCATTTAATTTTTAATTTAAATTTATTAGCATAAATAAATTATTCTGTCATATACTTTAATATCAAATCATTTTTAAAAGATGTACATATTGGCTAAGAGTGGATTTCTATTAACTTTTCGTCTCTCATTATAATTCTCTCTTCTTTATTTGTGCATTAATACTAAATATTCTTTATATACATATACACTATATATGTCATTTATTTATATATATATTGTCATGTAATTAATATATTTAATCAAGCCGTAAGAACACGAGAAGAGAGGAAGAGCGAGCAAGTGCGCGAGAGAGAGAAAGAACGAGCGAGAGAGAAAAAGAGCGAGGTATAGGAGTAGCGAGAAAAATCTCGCGGCTCACGCAGTCAATAAGCTAGACGAGCGGGAAAGAAACAGATAATATGTCGACGCTCGTCTAGTCTCCCATGTGCTACCTCGCGTGCGTGAAAAATAATTCCTCGCTTCGCACGTTCCCTTGACACGAGACCGCGTCTTTTGATATCTCTGGAGCGTGAAAGATGAAAGAAAAGCGGAGAGATGTTCGCTTAGCGATAAGATCGCCGCTACCTCGCCTCGTGTTTACTGCCGCGCGCCGCTCAATAGTGAGACAAAGACGGAACGATTGTCTGTCGTCTGTCTTTTTCTAATCTACTATCCATTGCATGAAAGTAGTACGGACACGAACCTAGGCGCATTTTATTTTTATCACCGCGAAAGTGCGCCTAGCGGACATAGTTTAGGCGCATTTTGGTCAGATGGCGTATCTAAAATGCGCCTAGTCGTATCCCCGAAATACGGCCGATGGCCGCTCTCATTCTTCTCTCTGCTCTCAGCTTCCTCTCTGTTTGTAGTCAATGAAAGCATCCATACGACAGAAGATTGTATGTTGGTAACGATAAGTTGGTTGGGACGAACTAATGTAGCTGGACTATATTATCACTTGGGTAGGTTTCTGTTAACTTTCATACAGGTCGATAAATTACGGCCCGAGTCTCGACTAGAAAACACTGATGTGTTAGCCAAGATTTTAACCAAAATTTGCTGGCTTTCGTAAAATTTAGTCGAAACTCAAGCCATAATTTCACGGCTTCTATAAAATTTATTCGAGACTCGATCGGCATTATATATTACATTATATATTATATTATATTCCACTCCTTTTATATCAGTGTTAATGATTCCGAATGCAAAGTTTCGTGCTTTGCAACACGAGGTCTCTGATGTCAATTGAAAATTGACAATTTTTCCGTGATATCATCTTGTCTGTTGTTTTGCGCTGAATGTATTGTTTTGAATTATAATTAGACAAGTCAATAAATATAAAATTAAGCTGGTATTGTAAATAAAAATGTCAATCAAAGTAAATGTGAATACTTCGCCATCTGTTGAACTGAGTTCCTACCGCGATCAACACTTCAAGGTTTGTTACAGAAGTTAACCTTAATGCAAACGGAAACTTACCGTAACTGATATTTATTCATTTGTTAATTTGCTGAATGTATGATTTTTTCATCTTATAGGTTATCACTTTTCACTCTTGTTTGTAGGGTTCAAGAGCCGAGCAAGACAGACTCTTAAGGAATTCTTCAACTTTATACGTGGGCAATCTGTCTTTCTACACTACAGAGGAGCAAATATATGAGTTATTTTCAAAATGTGGAGACGTCAGGCGTATCATCATGGGCCTCGACAAGTACAAAAAGACGCCGTGTGGCTTTTGTTTTATCGAATACTACCAAAGAGCAGATGCAGAAAACTGTATGAGATATATTAATGGTACACGGTTAGATGATAGAATAATTAGGACTGATTGGGATGCAGGTTTTATAGAGGGTAGACAGTATGGTCGTGGCAAGACTGGAGGACAAGTATTTATCTTTGAATTTATATTTCATATACATCCATATATGATCCAAGCACGAGATAAATTAATAATGTGCAATTCTTATTCTCCTAGGTAAGAGATGAATATCGATCTGATTTCGATAGTGGACGAGGTGGTTATGGTAAAATAATACAACAGAAAGTAACATCACTCTCTGATGGTGGATTTGGTCGATGAAATTTCTGAAATATATGACAATATGTACGAGCAATTATATATTGTTCAGATACAAGTGTTTAATGTTTCTCATTAATTATTTATGTTATATGATCATCAATTAGCTTAATGTGTAAACTATGTTTAAGTAATAAATTGTACTGAATAGGAAGGATAAATTATGATAAGCTGTTTTATCACCAATAGCTTAATAAAGATAAATTTATATAAATACATATTTTTATACTAATTATGTAAAAATTCCAAATTATAGGTAACTCAGTAAATGTTCATAATCTTTAATATATATATATATATTTCTTCTCAATAATATAGTTATATACAAGATGTCCTAACATTATTTTTATAGATAATAGGTGAATTGGTTAAACATAAAGTTAAAATGTTTTGTACAAATGCTAAGGCAACAATTTTTAACCTATATAAAAAATTTATTTGTGGATTCTTTTTTTCCACTTTCATCTTGTATTCTTTATTTCTGCGTATCAAACACTAATGATAAAAATCTTTATAAAAAATCACATGTGCAACACTGTATAAGAATATGCTATTAAAATATCAATTTTCAACTGTAAGAATACTGATCATTTATTTATTTATTAAATATAACTTATTAATTAAATATAATTTATTTAAGTACTTTTCAATTTTGCGATCGTAGATGCATCACTATTATTTTTTTCAAGTAATTTTTGTTTTATTATGCTCATGAAGTCCAATGAATTATCTCTATTATTATTACTTATAAAGCTACTTTGAGTTTTCAGAGTTCTGCTGGCCATTTTCGAAGACGTGCATTTATTATTATTTTTAGAGTTTGCTATCTTAGTTTTCTTATCGGACGTATTGTTAACTACAGCATTGCAATTTTCTTTTCTATTGTTATCGGTTACTTTGTTTTCTGATTCTGCAGCAGTTACTGCTCCATTGTTGACCTCACAAACACCTTCAAACTTCTTTATCCCTTCATTTTCCACAGCTTCTTTAAACGCTTTATTGACGTTTTCTTGAGCACATATGTCTTTGTTGAGAGATGCATCCTTGTCTTCGCTACCATCCTTTTCATTAGACATTTCTACTAGAAATTCCATAGTATGAATTGCTGCAATATCTTCCTCTGATGTATTTTGACAAAGAGTATTTTTGTTAACGACTCTACCCCCATGCAAGAAAGTTGAGATATTCTTTCGTCGCCACATTTTGGAGGTACTGGGCACAGACTGTTTGCACTTTCCTTCGAAATAGAATTCTTTTGGATCTACGTTAGTGATCTCACCTTTGAGAAAATGTAAATATTTCTTCAATGCCATATAAAAGTGTAGTTTATCCACCATTCTGGGGAAATGGGCGCATCGTGCGCTGCTTGACGGTGTTACCCAAATTGCGGTGTCGCCGATACGTTCAGGTTGCAATCCAAAGTGAAATATGGATTTACTAGAGATATTTGCAAATACTTCGTAGATACATTTACCGTTGAATACAGCAACTTTAGGTTTATAGAGTCTCAGTTTCTCCTCCACGACTTTCGCACCCTCCTTGATTTCTGTTCGCTTGAGATCTGCCGCCGACCTGGTGGCACGAGTAACTATATTCGTCAAGCCGATACCGTATTGCAAGAGCTTATAGTCTTCTTCGAAGCTGACAAATCTTGGAGTTAGGCCAGATTCATGTAGCAGCTTATAAAAGTGATTACCAGGACCCGCGTAATATCTACCACGATGCGCCGCCATCAGACTTGGATTGATCCCAACAAAAATTACATCTAAATTCATCTCCAAGTAATCTTCCAACGTGTACTTCTTCCGTATTTCTTCTTCTGACAATCCATCAAATCTATCAATTTTTTTCTTAGGTCGCTCAAGGACTGATGTTCTTTTTTTCAATTTATTTAAATCAAGTGGCATCACTGAGTCAGTATAGCTATGTAAAAACATATGCAAAGTACGATCGATTCGATCTATGAATTTTCTCATATTCTTAAATCATCAAAGAAAAGATAATTATGAAAGATTAATAAAGATTCATTTATCCAATAACCAATTAAAAAAAACTTACACAGCTCCGGAGCAAAATTTATAATTATAATAGTCACACTTCCAGTTTTGATCTTATTGATATATATAATTTCTTAGCTGGCCTGTAAAAAACTGTCTGTAAAAATCAGAAACTGTCATTTTATTATATAAATAAACCTTGATAGAATAATGATATCTGTGAAAACATAATCTGTGGAAACACTGCAGATTCAAGTTCTTGGGATACCAACTGGTGACATTGAGATTTCTAATTGTATTTAGCTTAGTTTAGACAATTGTGATTTTAATGAAACTATACATGAACTTTAAAGACAGAGAATTTATATTTCTTTTGTTTATTATATTCGTTATATTTCTTGATGTTTTTAAGTTGACTAGATTCGTTAAAAGATCAGAATTTTTATTCACGTTCATCTCTAACCATAAATTATTTTAATAATGTAAAAACATGTTTATAAATTTGTACAAAGAAAAGAATATAAAATTCTCTGTCTATTGATTTAGATAATATGTGTAAACTGTACCTTAATGAACAAAATTCCAATGCAAAGAAGCGTTTCCTTGGAAACTGATAAACATGTCAGAAAATTAGTCTTTGCATAGAGTTCTCTTTGACAGTACATTCGTTGCTCAATAGACAGCCCAACTTTTACATTAGACAAAATTTTTCAATCACAGCATGGCAAAAACAACGATAAATTCAAATTGTGTATCAACAATAATACCTTCTTCTTCCTGCAAGTTTACATTAGATGAATGGCATCTTAACAATCAATTCAGGTATTAACAAGTCTTCATTATTCATGTTTTATTAAAGGAAAGTCCTATTAAAGGAAAGAAAATAAAAGTAACCAAATTAACTAACATTGTATAGTTTATGAAAAAATATGCAACACTGTAAACTTTGGTATATTAAATTGGTTAGATTAGATATCGATGATTTAATGAGACTGTCTTCTTAAAATCCTTCGTGTCTATCTTTGAATGAATAAAACTTGCGTATCTTGTTAACTTACTTCACTAACAATTTGAAATATTGCTCTATTTGAAACATATAACATTTGCAATAAATCAGACACCGATACGCTAAAGCGCAACAGAAACGAGCAGACAGAATTTTAATCGAAGCAAAGCGCATGTGCGAATCTGTCGCGGGAATTGTCAAAACCAACAAGGAAGAGACTGATCATCAATTGAGAGCAAAAGTTAATGACATCGAGTTTCGAAAGGAGGAATTGCTACGAATCAGGAAAGATATTGTTTTAGAAATTGACGGACTTTTGATTTACAAACAACGAATTATAAATACTTTAACGTCCGTAAAAAGAAACGCACTCGAAATTTGCAAGAAATGTCTCGTTGCTAGGTTAGTTTTATCATTTTATTGTTCTATATTATTTCTTCATTTTCCTTCATTTTCCAATTAATTTGGAGTTTAAAAGTTCCGTATGTTCAATGAAACGTACATATATCCAAATGTTTTTTTAATTTTAATCTTCTAATTTTAATTTTGATAATATTACAGGGGACGTAGGTTAGGTATTGATTTGGTTCACGACGACGTCGAAAAGGAATTGTTAATAGAGTGCGAGATGATCCAAGAGGCAGAAAATTTATTAGCTCGTGTTTTAGAAGAAATTTGCGAACAAATTCGTAAATCGAAGGCGGCACTGTACCGTATTGATAATGATCATGAAAATAAAGAGTGCAATCTACATATCGATCGACGTAATATGGCTTTGAAAAAAATAGATTTCGATTTGAATATTTGTCAGGCTACTTTACATTCTGGTATACTGTATGTAATTATAAAATATTATTCATCACAAGTTTATTTATATTTTTGCTATTCATGAGATAAAAATCGTGAATAATAACTTATCGTATCACTTCCCATACAGCATAGAAAGTTGCAGCAACATTGCTGCAACGTTGCAACAATGCAATTGCGATATTGCTGCAACTTTTGTGCTATATGTGGGTTGTGTCCTGCGCTTTATAAAATAGTAAAATATATCAAACCCTCAATTGTTCCCTTGACAAATAATTATTTAGATATTGTTTATAAATTGTCGACGTAGGATGACAATGAATGAATGGGAACAGCAAACAAACAGCAATGTAATTGACGCGACTAAAGCAATAAATGATGCAAAACGATTACGTTCTTACATCGATACAATAATTAAACAAACAATCGACGGATTAAATGGACAAAAATATGTCACGAATAAAGCTTTAAAACGTCGTATCGAACAAACCCAAGAAGCTAAAACAAAATTGGAACTTCAGCACTCGGAGGTACGTTAAGTAATTTTACTATTGCATATCCCAATTATAATTATTATATTGATCCTTTTGTAGATAGTGAAACAAGTAGCTGCTATGTCGAATAATATCACGCAAATAAAAAGCTCTATAGCTGATAAAGAGGGTTACATGGCTCTAATTAACGCGAGACTAGAATCCCGATGTCTACGTCCGGAGACGGAAGTTACTCGAGATTTAGCTGAGATTAATCTCGTGAAGGAAATATACACTCTGCAGAAAATCGTGGCGAACTTACAACAAATGCTTTGCGAAGTACGTATGTAAATTTACACAAAATTCAAATATTTTTGTTACTAATTAACGAGAATCTGGAGATTTTATGTAGACGTTGTGTTTCAACAAGAACATAGGCCTCTATCGTAATGTTTGTTATTGTTATTAACTAACGCGTAGTAACAACGTGGCTGACGCGTGACAGTAACCAATAGAAAACATACCGACAAAGGCGTATATGAGAATGTTCGATAAGAATATGGACATACTTATGATCGTTATCAAACATTTATGCAAAAAATATCATATATCAACGATTTATATCAAACAATACAAATATTTCCAGCATGCTATCAGTATCAGATTAGTGTGATTTATATAGAATATTTGCAAATTTATAGAACATAGACTTTACATGCATTTAGTACACACCGAGTAAATATATATTACAGGCAGAGACGTCGCTTCGTTATTTATTCAAGACACAGGTTCAACTTGAAGAAGATATCAACATCAAGACGAATACTTTGCAAATTGATGACGTTGAGTGTAATATTTTGCGTCAGAGTATAGATTATCACGCACATTAATGTGTCGGTATAAATAATAATTTACCTTGTCATGTTGGATCAAAGACAGGTGATGTGTATTTTTTTACATAAATATCGCGTTTCTGCTTGTCTCTGTAAGCTGAGAGAAAAATTGAGTAGGGATTTGACTTAGTTGCTATTATAATTAGTCTAGTTGTAATCTTTACATATGTATATCTACCTAAATTTCATATATATTGTTTATCTTATTAATATTTACTAGACGTCTTGCAGATAAACAGAACGTAATTATATATTCGCACCTACAATTACAGAATGAAATAACGTACTATTAGTGTTCTTCTCTTGTGGTATTTGTTACATAAAAAATACAATTCGGCGCAACCACAACCGTGTGCAGCTTCAACTGTTTATCATCAAATCAGAATCGCGTAAACGGCGGTAAAAAAAACGAACGAAAGGTATTCGAGAACCTGTATACGCACAGTCCCCTCGTGCAACGAAGGAGGGAGACCGCCTTCGTGACCGGCTTTAACTGACTTGCCGTTGCTGTTTCATTTTAGTCTGCCAACTAACAGGAATCGAATCACAGTATCAGTCGGTGGATGTGCACGGTGCTGCACTTGTTCCACTGATTGCGGAGGCTTGCGCGTTTCTTCACGGAATTTTCTCCTACTTTCTGCCGGACCTTGAACGCGGAAGAATCCGCGCGGTAGGACACTAGTGAAGTTCTTCGCGAGAATTCAATGATATAACGCTGCGGTATATTATACGGATTTATCAAGTGTGAGTTTTATGACTGTGAGTTTGCTCATGTAAAATCAACGACATACGATAAATTGGAGGTAAAAAAAAGAAATGGGATAAAATCATTAAGAAATTTCATAATTAATTCTCGATCTGTATTTCTTCTAAAGACTTCTCTAACTGCACTTTGCTTTGGAAGAGACAAAAAGTATTGGGTGACTTGCTCTTAAAGCGGGATACACACCGATCGAGCCGAGAACATGTCCTCCGTAACATCAAGAAAAATATATTGAATTGCCAGTATATTCGTGTTATGCGACCTGGACACGTTTCACGGAACACCAACGACAAATTGTTACCAATGATGTGATAAACACACGATACTCAACGCAATTTTTTCATCTTATTGACCATGCATGTAAATTCTTCGACTTCGTCGTTTGTATGAACTAATTAAAGAATGGCAGCCAATGCGTTGACCATTGTTTGTAAACTTTGGTCAACCATGTATTTATGCTGCAGCTTTTAATCATCTAATAATATCAGGTAGAACAATAATCTCACTGAAAATTACCGAAAGAATTGTAATCCACAGTCGAAAACATCACAAGTGAAATATTTGGCCCGATGTTAATGTAAATGCCTATTCGTGATATGTCTCAGTCTCAGATTCCTATTCTTTACTTTGTTTCTCCTCCTTCAGAGATGTTCTCAGCTCGACAGTGTGTATGTACTTTAAAGATGTAGATAGAAAGGAGCGGTCAATAAGTGTGACGGTCGAGCATCTGTCCGAAAGTACAAATAATTTCAAGCTCTGTTATAAGCGACATATAACGCGTTGGCAAAAACAGGAAGTCATATTCAAATCGCGAAGTATACATTGCATCCGTTCCATATAGTGCTAGAAAAATGGCAGACACTATATCAAAGATACCAGTTAACAGCGGCAACGGGATTAACGTCGATAAAGACCGCGTAAGTACCTGTGCAATCATATTTGTATTATATATAATAATAGACGCTGAAAATAATATACATGTAATATCGCGAATAATATTTGTACGTATTAAACACAGACTATGACAAGAATCAATTATAATATAGGCAATCACTATAGGTGCATAGCGAGGAGACGCTATTGGCGCTACCAAATGTAAACGCTATTAAAATTATTCGTGGAATGATAGTGATAGCAAGCTCCACGGACAGCAATAATAACGTAACATTAGCATTTATGGCGTTGTAAGCGTTATTGCCGTTTTGCGCGGACATCACAAACGCTAACGCTACCGATGCACTTCTGGAAAGAAATAGCATTAATAACGCTACCATGAGTGTGACGTCACAACAACGACTGTAAACGCTTCACGAATAATGGGGAATTTTTGCAATACCGTCACTCAGATACGGTAAACGTAAATCGTGAATGCTATTGGTCGCATATATTACGACGTTACATTTCTGAGCGAATAACGTTCACGATTTGCAAAACCTCCGTAATCTGTAACACTAACGCTAATAGTGTTTCCTTGAACGTTGCATTCTTATTCTGTTGCAACTCTGAATATTGCAATCTTGAGATCGCAATCGCCTGATCGATATTCAATCTACCACATAAGTACATATTTACTGCATATAAAGTATGCAATTATAAAATATGAATAAAGGCCATCACACACAATTTTTTGAAATGAAAAGAAAGAATAATACGTGTTTTACAGTTTATTTGTTTACGAATCTTTCTATCGCGGTCTTATCGCTGTGAAACCTTGAAATAATGTTTTCCTTTACATTTCAAGATCTGTAAAAGATATGTTGGACAATACTTGGCTATTTATTTGCGACAGAAAAAGGACCAATTTTGCTTAGGGTCGTATCCTTTGTCAGTGAAAGTTTGGCCTTACATAATAACTTTCGCATGTTTCCAAGTATGATTTCCGTCTTGCAAATACTCATTTCTCATCATGTGAAAGTGTAAAATGATTTTGTATAGCTATATATATCGTGTCGTATTTAACAGAATGAAGCTATATAATTGTAGTAGATTAGTAAAAAAAGTGTACACTGAAAATATTTCGCGTTTAAAAAGGACGATAATCCAAAAATTTATACACAAACATCATACATTTGTCATTACATTCCAAAATTAGGTGTAAATGCAACTTTATGCGGTTACATATGTATAATATATGAAATTTAACACACTAGAGAGAAAACATTGTGTTGATCTTCGCTTATATTTCTAATAGAAACAGCCTTACTCTATAAATCACTGCTCTATAAGTCACACTGATGCTCGCTACTTTATTTCCTGCTGAATCACCAGATTAATTTTAATTGAATATGTAATCGCGCGAAGTCGTATGTAAAATCGGGTCACTTGACCTCGCCTGCAAAATAAGATTAATATTCAAAGCATATTCAAAGCAATCGAACGGGAGAAACTTCAATTCACTGCGTGTAGAAAAAAATGTAGATGAATGAAGAAAGACCCGGTGGACAATAATTTGAGCAGTCGCGACACGAATTCTTCCTCGTAAAAGACTATGAACCCAATTACATAAAATTGCGAATAGTATCTGTAGGTAAACATTCTTATCAAATGGTTACCACTTTTCGCCGGGAGATAGCGCAGCATTATCGTACAATTATCGATCGTAATGAAAGCTGCAGCGAGACCAACCTCGCGAACAATATTTGACCATTAGCGCCAAATTTCGTTGTAGCGTATGAAGAAACGGAAGAAACCGCGGCTTTGACGGCATCTTTGAACTGTAAGAAACTACCATCTGATGCGCCCGTGAATTCGCACAAAAGTTAACTCGAGTTACTCCGAGTTTGTTGCATTATATTCGCGCACGTAGAAGAATGTCGATCGTCAAGCACATCGGTCGCGCAATGTCGCGGACGCCATTGTTTATGGTTATGACAATTCGAGCGTAACGTACTACACGCGCAACGACAAACACGCGATTCCGAAGGATTCTGCAGAAATGCGTATTAGCGCCATTTAAGACACAAATCGCGTGGAGTCATGGCTCTATCTTCGTAGTAAGTATTGTTTTGTACGTATGAGATGAACACGCACACATCGCACGACCGATCGAAGCTTCTCCCCCCCCGTCTCTTCGCATCCGGTTCCCATCCATCTCAAACGCGTGTCCTTTGCGTACCTTTACGCACATCTCAATTCCCAAGCTCTTGAATGGGCAGATTCCATTCTTTGTCTCTTTAACACCTGACTGCTCACCGCTATAAAGATGCGTCTATATTTTTCAGAGTCTCTCTCGATAAGCAACGCAGTTGGAAATGTGTTAAATAGAAGAAACCGAATCATTAGAAAGCAGTCGATTAAACTAGAAACCGTATAGCTTGCTCCAGTTACCCGGTGACTGGAAAACCTCAAATGGGAAATGCATGATGTTCCACATACAGAGTAAAGAATTGAGGTGCTGAGGATATATGCAATTATCACAATACGGTTACTTTTATCCTAATCGCCTCGTCTTCATGTATAAAATGACATCTGAGCGACAATTCACTCGATCACTTAATTATAACTTTTACAAGCTATTTTACAAGTATCTTTCTTTTTTAAATAATTCAAAGGTGACAGAGTACCTTTCACTCGGCTACTACTGTCGCCGACAGAGTACGAGAGTGCACGTGTGAACACAGTGCTGTCTGGTGTCTGCATCACGGAGAATCGCTAGACTAGTCATCATCGTGACCTAATAACTCCCATTTGAGCATCTCGCTGTGAACGTTCCCTGCGACAACTTCGTGTCCCTTGTTGCAGGACGTCGAACGTGGCGAGGTTTACTCCGCGGTAGGAGTCTCGTCGTCGAGCCAAGCAGCATTGGCGTCGCCACCAACACCGACACCGATGCCGAACCCGGTAGCGGTGTCGGCGTTCGTGGCCACGCCGGCATCGCTGCACACATCTTCCACCGCTGCTGCTCCTGCTGGCGGCGGCAGATACGACGGAAGAACAACGACCGGAGGAGTGGGACACGAAGTGAATGTGCCGCTAGGAGATACTCAGGATCCGCAGAATACACGTGCCAGTACGATCGCGGGCGCGAATGCGACGGCTGGAAGATCAGGGAAGGACCAGTCGGCGAGTGGAAGAAGAAACCGTTGGAAAATAATCGGCCGTGCGGTCGGGCGCTTCACGCTCGTTATGCTGCTGCTGGCTGCCCTTGTTGGTGCTCTGGCCGCGCTCGTAATCTACATGGGCCCGATCTACCTGGTGCAGTTGCTCGTAGTGGTCTCAGTTGCGTATTTCGTCGCTGGTGGCCGCTTGAAATGGTTCTACGTCGCTCTAAGGACTTTACCACGTGATATAAAGTAAGTAAGATTCTGCGTTGTTCGTCGGCGAGATCGTGCTAACTGTATCTCTGTTTACTACGCGGTAATTAATTCCCGGAAACTCTGGAGATGCCTTTCTCGTGTATCTTCGATTCTTCGATTCTCGGACTTCGCTTGAGTTAATAGAAACACGACATTTAAACGCGATAAGATATCGCGAAAAAGATTGTATTCGAGATTTACAAACTTATGTAAAGATTATGAATATTAGAGGCGTTTATATCAACGTCGGTTTATACGACTGTATTAAATGTTTATCTTATTTTATGTTTTATCTTATTTTTATCTTAGTTTATCTTATTTATAATTATGTAACGGTATTTTCATGATTCTTATACTATTAATACTGATTGGATTGCGTGGTGTGTGACTGAGACTATTGACGATCATTTCTATAAAATGCTTGAAATTAAAGTAACACCGCAAAACCGCATAATTGCCATTTTGAGATTCTTGGTATTTTTTTTATATTTTTCATATCAAAAGACAATCTCTGTTATTAAATTGGCGTGGTTTTGAGGAAGAAAGTAAAACGAAGCAAATAGACGATATTAAATTGATAATTGCGATTTAATTTTTTCCATATTTTTCCATATTTTTCCATATTTTCGTTATTTTTACAAATTGATAAAAATGTTATAGTTGTCGCTTCTCTCTGTAATGCTACGAGGGTAGTCCCAGAAGTACCTGACCTGACGTATAGATAGCGGTTGTTCGAAAAGAATGACTATTGTAAAAAATACCAACTTTATAAAGCTTAAGTTTGAAGTTTGACGACGCTACGTTGTTTAGTATTTGTTTGGCAGCCATCAATAGTGAACGCTCTCAGTGAATTTGTAAACATGGGAAAAATTGGCCATCATTATGTAATACAATACTTTCATTTGAAAGGCCTCAGTCCAACTAATATCAAAGCGGAGCTAGATTCTACTCTGGGGGAGTCTGCTCCTTCGTTTACAACAGTAAAATATTGGGTGGCAGAGTTTAAACGAGGCCGTACGAGCTGCCAAGACGAACATCGCAGTGGTCGACCAAATGAGGTGACCACGCCAGAAATGGTGAAGAAAATCCACAAAATGATATTGGATGTGACCGTCGACTAAAAGTGCGCGAGTTAGCAGACATGGTAGGCATTTCAAAAAGTGCTGTACATCGCATATTGACAAAATTTGGACATGAGAAAGCTGTGCGCAAGATGAGTGCTGCGATTGGAACAAAAACAGCCTCGTGAGGATGTTTCAATCGAGTGTTTGGCGAAGTTTCGCAGCAATAAAGCCGAGTTTCTGCGTCGATTCACAACCATGGATGAAACATGGGTCCATCACTTCACACCTGAGACGAAGGAACGGTCAAAACAATGGACCAAGATGGCTTGATGGCTACTTTGAGGAACTCGACGATTCCCACTATAAACAGGGTATCGAAGCTATTGAACATCGCTGGGAAAAGTGTATTGAGATAAAAGGAGACTATGTAGAGAAATAAAGATATTTTTTCCCAAATTTTTTTGTTTTCTTTGTTAGGTCAGATACTTCTGGGACTACCCTCGTACTTGAAACGGTACGTTATATATGTATAAAACTCGCGTAACCGGTTTACACAACCAATTATGTAATTGTTCAGCGCATAAAATTAATTTCATGTTTCGAAGTTATATAAACCATGACATTGTAAAAATCGAACGGATTACAAGCATTTTCCAATGCAAAAACCTACTAAAAAAACCTGAAAAAAAATGCAGCACCTCTGCGTTTATATTTATTCTGCGCATTATAATTTTTTATAATTGTTTTCGACAGACTTATTTACGTCGATTGATTTATAATTATTTGCTGTTTTGCTATTTTTTGCTATCGTGTTTTTGCAATTTTTCGTACATTAATTATAAAGGTAAAACAGAAAATCAGAAGTACATGTCTGTTGTCTCTGTCGATATGTTAATGATACAAACTACATGTAGCTACAAGAAGACATGTAGAATGCAAGCAAAAAGTAGAATAATTTTTATGTTGTTTCAACTTGAAATTGACATTTATTACATTTGATTGAAAAAACTTGTATATTTATCATCATTGCAGGTGCAAAATATGACAATATTAAAAAGCTTTTTTAAAAATGTTCATTTTGAAGATAGTTGATAATTACAAAATGGTTAAAAATGGTTTGATCTTTAGATCGTTCAAACTAAAAAAACGAAGAAAATTTCTTGTTTTCGTCACTACTGTATGAAAGAAGATAAATTGTGATAAATAAAATTTGAACTGAAGAAAAAAATCATTCCTCCTTTCAGAGGAGCTACAGGATTCCTTAGATTACTATGGTTTATACGCGGTCACGAGAGGAAAAACAGAAGTGTTGCTGACGTATTTCGACAATATGTCAGTCGTCATCCTAACAAGATCTGCTTTATATGTGAAAATCAAGAATGGACTTATCAGCAGGTAAAAAATGTTCTTTATAAAAACTTACTGGTATTACTAGTGGAATGTCTATTTTTTAATAAATCTATTTCGCAAATTTTTTTTTTTTTTTTTTTATAAAATTATTTATAAGCAGAGTTTTCGTTGAATATTTTAATAATTTAATTTTAGAAAATATAGTTCAAAATTATTATAAATGAAATATATGATTTAACATACGTAAATTTTTATTTTATATATCTACAAAGCATATGAAAATTTATTTGATAAAAATAGGTAGTTATTAATAATGCAATATCATTAATATAAATTTTGCATGAGTATATTCTATAAATTGTGCAGTGTCGAATTACAAACAGTAACACCTTGTTTTCAAATAATGCTTTAAAACTTTAAGAAGTTTTAAATGTACGTTAATGACAGGTATATCGAGAGGATGCCTTTCGTGACCTTTCAAAATTTACAAGTTTAATGATATAAATAAATTGTTTGCTACGACGTTTTTTCTATACTTTATTAAGATACCTGTAGTGTTTGTATGTTTGTTTTTTATGAAATTTTGTAATGTATTTGTTATTCCGTATATTATGCAGTGTATTTATTATTCCGTTAATTTATAGATAGAGGATTTTAGTAACAAAATCGCGACAATATTCAAAATGCACGGTTACAAGAAAGGAGATGCCGTTGCATTATTTTTGGATAATCGGCCGGAATTTGTTGGCATTTGGCTAGGTTTGAGCAAACTTGGCGTGATAACGTCTCTAATTAATACTAATCTACGTAAAAACAGCCTCCTGCACAGCATCAATATTGCAAAGTGTCAGGCGCTTATATATGGCGCAGAGCTTTTCGACGGTAAGAGTAATGATTAACTTTTAACTAATTATTTTTCAATAATTACTTCCTTAATAAAGCCGTTGGGCTAACTTTAACAGTATACTTTTAATTATAATTTTACAGATATTCTATTAATCGTACTGATGAAAAAGAATGCCGAAATATAAATGCGTGAGTACGTTTTTTAACCCCTTAGAGTCGCATGTTTTGTTACTATTTCTTACTCCGTTGTTACTTAATTATGCTCGTTTGCATCCGTTATCCTGTTCCAGCATTCTTGTGCAAAAATAACATTTAACCGCTTGACAATTTATCCAAGCATTGAAGTTTATATATTCAAGTTATATATTCACAAGTTTCAGTATCTGTGATTCGGGGAGAATTTATTTTAGTAGATTTTATGTTTGTCCGATGCTTTTTCATAAGTACGATTAGTGGACCGACGAAGTTACACTGGTAAAGTTTGTCCAAAAGCATTTTCGTTAATTCCAGCTGTGGCGGATATCGCCTCCTCACTGGATGTTAAACTGGCATTGTACAGGTTCGGGAGTCACCCGAATGCGATGTCAGTTGGATTAAAGGAGAAAGACTTGAACAACATCTTGCTAGAAGTATCCGCGGCACCGCCGACGATACCGGAAAAATGTGGTTACAATCATGAATTGTTATATATTTATACCAGTGGTACTACAGGTCTTCCCAAAGCGGCAGTTATTACTAGCGCAAGGTAAGCATGTGTGACACATAACGGCATATGTCTGCAAAGCTTTCCTCTAAGGCCATTACAACATTGTTTCCGGCAAACAGTGAGTCCCGTTTGTATTACGGTCTAGGCTCTAAAAGTCGCAGAAAGGATCGCAATAAAAAAGATAAACCGTTTCGCTCGTTCGTCGAGGGGGGGATTGTGAAACGTAGTAAAAATGCTAAATAATGAGATGTTGTCCAAACAGGCTGTGTCATATATATTTCCAGATACATGTTTATCGCTAGTTCCGTACATGTTTTCGGGATGTTACGAAATTCTGATAGAATATATACATCCTTGCCGTTGTATCATACTGCTGGTGGAGTAATGGCAATAGGTCAAGCTTTATTGCATGGACATACAACAGTGATTAGGAAGAAGTTTTCTGCCAGCTCATACTTCAGCGACTGTATCAAGTACAAATGCACCGTGAGTATGATTCGTGTTATATTTAATGCCTTAATTTTGCGAAGTTTAGTCGTATTTTATACCATAATGTATGCAAAATCACAACATTTTCCTTAATCCTGCCTCACGAAATAAATTGTACTATTCCACTTGATTGTCTTCCTCATTAATGGGATTTTGTTTAACATTAAGAGTCGCACAATATCACATAAACGTCATATTTACACATAGTTCTTGGTTAAATTTTGGAAAATATCAGGTTGCTCAATACATAGGAGAAATGTGTCGATACGTATTGTCGGTGCAACCTAAAAAAGAGGACAAAGAGCACAACGTTAGATTAATTGTTGGCAACGGGCTGAGGCCACAGATATGGAATGAATTTGTAAAGCGATTTAACATTCCGCAAGTCTTAGAATTTTATGGCGCAACCGAGGGTAATGCTAATATCAGTAAGTACAAAATGTTCGATATCTTTCAAAGAAATTCTTATGAATCATTCGTCACATCGATGGGTTTTTCGACTAGTGTAAAGTTTATTTTGCCTTTTTTTTTTTTTAATGAACTTCTGTTAGTGAACCAATTACTTCTATTGAAATCATTTTTTAATGCAATAAAACTGATCATTCATATTGAAGCGTTAGACAAAATATAATCATTTCAGTGAACATCGACAACAAGGTTGGAGCAATAGGTTTTATTTCAAGAATTATCCCAGCGATATATCCTATATCTATCATTAAAGTAAATTCAGACGGAGAACCTATACGCAATTCTAAAGGACTATGTCAAATCTGTGAACCAAGTAAGTTTATCGATTTTCACAATTATCAAAATTAACAGTCCTTTTACCCTGATAGTAATAGAACGATAGAGCGAATTCATAGGTCACATTTGACAAACAAGTTTGAAGTTTTCTTATACATCAATTTCAGAATTACCTTTTTTATTTGACAGATGAACCTGGTGTGTTTATCGGCAAGATTATACAAAACAATCCAACGAGAGCATTTTTAGGATACGTAGATCGTAGTGCATCCGAAAAGAAAATAGTTCGCGATGTTTTTATAAAAGGTGACTCTGCCTTCCTATCAGGTATGTGGACTATTTTCTATATTCAATATGCAATCATAAACGTAAGGTTTCTAAAGAAAAAATTATATTTTGTTTGTTTATGTCTAAAATATATTTTTGGACATAAACTTTATTCATGATACAGAATTACATTCACTTCAAATAATTACATAAATTTGATTGTTATTATGTAGGAGACATTGTTGTTGCCGACGAATTCGGATATCTGTACTTTAAGGATAGAACAGGAGACACGTTTAGGTGGAAAGGAGAAAATGTATCGACTTCGGAAATTGAAGGAATAGTCAGCAATTTCATCAACTATCGAGACTGTATAGTATACGGTGTTGAGGTAAGAACGATAATACACCGCTTTCATATAGTTTTCTTTGGATTAATTTTTTACACAGACGATATAAGCAATTTATCCTTAATTAAATTTTTTTCATAGCCAATAATATAATTAAAAAAAGAATATTGTCAAAGTTACAATTAGAATCGTATTACACAGAAGTCTAATTATGAGATATTCCCTATAGGTTCGAGGTACTGAAGGTAGAGCAGGAATGGCTGCAGTCTATGATGAAAATGGAACATTGGATATAAATCAACTAACCACTGACGTCAAAGAACAATTACCCATTTATGCTAGGCCACAATTTATCAGAATTTTAACAAAAATTGATCTCACAGGTACATTTATACATAAATATACATTTTCGATATCTGTTTTGGTTTAGTATATAATTCGTTATTATTAAGCCTCTGATTATAACAGATGACATTTATGCCTGATTTATATCTAATCAATATAATTGTTTATCTATGATTGTTGCATCACATTTGTATATGTTTTCAAATGGGAATAACTCGATTTTGATTAGTTTAATCGCTATTTATAGGAACATTCAAACTGAAGAAGAAGGATCTTCAAGAAGAGGGATACAATCCATATAAAATTCAAGATAAATTATATTACATGGATGCAAAGCTTGGTTATCTCTTACTAACACCAGATATTTATGACCAGATTCAACAAGGGAAAATCAAGTTTTGAGTTGATAGATTCAATGGTTGGGAAGCTGTGAAATGTTGCTATAGTTTTACATACACGCATGTGTATGCACACACTATTTTAAATGAATCTTTAAAATCTGTTTTACATAAATAATACAATATACTTCATATACAATAGAACTTTGTTATAAGGTTGGGACTGGGGCTTGCTGGAAGATTCTCAAAGATATAATAATCTGATATAATATAAGTGTACATTGTAAATCAATTTTTCTTTAATATTTAATGAACACATTTATGATATTGCTAATTGGGTTTTTGAAACATATGTTATTAAGTTATGCTCATTGTTGTAGTTAAGATTTTTTAAATTATATTTATTTTTTAATAAAAACTCTTATCTGTTTAATTTTTATAAATACCACATGTATTTGATTTATATCAAATACAATTTTTATAAATACCTCATGTATTTGAGATTAAAGATCCTTTAATCTTGACAAGTTAAAAATAAAAGTTACTTGTTGCAAAACAAGTTTCTCAGTGCAAGTTATTGATTCCATTGATTCAACGTTTTTAATATACAATCATTTAGTATCGACAGTATCTTTCGTATTATCCATTATCTAAACATTAATTCAGCAAAATGTAAAATATAAATATTCACCGTGAAATTCGTTAGTTACGCAATGCGATATGAAATCGTGCTGTGATATATTGATGCTATTTGCGAGTTTTACGTAGTAACGTGAATAATATGTGAGAAAACAAGAATTTTATTTTAAAAAAATTTGAGATCCTATATGTATTTTTAAAACTTAACGATATGAACGATATTATACACAAAATCTTGGAATTCACTATCGGAAACATATTTGGTAAAGACATAACTTGCAGGGAACCCGTGCATCGTTGCGACGATTACCAACCAGGGTCCTTGGTAGAGCTGGGAAGAACTGGTATTAAAGTATGAATTAAATATAACTCGTGGCTATAATATGGAAAAGTAACGCAATTCCATTCTTTTTTCTTTACAAATATATTATTTTACAAATACAAAAAGTATAATATAATGAAACTACGGAAAACAAATGCTTTAGATGTCGGAGCAAAAAAGAATCATTAAAACACTAAATTATATTAAGAGAAATGCGTATGTGTGTGTGTATATATACATACACACATATATATATATATATATAATTATATAGAAAAACGAGTTGAGAAAACCTCTACTAAAGCGAGAGAAAGGTATTCAAATGAAAAAATTGTCTTTCACAGCGCAACGACCGACATTTTGTACAGTCGCCATTGAAAGTATGATCAATGTTCTTCTTCTTTTTCAATAGATGGCTCTGTGCATACAATAGATGCTCCAACGCCACTCACACGTTCTATGATCAATGTTATTAGATTAATGAGAGATTTTCTCAGCTTTTACTGTTAAATTACGTTAGCAAAATTTGCTAATAAAATCAAGTTTGTGACACGAGCATATATATTTGTGATCATCGACTCCTTATATTTCATTCATCAGATCTCTCATTGTTGAACATGAGAGATAAACTTTTTAGAGAGTTGTACATGAGAAAGACAACAGTCCCACTGAGAGTTTCTCTCTCGGATCAGTTTTCAGATATCAAGGCACGTCTTAGTATTATTGTAGTTCGATGCTTGAAAATTTTGTTTGAAATAAAAATGGCGGATGAAATGAGATTGTAGAGAGTGTGTTATCTTTAGTGTCGCGTGTTACATTTTTCTGCTATAGCGCCTGATATCAATATGCATATTAATATAATTGATGGACAATTTGTTTAAATGTCTGCAACGATTTTTGTGAATTTTTATATAATTTATTAATGTACAACGAGGAACATTATATAGGAAGTTAAATTATTTACATAACAGATTTTCACACTTAAAAGATGGTAATAAATATGGTTATCGTAAATTATGCAAATTATATAATATTTAGATATATTTATTTTTCTTAATTATTGTGAATTATATAAATTTTGAAAATTATGAAAATTACGGATTGTGTTTATCTCTTTATATTTTAAATGAACATTTTATAAAAAAGAATATACATATCTTTCTTAATGTTAAGTTTTTCAAGAAAATTTTAATGCCCTGTGGATTATGTGCGGCAATACCTGCAATAAATACAACTTCATCAGGAGATAGCATGTTACCTCACAGTAAAGAAGCAAGTGTCAAGAAACTAATTCGACCATCCGAACTGCCCATTTATCCTCTTGAAGATGACTATGCTAAGCAGATCTCATGGTAAAGCAAAATTGTTTATATAATTTTTCTATATATTCTATATTTTATTCAATATAGTTTTTACTAAATATATTAAATTTTATATTGCAGTACAGACTGTCCTCCTTCGTTGTTAGAACAGAATATATCCAAAGTTCGCAAATCTATTCAGGCAGCTGCATCAGAATATCAACATTCTGCTGACGTTATCATGGATACTGTTGATACCAGCTTTGAACATAGCAGATGTAAATAATCAGTTGTATATATTTAAAACATGTATCACACAATATTACTTGACTGTGTAATGATAATCTAGCTACTTGCATTTCCAGCTCTTTTGGATTATGTCCGTGAAGAAAGTAACGTAATTCCACGTATGGGTGCTATTGGTATCGGTGGATTGGCTGGATTAATATTTGGTCTTAGGGGACGCTCATTTAAGCGACTCGTATATTCTAGCACTGGTGCTCTCACCATGGCAGCTTTATGTTATCCGAAAAAGGCAGAAGAAGGATTTGATCTAGTAAAACACTACACGAATGTTGGATATAACTTCATCTATGGTGGTAACGAATATTTCATTACCTTGGTTTTATTGTTAACAGTATAAGTGTCACTATACCTACAAAGTCGATCATTTGGGTGTATTATTAACCTATATTTTGCCAACACGTTTTTCTATAGATTACATGCAATGAAAATATATTACATAATAACATTTTTGCTACTCTTACATAAAAAATGATTTTTCTCTGGAATGTTCTTGAACCTATTAGGGAGATGTCAATTATATACAAAACATTTTGCACATGGAAGAAATGAGATAGAACAGAATGCTGTAATTGTCGATAATATATAGCTGGTTTGTAGGTATACATTTTGTTGTTTATCATAAATAATTTCAGTCAAACCAGATGACAAACAACAGCAGAAAATCATGATGGTGTTCCCGTCATCTTTCTCCGAATTTGTAGACTTAATAATTGTCACAGGTTCGGCAGTAGCTAATGCTGTTGAGGGTTTTGCACAGAATACATATGCATCTTTAAGTAATAAGGAGGTAGGATGCAACAGTGAACCTCCCATATCATATCGCTCCTTTTCTCTTTCCTCGTTATATATAACGTTGTTTATCCACTTTGTTTGCCAAATAATCTTTCTAATGTAACTTTCAGTTTATTCACAGATTTGGTTATGACTTCCAAGATAATTTCTTGCATATAATATAATATTATATACTAAAATAATGTATCAGAGTGACTTTTTTCGGTTATACGTCTTATGTCAGTATCCTATTGCTCAAAGCAACTTGATTCGCGAGCAATCGATACAAAATTACACGCATATTTGCATTCTTATAGAACAACGTGTTATCTCCTGCAAATAATGGTTTGTTACTATATTGTGGACTTGTTAAAACACTTAACATGTCACCAAATATTATAAGTAATATATTTTTACGTAAACCTTAAGGAAAATAAGGTAAAAGACATCTTTCATAGACATTCAAAGTACAAATTTCTCACAAATTCTTAGATGATAAACTTAAGTGTCTACCTATCATTTTGGTTCTTATTTTCTTTTATTGACCTTAGTTTCCATTATTCTTTGCTGCGTGAATTCCTGTATTGTATATGCGAAATGTCTGTTGTATATACGAATGTGATAATTTGTGTTTTAGAGAAATCAGCCGATTCCCGAGACAAAAGCTAAAACGGAAGCAGATGTGAAACCAAATTAAGTAATTTATGATGAGGCTTGTACGTTGTAGCAAAGAGAAATGTATGAAAATTTCATCGTAGAGCGAAGGAAAGAAGTTACGATTTAACCTACTAAATACATTATATACGCTTAGTGAGTAAATTATAAAGTAATAAATTATATGTTCCGATGTGAAGAAAGTCTGTAACTTTAGCCATCCTTCACACACACATTGTTGCCTATCCTTTTTTTTCCTCGTCAACTATTGTAATCTCGTCGTCCATCAAACGTCGGATATAAACTGTAAAGGAACATCTATAATGAGAGTCAGAATATGCAATAACGTAAACAATAAAAAATAGATCAACCACAGTCGATTATTATAAGAATAATTATTTGTAGCTGGTTTATTTCTTACTGCTTCTTCAATTCTTACTCTCATTGTAAGTGGTCCTTAAAAAGAAAGGGACTTAATGAAGCAATATCGTCAAAGAGACTGAATAATTCAGCAATTAAAAATTTTAACATTTTATGACAATTTCATACAGCAAATAACATTTTGGTTCTTCCGCTGTTAATTTAAATTATCGCGCCTGTTATCTCGCGATCGGCTCTTATTGGTTCATCTTTAGTTAAATAATTATAGGTACAGTCGGTGGGAGAAAGGTTGCAGCATTTTTATCTCGACGCACTTCAAACATATTTGGTGCCCAATAGAAATGATCTACCGAGAATTACTAAAAAATACTATTTTCCCATTGGATACGATTACGTTGCGAGATTATCGAAGAGAAGAGTGAGTGTGCTGTAATCTTCGTGCGTCCCCGATCATACAATTAATTGCTCCACACGAAGGCTCTCCGCGAAGGTCGCGCGACACGCGAAGGACGGGCTGCTTCGGCGCGCGAATTGGCGCGCAGTCGCGTCTCCTTTTATCGACTCGCGGGGTGCTCCCGGTCGCCGTTTCACGAGATTTCGATCTTCACCCTGGCGCGCACAACCGAGTAGCTCGTTCGAAACCTGCGCACTTTGCAGCCCTCAGTATAAGAGTCGGCGAGCTAACTCGTGCCTTCGGCAAACATAAATTGCTGCGTAAATGATGAAAGGCGCGCGCGTTCCATCCGACTAATTTGATTTTCACTCGGGTCATTATGCGACCTGGTGCGAGGCGACCTGTTCAGAGGTACCGGATACATTATAAATCGTTATTTTTTTTATTTATTTTTCTAAAGATGTGTACACGTATATAATGTATACACACACACACACACACACACACACACACACACACACACACACGTATATATGTGCGTCTTATCGTTCGAGAGAAAGGCAGCCGATGATCGATTCGTATCTGAACGCGTCTTCGCGTCGCTCTTGCAGATGCGATAGGAGAGATGTGACGCCACGGTGATTAGAAAACGTTCGCCACTCGTCCAGGTAGTCCGGAAAGTTCAGTGACCGATCTACGGTGCAAACATGAAGATCGTTCCTCGCTGTTCTTCGTGGGAAATGTTTCTTGTGACATTTGGTGAGCCGAAGGTATTACCGTCGGTGTAACGTCAATCTCAATATATAAAAATTGGAGCGCATATTTCTGAGGGAAGCCTCAAAGTGATATAACTCCATGTGTAGAGTGTTACGTCAGTCTGTGTAGCTCCGCGCAATGCTCACTTTCAATTTGGATGCTGCGAACTCTCGACACGTTATCATTGATCGCCCCTTTGTCTCCGAGTGAAAAGACCTTGACGAGGAAGAATATATTCAGTGAGAATGCACAGTGTTTACGAGTACAATGAAGAATACATCGACGAGTTCTGCACCGCGATTCTGTGCTCTGTGTGTACTTCGCGTGACTTGACGATTAGCGGGTCAAGGTGTTAGAATCACAAGGTAAGGATTTGCGAGTTTAAATGAGGTTAGTGAGAATGAGATTCAATGGAATTTAATGAAATCTCAATGTGAGATCTGAGTGGGAAATAGGCTCGAGTTTGGCTGGTCACGAGCTGTGTGTTTAAATAGACCGCTGCAAGACGATCGTCTTGGTACTTGATGAGCGTTCATATGATGTGATATAAATATATGTCACAACTCCTACATATATTATCGCAAATTATGCCGCCCGAGCCGTGGTGTACGACAAGCCAGTCAGAATCATAACGTTGATTCGACGTTGAAACGGTCGATGGAACGTTAATTCAACCCTCATCGACGTCGGATGGAACGTTGTGGTTCTGACTGGGAGCGTACACCCTCCTCGGAACGCAGGACTCGTTTGACTCGCAGCCTAATATCTACGCACTGCGCTCGGCCGTTCACAGACGCTGAGTGGGGAGGCGACCGGTTGTAAAAGGCCGGCGAGTAACTTATTAACTCTCATTATGCACGAGAATACATCTATATACACGATGAGCTCGATTGCAGAAGAAGCAGAAGGACTGGTTTGAAACTAAAAGGCGTTACTGTTATCTGCATAATGAGCGAGGAACGGAGACACTGACAAAGGAACTATCCGCTTCTTCTGCAATTGCATCTCCTTTACTGTAGTTGAAAACTAGACGTACCCCTGCTGCATGAAGTAATCGAGGACGAAAGTGAGGCGGGGACAAGCCTCGGTCGGATATCTTAAGAGTAACTGAAAATTGATCAAAAATCGACCACGAGTCTAACACTTGTAGGACAATCATCACAAGAATTGACGCGAGACTCGTTTTGCAAAGCGTTCACTGTGTGCGATTAGTTTGAAAGTTGATCCAAGCCAAGATTGATTGAAGAGAGAGACTCGACTGCTAGAAAAATTCAGCTCTTGCTCGGGATCTTGCAACGGTCTTGCTCCGTCCCGTGATATTAATATCGCAGTCTATTGTTAAAAATAATTATCGTGGTTGCGTGGTAAAATGCCGAGAGGAGAACTAATAATCGAAGCTACACCGACGTACGTTCGAGTCGTCGTACGTATTTGCGCGTCGAGGAATATATCTTGTCACCTTGTCACATTACAGTTATAATCTCGTGCGCGTTTCTAAAATTGGGATACACGCGCACACGCGTGTGAACATGTCACATTATAGTCCGCCAGTAATCGATATTATGTCGTGTCCTTCTACCGACGACGCTGTTAGACATTTTCACGTGTGAATTATACACGTTCGTACACACACGTTGGAAGTATATACTAACCTACTTCTGCGGAATAACGAGGTGTACTCTTATTAAGTAGCTGATTAAATACGTGTTTTTATCGAATATTTAATTAAACCAGTTACTCGAGTCTTACGATAGTCTTTGATAGGTGTAGAGAATAAATGATGAAGAGATGAATAAATGATAGATGTATGTATCACAAAACACAGTTTATCTTATCGGTCACATATCAATCAATTAACATTATTTTGAATTGACGATACCCTTTAACTAACTCGTGGAATATTCAGATTTAATCGGCTGTGCAGAATTGTTGAGATCTCTATAATCAATCATGACTTCATTCATTGGAGATTGGAGATCTACTCACATTTACCGCAACGCGTAATGTATTTATCTATTCAGGAAATCGGTTTTTTTTCTCTTCAGAGTGGATATGGTAACTATGAACTCCGAAAAATCGGCTTGCCGCCGAAAACCAGTGGAAAAAAGCAGCAGCGAAAAGACACCAGAGCATGTTGAGGAGGCCGACAAGAAGAATGAGGATAATCGTATAACTGAATCTCCAGATTTGTCTCCCAACACTCCCACATACAACGTCACTGCCTCTTGCGCCGAAGACACCCCTAACTACCTTGTCTATAAGAAGGTAACGTCGTCTATAAAAAGTATTAACGCACACACATATTCTCTTCCACCAACTCGAGCGTGTAATTAGCAGCATATTATAAGTTTTAATTTTTTCTTTATTCTCAAGCAAATCGCTCTTCTCACATAAAATCGTCATCATGTTTCAGATGGAGTCGATCGTAGAAAAGATGTTAGACGAGTTTACAGGTGTTCCCGTAAAAACAGTCAAGACTTTCATGACGAAAACGCCATCTGTTTTTACAGGTAAAACGAAATTAAATTCTCATTTTAATACGATCAGCTATATAGGCGGAAATCTACAATTTAGCTCACATGTAACGTTCGATTTGCACTCTAGGCACGGATCTCATAGCATGGATGATGAAGAGTATGGATATAGATGATCAAGGTAAGTTCTTGTTCTAAGACTTTTTAAGGTGTATCAACTGATATTTCAAGACGATTGCAGACTAGAACTCGAAATCTCTAATAATGTGTTCGTACACTGACGCAGAGGCTCTTCATGTGGCTCATCTAATGGCATCCCATGGATATTTCTTCCCTATCGACGATCACTGCCTTACCGTGAAGAACGACAACACGTTCTATAGGTTTCAAACTCCCTATTTTTGGCCATCGAACTGTTGGGAACCTGAAAACACTGATTATGGTATGAAAGCATATCAGTATTCCCGTCTTATCAATATAGTTCTTCCAATCTCGATTACTTCTTTATATCTTCTATACTGCTGCGTATATGTATCTGCCTTGACTGATTTATTACTTTATTTTGCTAGCTGCACTTTGATACACCCGTTGGTGCGTGTTACTTTAAATGTTACAGCTGTCTATTTATGCAAAAGGACGATGCAGAACAAAACGCGACTGGAATTGGCAGACTACGAGGCGGAGAACCTGGCTAGATTGCAAAAGATGTTTTCGCGAAAATGGGAATTTATCTTTATGCAGGCGGAAGCGCAGAGTAAAGTCGACAAGAAAAGGGATAAGCTGGAAAGGAAAGTCTTGGACAGTCAAGAGAGAGCCTTCTGGGATGTACATCGGCCGATGGTATGATTTTATACGAGATTAAATTGATTACGCGACAATATATCGCGTGCGATATGCATTGTTAACATGTACTTGTGTTACATGTGATCGTGATACATTGTCAAATGTTACGTTTCAGCCTGGATGCGTAAACACCACTGAGCTGGATATTAAAAAAGCCTGTCGTAGTCACAAGTCCGTCGTACAACCGAGCAAGCACTTGCAGCTGGGGCTCGCGGGCGGCAGGATATCACCGTCTGCGGAACCGCACGCGAACTCGTCGACGTCGATCGAATTTTTACAGAAAGAGATCGAGACGCTGAAAGACAGACTCGACAGGCCCGTCATCAAAGTGTCGAAAGTAGCCGAAGCGTATGTCGATAGAATTTCAATAATATTCGTTAGAACACAAAGCCGATCTGTCAACGACGTACATAACATTTACGTTTATTTGAGCTCGGCTAGACGCATATACGACGCGACGCATACCCCGTAGGCTGATCGATACACGATATTTTTAGTCTGATTGGATACTTTGAGCAATATATGGAGTACGACCCTTTTTTCACTCAACCTGAGTTGACGAATCCGTGGATATCCGATAGCCCAGAAATGTGGGAGCAAGAGAAATTAGCGTACGTATATCGCCGTTACAACGAGGAAAGATTCGTCGCGACGTTTGGATTTGGGGAATTCGATGAAGCAATATCAATATGTGTGTGTGGTGTGTGTCAATCGACGCTTTTATATACTTACAGGAAAGAAATATCCACGAGGAGAGTGAAGAGATGGGCGTTCAGTTTGCAAGAGCTTCTGCAGGATCCCGTCGGTAGAGAACAATTTATACGCTTCTTAGATAAGGAATTTAGCGGCGAGAATCTCAAGTACGTGTATACATAGAGCTTTGCGAGTCTTTTCGTTACGTTTCGTTACGTTTCGTTACGCTATTTTACTCCAACTCATGTCCAAGCTCGTGTGTCTGTTTGAATGCGCGTAATACGAAAATTCAATTTGCATCAGGGAAACGAGATCATTTGTGATATGTGCAGATTTTGGGAAACCGTACAGGAATTAAAAACTTTACCGCAGAAAGACGTCCAAACGAAAGTCGAGGAGATATGGCGCGAATTCTTGGACACGGACGCCAGTTGTCCTATCAATGTCGATTCTCGGTCTTACGAGATAACGAAAAAGAATCTCGAAAAGCCGGACCAATGGTGTTTCGACGTTGCCGCGGTATTCATTCAATTTTAATTGCTTCTGTACTTATTTGATTGCGTATGTTCACGCATGTAATATATTTTCCCCGTCAGTATTATATTATTATTATTGTTGTTGTTGTTGTTGTTGTTGGTATTATTATTATTATTATTATTATTATTATTATTATTGTTATTATTCTCTAGGCGCATGTATATCATCTGATGAAGAGCGACAGTTATTCGAGATATTTGCGCTCAGAAATGTACAAGGACTTCCTTAACGGATCGAAGAAAAAGGTTCGTTACTCTGCAACATTTTTCTCCTTTGTTTATCACAATGTAATTTGAAATTACTAATATTTTAATAGCTACCGCAATACGGTAGCGTTAAGTTCTTCGGGATAAAATCGCGCAATTTTTAAAATGTATATGCAAAATTAGAAAAATCGCATTTCTTGAATCATATCACACGATAATTAGTATTTGTGTACCATGTGTGATTATATAATAAGAACCGTTTTGCTTTGAAACTTTGCAGACTTCGGTAAAAGGCATTCGTTCCATCGTTTCCTTCACAGGACGGAGGGACACTACAGTCTCGTAACCTGCCAGTTTTTAACACTATACTTGCGTCTCTCTGTAACTTGCTGTTCCGTTTATCTCTCTTCTCAGCTCTGTCAGAACATCACAAAACTAACGAGAGAATCTTCAAGATTGAATGAGTATTTTTTATTTAAATCAATTCTATATATTATACCGAGATGCATTCGTAATTAAATATTTTATATCGGTACGACGACTAAGATTATTTAAAACGTTGTCATATGATCGCGTGCTATACACTTCCCGGAACGATCGATCGAATCGATCAAACCTTCGCCAGAAGAAAATCATTTCGAGAGTTTATCCAAAGTGCCGTCATATTGTTGGGAATTGCGCATTTCATTGTATCTTCGTATATGTACTACGTACATTTTATTCCGCCCGTTTTATTTTTATATTTTATTTGTTAAGTTTTTCTACCATAACTTTGGACAATGTAATAAATGTAAATAATGCGTGTAAATAACGCGTTTTCTTAATTCGTATCGGATGTATCGGACACATTAGACAAGAGCGCAGATTATATAACATACACGCACACACACGTACACGTGCATACATACACACAAGTTTATTGTATAATAGCGGAACTTCTGTATCTTTCAATTACCACCGAAGTCTATAGCCGAGCTGAAATGATATCGCGTACTCGCGTCGGTAGTCGATCGATATGTATCCGACGAACTCGTATAATGCACATAGAATCAACCTTTCATTGAGTCGTACAGGCATTATGTCGACAATGAGTACAATGTCTTGTGAATCGACGCGCTTACATGCGTACGTTTTTATATCGACTCAGTAAAGTGCACAATAGTTTTTCAAGTGCACTATGCGTTCGACCGATCTCGTTACGAGAATGTGTATCGATTTTAGTTACAAATAAATCGCCAGGCACGCGGTGAAATAAAAAATGTCTAAAAAAAAAAAAAAAAGAAAAATAAATAAAACAGTTATGACACCGCTAGTTCGCGAGAACGCAACTCTGCAAAACTTGAGAAATTATAGAATAGAAAATCCGAGCTCCTGTATAACCACCAAAAGATTAATAAATCTAAAACTTGTATTAGATAAAAAGAGCATAGATTTGTGAGAGAGAAGGAAAGAGAGCCCACGCATATACTCTATATTAAGTGAAGTATCTTGCATGACTTTGCAAGTCACACAACATTCTTTGATGATAAGATTCATCGATAGTACATCAAAATATTTTCCTTCTACATCCACTTACTTATGTGCCTTTTTTACCCATATAAATGCATATTTTAATATAGAAAAATAAAGTTCCTCATATACGCGCATATTCATAATCTTCCCTATTAAGTTTCCACTCAGTTTCCCGTCGATTGCATCATATTATTTAGTAATGTTCTTATTACTTGATATAATGTAATCATTTTCCCTTCAATTTTAACTGACATTTTTAATAATATGATATATATTTCTCGACTATATAGAAACCACTAATCGTTTCATTTATCGTATAAGCAAGAATATTCAGACATACATACATATATTTAATATACTTAATGTTAATAAACGTTAATTCGGTGTTTCATAGATAATTCGGTGGCAGATATTTGAAAGTCTCTTTTATTTTAAGCAACATATAGATCGTCGATGGATCTCTGACAAAATTCAAAATTGTTCATCCTATCCCCAATAACTATAGTTTAATTTCTAACGAGTCTTCGTTACACACTCATTACTATACTCATTCGCCTTCATCGACGCGGTCCCGTTTAAATCCAACAATCTAAAATAAGTCCTTGTAAAACTTGTAATACAATAAAGTATTTCAGAAGCACAGAGCACTCACTTCGTCAGTTCGTCGGGACACTCGTCAGATGGCAAATATAATTTTTCATATCGCTTCTAGATCCTTTTTATTGTTCCTCTTGATAATCGGTACCGCTGCCCAAAGCGCAGTGCCCAGAATTAAGATGATTCCAAAGGCTAAGAAGATCGGCTTGTAGGAGAGTACGTTCTCGAAGATGATCCCGCAGACAGGCGGTCCAACCAGTTGCAGCACACCGTTGACAAACAACGAGATGCCATAGGACGAGCTGAGCTTCTCAGTGCCCAGCATGTCTGCCAAGATGACCGTGGTGATGCCGATGTACATACCCGAGGAGAGACCGAAAAGGCCGCAGAAGAACGACAGCATGGTGTAACTGGTCGCCATAGGTAGTAACGCCAGAGCGATACCGCTGGTGCCGAGTCCACCCACGAAGTAATAATACTTCGGTATGAAGTCGATGTCGGATAAAGACGCTCCGCCGATGCGGCCGACTAAATCCAGCGCAGAGACTATGGACAAGAGCAAAGCGGATGAATTCTTGTCGAAGCCCTCGGCGATCGCGTAAGAAGGCAACAAAATCATGAAGTTTGTGTTGCTGATAGCGGACGTGGAGTTGGAGATGAGGATCACCAAGTAGATGGGGTCCCTCAACACGCTCAAGTCGAAGAAACGCGTCTTCTCGGACTTGTCCGGTGCTTTCGACGACTTGGAGTGCACGTCGCTCCGCTTAGGCTCCTCCACGTACCTTCCGTTACTCTCTTCTTTGTGGTTTTCTATGCTCTTCGAAGAATCGAATCGTGTCTTGCTGTCCTCGGGAGAAGCGTTGCTCCGACGCGACAAATTCAGCGCGCCCCTGTCTGAGACGTTTTCGCTGTCCCCACCGCTGTCTCCGCCGTGTCCATTGTCCTTCGAAACGAGACTTAAACAGATCGTCGCGTGAGTATCGTTCGCGTCCGGAATGTCTTTTTGCAGGACGTCGTCCTGTGTTCGAGAGATTGGCTCCTTTGCGACGAGGTCAGACTGTACTTTTGGATCCGTAGCCCTCCGGTCAATCTCTTCGTAAGCTGAATTCTCTTCAGGTTGGTAATACGCTTTCTCGTTCACCGATTGCAACACCACATTGTGTTGGAGATCCGAGAGTTTGTACACTCGTTTGTCATCGTCGTGCGCATTTTGAAGACTCGAATCGAACTTAGCACTGATCCCCATCCTCTTGTCCGGCTCTTGCTTCCTGTCGACGGGTTCATCGAGAGTCAATGCCTCATTGTCGATTCCCTCGTCTAAGACTACGGTTTTCATGTGCTGCTCGACCGGGTGGTACAAAAGACCGCAGACCAGCGTGTTCAACGTAATCGCGCCCATGATCAGTACCGCTCCTCTGAAAATTCGAGTTATTGCTTATAATTGGTGATTTTTAGAGTTTCCGCGAGAATTCTAGAGACCCTTCTTGATGAAACGAAGAGAAACCCCGACGAAGATTCATTCTTGGAAAGATTTTCCCGTCTAATGTTCCCCGCGTCAGCGTTCATTCACGCTTGTTCAAGCGAACACAATCGAGCACATTCGTCAACTTGTTGGCTTACCTGTATCCGAAGCAATCTAAAAGATATTGCAGTAGCGGCGGTAGCACTATGGTACCGATCGCACTGCCGGATATGCATAAGCCGTTCGCAACACCCCGTAGCTTCTCGAAGTACGACGTAACGATGTAGACCGTCGGTGGAAATGATAATCCAGCGCCGATCCCGACCATGAGCCCGTAACTACGTGTGTAGAAAAAGAAAAGGTCGCTATTATCGCCGCGAAACGCAGTGGATCCTTGGAAATAAAGACTCGTATTTACTTCCACGTCTTTACCGATGCATCGGTCGTAACGGCATACCTGACGTAAAGGTAGGTAACTGAATTGGCGAAATAGCTTAACATCATCCCGCTAGCTGCGAAGGTGCCGCCGATGAGGGTCACCGTTCTGTAGGAATACTTGGTTGACAGAATACTAGATAAGGGACCTGCGACATACATTTCACATTTTTCATACTTTTCCACACATGCTGCTTCTTCATCCAACGTACAGGATATTATTTTCTTAGCTTCTCTACAGGTATCTATAAAAGTTCACATGGCAAAATTCCGCGATAACTCGGTTATTGTGATAACTCAGAAGCGAAAGGAAAAGAGAACGAAGAGATCCGCGGAGAGACTCACGGTACATTCCGGATTATGTGAGTATGACTGTGCCGCTGGCAGAGGGTGACACTTCTGAATGAGTTGGAAAGATTCGAGGGCTCACCTAACGAGCTGTACAGAAAGTAGCATAACGCCGGCATCCAGGAGGCCGCTGTGGAGGACGCCTTGAAAACGTGCAGGAACTCGACGAAGAGCACGCCGAACGACTTGACCGTGCCCGGGATCAGAAAGTTGACCACAAGAGCGGCGAAGAGAACCACCCAGCCCCATCCGCCGTCCGGCGGAACCGTTTTCGTCTTCGTTTTCCTCTTCGTGGTCGACATGTCTTCTGCTGCGGTGCTGCGAGGCCGTGCGACGGCGGTTCCGCACGATTCTCGACTGTAAGTGTTTAAGGGACGAGTAGCTGTTACGCATGGATTATAATAGACACTTTCTGCCGTCGCTGCGAAGGTAAGAGAGAAAGATCATTATCGGCATTAAAAAGGATAAATCAGCCGCGTCCTCGACGCAGCCGCGCTCCTCAAGTCTCAACAACGTGACTAAAGGAATCGCTACTGTGCGATGAAATCTCTAGCGATGTAAAATTAACGTGTTCTCTAAAAGCGAACGACGTGAGCGTGAAGCGCCAAAAGTCTACCATACAAAGTTTTCCACATCTTATAAATGTCTGCTTGTGTTGAGACTCTAATGCGACTAACCAATCATCCTGCGGCGGCTTTCCGCGCTACGCAGTTTCTCTTATTTATCCCTCAAACGCGATCGCCGTTCTGCAATTCCCTGTGCGATCCACACTCTTATCTTTCAAATGGCGCTGATAATATCCTCTCACATCCTGCGCTCGGAAAGACGAAAGACTTTTTCACGCATGCATGATTTTTCCTCCGTGACGTTTCTCTCCTCTTTCTTTACGTGTCCGCGACGGCTGTAATTGCTGTAATAAGCGCAATCATATCTCAATCGACAGTTGTCTTCGACTTTGTACCGATCAGGCCCGTCAGATCCGCCAGTGAAGTGGTAAATAGAACAGAACCATATGTATTTGAATAAACTTCGTGACTCATTACTGGAAATAGTAAAAGTAAGATACTTAGCGGTACTCGCGCGACGCGTTGACGTCGTGTCTCTCGGCCTGTATCTTTGTCATATGAATTAACATCTCGGATGGCGGACGGCTACGTTACGTACCTCACCACGTCGTCATAAAACACATATCGCGATGCGGCTCGATCCTGATGATGCTTCGCGTGTTACCGCGGAGCGGTACCGCGACGGTCGTCGCTAGCGACTATCGCGTGGTGCGTGGCTATTAATTTGGAATTGCAGCTATTATGTGGTTTTTAGATCTGAACCTATCGTCACGTACCTATATCTGGCCGCCAATTCAGCTGGAGATGACACAGAAGCGTAATGAAAGTTTGACAATAGTTAAACAACGGTTACACGGAACACCGGGGACGAGGAGGGGCTGAGCGCGGCCGGCTATTTCACCGCGGTTCTGTCGCGCGGATACGACGGAGATACGCGAGAGTGCTTGAAAACAGAAACGCTGCGTTACAATTTCATCAATCCTTTCATTGTGGTCTGACCGCTTTGTTTTGATTACGGCTTTTATTCGATTCGAGTCGCAGTTCTGCCGTTCGCGCGTGGATGTTGTCTTACAAAACAAACGATTTGAAGCTCTTTTCGCGGATGCAATTTCGGACTTCGACTAGATTTAGAAAACTCAGCTTCTGGGAATTTTTCTGGGAAAAATCATGTATGCGTGAAAAAGTCTTTCGTCTTTCCGAGCGCAGGATGTGAGAGGATATTATCAGTGTATTTGAAAGATAAGAGTGTGGATCGCACAGGGAATTGCAGAACGGCGATCGCGTTTGAGGGATAAATAAGAGAAACTGCGTAGCGCGGAAAGCCGCCGCAGGATGATTGGTTAGTCGCATTAGAGTCTCAACACAAGCAGACATTTATAAGATGTGGATTTCGGACTTCGACTAGATTTAGAAAACTCAGCTTCTGGGAATTTTTCGAAACAATTTCTCTCTCTCTCTCTCTCTCTCTCGCTGGATCACGACTTTCGAACAGCGTCCAAAAAAATGCTCAAGCCGTTTAGAACTCTATGGAGAAAGAAAAATCTATGGAGAAAAGTCGAGTCTCGGAGCCGCCTAATCGTATTCGAATTTTTCTTTTCGATAAGAATTGAGAGAGAGAGAGAGAGAGAGAGAGAGAGAGAGAGAGAGAGAGAGAGAGAGAGAGAGAGAGAGAGAGAGAGAGAGAGAGAGAGAGAGAGAGAGAGAGAGAGAGAGAGAGAGAGAGAGAGAGAGAGAGAGAGAGAGAGAGAACAAGGCCCGACGACCTCCGAGGGTCATCCACGTTTGCGTTTGCGTTTGCGTTCCGATGCAAACGCAGCCGCGCGCTGCGCGACCGTGCGCTGCGGTATGGCACAACGGTGTGAAAAGTCCCGTAATCGACCACGGTTGCACAGGTTACACACAGGTAACACTATGCAATGAGTAGGCACGCCGTTCTCGCGCGAACACCACGCCTGGGTACTATGAATGATTCCATTTACTACGGATGCGTAAAACGCTCGAACGCGATCGAGCGCGCCGCAATCGGAATCGGCGCGCCGTTCTCCGCCGCGTATATGTACAGGGTGTGTAGGAAAGATATGCACGAGCGAGCGCGCGCGACCAGTGAAGGAAAGGTCGCGGGACTTTTTTTTTACCTCGACGTACTTGAGAAAGTGCGATCTTCCGGTATCGCATGCGGAAAAAGAATGTATCTCCCGGAAATCGCCAAGAGACAAATCCCCTCCCTCGGATATGCGAAACGTGTGGCGGAGTTCATCGAAAGAAAAAAAAAAAAAAACAAAAAAAACAAAGTGTTGTAACCTTCCTTGCGTTGATTATCCTGCTTCGATAAAACGGGCGTCGCGGTCACGCATCGGTATTATCGTGCTTGTTTCTCTTTCGTTCGGACGAAAAGATTCGGACGAAAGTTACGACGGGTGAGAGCGGGCGGGCGGGGGAAGCGTTGTTTAATGAGCGGAGATCGCACGGAGATTGTCCACCCGCGGTGATAAACAACGATTGTCGCACGGCGCACGCATTTTCCCGTGCATTCTCACGGTGAATTCTCTCGTGCGCGGCACCTTATATCGTGCGAGGAGAACACACTCGTACGTGAAACAGCCACGACGCACCGCGTCGTGTCACACTGTAAATAGCGAGAGGGGGGGCCGTTACTCGGCGACATTAGACAGTTTTACGTTAGAATCTTGCTTGATATTTATTCGATATCGTTTTACGAGCTTCGCGCGCGAACGCCGCGATTCACACACACCGTGTGCCGTCCCTTGCACGCGGCGCATTCTCTCCATCCCGGCCTGGCATGCGTAAGAGCGTGGGCAAATCGCATCCGCGGCAATAACAAACGACATGCTCGTTAACGTTCAGGCGCCTTGAAGCAGCATTACGATGAATTAATATCCGTAAACAGAATTCGAAAGGAGAAACGCGTTCCGAGAGATACGAGAAGGTAACGGGTAGATGTTAAAAATACTCACACGCGCACGCACCGATACATGTCACGTTGCGCGCTCGCGCACTCGCGATACTCACACACACCCTCTGCGAAGGATAGATTACGTGTCTCCTGTATGTTCCGTCGCGACGAGTTCGTTTCGTATTAGAAAGCGGATTGTTCGACTGTAGAAATTCATTCAGCTTCTTACTCAGTTGAAATTTTACTGATAATTCACATCATCGTCACTCGACTTGCGCGCGTCGCTTCCATCACGCTTTGTTCACCTTCCGAATTGTGACACGAGTCACAATTCGGAAATGTGGGAACAAGTGGATTTTTCCCCTCTATCTCAAGCTCACGCCTGTTCGATCCCTTTATCTTGATTATTTTATCTCTGTTTTTTTGAAACATCCTCTATTGATAGATTGGTGATTTGAAGATTAGAAGATTAAAAGAGATTGGGCGCGTGTTCGTTTCTCTCGAATATACGGGCATAATCGCCGCGTAATAAAAATGCTACAGAACGCACCGATGCCGATGACATCATCTGAAAAATGTAACAAACAATTTTGCAAACTGCAGCGCCCATTTTTCCTATATACGTGTAGCTTCAAATCGAGTATATACAAGATTACATAACGTAAGGAGACACGCGACGCGCGCAAGGCTACCATACTCTAATAATATTAGTCAACAAATCTAACATCCTTTTTGCAACTGTTTCTGAATTCTCGTGAAACTTGACACATTCAGTCTAAATACGTTATCGATATAACGTAATATTTTGAGACGTTCATTCGCGTCTTAATACGCGCAGTGAATTTGGAGAGTCGAAACAGCATTCCTCCGAGACTACCGGAATGAAACTTCAAAATTGTAGTTACTCCGTAGTGAAATGAATTCGGAATTGGAGGATCGTCAAGCTCGATGTGCGCAGTTGTTGCGATTAAAAGATACAATGACCTAAAAATTTAAAATTCTAATGATTTCCTAATGACTAAGGACCAGTTATCTGTATCCGAGTCAATCAAAGAACATTAAAGGTAATCTAAAGACCATCGGTCGACAAAACGAAAGCACCATTCGCAATCCACAATCGAATACATCCAATATTAGTAATAATTACAAACTGACCTGGAAGACATTTCTTCTCCTCTTGGCATCTCTTCTTCTCACCGTAGTAGCGGTGAAGAAGGCTGCGGTAGGCGGTGGGCTAAATCACCCCCGTCGGAAGACTGTTCTTGCTCTGGCAGGAGGGCAACGGGAAGCAGGATGCTCATCGGACGTTTGCTATCATCCTGTGTCTTCGACTAGACTGCACACGGGCACCGGAGAACCCGTTCCTCTCCCTCTTCTTTTTCCCTCAGCTCTCCTCGAATCGGCGCAGGAACACCCGAAGGCTGCCCCCGACTTTTATCGTACCAAAACGGTCACTGCGCCGCGCCATTATAAGACCGGTGTGCACCTCGATGGGCACGTACACGGTGTACACGTACAATTGTTTTCTTCAAGCTGGCTGGTTGACTAGTTAGCTGGTTGCTGGACTAGCTACCTGGCTGTCTGTCTGGCTAGTTCCTAGCTAACTGATTAAATGACTGGCCGACTGGTTAGCTGACTGGCTCAATGGCGACTAGCTGGCTGGTTGATCGGCTGGGTGACTGATTGACTGATTAATTGACCGGCTAATTGGTTCGCTGGATGATTGACTGGCCAATGGCTGACTGATGCTTAATTGACTGGCTGGCGAACCGACTGGTTGGTTACCTGGCAAAGCCACCTTAACCGAGCTACTACACAGAAGTGTTCTCCTTATACCGCGGAGAGACTACGAGGTGGAGACAGGTCGAGTAGCGCGATCCAGCGCGTGATCGCAGAGAGGGTGGGAGATTCTTCGCACGCACAACCACCGCTTGCTGTTGGCTCCCACCATCGTCGCGACGGTGCCCACCGAGACTTCCAGCGGAGACCAGATTAACGCTTTACCTACACAGCGGGAACAGGATCCCGAGAATATTCGCCGGGCGTATATGTCTTCGGGGATTTTTGGATGACGCGTAACACACGATTAATGTGCGTATAACCGACAGTCGAATACGGGATATACCTGAAATGATAAACTTGCTTGCTCATAAGATATCTTTGGGGTATTTATTCAAACATACGCTGAGCTTCCTACTCTCGTCAGACTAGTGGATAGTAACAAATCTTTTTTCATAAATATGAATTTATCCGACGATAATATATATATATATATATATATATCTGTAGATCATTTCCAACATTAAATTCAAACGACTCATTTACATTTTGCACTTGTATGCTATCCACCGAGCTATACATATAAATGCACTCGTGAAATATATCCCCCATATTTTTTCTTAAAATTCACATTGTAGGTAAATAAATTTTCAATATTTCATCGATTTTGTCTCGGTGTCTGTCTCGGTGTCTCCATCCCGACATGTATAAACACAGAGACCGCGAGAGAAAATATATTGAATACCTACACTATTTTCAGCTAGCGCCAGCGATTATAATCGACAACGATATTATTTAGCTGGGCTAGAGAATACAGGAGAACTTCTTCTCCGCTCCTTTTCCTCTTCCAGCGGCGAATCCTGATATTCCTTTTAGGCAACGACCTTTTCCTCCGCCTGTACTCCTTGTGCTTCTCCACCTTCTGCTCCCCTCCTTGCTCGGCGAGTCCGGCTCTCGGGAACGTCATTCCGCAGGATCGCATCATTAGTTTTTATTTTGCGACGGTACCGTGCTATTTTTATCCCACAGATCTCCTCCTCCTCCTCATTTCTTCCTCCTCCTCCTCCTCATCCTCTTCTGCTTCTTCTTCGTCCTTCTTCGTCCGTCCTCGAAGACTACTTGCTCACGTAGTTATTAAGACGAAACTTGAAACCGAAAGACCCAGAACACAACGGAGCTGAAGATTCCGAAGTTCCTAGATGGAAAAGTTCAAAGCACTTTGTCATATATCTTTGCTCAGAATTTTGCAGTAAATACGAAGATACTACTTTATGAGATAGCATGGCATTTATCAAGGTATGCCACTTTTTTCTCTGGTTTTTTCGTCGCTTGTTGTTGACTTCATGAAGCGGATAGCGGAACCAGTAGAAATATTCGACAATCTCAATATTACGTAAAAAAATGTAAATGTTATACAAATCGACGATTCCGATTCATTCGAATCCCGCGGAGGCCGCGTGCTGAGGGTAGCCTCGCGCTTCTCTCGTATTCCTTTTTTTTTTACCGACAGCACGACAGCGCGCGGCATACCTTTCACTACCTTCGCAACCTTCCACGGCTGCGTGATTATTAACATAATGTTTTCCATCGTACGTCGCTTTTCGCCCAGTACGGGTTTCGCGGCAGAACGCCACAACTCGACTACTACGTACGCGTATATGCGTCCAAGCCTAAGCAAAAGCGCTAACGCGAGAACTGGTTTTGCCGCAGAATATTCGAGCGAGCGAACAAAGAAGGCGGCAGCATTTATTGCCGACGATTACGGTAAAAATTCGTTCTTTTTTTTTTCAACAAAAATGTGAGAAAAGGAAATTCGATGGATTTACTGTTTGTGCTACATGCCCACTCCGATTTTGGAATTTCTTTGTGTATATATATGTATATATATATACTTACTGTAATATTTCATATTTACATGTATTAATGTCGTGTAATGAGAGTAATTTCAGATTTTCTAGATCAAAAAGAGAATTGTATTTTTATATTGTTATAATTTGTCGTTATATTGATTTCTATCGCCTCTTTGTTTGAAACATCGTTTTATAAAATTGTAACATCAAAATACAATAGTTTCACTCTACCTGAAAAATCCGGAATTACCTGCCATACAAGTTCTAATATTATATATATCGTTCAGAATACAAAAGCCTGAAAGATATCTCAGAAACATGTAAAGAAGCTCATTTCTTACAGATCTTATTTCTTGTAGACATCCTTTAAGACATGCTTTAGACTGCTCTTGCTGTTTTGAGTGCATTTATAATGCATATACTGGCTTAATAGACAAAAACAAAAAACTGCAAGGTTTCTAATAATTAAGGCTAAGATCCAAGGATTATACAGGTTATAATCTACCTGGTATGTAATGATGGCCGTAATGATGGAAGAAACCGTAGTAATATTTATAGTTGTTACGGGTACCAGCATGACTGGGAGTAATTGCATGGCGTCAATATTAGCCCGGTCTGGTCAAGAATAGCTTCGATGGGAATCCCGTCTGACCACCTTGCGCTCTGATCGGTCATCGTCTAAATTAGGGTGAATGTGCCGTTGTGTGTGCGTGTGTGTGTGTGTGTGTGTAGAGGCGTCATTATCATTATTCGGTTATCGACTGGTCGTATCGCGACATGCACGTTGATAATCGGTGCGTTTTGTTACGCGAGTCGCATAACAGCCCTGTGAATTAAATGATCAGAAGTGAAAACTGGATAAACAAGATTATACGTTGCTGCATGTGTCACTTAATTATATCGTGTTACTTGTATACGTACACGGGTTTTGTCAATTTAACAAGGTTTGAGCAGTGGAATTGTCCTGTCGAACGTCGGACGTTTGTGAGAAGAAATCGTCCGCAAAACGAAATGTCTGTCTCAGTGAGTCGTTATATACGCAGCAAAATCATGCAAAATTTCGTGGAATTTCGTCGCCTGAAGTTAGAAGTTGTTCCGTTATGCAGTAATTACCAAAACTCGGATATTACCGCCGCCTCCCTCTTCGAAGCGCTCTCTAGCGGTCGAATGTTGTATCTCATTCTACATGAATTAACATCGGAAGATTGGGAACATTGGAGTATCGGGAATAATGAGAAAGAATACTAACGAGTAGTCGATACTCATCGTATTATTTGCTTTATGCATAAGTTATTTAACAAACATATGTTATACTTAACAATCAGTCGGCGTATATGTATATATAGACATTTTATTTTTACAAATATATAAATATTCAGTTATAAAAATAAATGGAACTTTTTATTCAAGGCATGGCGCTTCGCGAATTATTATAAGTATATCTTTTGAAAGAAATACACGCTCGTATAAATTAATTGTTAATTGCGGCACCAATTGTGGTGTGGGACTTCGCGATTTGTAAGATACAATTTATCATTTCTGGTAGGCTTAAAGTGACTTTCCTAACCAAGCTCCGATTGATCTAATTGACGTTTAGCTAGCAGAGTCACCAGCTAAAGTTGTCAGAGAAGAAATTAAGTTAAGAATTTCAATTAAATTAAATCAATCGGGATTTGATGAAAGTTATCCTTAAATATTGGATGATCGATTATTAGCAGTATCAACTGAGAATTCGTACAAAAAAAAATAAAAATATTTAACATAACCATTTTACACAAAATTCCGAAATATCCATTTTTGAGATATTGTACGTATATACAAATTGCATATTTATTATCGTCAGCTTACTAATTTAACCACCAATAACGATCTTCCTGTCTACCTTATATATATATATATATATATAATATATTATTATTACATACATATAATTATTAATGAAATTAATGTTAATCATTAGTATCGTTATTAGTACATTTTGCGACCGGTATCACCAACAATGAAACAGACTTCGGCAGATGGGGGAGAATTTTAACGTATTAAAAATATTTCATTGTTGGTGAGATCGAATCTAATTGAACACATTTCTTATATCTCCACGAAAATAACTATTTTTTTTATCACGAGTACTAGATAAAATTATTACAAGTATCACTCAATAAACATATAGCTTATTAAAACATAGGCACAGAGAAAGGGAACAAAATATGTTTTCCAAGTCATCGTGTTAATCATCCAATAGAAACCCATTAAGGATTAGAACATTGTTTTGTATAACTTTGTTTCTATATAATATAATAGAGATGATACCATACAGGGCTTCATAGAGATATATAAATCATTAATTTTATTTTTTAGGTTTTTTAATTAATTACTTTTTATATCTGCGTATAAACAATAACATATAATTGCACGAACAATTTAAAAGGACATTATGATTATTGTGTATTGACTTTAGAAAATATTAAATATTACATGTAATGTAGCATATAAATCAGAATTTTCGTGGAATATATACTTGAGATATCATTAATTACAAGATCATGTGCATTAAAAATGTTATTGGCCCCATTTGACATTATTTTAACAGCATGAAATTTCAACTATTATATACTATAAACATAATTGACTGTCTTTGTCAAATTGATTTCTTAAACTCTTTTCTATGACAGAGCTAGTCAAAAAGTACTGTACAATAAAGCAAGTCATAAGTTTTCAAGACTGCAATATATCAAGCAATATTTATAGTAATTACAAATAATAATTACAAATAATTATAAACTGTGGCTTCTTGGCATCATATCTGGTAGTACACAAAGAGAATTTTTAGTAAAATATAGTACATAGGCAGTCTGAAAATTTCTCGGCCTAATGAAAGAAAATTTTTTTGCCATTAAATATATTTTATTTTTCAATATAATCTCCTGAAACTTTAATACATTTATTCCAACGTTTTTCCAATAATTCAATACCATCATTAAAGTGTGATTCCGGAAGATCAGCAAAATATCCATTCACGGCTGCAATAGCTTCATCATTTGATATAAAATGTTTTCCAGCCAGGAATTTTTTCAGGTTTGGAAACAGATAATAGTCAGAGGGAGCCAAATCTGGTGAATACGCTGGATGTTCAAGCAATTCGTACTTTAATTCGTTGAATTTCGCCATTATCAAAACACTTGTGTAAACACTTGCATTGTCTTGATGGAAAACGATTCTTTTGTTCTTTAAAGTAGGTCTTTTCTCATGAATTTTTGCATCCAATAGATCCAAAAGGTTACAATAATATTCCGAGTTAATTGTTTTACCTTTCTGAAGATAATCGATCAACAAAACACCTTTGTAATCCCAAAAAACCGTTGCCATAACCTTTCCTGCTGATGGAACTGCCGTCTTTGCCTTCTTTGGTACACTACCACCGGCTTCAATCCATTGTTTCGACTGTTCTTTTTGCTCTGGTGTATAGTAGTGGATCCAAGTTTCATCAACAGTTATGAAACGATGCTTGAAATCCATTTTATTTTGCTTAAAACGATTCAAACACGCTTGAGAAATACGCATTCGAATGCGTTTTTGGTCAATTGTTAGTGAATGCGGCACCCATCTCGCACAAAGCTTTCTCATATGTAATTCTTCATGCAAAATATTTCCAATTCGTTCTTTTGAGATGCTTATGGCCTCAGCTATTTCACGCATTTTCACTCGTCGATCATCTAACACCATATCATGGACTTGTTGAATGTTTTGTGGTGTTGTAGCAGTTTTTGGACGACCTTTGCGTGGATCATCTCCGAGGCTTGTACGACCAGATTTAAAAAGAGCAGCCCATTTTTTCACAGTGGAAAGTGAAGGTGATGCATCCTTGTACACTTTTAACAATTTCGGATAAATTTCTGTTGGTGTTAAACCATCCAAAACAAAGAATTTAATCACTGCACGATATTCAATTTTTTCCATTTTAAAAAAATCAACGACATGTCAATATCAAACTGGTGCTACTACTCGAATGACTTGATAGATCGAAATTTTACATGGGTTTATATCAGGGATGCCACTTTCCAGTACAATTATAGTTTGACAGTTTCTAATGCCATCTATGGCTGCGTTCCGAAATTCACTGCCAGTACTGAAAATACATAGTTTGTGTCACGTATACTATAGATTTTCAGTACTGGCAGTGAATTTCGGAACGCAGCCTATGGGCAAGAGCAGAGGCTTTTGCATAACACATAAGAGAATAAACCAATTAGTTTTCTTCATTTCCCTCCTCAGGACAGAAATGAAGAACTCTGATTGGTTGATTCTCTTATGTGTTATGTATTATGCGTTATGCAGAAGCCTGTGCTCTGGCCCTATGTGTCAGGCCGAGAAGTTTTCAGACTGCCCTCGTATAAGAATGATATATTCATTGGTCATTAAGTTATTGCTTTTAATATTTATATCAAATGTAGAGATTGGCTTGTTATATTAGAAATGATTAAAATTTACAGTATATTTGATTAATTGTCAGTTAAATTCCTGACTCTCGCATACTTCGGACTTGATTTGTTTGTATATTATAATTAATTGTGTCAGTGTTATTGTCGCGAAACAATATTGGATATCAATGTAATCATTGACAAGATGCTATCTTTCAATCAATTATTAGCAAACTTGGTGTGATGTCGATGTTGCAGGAGTGCTCGATCGAATCAAATCTGTGTTGTTCTAATTCTTTTTTCACGTACAGTATGTAGCAAATCTTTACTTTTTTCCAAACATTCTTTCCCAGTTGGAATTAGAACTTACCGTGAAAACTATGGCCCAATTAGTATAAAGTTGACTGGCAGGTTCAATATTTTGGTATTACAGCATGCAACACTTCTTTTTATTCTTCTTATAATTCGGTTTAAGTGGTGGCCGCTCCGATAGTTGAAACTTTCTGACGATTCGTACCAATTCGTGAAAAGCTTGATCAACATTCATTCGAAGTTTCGCACTGCACTCTATATATGGGATTTTTAATTGACGTGCCATATTTTGTGCCTCTTCAACGGATACCTATAATTGTTTTCATTTCATGCAAAAAAGCAGATAGGAAATGAATTTAAACTAAAGATAATGCACAATATGATATTTACGCTTCTGTGAAGGTCCAAATCTGCTTTATTGCCGACCATTAACATAGGAAACTCGTCTCGATCCTTGACTCGAAGTATCTGTTTATGAAACTTTAATATCTCATCAAAAGATGAATGATCAGTGACAGCAAACACAAGTAGGAATCCCTCGCCACTTCTCATGTATTGTTCACGCATTGCACTAAATTCTTCCTGGCCAGCAGTATCCAATACTGAAACATGAATTTAGTTTGAACTTACATAATTATTTTAAAGAATTGTAAAATTCAACTTTTTATTCGTCAAGCACGAAGATTTACATCTGAATCTAAATATATGAAATTGTGCATAAATTAATATATGTAAAGCAATATCACAGTGTCAGTCAGAAATAACCATGTTGAAATATAAATTTAATTTGTGTAACTTTTTATTTACTGTCAAGCTTAGCCGGTGCATCGTCGATGACGCACTGCTTCGTGTACGAGTCCTCGATCGTGGGATCATAATCGGTCACGAAATAACTCTGAAAGCAAAATCAAAAATCCTTGTAATCCCCCCCACTAGTTACATGTTCATTTCAGCGCCAGATTGATCGCTCGGTCGATAACAATAATCATCAACGCAACCTGTGCTATCGATAGTCGGTGAGTAGAGAAAGGCGATTTCATCGATAATCCGCAACACCGCCACTTTACTTCGCCTCCGCCGCGCGTTCGAAACTTGGTCGAGATCGGTACAATCCGCGGCGCTGTCGCGTATGACCATATATGACGTTTGCGTCCGCGCTATGACATAATGCTTAAGGCCGCGGTCACACGAGCGTAGAACTGTCGAGAAAAATGCGCCTGTCCGTCGCGTGTTGGGTCATTCTTGCAAGCCCGATCTGCGGATCGGGAGACATCGTGTGCGATCGCTTCGTCGTGTTTATCATCTGTTTTCTAACGTGATGTAACCACGAGCATTGTACTGACGTCTGACGTGCTGACGCTTGTGTGAACGTGGCTCAAGCCAATGTCCAACTATCTTCCTGTTGTTACGAGTCACGTTACACAAACGGTATCTTCTCGTCCACGATTTCGTTATAGGACGTGTGATTCATCGCAAGATCAACCGCAAGCCTGATAATAATATCAAGTTGCGAAACGTCACACAGAAACCGACGAACGGAAAACGCAGCGTCGCAGAACGAACGCGATTTTCTCCTCCTGCTCGTCAGGAGAATCTTTCGTATCTGTCGAGTATACGCGAGCGAATTTCGAAAGAGATCAGCGTCTTGAACGAAACGCGCGCGTGCGTCATAAACGCTCACTCACAATGTACAGCAATTGTCTCCGTCGTACTCACACACTAAGCGATTACCCGCGCTATATGTTACATACACACCGAGAGAGTCACGCAGGAAACACACTTACTTGAATGAATTGTATCGTAATCGCCGATTTCCCGACACCACCCCCACCCACGACCACGAGCTTGTAAGTTTGCGCGTAGCTCTGTCTATCAGCGGTTTTCGACATGTTTTTTTCTCACTTGTCTCTACGGATGTTGCTCTCGCGTTTACTCGCGCTCACAGAGCGGTGGCGGCGGCGGCGACGGCGGAGAGCTCTCACTGGCGCCGTGCGTGCGCACGCATGAACGATTAAATGCTCATTTCACGTCAGCCGCTCCGCCGACTCGAGCGAACCAGTACGATAATGCGAGTCCGTCACTCCTTCGCGACTGTTCGCAATATCGTATGGTAGAGTCTTCGCGTGGCGGCGTTTTCCTCACGGACGTTTCTTTACTCGGCTAAAACCAAGGCTGCGCCGCGTTACGAAAAAGAGAGAGGGGGAAGAAGAAAGAAAGAGAGAGAGAGAGAACTTTGAGCCTCGGGTGGCCTCGGAGCCATTCGTGACTGAGACTCGTCAACTTTTTATGGATGACACTTATAACGTTTTCGAGAATGACGAGTTCGTATCTCTCTCTGGGAGCAATTCAACTCGACTTGTTGTGAACTTATAGTTCGACTCAAAATGGGTCCAAATCCTAGTCGAGTTCTAGTTAGTATGGCAGAAATTAGACAAAGGAATAAATTTCATATATTTTATCTAAAAAAAAAAGAAATTTCTGTAACATGAAGTATACACACACATACACACACACACACACACACCACACACACACACACACACACATATATAAGTCCTTGAAATTATTATCATACACTCAGTTATAAAACGATTTAGACACAATAAGATTTATACTGCTGTCGATAGTTCGAATCTCAGTTAAAAAGCAGCTTTTAAGTTCGAGACTCGAACCACAATTTCAAGTGAAAAAATTTACTGACAAAATTTACCAGTAAAATTTAGCTAACTAGTAACTTAAAGCGTTTTTCGTGAGTTTAAGTGCCATATAAGATGACACCAATCATGAAATCGTGAAATCAATAATATAGTCGAGATTCGAACCGCAATTTACCATTTTTTATAAAATATATCCAAAACTCAATCCACATTTAGTCGAGACTCGAACCATGTCAGACGAGGTCACTTTAAGGATTTACAAGAATCAAAAACAAATCCCGAATTTATAGGCCTTACGCGACGAGAATGCGGATCAGCACTTTTGTGAATAGATGTATATCCATTTTTTTCATGGATTATTATTAGTAATGTTCACATGCGATTTAGCAGAAATGTTCACTATGTGGACGCAGAGAGGAACGTAAGAGCGGCCAACACGATGTTTTCGACGACACCGACTTTCCGCACTGGGAAAGGGCGCCATCTGCAACCATTTTGAGAGGGAAACTACGAAGACCGTTCAATATCTAATTTTTTCATCAAATTAACGCGGATAAATGAACAATTCGTCTGAATTTTTTTCTTTCTTTATAGAAAAATGAAAGGAGAAATCAGTACCGAAAATCGAATACCGATCGATATCGAATTTATTCATCAAATTAACATGGATAAATAAACGATTTGTTTCAATCTTTTTTTCTTTTATAGAGAAATCAAAGACTAAATCAGTACCGAAAGCCGGATATTGATCAATACTATAAATTAGTGTCAGAAAATTGTCTAAGTGCAATGACAAGTTGTTTTCATCTTGCAGCTACTTACCCTACTAATTTACTCAACAAATTAAGTCGGATAAAAGAAAGATTCGTATCAATTTTTATTCTCTTATTAAGAAATTAGAGAATTAGTCAGTACCGAAAATTGAAAACCGATCAATATTTAATTTATTCATCAAATTAACGGGGATAAATGAACAATTTGTATCAATCTTTTTTTCTTTTATAGAGAAATCAAAGACTAAATCAGTATTGAAAACCGGATATTGATTAATACTACAAATCAGCGTTAGAAAATTGTTTAAATGTAATGAAAAGTTGTTTTCATCTTGCAGGTATTTACCCCACTAATTTACTCAATAAATTAACTCGAATAAACGAATGATTCGTATCAATTTTTCTTGTCTTATAAAACAATGAGAAAATAAATCAGTACCGAAAATTGAAGACCGATCAATATTTAATTTATTCATCAAATTAACGCGGATAAATGAACGATTCGTACGAATACTTTTTTCTTATAGAGAAATGAAAGATTAAATCAGTACCGAAAATCGAATATCGATTAATACTATAATCAGTGTCAAAAAATTGTCCAAGTGCAATGACAATTTGTTCTCATTTTTCAGGTACTTACCCCTCTAATCTTATTCTACAAATTAACTCGGATAAACGAACGACTCGTATCAATTTTTTTGTCTTATAAAAAAATAAGAAAATAAATCAGTACTGAAAACCGAAGATTGATCGATACTATAAATCAATGTCAAGAAAATTGTCCAAGAGCAATGACAAGTTGTTTTCATCTTGCAGGTACTTACCCCACTAATTTACTCAACAAATTAACTCGAATAAACGGATGATTCGTATTAATTTTTATTCTGTTATAAAGAAATTAAAGAATCAGTCAGTACCGAAAATTGAAGACTGATCAATATTTAATTTATTCATTAAATTAACGCGGATAAATGAACGATCTGTATGAATTTTTTTTTCTTATAGAGAAATGAAAGAGTAAATCAGTATCAAAAATCGAATATCGATTAATACCATAAATCAGTGTCAAAAAATTGTCCAAGTGCAATGACAATTTGTTCTCATTTTACAAGTACTTACCCCACTAATTTACTCAACAAATTAAGTCGCATAAAAAAAAGATTCGTATCAATTTTTATTCTCTTATAAAGAAATGAGAGAATAAATCAGTACCGAAAAATTGAAGACCGATCAATATTTAATTTATTCATCAAATTAACGCGGATAAATGAACGAGTCGTATCAATTTTTTTTTTCTTATAGAGAAATGAAAGAGTAAATCAGTACCGAAAATATAATATCGATCAATACCGTAAATCAGTGTCAGAAAATTGTCCAAGTGCAATGACAATTTGTTCTCATTTTGCAGGTACTTACCCCACTAATTTACTCAACAAATTAAGTCGCATAAAAAAAAGATTCGTATCAATTTTTATTCTCTTATAAAGAAATGAGAGAATAAATCAGTATCGAAAACCGAAGACCGATCAATACGTAATTTTTCCATCAAACAAACGCGGATAAATGAACGATTCGTATTAATTTTCTGTTTTCTTATAGAGAAGTGAAAGAGTAAATCAGTACCGAAAATAGAATATCGATCAATACCAGAAATCAGTATCAGAAGGTTGTCCAAGTGCAATGAGAATTCGTTCTCATTCCCGAGTCTTTCCCGAGTCGAAATATTAATTCTACATTGATCCTACAAATTGCATCCAATTTGAAAAATAAATGCAGAATATCTAGATGCGCAATAGTGAACAAGCTTTGTCCTACCTGAACGTTACATCTGGCTACTCTCGCAGTCTCGCCCATGATGAGTCTTCAACAGCGACATATTCCGCAGTTATTTAATACTCGTTTATCTCGATAATGTATGTGTAGTTAATCCTTATATTCTTAATTTAAATGGGCAATTTTTGTTGATGTCGATTATATATTCGCTTAACAGCGCAAGAAAGAGAACAAAGATAAAAACGTAAATAGAACTGCCTTTGTTAGAACTGCGCGTGAGATAAATATATAAGAATTAAATAATCATACAAGAATTAGAGGAAATGGGAAGATGAAAAACACTTTTAATTCTCATCATTCTTAAAATTCTTTTTTCCTTTCTCCTTCTCTTTTTTTTTCTTTTCTTTTTTCTAATGAGAATGATGAGAATTGTAGCTAGAGAATTGTAGTAGAAGCGGAGATATGAACATTTAATTCAAATTTCAATTAAAGTTAACTTAAAATTAAAAAATGTAACCTTCGGTATCTCCTAAACGGCTCAAGATACAGGAACGCGCTTTTGCCTCAATATAGTCCTGTATCAACCCTATTCTCACCATAAATCTCGACTCTCAATTCCCAGTGGAAGCGGAGATATGAACATTTAAATTCAAATTTCAATTAAAATTAACTTAAAATTTAAAAATGTAACCTTCGGTATCTCCTAAACGGCTCAAGATACAGGAACGCGCTTTTGCCTCAATATAGTCCTGTATCAACCCTATTCTCACCATAAATCTCGACTCTCAATTCCCAGTAGAAGCGGAGATATGAACATTTAAATTCAAATTTCAATTAAAATTAACTTAAAATTAAAAATGTAACCTTCGGTATCTCCTAAACGGCTCAAGATACAGGAACGCGCTTTTGCCTCAATATAGTCCTGTATCAACCCTATTCTCACCATAAATCTCGACTCTCAATTCCCAGTAGAAGCGGAGATATGAACATTTAAATTCAAATTTCAATTAAAATTAACTTAAAATTAAAAAATGTAACGTTCGGTATCTCCTAAACGGCTCAAGATACAGGAACGCGCTTTTGCCTCAATATAGTCCTGTATCAACCCTATTTTCACCATAAATCTCGACTCTCAATTCCCAGTAGAAGCGGAGATATGAACATTTAAATTCAAATTTCAATTAAAATTAACTTAAAATCAAAAATTGTAACCTTCGGTATCTCCTAAACGGCTCAAGATACAGGAACGCGCTTTTGCCTCAATATAGTCCTGTATCAACCCTATTCTCACCATAAATTTCGATTCTCAATTCCCAGTAGAAGCGGAGATATGAACATTTAAATTCAAATTTCAATTAAAATTAACTTAAGATTTGAAAATGTAACCTTCGGTATCTCCTAAACGGCTCAAGATACAGGAACGCGCTTTTGCCTCAATATAGTCCTGTATCAACCCTATTCTCACCATAAATCTCGACTCTCAATTCCCAGTAGAAGCGGAGATATGAACATTTAAATTCAAATTTCAATTAAAATTAACTTAAAATTTAAAAATGTAACCTTCGGTATCTCCTAAATGGCTCAAGATACAGGAACGCGCTTTTGCCCCAATATAGTCCTGTATCAACCCTATTCTCACCATAAATCTCGACTCTCAATTCCCAGTAGAAGCGGAGATATGAACATTTAAATTCAAATTTCAATTAAAATTAACTTAAAATTTAAAAATGTAACCTTCGGTATCTCCTAAATGGCTCAAGATACAGGAACGCGCTTTTGCCCCAATATAGTCCTGTATCAACCCTATTCTCACCATAAATCTCGACTCTCAATTCCCAGTAGAAGCGGAGATATGAACATTTAAATTCAAATTTCAATTAAAATTAACTTAAAATTTAAAAATGTAACCTTCGGTATCTCCTAAACGGCTCAAGATACAGGAACGCGCTTTTGCCTCAATATAGTC